AAGAGAGCTGTGCGTAGCCATGTTTATTGTTGAACTTAAAATCGATTTTGTTGTTCTGCGAGAAAGAAAAGAAATCCATCGAGAGGAAATAGGGAAAGAAGAATCAACTTACTCAGGTTCGTGCAATGAACTGAAATCAGTTGTTGGCTTTCCAATGATCGTGTATTGCTTAAACAGTTCTTCCCTCGAGCATGGCAAATATTCAATTGTACCTTGTGGGATGCAATGTAAGTATCCTGTACGAATGAAATTTTGGAATTTGAGGAATATTCGTTCGAAAAGTAAAAGAAAAAAGTGTTCATTAGAACGAAATCGCTGTTTGAGATAACGTTTTGCTTCATTACGAAATGTTAATAAATATGTATCCGTAGAGCACAGCACCGAAAGATGTTCCAATTGAGTTAAACGTGTCTGTTGTGTCATGTCGTTTTTGATCTTACGCACGACATTTTGAGGTGTTTTCGAACGTGCCGAACGAGGTAGAATACGAACGAGACAAGCACGAAATAATTCCTTATTGAATGGAAGAAATGCAGCTGGACGACGACTTCCAGTTGTTGTCGAGTTTTTCGAAGAATCAGAATTTTCTGTTTGTTTTCGTGGAAGGTAAAATGTCAAAGCAGTATTGATTAAAGATATCACACGTTCTTCGACCGGCGACCATCGGACACGAAGAGCAGTGGAATTGACATGCTCTAAATCTTCGTCTGTGTCTTGATCATCGTTTACTTTGCCTTTCTTTCCCTTTCGAGTCTTGGTTTTCTTCGTCGATGTATCCTGTAGAATTTCATTGAAACGATGCAGAATGCCTTTGTTTTTTTCTCGAGTATATTGATACAATAGCTTCTTTCGTCGATCGACAAATTGTAACAGATTCAGTAGATCATGCGGAACGATATACCGTGATAAATGACCATAGTAGTCGACGCCGGGTAATGGCTTCGTCACAAACGGAATCGTTCGTTTCGAACGATGAAGAGACGATGGAGCTGTTGTTGTTAAGTGTATGGATGAATTATCGAAACTTGTCGTTGACATATTCATGTCGCGTTTTCGACTATTGTTCTTCCGTTTTTGTGTTAAATGTCGTGTGTAAGAACGTTTTAATGCCACATCGATAGGTACACGCAGTTCACAAACAGGGATACAACAGTGATTGGCTTCTCGATTGAGTAATTTTAGTATTCGTTTGTTATTGTATGGAAGTTTCCAGGATTTACGTAAGAATAGATATAGATCATAATCGAAGCCCGCTGGACCATTGGATTTTCCCAGTGGAATTTTGGTTTCTTCGATATTTTCCATTGGAATCGGTTTTGCTGCTTGTTTAAGTACTTCAACAATATGTGAACGCTCTTGTTTTCGTGAAAAAATCTTCACTCGATATGTGTTCAGTGCAATTTCAATTAAATCAAACCAGTATCGATTGGCATGTGTCAACGACGTAAAATTATACATCTGTTTCGGATAATTCGACATGTTTTCGATCGGTCCATTGGAATTATTAGTTTGATTGATTGTGTTTATTAAATACGCTTTCGGATGAAGGTAAATCAATGTATTCAACTTTTCTAAGCGACTAATCGTCGGACGATCGACGAATGTAATCAGACCAAGTGTTGATAGATACTTCAAAACTTCGATTATTCGATAGAGATAATGGCGGCGAACGACTAGCGGATAGCGCATTTCAGCCGGAAGGTCACGAACGAGAATATAGCGTTTCGTTGGGTGAGAAAGCAATTCCATCAAACCAGGAACTTTATATGGAACATAGACAATTGCGAGAAAGATCGAAACTGGCATACACATAAGAAAATCATCGAGATAAAGACAACCAGGTGGAATCGAGCGACCGCGAGTATCTAATGGTGGAACGAACGTTTTCCAATTAGCACCTTGATTGACATTTGTATAACGACGAGTGTTGGGAATTGAGTTGAGAATTGTTTGAACTTCCGGTAGAGTAGAAACAAGCGATTGTTCAGAATCGAAACTTGTCTAGAAATACAACTCTTGTTCTTTTCTTTTCTTTTCAACTAATGATCGAGAACTTACGTCAAGATCTTCATGCTCAAGATTGCCTTCATAACCGTAGAGTAAGTAGAACATGAATTTATGTAAAATAGCGCACCGTTGAAATTTATACACATAACCATAACAGTTTCCAAAGCCATTGACGTTTTCAAGTGATTTCTTTTTCAGTAATGCAATCTTTTCTTCTTCCAATCCATTGTTGAACAGATTGTCGATCGTATTTTTTGATTCATCATCATTCATTGGTTTCTCCTCTTGGGAAATAGGTTCCTGTGGATTTGTAACGGTTGTTGTTGATAGTCGCTCACGAGATATTGGTTTTGATTTGTTTGTTGACGGTATTTCGATTGTATCCTGAGATAATTCGATTTTAAACTGTTGAATTTTGTCACAATCAGGTGAGATGTCTGGAGCGATCATAGCCAGACAAATAATTGTTCGTGATTGTTTAATTCGCGCAGTAAACCGAAAAAGAAAATGATGAACTTTTTCCAATTCATCAACTAGTTTATCGAGAGTTTTACGATCCATATGAATCGTTAGACCTTCCTCACGTTCACTCGACATAATCGTAGCACGTAGATCAGTTAGCGTACAAATCGGATGTTCTTGCATATAGGAACGAATCAAATCTAGCCGGTGTTCGCGTTTGATATTGATTCGTTTCACGGGATTAACGCGTGTTTTCGATTTCCTCTTTGAAGATTCTTGGGGAACAGGTTGGGTTGACGGACGCCAAACAGTTTCCGATGAAAGCAGACGCGAGAGTAATGGCTCATTGTCTAAATGTTCAGCATCAACCGGTTCGCATTTGATAAATGACGGCGAATTCAATGCTGCAGGCGGGACGGACGACGGACTATCGACTAAAACAAATCACTTTGCCATTGCATCACAACACAACATTGTGTATCTTACTGATGGTAGTTTCGGTATCTTTTTGTTTCGCACTATCTTTCTTTCGTTTTGCACGTGGCGTTTTGGAGATAATCTGCTGTCGAATATTCTGATTTGCCGTCGACGATTTCGCTGCTGTTGTCGATGGCATGAACTTCTTCAAAAGGATCTTCAAATAAATATGACTAGATTGACATCCATGAGAAAGTTTTCTGCTTACTCGATTCTCCATGATCTTTCCTTTTTGATTCAGTTGCACACTTTTCAACGAGATATGCTTCATATTTTTTGTCAACGATTTGATTTCGGATCTGGCAGAGTAGAATGATAAATGACAAATGTTCGCTAAATCGCGTTGGGATAATCCAATCTCTTTCACTTGTTCTAATAGTTCATAGTATTGAAAATGATATGGTCGATCGACGTACAGTTTCAGATTGTTTTGATCTAATTGACTTGATGCTTCGGATAGAGGTAACATATTCGAATCATCTTCATCGTCCAGAGCTTCGTCTTCAACTTCTTCTTCATCTTCGGACTGCTCATTCTCATCGCTCGATGACGCGATTTCTTCATCGTCGTCTTTTTGCGTATTGTCATTCGATTTCAAACGAAAAAACGTATACGAACGCAGACGTGTCCGGTTATTCAAACAAATCAACGTTGTCGTTGTTGCTGTTGGAGAATCTTGTTCATTGCTTAAACACCGCTTTAATTCATATTCGTTCATTGTCTTGTTGTACTTCTCGATTAAATTCAATCGTTTGCATTTTCTCATTAATGATCGAAACGATTTCTCTCCTAAGGATAAGTACGATTTCAGATGATTCCGTTCACACGAATGGTTTTTACATTGTTCCAAATAACTACTTAACCGGTCGATAATCGTATATTTTGAATTCATGTAATCATTCTTAGTGATGTATCGGGTAAGAATCAATATCGGCTGCTTTAATGTTCCGACCAACTGCCGAGTTAAGTTGAGTTTTTTAATGATGTCCAAGGCAATCAATTGCTTGAGGTAATAGAATAACGATTTACTATTAATATTGAATATTTTGGCAAGACCATCATTTCCTGATGTTGAAATACCTTTCGACCGGGTTTTACAGATGCATTCTAATAGAGCGTATTCGTATTTACTGAACAATTGTTTGGTATCGAATTGGCCTTGAATGATACGAAATTCGCGAACATTTTGTTCGACAACAAGATGAATCCGATCGAGCGTTGATACATCATCAAGGTTCATATAAGCAGTCCGATTGGATATCAATTTTCGTTGATGATACGACGAAGAATAACCGCGATGATTCAACTCCACATTTTCAACAGCGAGATTATTCGGCGATGCAGGCGGAAGAAGTTTAACAGGTAATTCATAAAGTTCAATGCATGAACACGATAAAAGAATTTTCCATAGATATGAACGAAGATAATTCTCATTCGAAAGTCGATTATCAGTAGGAAATAATAACGGTTCAACAGTAGTATACAAATGATTGAATGTACAACCTTCGAGACCTTCGACAGCTAATTCATCGATAAGAATATCTCGACAATAGTTCCAATTCATGATCGGTCAAAACTGGGTAAAATGCTTTGAATCAGATTCGAACATAAGACTGATGCAAGACACGATTGTTTTCATTGGTTTCCATTTTTAACTTTTACATGTCTGTTGTTTTTTCCTTGCAGAAGTATTCATCGATAGATGGCAGGATGTCACATTATACGTCGAGCATTTATCGAAGAGCGAAAGCTTATCTCGAGTGACATGGGAACACTTCGCGAATATCTGATTCTTTCATGGCGGAAAAGCTCATTGAACTTCAATGACAAGTGTGTTGATAACAAAATTGTTATTTTCGAATGAGTAATTTGTTATAAATACGATTGCGCCTACATTTTACGATCAGTTTGTTGTTCCGATGCGTTGACAGAGATCATAATTATTCAAATCAGTGTCAATATTATTCTGTACACTGCTGCGCGAAACATATTATCTGACTCACAGTTTGGACTTTGATAGAAGAAAAAGATATTCTCAGTCGCGACCCAAATCAATGTCGTGTTTGCAATGCTATTCCGGAATTCATCGACGTTTACGATGGGAACGGTTTTGGCCAAGATTATTAATTATTCTAGTTGCTATCATGGAAATACTATTAACCATCGCTGTTCTATGCTTAGAATTTTGGAGTATGATTATCAATATAAAATATTCATTCTTTTTCATTGGTTTTATCGCGTCATTTGTTCATATTACTACTTGGATATTAACATTTAATGTTGGTGAGTTCGACAATAGCGGAAGTTGAGTCCGAATGTTTTCATGTGCGTATTCTAGGCTGCTGTTGCCGAACATCGCTTTCATGCACAACGATTACATGCATTGTTCACCTTCTGTCAATTGCCATATCAAGTATTATGGTGTTCTACAATGTTTCCTTTCTTCGAAATCCTCATATGTGCCTCTGGTCAAAGAACCAATGCAATGGTGAACTGAAAGATATGCACCTCTTCGGTTTTACAATGAACACTAGTGATGATATTCATTGGATTAAATTGACTTTGCTTAAAATACAAATTGGCTGTGCTGCAGCTATGATTGTTACTTGTATGGTTTATGTGTTGAGTTATGTTTATACTGTTATTCGCGTTTATTCAAAGAATAAAGTCGCTGACGTGAATGTAGTTGGAGAATTGGCTCAAACACGATCAACGTCACCATCGCCACGACCAAATTGGCCAAATCCACCAAGAGAATCCTCATCCGAATCTGACTTCTAACACACACACATGAAATATTTTTACTTTTTTTTCAGTTATATTTTACATAATGAATGAACAGTCACGACCTGGCGATATGATTAAAAGAAATACTTGAATTCAGTAGAATTTGGTAATATTTTAGTTAAGACTCTGACATATACGCGAGATTACTCTTAAAGTGTAGCAAGAACATTATGACGTTTTTACCTTTACTTACACACTCGTGCCCATACACATGACTACTTTTTCTTGTCACTCATAGATAACGAAAAATGATGAGAGAACGACGAAATTAGTTACTTGTGAGTAAGCAAACAAGTGACTACTATTTTTGCCAATCACAATATGAAAAAAGTCAAACAACGACCATTTGCATTGTTGATATGCGCAGTAATTGTATCGATATACTGTTTCATAAGCGCCTACACATGTGGACAGTTTGATTTTTAAACGATGCCAACGTCAGCAAAACATGTTCGAGCGTACACAGAGGAATATCATATCAAGTTATATCATAATATTAGAAAATGTTATCATTTATTCTTTTACGTTGTTCAGAAACGAACATTTTTAGTGAATGTCAACCAATTGATTGATCTCGCTACGTGCGTATAGAGCGAACGCTTTGATTTATCGATTTGATTTGTGACGTTGACACGATATGTGTGTGTGTGTGTGTGTGTGTGTGTGTAGTGTTTGCTTCATACGGCTAGTTATCCACGTACGAAGTTAATTGTCTTGTTGAGTAGGAAGCAAACAAAATAGTACACAAGTCGACAATTTCATATGCTTTTAACTCATTATTCAGTTTGGCCTGGCAATGAGCCAGACCAAACACATTTGCTCGTTACGTGCCAAATACTATCGTTCTCTTCATCGATGACGAGCTTTGTCTTGCGTCAAACGCTTCGCTACATGACGTCATCAATATTTCATTAAGGAGATTTCTTGGCTAAATGTCAGTTTGGCAAGACGCCAAATAATTTCTTCTCTTCAATTTCTTTCCTGTCGTGAGAGTTATAATTCGCTTAGTTGTGTTCGATTTTATTCTCGTTGGCTTGTCTTGCATATGTTTCGGTACACCGTATATGATAACAACGCATTCAAACGACACGACATCGTCACTATCAGCTTTCTGCTGTTACTACCCCCGGTTAATTTTCATTCTTTTTCTCGCTCATATGACTTCTATTCATAGAAGTTGTATACACTAAGGAACGAAAGAAAAAACACGTCTTTCTTCTTCTTTTTCCTCAGTTGGTTCGCGCTGTCGAGAAGAGGAAAGAGTAGAGAATGTAGACGCATCGACGAGCAGTAACCAATCCAACAAATGTTATTGGCATTCAACCAAGTGCGTGCGTTGTCGAGCATCATGTGATTTGAATAGAGAAAAAGAAGAACTATTGTTCTCTTCTTCCAACGCATGATTTTTTTCTATTGGTTGGCTCACACGCCACCTCACAACTTAACGTACATACAAATGCGATGGATGGATAGGGAAAGAGAGAGCAGCTGTTTCTTCGTTCTTCTTCTTCTGCTGTGTGTCTATGCATGTCTTGTGTCGTGCAGCTGATTCGCCGTTAATGAAAAATAAGACACCATTTTTTTCTCTGTTTGTGCTTTTTCCTCTTAGTCGTCGTTCGTTCGCATTCCTTTCTCTCTCTCTATTCTTCTCGTGCGCTCTCTTTTCTGGTTTCTATTATTACCCTACACACATACACACACACACACTCTCTCTCGTCGACATCATCGAGTTGATTCGCGTCTCTATCATCGAGTTATATACGTCCTTTTACTACGACTAATTCTTAAAATAGATACTTTAAATTCAATATTTCCTCGAAAAAACAAAACGTACGTATTCAATGAATTTTTCCTATTCTTCCTTACTATTCCTATACTATTTATCTTCCTCCTGTTCCTCGTCATCTATATGTGTGACAATTTTTTCTTTTCTATCCTATCCTATAGAACGATATATACACTACGAAACGTATGCGTATAGTGAATGTCACATTGCTATGTTGTGGATAACAATACACCGAATCGAACGTAACAATAACATTATCTTAACCTAATGCCTGAATCACCGTTACAACGTCGATTATCCACAAATACATCACCTGCTACTAGTCACGTTAGGTATGTGTTCAACAAGAAAAAATACAAAGGAAGAAGAACACTCTCGTTCTTTCTTTCCGCATGTGTGCGCGTGCGTATGCGTAAAATGAATGGTGGTTGGCTGATAGCCAAGAGAGAATTTCCTCTCGTTCGTTCTAAACTGAATCGGAATACGATACACATATGTGTGAGCGTATGTATATGTTCATATGTATATACACATACATACATACACACACGTTGCTTGTTCTCTTCTTCGTTCAGATACATTGATTGACTGTCGCTCAGTTTAGTTACGAATATATGCATATCAACATATGTAGAACAACGAGAGACAGAAAGAAAAAAACAGATCCACTTGCATGTCATCACTTCTTCAATTTATGTTATACGTTGATAGACAGTTGCATAGACAAGCTGTCAGAGTAACTGATGAATAATATAGAGAAGAAGATCGTATTGCAGTCACATATCTTATCTTATTTGAATATATCTGTACTAGTTTTGTTTTTCTTCTAATTATATTAGTTCGGATATGTCTCCAAATACTCAATTAGAACAAGAAAAACGTGTACGCCGTGAAATCGCTAATTCCAATGAACGCCGTCGTATGCAATCGATCAATACTGGTTTTCAAAGTCTGAAAATACTCATTCCTCATTCCTGTGGTGAAAAGCTTAGTAAAGTATGTTTCGAAAGATTTGATATTCGTCGAGTTAATATTTCATCTGCTAGGCATGTATCCTTCAACGAGCTGCTGACCATATAAAGAGCCTTGAAAATGAAAAACTAAAACTTCAATCTCAGAATGAACAATTTCGCATCTTGATAAAAAGTTTTCAAATCGATTCTTCAAGTGTTTTGCAAGCTCAACGACATTTATCAACGAATGGTAAGTACGCGAGTATTCAACGCCGCTTTTTTCTCTTTTCCTCTCTGCGGTTAGACAAAAACAAACCACTGTCGTTGACAGTTAGCTATCCACTAACCTTTACATCAAAATGACATTGATAAATATCTTTTATAGATTCCGATGAAACTATACCGTTGCTTGGAAGTAATGAAGACACCAAACCCATTGCCAATAATGTTTTCGATGATGTCAAGAACCGTCAAACATATTGGCATGCACAATACGTTCAAACACCCAACGATGATCAGTCGCCATCCGTAAGTTCAATTGGCTTTCCCTTATCGAAACACTATTTGAGATGCGCTGTTCTTTTAGCCGATTGATAAATTCTATCGAACCGTCAAACAATCGACTCCAACTACAACTTCAGATACGACATATATGATTGTGAAACAAAGTCAACCTAGTCAACGTTGCTATAAAACCAATTCTGTTGATCAAAATCACGATAATGAAATTGTTATTGTCGAACGTTGTCAGCTCAGGGCGCAAAGTCTAGATACCAATAACACTGTTTCTCGACGGAATCTACAAACCATCGTCGAAGCTATACGACACTTAGAAGGTGACGATGCACTAGCGAATATCAATCAAATTCAACAAACATCATCGTCAGACGGACATCAGCAAGAGGATCTACCTGCACAACTCAAAGCAATGATTCATGAAAAATTTCAACCAGCTAACGTTAAAACTCCACCGTCACCATCCGGAACAAATGCAATTTATCAACAGACGATAAATATCTATGAAAAACAACAGCTGACGACAGGAGCAACGCACGAAATTGATCTACACCAGAAGCCGCCAAAGAAACGAAAAATTACTTATAACGAAAGTGACGATACAATTATCCAAAGATCAGGTATGAGTTTTACTTTGAGCGAATCTGCTACTTATACATGAAACTTTGATTTGATAGATTTACCACATATATCAAGTCCAGAAGTTCACCATCATGAGCAAATATCTAGTGAACCATCAGCAGTAGCCCAATTCTTGCAAGAACATTTGCTACAGCGTAGCCTGCGTTATCCACCACCTTAACAAAATTTTTCTTTGTCTTTGTCTCCTCGTTACATAGCCCGGTTTGTACTTTTGGTTCGTCTGTCTGTAAATAATATATACATATATTTTTTTTCTTCCACTTCTCTCTCTCTCTCTCTGTGTTTGTCTGTAGTGTGTATTCAAGAAACAAGACCAAAAACTGCTCATTTCTTTGTGTTTAGCTCAAGTATTTCGACAGGACAGTGATACACATCCTTTTGTCCTATCTGCGTTTGTATGTGTGTGATCGCGCGAAAAAGTTTTTGTTGTTTCTCTTCGAGCGCTTTCTTCAAAATAGTACGATTTAACAAATCACATACAATACCGTTTTAGCGTTTTGTTTCATTGGTTTACACCGGTCTTTTTTTTTCGTCTCTTCTCTCTTGCATTTTATTATTTGGGTTGTTTTTTTTGTGCCACGATGACAAAGGAAAAAGCTATGCACCTCCTATTCTTCGTTCTCTTCTTCTGTTGCTTCTGTTTGTTGGTTTGATTTTGTAATCTGTTGTTTTCACTCATATGGAATCAATGATGAGTGTTTGTTTGTATTCATTTGCCGACGGTTCGTTTTTTTTATGAAGCTTGTACATTTGTATAGTTAAAGGAAAAAAACAAATTGCAAACAAAAATTCCATTCATTATTATTCATAGATGCAATCGATCAGCAAATGGAATCACACCATATGATTCACTCCCACCTACTACACTTATGAGTAGCCTCTTTTTTTACTATTATGGGAATGTGTAACAGACAGAGAGAAAGAAACAAAAATATCTTGTTGAAGTATACTGCGACAGCATCAATCGAACAATAACTGATTGAATGGAAGAGTTGCGATGAATATGTTTATCTAATCATGAGTTATTGTGTTGTAGACACATTCAATGTTTCCTTGGCCTGATCTAATGATAGGAACATAGAGTACAACATATGTTTAGTATTGTTACAGTTGTGCTTGACGACAGATTGACGACGGTATAATTACTATCGGTAAAGAAATATGATACTGGCAGCAATAATCTGTATCATTGTTGAGATTGGCTTACATGTGATTAGTTCTTATATTGAGCAAATAGTTTGTGGTCGTGTAAATGTAACACGATTTTTAGTTACATTCTTCGATGGCAATTCGATCTCATGCATAAATTAATCTCTTCGAAATGAATTGTAATCCTCGTCACACGAATAGACACTCGAACTTCTCTTAATTATTTAAATAAACTGATGGATTTCTCGTATTGTACTTGTATTCAACGAGAAAGATATTTATAACCAATGTGATCCCAAAAATTACAATCATCCTTCGAATAGTTTTCTTCCATCTGAAATAGATGTTGAATGAATATATATCTCTCGTTTTTATTAGTGATTCTTGCCCATGGTGTTGGTACTCGGAATGGCTCGTTGGATTCTTGAGTCGAATAAGTGGCCACATTTTGAGACACGTGCAGACCAGCATCGCCGAAACTATTCCAATAGGATTCAAATACAGAAGGAAATTCATCGTCATGACTCGCGTGAGTTGAACATGCGAGAGAATGTTCTCTATCGAATGGATAGCCATATACGTAGTAACGAGACGCAACTTTTCAAGCAAAGACTCGAGCCGAACAGGCAAATATCCAGTGTGTGCCAGCACGCGATATGAGAGCTCGTTTCTTGTCGGAAAGATCTGACGGACAGTGATGAAGCACTTTGAACACCTTTTCTCCGAAGAGAGCAATGACCAACGCAACGTATTCACTAGGTGATACTGTTTTACTATAATTTCCAAAGATGAAATCACGACATTCTTCTCTCGTTGTACCAATCAACAACGATTTCAATGGAAATGACATATTTTTTGCACTATCCAATAGTTGATCATGAACAATGATATTGCCAACGACCAACAGCCATAGGTTCAAAAAAGAACAAGAGATTGAGTAGAGTTAACTTGTCGTCGACAGCCTTTTGAGCAGCGATAATATCATTCATCAAGCGAGATCGTAAAGATGCTATTGTCTGCAATAACACCTAGTGCGACGATATTCCAAATAAGCTCTAGATTTTATCAAAGAAGCAATTTTCCCATAGATATATACTGATCGCCAGCACTTTGGCCAAATAGCACTATCTAACTAATGAAATAGTCAGAAGTAAAGCGGCTCAAGCATTCGCCAATTCAAACTTAATTTGGATCACTGCCGAGCGCATTAATATTCCCTTTGACCCAAGCAGTGACTAAACGTTGCGCGAGAATTCTGTAATTGTCTTTGATATCATTGAGACCGTTTTCAGTAGCCAAAAACACCGACACATCTGGTTTCAACATACTTTGATATAGATTGCGAAGAGAAACTTCATATTTATCTAATCAATATTGAATCAGTGTCACGATTATATTAGTGGTATTAACAAGACGCTCGGCTTCGTAAATTGGCTCAGTAGCATAACCATACGGAAAGCCACCATTATGAATAAAAAACATGGTCGGCAGAGAATTTGCCGGTGATGACGTGTTAGACAATCTTCGGACAGGTCTGAGGCGATTGTGTAGCATTGATTGCTTTATGAAATCATTCAGGCACAGGTACTGGTGGTTGCCATCTAAATAGGTATGGTTGTATTTTTCAAAAGTAGGCGTGATATTTCTATTTTGCATTACCTCAGTGTATCAACTGGCGGGCGAGCAAATGAAATGCTGTAAAATACACGCGCCAAACTAGTTTAATATCCTACAAGATCACCCTATTGTGCATGAACAGTAACGGATTCGTCGTTGGAAGCTTTTAGTATAAAGAAAGTTACAAAACAAAATTGGATTTGCCAATATCGTTGCTCTCTTCTACAGATATGCGCATCGTTCTTCTAGCCTAGTTGATAAGCGAGAACCTATTATCTCACATGTAACACATCTTTCACTGTTTTTGAGAGGACAATAAGTAGAGTATTTGAAAGGTTGATATTTATTCTATAAATAATTTATTGTTCAAAGATCGAGCATGTAGGTCGAAGACACGATATTATTGTGAAATCGGCATGGTTCTTGTGATTTAACTGCCGTTCGAATTTTATTTTCTGTTTCGTCTGATTCATGTGCAAAACAAAAGTTTGATTAACAGCAGCATAAACGAAAAAGAAAAACAACAATGACAACTTTAAGCGGATTGTGTTGGTGCTGTTGTTGTTGATGATGGTTGGGCTGTCTGTTGTTCTTCTTGGAGACGATGTTTCTTGAGTGGACCCATGAAGTTGCGCTTTTCTTCGTGAGTTTGAAATCGACCGTGTCCGAATTTGGACGATGTATCGATAAAACGTAAATCGATTTGTTCCCGGTGTGAACGTTTCGGATTGAGAATCAATGATTTACGTAAAGTAATTGGACGTTTCTTTGGACCAATGCAACAGCCTTTGATCATGATGAAATCTTGTTTAACTTCACCGTAATGTGGGAAACCACCCTAGAAATATAATAAAGATCAATAGAATCAATATAGATTGCAAGGAAAGGATTGCAATACCATTGGATTGATGGTTTTTTCAGTTGGATCATGGTCAGTTGAGCCGGTATTTTTCACTGTTTTACCATCTTTGACTTGAACAGCATCGCCGATACGGTAGATCTTCTTGTTGATTTCTGTTCGGTGATGGTAACCCTTTTGACCAGCACGTGCAACAGCTCGTGAAACATGGGCTGGATGCCAAGCACCAATACAAGCGACTTTACGTAAACCTTTGTGTGTTTTACGTGGTAATTTTCTTGTATGCCAACGTGATGTGACACCTTTGAAGCCGCGACCTTTGGTGACAGAGATGGTATCAATCATTTCGTCTTTGGAGAACACTTGGGTGACGGGCACTTGTTTTTCTAAATGTTCGCGAGCAAAAGCAATCTTTTGTTCGACGGTACCACCGTTCAATTGAATCTCCATGATGTGAGCTTTCTTTTGTCGTTTACGTAACAGTTTCATTTGTGTATGAGCTAACACACGGATAACTTTACAGTATTTTGCCATTTGCTTGAAGTCATTGTCAAGTGCTTTCTTTCCGGCATCATCATTCCATTTTTGTGAATATTTCGAGAAAGCTTTTCGTTTCGACGAATACCAGTTCTTGTAGAATCGTCGACGACATTCTTCGTTCAAGTGTTGAGCATAGATGGTTTTGTATGCACGAAGACCACGTGGTGTAACGATGTAACCAACGACACCAACGATGACCATGGGAGGTGTTTCGATGATGGTTACAGCTTCGACAGTTTCTTTTTTGTTCAATTCTAAATTAGTTCACAGAAAACAACGGAGATGAATTAGATTGACTTGTGAAAAGAAAAACATTGCTTACTTGAAGCTGGACGATCGACTTCACGGACAATGTGCGTCATACCCGCTTTATAGCCAATGAAAGCGGTAAGATGAACTGGTTTTTTGGGATCATCTTTTGGAAATGATTTCACTTTGCCACGATGACGACGTGCTCGCTTTTTCGGTAAGAATCCAAGATTACCATGACGGGGGTGTTCGAATTTTCGATGACTCATGCGGATGTTTTATATGAGACTTAACTATTCTTGATGTTCGATCTAAAATAGACGTGACATGAGCAAAATTTTCTAATGGAATATAAAAACTAAAATGAATTTGTGGAAATCGATCCAAATAAACACGGACTATACGATGGGTTTTTAATGGAATTTAGAAATTCAGTAAATCCACTCTATTGAAGAAACTTGCAAGTTAAATTTTCATTGCAATTAATTAGAAAAACAAAATAACGATTTTCATGGAAAGATATATCAATTCCAACTTTACTTTTGATATTTATTCATCATGGTACGTGATAGAGGGCGCCATCAATCAAACCATCTGCTTCAGACTTGTATAGATCGCAACTGCACCGGTATCTGAGAATTCCACTCATGAAAATCACACCATTTCCTATCACTAGACATCATTATTCGTACATGTACAGTTATCTTTGGTTTCATGCTTTCTATTCACATTTGTAGGCCGTTATAGTTATTCGCACTTGGCAAACTTTCTCAACGTTGAGCACGAGCTGGTAAGTTGTCCACAGAGAGAATTAATTCGAGTATAATCAAGTCAGGTAGCTTTCTTAGCACGTAGGCGAACTCTGAACTACTCACACCCTTTAATTATTCTCACAAATTAGAAGCATGATCGAATGTGTGTATGTTTTGTTTTTCTTCCGTTTCTGTTTTTCGTTCTCCTTGTTGCATTCTACCCAATTTCTTAACATTACAGAACATCATAATTAACCAGTATAAAATGAAAAAAAAAGTCATTACTTGTTACCTTCAGCGGCCGCCGTTAATTGTTTCGGAGCAAAACTTGACTTGGAACTGACTTCTCTAAGGTTAGAAATTTTGTTTTTTTATTTCGAAAAAATAAATCGTTCAAAATTGACTATGGAAAATGTGGGAGCATTTTTTCGGACGTCGTGCTCATCAACTCAACGTTTGATTCCGGCTACGAACGTACTCTGTCTCTGATAGTCACACATAGGAGAAAAAAAAGCGTCGATGAAAATTTCAGTGAATATTCGAAGAAAACATCTGATTGATTTGCAAATAAATCTGTTTGAACGGATGAAAAGTGTCCTCTGTCGACTACGCACAAATGGGGATGGTAGGCGTTGTCGTCTTTCTATAAATTGTGGACGACAAACAAAAAATATATGTATGGCTTATTCGCACTTCATATCATTTGTCCTGTTGTTATTTCGCTCGTATTTTTCATTGAAAGACATCTTCTTTTTGTGTAAAATTTATTTGAGAATTAGGGGGAATATATTTTGTATCGATTCGTGATTAGATAAGCAAAACAATGCAAATTATTCCATGAAATACAAGCTATTCCGGCTTGCATAGATGTAAATCATAGAAAAATGAGAATTTTCTTTTTATTTGTTTGTTTTCTTTTTTCGTTAAAGTTTTCCATTGTTAGATTCTCGCTCATCGTTTATGCTATTTATTTTCATTCGCGATTTTGAGCCCTCTATGCCACTTGTACACGACTAGAAGATCAAATCATATGGAAGATCATATGTGGGTTAGGAGAGAAAAAAAGAAAGAAAAAGAACGACAAACAGCTGATTACCCTTTACAACAGCGTTAGCGAAAAAGGGCCATCTGTAGATGAGTAAGTAACTAGCGTACATGTATAAAACGACCGGCTGCCCCATTCGCTCGCCGTGTTCAATCAAGGCAATTGATCAGAAAGAAATAATCAATATTATTTTCTCTCCGTTTCTCTCTCTCTCTTCCTATTGCGTTCTTTTTTCGCTGAATGTTTATACGAAACGAACGAACCGGTCTTCTATTCATGCGTAGAAATTATTATTTTTTCTTTTACACATGATGTTTATTTTTAGTGCTAATTTAGCAGTGACACAGATGAGAGAAATGATAAGAATACTTTATTGAAATGAAGAATCTATATAAACTGCAACTATTATATAACGTCTTAATCAATACGACAAAATATATTTTACCGAGCACTTTTTCATTTTCTCCAGGCGCACATTGTCCTTTGCTAAAATTTTGTGTTTTCTTCTACTAGTTTCTTTCTTGTAAACAATGTCAACGACCAACAACAACACGAGTTTCGATCCGAACGATCAACTGTCACCGTTTCTCGATCTTCACAATGAATCATCGCTCAGTTCGTGCTCATCATCGCCGCCAGCATCGTCATCCTTGAAAACTGTACAAAATCAGCATGAAAATGACTCCGGTTGTGGTAGTGATGATGACCCAGCATTAGCTTTAAAAATCAATAAAGGTCTCTCAATGGGTTACGACTATGAACTAATCAAAAGTGTCATCCAACAACAAAACGATGGTGATGATATGTCGAAATTCATCGAAACGATCGTACGCACAGCTGAAGTCAACAGTAGTTCCAATGGCTCGTCGTCGTCGTCACCACCACCCAATTTACCGCCGATATCATCATCATCATCGTCGTCAAATAAAACATCTTCTCCACCTACAACGGACACAGATTGTTCAGATACACCTATTCCGCACGATGTTTATATTATTGATGGTGCTGATCTTGCATTTAGGTAAAACTTGTGCTCGAACTACATATTGAGACTATGTTTTGTGTTTTAGCTATGGGAACAATACATTTTCATGGCGTGCAATTGAAATATGTTTGAAATATTTACATTCTCATGGACATAAGAAAGTGTTTGTTGTCTTGCCGTATTCATTGAAAAATCATCGACATGATCAAAGCTTTTCCGAATCGAAATCTTTACGTGATCTCGAACGAAAAAACCTTCTTGTTTATACTAATCGAATGTCCAAGCAAACTCATAAGTCTAATTCATATACGCATATTAGTGAAATGCTGAAATTCTCTCAGAAAACCAAAGGACATTTGATCACGAATGTCTCACTCAAAGATGTTATCCTGGACTTTACGATCTATAAGCAAATTCTCGAAGAAAAAGTCATTCGCTATCGATTTCAAAACGATAAGTATGACGACAAGTTTTGAATCTTCATGAAGCGTCATTCATTCGGTCTTCTTATTTAGTTTCCAACCATTATTAGTAACAATTGTTAATGATGAAGATGGCAATGATTGTGAGACACACTATCCACTCTGTCCCTATGGGAAGAAATGTACCTATGGTTTGAAATGTAAATACTATCACATCGAACGGCGACATCAAAATCCTTTATCAATCACGGAAACTTTACAAATGAAAGCCCGATTAGAGAAATCGAAAATTCAACATCAGCTGTCAACACCATCAATGATGGTCAACAATGGTTAGTAAAACAGTTACTAAATCAGTTATCAAATTGAAATTTTCTTTCGTAGGATTCAATCATACAAAATCCGGACCTGATCATTTACATATGTATTCATCTCAAATGATGGAGCAGAGTTTAGTGGATGATGCTCGACTCGCTTATGAATATGGTTTGACATCGACACCTGTGTCAACGGATTTCGCATTTGTTGATCAACGCATTCCATCAAATCAACAGCCCAGACCAGCACATCAAAGTTGGTTCGGTGCGGCAACTCCGCAACATCCATTCATGAATCGAACGTTTTCCGTGCCTCAACAGCAACAAATGAATGAAATGGCGGCAGCCATGTTTATGCATCAACAACAGCACAATTGGGCTCGACAACAGATGTTTCCTATGCAACAGCCGCAACAGTTCGAACAGGTAAGAACGTGTATGTGTTTTCTCGTTTTTCGTCGATTGCTACGTAAGATGTCTGAAGGAAACGTCTCTGTATGCGCGCAGGTCTGATTAATTTCGATGATATCCATTGATAAATATGTTTCATTTAATTTTCGATTTGGTCTAATATGATATTCTTGTGTGAAGGATGTCTGATCAAATCGAGACCTCGATCACAATTGCAACATATGTAAACAAGGAATGTTCTCGATCGTTGATGATATCGAACAGGAAAATGTTTTAAATATCATCATCGATTAATGAAAATATAAATTACAGTTCTTAATTAAACAATAATAGAAAAACACGATCGTCGTTTCGTTTTTCCGTTCGTCCGCCGAAACACAATCTGAAATTTGCGTTGAGCAAGGAGACTAAACATTCGACATTAGATCAGACATAAACAAACTGCTGAATCCGATCGTGTTTTTTTTAGAATGTTCTTCGATTTCTTTCAATGCTTTCGTTACAACAGCAACAACAACAACAGCAACAAACGAACATGAATTCCATGACGACGCATCCGCAAGTACAAGATGGCTCATATGATCATTCGTCTGTAAATAGTCAGCAAGGTTTAGCTGATAAGATTCAAGCTGTACGTCATCTTTGGGAAAGCGAAAACGTTCAGCAACAACAACAGCCACCACCTACGTTCGATCCGAATACTTATAATTCAATGATGTCCACCTTTCAACATCCAGCGCAAAGTTTTTTCCACTACAATTAATCGCTAAACGAGAAGAGAGATAGTTCGTTTCTCTTCATCTGTCTTTCAATTTATATATATATGTTAATGTATCTGTGTTTTTTTTCTATTTATTTATTCGTCTATCCACATACATTCTTAGTATGTATTTGTCCGTGTGCTCTTCTCTATGCCACTTAGTGAACATATTTTGGTGTTTAGTGTGTTTTTCTTCTTCTGTACGTACGTATGTAAGTTTTGTGCATTGTTATTGTACATAGAGATATGATGACATACATTGAAATGTATTTCCTAGATAGAGATGTATATGTGTGTAGTTAGATAAGATGTACATTAAACTCGCGTTACAAAAAAGCCAATCCCGAACAACTTCTTCTTGTGCCGTTTGTTTCCCTTGCCTTCTCTCTCTTTCTTTCTTTCGTGTTTTGCTTTGTCCGTTTTTGTTATTTTGTTTTTCATTCTAACTGCTCATATTTTCTAACTTATTCAAATATATACATCGGTTCATTTCATATTGTCAATTTTGTTTGCTTATGATTTCAATAAGAAATGTTTCTAAATGGAATTTTGCGTCATGTAAATATTCTAAAATGATCAAAATTGGATTTAAACCGACGTCATTGTCTTGACCGATGATCCGGTCTATATATTCAGAGTTCTGTTTAATATTTGTAAGATAAATGTTATTTTTCATTTGCAAAATTCATTAGAATATTAAAAATTCAAGTTAACATTTGTTTCATAGCTATATCATGCAATCAACCAAAGTTCTGTCCAACGCGGCAACATGTAATACAGCAGCTAAAATTTTTGCTGGGAATGTCTTTTATGAAAAAATAGTTTGTATGGTAAAAATATTTCATTTGAAGCTGATCAATCACAGAATCGTCTCGATTGTACTTTTTGCATAAGGAAAATGATTCTTGAGATCCGTAAAACTTCCCAGTCTACTATCCACACATAATTTATTAACTTTACTACAATTAACTCGCGTTGTATTCCTTTTCAAGTTGAATGTTACTGATTGTAAAGACTGGTAAGCGATGGCGAGACGAATATCATCTGCTAGACAAGTCATCGTATCATCTAAAAATTGTTCAATGTAATCATGATGAGTGTCTACGAGAGTGAGTTAAGTAAGATAGGGATATTTAATAATCGGTAAATGTTCAGTTTTTAATCGTTCATTGGTTTGCAGTGATTCGTTTTCCAAAGCTAATCCTGTAAGAAATACGTGTTGAACAGATTTGAATAAGTCACCTGAGGAACTATTTGATAAAATTTACGTTGAATGTCTAGATTTGATGGTAAATTAATAGGATATTCTGTAATCGAATAAATATTAAACGCAAAATTTTTTAACTTTCGTATGTGACAAATAACATCTATTTTCAAATTATCTCCATCAAGAAAAGGGTTAAAACGATCATAACCCCAGATGATGAGATACAACGATAATTGTTCTAAATTTGATCATAGAGGTAGAAGAAATTCTTTACAAGTAAACGCCATTGAATCACAAGTCAATCCAAGAAAAAGAATTCAAATTCGATAATATCTTTTATTAAAATAATCGATCAGCTACTAAACACACTGAATCAAGTAATCACAATGAACACTATGAAAATGAATCTAAACGAGTTTTCTTCATTAAGATTTATATGAGACACAAGAGAACATTTACCTTACATAAATAGGACATGATTTGTGTCCAATGTTGTTTTGTAACTGTCATATATATCGAAAATAAATTCCTGTTGTATTGTGTGCTTACAGTCTGAGATATGTTACTTCTAATTTGTTTCTAAAATTCACAAATTTCGCTTGGTTTTATTAAAACAACTATTACTGCTTGAATAATACAAAACTGCATAAGAATCGCCTATATTTAGGCCATGTCAATAGCTTTCGAAAGTAAACTATTGATTTGATCTTGTTGTAAATTTGCTACATTTGTGGCACGAGCAAAAATTTGTGGAGCCTTTCCAACTTGGAATGCTTCAAACCAACGGGATGCACATAGACACCATTTGTCACCTTCTTTCAGGCCGGGAAATGAAGGCGGATGAGGTGTCGATAAGTCATTTCCTTTCGAGCGAGTAAAATCAAGAAATTCTTGTGTCATTTGCGCACAAACGGTATGTAAACCATAATCATCGGGACATGTCGCACAATAACCTCAAAATAAGCAAAGATATCTTTTTTCGCTTACGGAATCATCGGAGAATAAATACCATTACGAAAATAACCGGTTAACGGCGAATTCGAACACATCTCAAGAGGCGTACCGGTTAAACTTTGGAATGATTGATTTCCATTGAGTGCAAAACCACCGTTAATCGTCATTTCTTTTCTTTTTTTGCAATGAACGAAAGATCTAGATTCGAATAGATTACATTTTCTTTAGTGCAGAAGAAACGAAAAATAAATACAAAACGAGAGAATTACATATTGACATGAATGTTATTTTTTTTCTCTTTCAGATTTGAACATATAGGAAAACAAACAGAAAATTTGTATTAGTGTGTCCCTTTTTGGTCTATAAGTGCATTTTATTTCCTTCAATACTGAGTTTGACTATAGGCATGGGCTTGGAGAGTCGTTTTCGATCTTGTTGACGTCGTTTGAGTTCATCTAAACGGGAGATGGTCTTCTTTTTGCCGTCACCCTAGACAAACGGAAGATGAATACAAACGAATAGAGCGAACACAAGATCAATGCCTTTTTGTCGGAATATTCGACTGTTGAAACGGGACGAATAACATAATCTTTATTGGATGGTCGCGGTACACGAGCACGTGGACAATCTTCTTCGTTTAAGTCATCGTCATTGCCTTGGCGTCTAAAGAAAATTCGTTAAAAGTAAGGACTAGTCTAGCATTTGCATTTCGACAGCGTACTTGCTACTCGCGAAAGGCAAGTCCATATCTGCACTACGATTTTTCGGCTTTCCCGTTTGAGAGGTTTGCCGTTTGAGTGACGCTTGATCAGCATCACGTTGTTGTCGTTCTTCACGAGTCAGATGTTTGTAATCTGTATCCAAATTGAATATTGGCCGTGCCCAATCATCTAGAACCAATCAGGAGCGTTTTCTACTGATTTCGACAAGAAGAAAATGGATATTTACGAATGATTTTAATCAATTTGATTTTATTCTCTTTCGTTTCTCGTGGATGTTTGTATAGGTACATTAAGGCTTTACCGATGCCACTATCGCGCAATGCATCAACATTAATTCCTCCAAACTATAGTTGAGAACGAAGAAAATCGTGAAGTGTATGCTAATTTATCAATGAAAAGTTACTTGTTGTAGAATTCTAATAAGAGATTCACGTATTTTCATATTGGGTAAACTTTTATCCGGTAACGGACTGAGCCAATCCTAGGTATTCAATGAAAGCCTGTTTTCTGCGTATATCTCAACTCGTCTGTTACCTTGAACACTGTCAAAACTCCATTATCGAGAAAGATTTCAGTCAAATCCGCTCGACATAGATGTTGCTCAATAATTGGCAATAGTAGAAGTTTCGCTGTTGCTGGTTGTCGATTCTTATTGAAAATTCGATCTTCTTCGGTTGCAATTTTCATTTGTTCAATCAGTTTCGAAACAAGCTTATCGGCATCAGGGCCTGCGAGATCAATAACATCACCGCCCCTTCCATCGCGACGGCGATTACCACGACGTCTCTCAGCTTTCTTCTCCAAGTATAAATCAATGTCGTAGATGATATTACTAAATAAAGAACTATATGTAATCTTTTCTGAAGTTTTATCGATCGATCAGACGCACCTTTTCCCTTTCGCTTGGTTGGCCTTGGACGATGATTCATCACCACCATCCTCATCTTCTTCTTCACCGTCATAAGTTTGTTGTTGATCCATGTCTTCTTCGTCCACATTCTGTTCATCCCCTTTATCATCTTGAAGATCTTGTAGCTCAGCAGCAACCTCTTCTCGATCACCATCACCTTCCTATATAAAATGTCCCATTCAGAGAAAGAAGAAGTTATGATGCAATATATACATACCTCATTTTCATTGCCATCTTTGCCAAAGATATCATCCATCACATCGTCAACATCAGATCTAAATTTCAAATGACATACGGTCAATTTTGCGCTGAACTATGTCGTAAACGCATACGTTGCTTCATCGTTGGTTGTTTCTTTTTCTTTTTCTTCGACTTCTTCGTTTTCCTCTGCGTCGTCGGATGTTTTTCGAAAACGTTTCGATTTCTTTTCATGATGATGATGATGATGATGATGGCGATGTTCATCACTTCGCCGTTTATGTTTCTTAGGTGATTCTTCGTTGTCCGTGCTGAAAAAAAAGATTAATAGAATAGATATGAAGGTCTTGACAAATAAAAACAATTTACATGAATTGCTTGAGAAAACTACGATTTTTCTCTTTGCTAACAACATCAGTCGATTGCGTTTCTGGTTCGTCTTCGTTATCAGAATCGTTCATAATTTGCACACGACGACGTGATTGTGACTGGCTCTTCTTCGCACCTTCGTCGTCGTCATCCTGCTCTTCTTCGTCTTCCTCTTGTTCCTCATTGTCATTCACTGGTGAACTTGGTCCTGCTTCATCATCATTTTCTTCTTGCTGTTCTTCGTGCTCGGATGTTTCTTCCTGTTCTACATTTTCGTCTTCATCCATACCAGTCGGATATGAACGTTCTTGCGTTTGAGTAAAGACTAGATAGAAAAACAAATCAGCTAGATAATACAACTGAAAAATACAACATACTAGGTTCATCTGTTTCATTTTCTTCAGGTTCAGGCGATTGTGGTCCTTCGGGTTCTTCGCCTTGCTGCTGTTCATCTTCTTCATCATTGGCATGTTGCTCATCATCTTCGTCAACTGTCTCTGCAAAATTACCATACCCTTGACTAGCTGCCTGAGTAAATGGATTCGGTGCTTGACTCATCTAAAAAGATTTCAATCGAAATAGAAACACAACGTTCCAATATGAATGATCAGCAAGTGATTGTGGAAATTTCCTTGCGAATTTCGATTGGATTGTTCTGTTTTGTACGATATCCAATCAAATTACAAGTAAAGATGCTATTGTCGAGACTGACCTGTATCGATTCCAAGAGATTCAACTTGTTTGAAAATTTGTTAATACGACTATCTAGAATAACACAAAAGAAAACTACTAGAATTTTCATGTACTTATTCGAATAAGAGAATGTTTTGCTGAAGTTTGGCTTTTTTTTTAATATAATTAAAGAGGAGAAAAACTAGAGAAGTTTAACATCGATAAAAAGGAACAGAATGATAGATGGCCAAATCAAAAGAGAAAGAGAGAAAACCCAAAACTACATATACACAAAGAGAGAAATAAACGTTGATCCAAACGAAAAAACTACATCGAACAGAATCTTTGTCTTTTTAATTTTGATTAAACAACCGTCGGTCATCGTATACGTTAAGAATATGAATAGATTATGTTTGCTCTCGGAGTTTTATCAAAGCGTGCAGACAAATCAGATGAATAAATCGAAGAGAAAGGGGAAAAGTTAGAAGATATGTGTATGTATAAACATGGAATTTCTTTTTCTGTACAAACAAGAAAATGTTCACGAAAGTAAAAATGCATATTGACCATCTCGTATTGCAGTTGTCAATTTTGCTTTCATGATTTCTTTTGATGAGTAATCTGGCAATTTGAGATAGTTGACACAGGTCATGACACTTGGCAAGGACGAATCAGCATTGGTATTATCACTATTATTTTCTGCTGTTTTTCGTACAATCGTCAACGGTGGATGTAACATTCGAAATCCTTGAAAATGATCCTTAGAAAAGCGCATTTCAGTACTTCATTTGTGCTTACCTCCGACTGGTAAACGTGGACTTCCAGTCACAAATTGTAGGAATGCTCGTTGTTCATCAATGTCGAAATTCACCATTATATCGAATAGCCATTTCACTGCTCGACTATTCAAGTTATATCCGTGATCACAACGTGTCGATTCGAGCAAGACTTTCAGATCCCAGAGTTCGGTTGATCCACTGCCACAGAATACTTGATGAAGCTAAACAAAATCTCGCTAATAGTATCAACAATTTTCTCTCCGATTTGACGTACTTCATCAGGATAAAAGCATTTCAAATGATGAATGGGAAAGATTGAATTGAAACCATCACGGAACGACTCAAACTGACGTCGAACGCCTTCGATCAATGTCCAGTGGACAACCAACTATAATCAAGAGATTATTTGTAACAAGAAAATATTTCATCAATTACTTTTCAACTTACATTCACATATTGATCGAGATTGTAGATAGTTACTAGACAATCCTTTCCATTTTTCTTCAATTCGATATTCGGATGGCCAGGCAAAGTAAACACCAACGACAAATCATCGATTTTACATCCGTCGAGATGTAATCGTTCGTCATTTTCATCAAAACTATTTGTACACGGCGAACTTTCTTGTTGACAATCATCTCTGGACTTTAGTCGTTTCTTTATTGCCGATTGTCTATTCGTTGTCGAGTTTTGCGACACGAGTGTATCGCGGGCACGAACAATCGATTGTAGTTTTTTAAATTGTTCGTACAGGTTCGCATCAATGTGTATCAAATCTTCAAGATTTAATGATTCTTCTTGTCCTAATACCCATTTATAGAATACAATGCTAAATGGCATATCAATCTAAACACCCGACGATCATATCGAGAATTGCTCAATAGCAAAGTAAACTATTTACCATTCTCGAATCCATTAATGCTTTAGCCATGAACTTGCCAAGAAATTTAAATTTCTGACGAATCTTTGTCATGGTACTCGCTTTAGCATTTCGACCGAGTGGAGCTGGATAAAGGCCACTTCGATTATCCACATATTCCGGTATAACTGTATCTTTATCTGTACAGAAAATAGAATACAAAGTTTCAGTATACATTCTTCTTAAAATTTACCTTTCATCGAATCGAAGGTTTTATCTGTTCGCCATAATTCCAGTCCATTCTTTTGTAATTCCTTCGATAACAATGAATACGCTTCTAATGTTGGTCCAAGACCAAAACCGACCTAAACACACAAAACGATTCTCAGTAATAGTCAGACAGACTATTTAGGTCATGTTACTTCATCTTCATATTGAACTTCTAAGAAATGTTTGGAGCTCCAATTATCGAGAATTTTCTCCATTTCAGCTAGAATGTTTCCTCGAGACAACTGTACTTTTTTTCTCTCAATTCTAGGGATAATTGATTGACGATCAGCTTGGTCATTAGTATGTTGTTGGGTTAAAATGTCTGAACTATCTAGAAGTCGTTGCATTGCACGTTCTCGATCAAACGCACATGGATAGAAGAGCATTTGTCGAGTTTCGAACGGAAATAGAAACGAACATGTATAGCCCATTTCTGTAATCCACGATGGAATTTGCCCCATCATGATCACAACAGGATCTTGTAATTGACGATTAACTTTCGAAGTCAATTTGGCTGAGAAGAATTCATTTTTAGATGTTAAAGTTAACGTCGAATTTGGATGGTTTAAAATTGTGTTCGTGTCGTAGAAAAGATCGTACCAGTATAGATTCAAACCATTTAGTATTCGGAGGAGAAATATTGCATTTAGTGATAGATCATTGATTGTTAACATAGATGAAATGGATTCGTTGAGAGCGGAAGTGAGAAGAGATTTGGGCTTCGAACATTGACCGTTTGTCCATAATTCGTCGATACCAGGAAGTGTCGAAGTACGTTTCGGAGTTTTGATTGATTTTTTAGAAGAGCTTTGTAGATGAGCGGATCGTCGCAAACGGGTAGATGATGCCGCTGCACTTGCTCCACCAATAGCAGTACTCACAGCAGGTACAGTCGATGAAGTATTACTAACTTGACGATAGTTTATTGTATGTACACGTGTCCACAATGCTGACGATGAAAATATTGATTCATCTGCATCAGTTTCTGATTCGTTATCACTAAAATATGATGCAATAATACTTCCATCGATTCAATAACAAAACCAAGACTTACCCTGTTCGTTGGGATGAAACGCTATACAGTCGAACAGCCTGATAGATAGTCATATTGTGTGGAATAACATGATCATTAATTAAAAACTCTAATCTCATCATCGATGACCGTGCTAAGACATTGATCACATCTTCACTATCGGACTCATTCGATACTTCGCTTTCTTCATCGTCCATTGCGTTTGTTGGATCATCCTATAACAAAAGAATAAGCGTATGTGTAGCACAAACATTTTTTCCCATTGATTATCATTATCGAACGATAAAGAATAGTGATCAATGATGCTTGAAATATTTTTTTCGGAGAAAATCTTCGTTCTCAAACTGGCAAATGGAATTTCAGTTTAGAAAGTCAATTCCTTTCTCCGGTGATTAGATTCGAACAGATCATGAAAACTCATTTAAACAATTGAATTAAATCTTCCTATTACTAACCATCGTATTACTTGCAATACCACGTAAAAGTAAGTATTTTTCGATTGCTGAAACAAGTGCAAGTGGATCTATTTTCACCGGACCACTATTCCATTGTTTCAATGTTTTACATTGCGGATGACGAATAAGATTACATTTCAATTGATGAGTTGTAAACAAACGAAGTGCAGAACTATGAGCAGGCCGACCAGCAATGTCATTTACTACACAGAAATCAATTGGATTAAACAACAGAATACGTCAATATTTACCTCGAATTGGAAACTGTTCAAGTTGATTAATACATCCATGAAGTTTTGTAATCAAATGGCTCAAGACATTGTGTTCATTTCGATGATGATTCTTGCTGTGATTGAGTTGACTATGTTGAAGTTCGATAAGGTATTGCTTTAAAGCGTTGTCATCATTTTCGATGGGTATATTAACAAAAATATGTAGAAGTTGCTTCAATCTTTCTGGTCGGTTGTTTGGTATGGAGATATCATCTGTTAAATATTGAAATAACTTTGTAATTAAACCACTATGAACCATTTCAAACGGTGAAACGTCGCCCTTTGCAATGATGTTTGCAATGTCACGAAGTGCTTTACCATTTTCCATCGGATCTTTGCCAACATGCAGGACATTGACAGCAGATGCTAGACGTTCGATAATTTGTAGAGCAAGATTAGATGTCGATGAGTTGTTGGAGAAATAGGTTGAACGAAATGCTTTGGCTTGGTTTTGAATCCATTCTTTCAATTTCGCTTTTTCTTGAGAGGATAAAACGATCTGATGTTGCTGGGGAGGTGTCACTTGATTGATCAGCGACGCAGCAACAGGTGTGGTGGGTGTATAAACATACGACGGTGGTACGTAAACGGGTGGCCGAGGATAATAAGTTGATGGATCAAATGATGATGTTGGTCGAAAGAGAACTGGTGGAGGAAGAACGCCACGAGCTGGCCGACCCCGTCCAAGATTAATATCGAGTGATCCAGTAGAAAACGAAGCACCGGTCTCTCGTCCAACCAGCGGTCGTGATGAAAACTCTTCGAACATTGAACGAGTAGATGTTTTAGGAAGACGAGTGCGCTGTGAACGTGTCTCAACTCTTGCTGTCACTGGATACGATTCTGAAGTCGTATAGTATCGACGTGCTGCTGCTGCTGTTGCTGTTGTTGTTGCTGTTGCTATTGCTGCCGTTGTTGTTGGTTTCGGTATTTGTTCATCAACAGCTTCAATATGTGGCGCGGGGTGTTCATTTAAATGAGCAAGATCCAGTTGACTACGGCTTCCAGTTGTGTGACTACTGCGCGCTAAAGTCACATTTGATGATGATGATGATGAGGATACGACACCGAAACCAATAAGGATTTCAATCTGATGGACAACACCTTCACGATAGAAGTATGCGGAAAAGATTTGTGGTAATTTTTTCATGAGAATTTCTGCCATCTGCAGCGCACTGACAACAATTCGATAATCCGAGGAAGCAAGCATTGATGCAATGTGAGAGGAAATCGATTGTTGCTTCAAGATAACCTCAAGTAAATTCGACGGTGAATAATAGATCATACGGAGTACAGCTTGTAGACAACGATGTTTAACGGCTGGACCAGCAGAAGAATAATATACTTCATAAAGTACTGCAAACAATGATTCTATAAATGTACTATACAATTCAATATTATCTTTCATCATTTCAGTTCGAGCATCGGAGATCGAATTTGTTGTCGTTGTTGCTTGTCGCAGAGTGTTTGTTGATTCGTCGGTGATCCTGCAAAGAGATCGGCTAATGTTGTTGATGGATGAAAAAATATTAATTATGTCATACTCTGTGGGTGGTTCGCTGGTATCAGGCGTTATGATACGTTTGATAAATCGAGCTTGATTGGTTTCTTCATTGACCTGTTGTAGTTGTTGTAAATCAATCAGATAATGACGACCAGATATCATTAATTGAACTTCTTCTTCATGTTGTTGCCAGGCATATTCGATTGTGCGAGAATCTTGCGATGAGTATGGCCGTAGTTGACCTTCAAAGAAAACACAAGAGTAACATGCTAAGCTTTGTTTTGTCTGGTAATCTATGTGTATACCTTGATCGTCTTGCCAGTGCCACAGGATATAACCATTTGAAGTGGGATCAAATGTTCGATTTGGTAGTGTATTACGACGAAATAGTTGATCAACTTGAAATAGCGGTTCATCGTTCGGCAGTCGAGGCATCATTTCACCGATTAATGAAACAATTTCATACAATTCCTGTGGCGTGCGTGAGATAAGTTCAATACTGTTTACGTGTTGTACGGTTGAGATGTGGAGTGTATGTGCTTCATTCGTAGACAATGCTGCAGATTTGTATGTTATTGGTATTGATTTTGACGACGACGTTGATTTGCCGTCTGACGAGCCCGTCAGAAGACATAGGATCGTGTCGGCTATATTCATTTTAAGTAATGTAACAGCAAGTATCGGACAGTATGCTGAGAAGACGTAAAACATGTGAATAATGCTAACGAAGGTGACACTATTCAATAGGGATGGTTGAGCAACAAGCATGGATTGCATTGTTTTGAGTAGTTGTGTAGATGCGATTTCACGTAAAATCGATGGATCTCGATGGAAATTTTCCACTAGACGTGCAAATATAGAACAAACATGTTCAATGGTTTTCTTATCATCCGAACGCAAACGATTGGAAAGGTTCTCCAGTTGACCACGTACGCAATTAAAATCATTACGTGTTAAAATATGGATACAGCAATTGGCAACAATTGCTAGCGCTTTGTTTTGTGATGTAATAGAGAAGAATTCGATATATTCCAAACAAGCACCGATTCCATCCTATGGTGCAGAAAAGAACTCGTTTTTTTTTTCATTCAATTTCAACAAACAACTTACTGCCATAAGAATCTGTTTGCCATTTCGTTTCGAAATCATTTCTAAAGCTGTTAATGCTTGTTCGGCAATGTCGATTGAAGTGATACTTCGTAACTAGAGTGGAAAATATGACTAAACAAAGATAATGATCGATGGAATGAACTTACTTTGCTTAAAAATATGGGTGTCGCGTCGACAATTTGTGCCGCTGATCGTGGTAGGGCTTCCATGAGATATGTTAGTGCTCGACAAGCTGTTAATGCGATCTCGGCGTTTGCTTCATTTTCATCCGCTAGGCAGTCACGTAATGGTGGATAGAGAAGTCGAAATTGAAAACCGGGTAATGTTTCTTCATTGCTCATTACAAGAAGCTAGAGAATAGAACAGTTCACACGGGGAGTGTCACTTCTGTCTAACTTACAGAACATAATTCATTGAGAGTTGAGAGTCGAAGGTCAGTATCGGATGACTAAATGATTGAATAACGATGAAAAAGATCAAGTTTTCGAGCGTTCCTAAGTCTCACCTGTAATCCTTGCATGTACTGTTGTAAACGTCCATTCATAGCATTTAAGGAACTTCCGCCGCCAACGCGACTCATTAAATGTTGAACACGACCTGATAAGGTATGAAACAGTGCGGCACTTGTTGGTCCACCAGCAGCAGCTGCTGCTGCAGCTGCACGAGCAAAAGCGGAATCCGATAGAACATCTCGTGGGGATGGACTCATCGTTCTAGCACTATTATCCGGGTCAGTGTCACTTTCAGTTGACATAGGTAAAGATTGCTTGAGATGTCGATGTGTACTTGCAGATGCAGCGCTGGCAACAAACGAGGAATTATAGGATCCTGATGGCACGACCCCTGAATACGATTGAGCAGATGATGAGGATGGCGGTGGAGAACTGATCTGCTGATAATAAGCTGATGAATTGAACAAATGTAGCGGATGTGTGGATGTTAGTACACTTGGGTTTGAATCGCACGATCGCTCGTCAATACTGCCGGTGTTGTTGACAGGCACCGACGAACGGCTATAGAACAAAAGGAGAAAAAATTTGAGTAGAGAAAAACGCTTTGATTTAACAATTTGTTCCTCATGTCTAACAAAGTAATAAGGTCAATAAGCTTGTCATATGGGTAAAAAGAAGAAATTCATTCGCATATGCATAATAAATAGAAGAGAGAAAGAAGGAAAAAAAAAACTTCGTCCTTAACCAAAAAAGAGGAGGAAAATGTTTGATGTTTTGCGTATACAAGGTTGAATTTATTCATAGAATCCAATGACAAACTATTTTTCTTTTTCACTTCAACCACAGTCATGCTTAATTACATTTATTGATAGATAGTATTTGCCTGTTTATATGTTTTTCTTTATTGTGGTGATAAAGATGACTTGGAAGTTATTCGAAGTCAATGAAGCTGTGTACGACTTCGTTTCTCTTCTTCCTTCCTTTTCAAATAGTGTATTATGGTAATGTCGACTGAAAAAGGCCTTGTTATTCAAAGATTAGCTGTCATCGCTGGTAAGTTGTATAAATATCTACACACTGTCAATCAGTTTGAAGTTTCAGCGCTTACCTGGAAGAAGATTGACCCGTGGTTAAATAGCTAGGAGGTGTTTTATTAGAATATCGACGATGATGAGTGGTTACACGTGATCGTCGATTACTACTTGCAGTCGATGGATCACTTACGACGCTATGGAGTTCTCTTCCACCTACAAATCAAATTCGATTCATCATGATAATCAAAGTCACTATTCGCTTTTACCTGGTCCTCGTCGTACACAAAGATTCCCCGTGTCTGTACCTTCAGTTTGTTGTTCTAGGTCAGTATTAGAATCGCTTGTCTTCCGTAGATTGGATTTCGAACGTGTGCGATTTTGCACAATAGGTGCTGAGTTTCTTTTCGCTTTGGGTTGCACTGATGAGCGATTCGTACGATCGATGTCGACGTTATCACCGCCGCCGCCGCCGCCGCCGCCGTCGTCAGATGACGATGGTCGTTGACGTTTCAATGTTTTAGGAGAATATTTTTCACTTCGCGATGTTGATTTTTTATTTCGCTTCCGCCGTCCTACAGCATTCGAAACATGTCGAATACTGTGGTGCGATGAGGACGAAGATGCTTGTTTTGAGTGCGTTCGTTTCCGACTAGTGGAATGTTCCTCAGATTCCACGCCGATATCTTGCTGATCGTCGTTCGTATTTATATCAAGTTCACTTCGACGTTTATTACTATTACTAATTGATATAGCTTCGAGTGCTTTAAATTTAGCTTGACGTAATGTTGGTTGCGATTCTTCTTCTCCTTCTTCTTCTTCTTCTTCTTCGTTTGCCTCTGCTTCGTCTTCGTCTAGAAACGAAAAAAAAGTTTGTAATGTAAATTATTTTCAGAGCAGAAGACGACTACCGTCAACGTTCGACTTGTGTGCAATCGTTGCGGTTGATTTGCGTTCGGCTCTAAGTGACAAAAGAAGAAGAAAAAATAATAACATATATGTATATTTGTGAGAAAAATGGCTTTTTTTTCCTTCTACATACGTTAATAAGCGTAATGATCGTCTAGTTGAGGAGCTCGAACTGGTGTGTGTATGAGCCATTGGACACAACGTTGAACATTCGATACAAAACGACACTATTGTTATTCTTATTGTTCCGAGACATTGAACATACTAGAGATCGAACAAACATGAAGAATATAAACAAACGATCGTTGAAATCGTATTACGTGAGAAAAACCGAGTGTCAAATCAAGAAAAAATGTGTGTGTGTGTATTCGTGTGAGATATTTGTTGATAATATGTATTTCTAATAGATATGCGACGAAAGAGAACAAAGATTGTCACACAAAAATGTATGAATCAAGTTTACTAATCTAAAAAGAAGAAAAGATGAAATATGTATGATAAATTTTATTACTCAATACATGCTTATTACAAAGAAAGAAAAAGAAAAAAAAACCGAATGAACAACGGAATGACCGATGGATGAAAGACAAGACTCAACTGACTGACTGAATGCATACACAATACACACATATGATATTATTCGCAATTCGATTGGTTGATCCTCACAAATGCATTTGCTTAAGTTAAGTATGCATTTCGAACAGCTGATTTATACGAGCAGAAAATTTTGCATTCTAGTTGCAAATTATTCGAGAGAAACGCATGGCTGTGCTTAGTTAAATCTTTGGAAAGTTAAGTTAGATGGATGCTTAATTATGAAGTAGATGAAAAAATTCTAAACGAAAATAGATGTTTTTCGTTTTGACGAGAATAGACGTATGGAACAAAAGTGTTTTGCATTGAACACAATCGATTGTTGTTATGGACGTCTTCGTTTTTCTCTGAATTAAACGGTTAAAATATGTCGAGCATGCTGATTTGAGACAAAAAGGTTGACGTTCTGTTTCTAGTGAAACTTAATATTTTCAATAATAAAGCTTGTTGACTTTACCCTATGAATTCAATCAATCTGATTGAAAGAATCGTAAGAAAAAATACTACTACTTTCTTTTACTTCTTTGTCGACTGATGTAAACAAGTGTGTTGTCAAACATTTTAATCGTCTTAACCGGTTGATTACGATGGAAGCGCCTTCGATTGAATCGATACCTCAAATCATAAATCAAGATGATGCAGAGGCAATGGTACAGTGTACAAGTATGAATTCGCTACTCGATGATGAGAATATTGAACAAGAGAAGGTATTTGTTCATCAAGAAAGTCAAGTAAATAGAGAAGATTTGAAATCGATGAAGAGGATTGAAACACCGAAACGTCCTAGACCGATTAAATCTGCTACCAGTCAATTCTCTACAAAAACAATCGAGCGGCCATTGAAAACGGATCTTCCACCATCGAAGACTGACGATCATCCTGTTACAAGGAACTCTGTGACAGTAGACACAAGCAAAGCAAGATCCAATCTCGATGTCGTTAGAATGTGCATTCGAGAGCTCCGTTGGAAAGAAGTGAATCTTCTCTATTCAGACAAAAAGTTTTCTTTTAATAGCAATATTCCTTTAGTGCCCGTTTCCTTCCGCGTCGGATTCAGATATCTACTGGCACTCGCAAACCTTTCATGAAGGTAATGCTAACTTTGCATCAAGTTCAGGACGAGTGAATAAATTTCCTGGTATGAGCGATTTGTTGCGTAAAGTTCATCTCACACGTTCGTTGAACAACATGAGATTATTATTTCCGGACGAATACAATTTCTATCCTAAAACATGGTTTCTTCCCGAGCAAAATCAACAATTTAAAGACGACATCCGTTACATTCATAAGCAAGATAAAATGCATCATCGATCACTAACAACGTTCATCGTTAAACCATCAGGCAACACTTTGTATTGTCTCATCTATCTATCTAATATATTCATATCTAGATGGTTCACAAGGCGAAGGTATCTATTTACTCCGAGATCCAGCACATTGCACTGTCACTAGTCGTCCGCATGTGGTCCAAGGTTTGTCCCTTTGAATGTTCGCTCTGCACTCATCAAATATTTTTAGAATACATCGATCGACCATTACTGATGAATGGCTTGAAATTTGATTTGCGAATTTACGCTCTCATTCTAAATCTTTATCCATTAGAAATCTTCCTCTACGACGAAGGGCTCGTTCGTTTTGCGACAGTGCACTACGATGCGCCATCAACAGACAATCTTCATCAAACTTATATGCATTTAACTAACTATTCGTTAAACAAGCGTAGTTCAAACTATAAACATGTTGTAGATAGTCATCAGACAGACGGAAGTAAACGCAAATTAAGCACCGTCTGGAAGCAATTAATTTCTAGCTATGGTAATGTTCGAATCGAAGAAGTCAAATTATCAATTATTGAAATGGTTAATAAAACTATTCTTGCTATTTTACCTAATTTACGAGTAGAATATGAGCTAGAAATACCGTTAACACGGAAGCAAAGTCTTTCCTGTTTTCAAGTATGCAATGATACACTTGATTGATTGACTTTTAATCGATTGTTTATAGATCGTTGGTTTTGACATAATTCTAACGAATGAATTGAAACCGGTTCTACTTGAAGTCAATGCTAATCCATCGCTTCGAATTGATTTTGATAAAGAAAATGAAACGGGGAAGATCACCTATCATGCAAGTCCGATCGATGAAGAGATTAAACGGCCGTTAATATTAGAAACATTAAAATTGGCTTTACCCAAGAAAAGATTGCAAACATTGTGTGTGATGAATTAGATTAGTTTTCTCTGTAACATTATTCTTTTTAGTACTCGCCATGCGCAAATTCAAGTGAAAGATGAATTATTAACTCAACGCTTGGAAAGAGTTGCTCAACGTCGCATCGATGAACGAAATGAACGATTTAAAAGTGCTCGAAATACACGGTTTGATATCAAACGAAATCCGTACTTTTCTCGTCCATTACCAACTCGAAAGTCAAAAGAATGCGAAGATAAAATATCAATTGAATCATCTCATGAGTTGCTACTCTCCACAGATAAGCCAACCATCCGTGAGAAAGCCACTTCTAAAGAGCAACGCGGTAGATCAGCAACCGTTGCAAGACGTTCAATGATGAAATCTGCAGCAAGTCGTCCAAGATCACCATCTCGATTCAATTCAGCGAAAAGATTACAACTCATCTATCCATCATCAGACAAAACGAAGTATCAACATTTAGTTCTAATCGATAAAATTGCTTATATCTACATTCACTTCGTGGTTATTCATGGAGATAAAACAATGAGTAATGCGCAATTTCGAACATTTGCAAAGTATGCTAGTAAAAGTTTCACATTCAAAAAACAATCTCATTCTTTGAATAGTACATGTGGGATTATCGATGAAATAATCACAGCATCGTCAATTGACATTCTCTACTATCAGATAGTAAGAAAATGGCAGCAATTCGTGTCACGAGTTCCTGTGACAGGTAAAATTTTCTTTGTCTGTTGACTTCATTTATTCCAAAAGTGTGCTCTTTTCTAGGTTTACCATTCTCCGCTTTTGTAGAAGTTATGTTTCTTTTATCTCAACGTAAATATACCAGTGCCTCATCGTTACTCGACAGTGTCTATGAACTAGTTAACATATGCATTCGTAATTTAAAATCATCTTTTCAAACGTCTGCTTCTCAACAGCAGCAGCAGCATTCTATTCGAAACAATCGTACAGTACCGAAACAAACGACGAAAAGTATTTTCCCACTATTTTTCGATGTTTTATAGCTTTTTTTGTAATCAACATTTATTTGAATATTCTTGAGCGGTAAAACCGAAGAAGTTCGATGGAATTCTTCAGATTGTTTTCTTTTTCGTCATGAGTAGGCCGTTGCTTATAAACATCAGGAAACCATTGTTCACAGATAACAGACACGACATCAATGTCAATCGAACGATAATGACAAAACTCATTGAATTCCGGAGCGAGAATCTTCAGTTGTGCACGGATCGGACCCAAATGCTTTCCAGCAACAGCAACCTTTCTTTCCGAGTAGATTCGATTTTGATGGAAAAACTTCACTAAATCATCACTTGTCTTTGCACCGTTGATTTCGTCAATGACATCCAGATTTTCATCAGTTAGAATACCATGCACTGAACTATCAGCAATATCAATCCATACTAGATATTGGGAAATATCTGGCTTTGATGATGTGATACGTTTGTTTTCTGTGGATTGTTTTTCTTCGAATGCGAATGTTTGATAATATCGAAATTCGTCAATACTATTTCTTATGTCATCGAGCGCACGATGAAGATTTCCACCTTTGACTGGTGCTTGAGAATAAATCCGATAATTGAACCGACGAATTAGTTCTTTTAATGTGCTACAATCAAGAATGGATCGATCAAGCATTGCATTTAAACGTGGCATGTCTTTCTCTAAGAAATATCGATCAACATAAACAGAATTACCAGCGAGAATCAACCGTTTGTTGTTTGCTGTTGACGATGAAATTGTTTTCTCAATAAAATTGATTATCTTTGTTTCAGCATCGCTCATAGACAATCTACTGTTCAAGACTTGTTCAACCAATCCTGACTTTGTATGATGTTCCATACACCAAGGACCCATGGCATCCATGAGTGCTTTCGGATGATGAATTACTAGATCAGGACCTTGAGAAAGCAGAGCGTAGTCAAATTTTTAAACGTTACGAAATTAAAGTAGGTGTACCTTCATAAATCGTTGTTAAATTAAAATCTGTAAGAATACAAGCAATTTCGAGAATGAAATTCTTGTTCAAATCCAATCCGTCCATCTCCAAATCGATCCACACTAATGTATATTGATCTGTTGACATTTTTGTTCGATGATATCTATATCTTTTATGTTCGCTGTAAATTAAACTCAAACCAAAATCACGACATAAGTCATCTACACCGACCTCTTTGAAGAAAGATTTCATTCGCATACGAATTGCCTTTGTTATGATACGAGGTATCATGACATCTATTTTCCGACTATTTCTTTCTCATTTCTTTTGTTCGTACCAGGCTTTTCCTTCGTCGTTTAAAAACATCTGTGCGCAAGTAATTCGCTGTGATGGTGAATAATTTTGCTCATCGAAGAATTTGTTCAGTGCGTCAAATAACTCGTCCGTTCCAAGTCGATCACCTTCCATTAACATTCGTACATGACTGCGTATTGATTCGTCAGTCGTAAGTGGTCGTGGCACTTGTCGAGGAATAACTGGTTGCTCTGGCGCTTCCATTGTTTTCGAATCGGTGGTTGGGTTTGAGGATATTTCGTTGTTAATCATGGTTGCAATGTAAATTGGTTTGTTGAATGCCGAATACAGAATCAACTTCTAGTGAAGAAGGATTCCTTCTTTGTTAAGCGCTCATCCAGAAATTAAAAGAAGAAAAATTGCTTTTCTTCTTCTTCAGACCGTTGTCACCACTGTTATGCTCGATGTTCGAGAGTGAAAAGAAAGAGACGTGTGTTCGATGTTACTATCGAAACATAACTGACTGTTTTTATTGAATGTTACAACATATATAGAACCGGCAACAAAAGAAATGAGAAAGAAATAGTCGGAAAATAGATGTCATGATACCTCGTATCATAACAGCCTTCGAATCAAAACATCTGATAAATATTCGTCATCCAACAGTAAAGAGAGCAAGAGTGAACGATCTGTCATATGCAGTAGTATTCGTAATATCAGTTCGATGATGAACATACTTTTGCTTTATCGGAAAAAAAATCTTCCAAACAACGCAACAGGTCATATACACATCATTTCACTCTCTAATCTCCTGTGAGAGCGTACATCATCAATAAAACTTCACTCATCATTCAGTCATATAATTGTCAAACGGTCGATTTTCATTACGATTAATAAATGTGACTACTTGATTTCTATGCATCTGTGTTATCTCTCCCCGGTGAGATCGGTCATTGTTCTGAATACAAACAATAAATCACTCAGCGTAATTATGTAACCCTTTAAAGTAGAACAAAGAGAAAAAGAGCTTAATAAAACATTGTTCTGGACTTTGTCGATTGTGAAATTTCACGTTTTTTTTTCTGTATTGATTTTAAAATATAATAAAAGCATAGGAAAAAATTACATATGAATCTATTGAAACTCGAGTATGTCATATTATTCTTTCAATCGGTATTATACGTTCACCTTTGTTATTCTTTATCACAACACGTTCAGAAGTAACAGGAATTGTATAACTTGTTGGAATTCGTTTAGCTCCAGTGTTTAACATCGGTCGGGAACATGCCTCAAGAATGAAAAGAACGCCAGTGAGAATAGCAAAGATCTGAAAGAACGAAAACTCGGTTTTATTCGCACGAACGTTTTAAGAATATCTTTATTTACCGAAGCAGCAATCGCTGCACCCGGTCGTGGATGTGTCCATTCACTGTAAATGTATTGATATTGATTGTCTAAATATCCTCGTCGTAGAATACCAGGTGTACGTCGAAGTTTATCTTCCCAAAACGCTGCACATATGCCAATCGAAATCATCATCAGTCCCATGAGAATATTCAAACCTAAACACTAGAAAAAAAAGAAGAACCCTGTTGATTTGCTTCGCCGTATGAAATCGAAATTCTCACTAGTTGATTGACGTAGATGTATTGTCTACCGGTGAAACGTACACCGTATATATGTACAAGAAGTATAACAATCGTTACGGTCAAACAAAATATAGTAAATGTTTGATAAACACCTCGAACAATCAATGTACTAAAATCAGGATAAATCCATTGGAGATTATCGACTAATTCACAGTATAAACGTGAGGTAAACCCGACGCTAATCACCGCTCCGATTAGACAAATCTATAAAAGATTCAAGTGCAAGCTGAAGAGAAGGCAATTTTACTTACAATTTCCGCAATATTTAACTGACCAGTTGGCGTAGCTAAGTAGCCATAATCGAATGTGTCAGCCATGTATAATGTTTGAATATGATTGATCTTCAAGTATTATATAAAAAGATTCACTTGCCTTTCAATTGTGTGACAATGAAAGAGATAGAAAGAGAAAGGCCGAATGAACGCAGAGATGCGTGTATATATATGTATGCATATGAGTAGAGAAAAATAATAATCACGATTAGCAATAGGTACGCTTCGTTATGTTCTCTCTTTTTTTGTATGAGCATAAACGCCCGATCGATATTTCTCTCATTCTCTTTACACGCAATTGTATGATTCTTATTCTATTCGACCATGATGATTGGTCAAGGATATTCTATTACATCGTTTTTTATTGCGCTCCAGGGCTCGCTTTAGTAGGTCCGTTTATAATAATAATAATAGTAGTGCACAGACTACCAGCATATGACACGGATTTGTCTATATGCGTATTCTTTCACATGTCGAAAGCGACGTGATTCTCGGTACGTGCTGCATGTCAGATATGTTCATTGTCGCTGAATGTTTACATTAAACTATGCATGGCATCGAAAAAATACCAAAACATCTAAAGATAGTTGAAAGGCATGACGTGAAAATGTGTTCGAAGCTTATTTTGATTTTATTATATGAAATAATTTGATGAAGAAGGACATCGATTAATTTAACAAACAAAAAAGAGATATTGATACAGACAGACGAATGAGCACAGCAAGGATTTACTTTCGTTTAAAATTATTCAAAGAACAATGAAAATATAATTAATGAATATTGTTACAGAATTGATAAAGTGTCGCCTATTCTTCCCACAAACTTATTACTAAAGTCAAACGAAGAATTTTGCATCTGTTAGACAAATGTATTGACGAAAGATTGGGTTTCATCGATAAGCAGGGCGACGGCGCCTGGGTGCTCGATATATATCCGGTAACGCGAAAGAAAACTCAGCCAATTACTTACCTCGCCTCTCAAATTCCATTTTTCCAATAAACAAATAACAAATCTCATCTCAATGAGACAAGATCTGTCAAAGCATTATTGGATATTCCCTATTGCTTCCAAGTCTATTTTTTACGCATTACATCTCTTCCTCTCTCTCTCAATTGTTCAATGAAGACTCTTATAAATGCATCAATATATATCGTGTTCATTGAACGATGTTGGTACATATGATATAACCAAAAGAAAGGAACGTAGAGTCTGATGAATTCGTTGTCTCAACCACACTTTCATTAAGATCTTTATAGGCAAAACATCAGCCTTGTACATGCAATTATATCGTAAATGTCATTGTATTTAGATGTTTCTTACTCTTTTTTTCTCTTTCGTCTTCTTATCGGCAAGTGAATAAAACAGGTGTTTGACTATCATCCATCGACACAATGATGAAATTGATCTTCATCTATATACAAAAAAAATTTTTCGTCTATGTATATGTGCATATGTAACAAACAGTTGAGAGTACTGGATTGCCGTCATTTTCTTTTTCTTCTTCGTTTTTCGATTGTGGGATACAAAAAAAAAGAAGTAGGAGTATATACATGCAACGATGCAAAAGACCGTAAAGCTGAAATTGTATCGCATAAATATCCATGCACAACTAGAAAGGAACGACTGTGTTTTTTCACGCAAATACATTTTGAAATATATGCATCCATCTCAGCTGACCTTCCATTATTCGTTTATTTCTTTTCGACCTATTCACATAGTCGATTTTATACTTTTTTTTTCTTTTAGATTTAATCCCTCTATAATTATCAATGATTGATAAAAAGAGTTATCATTATCATCATCATCATCGTCTAGTCGTGCTCAATCGATAATCACAAAGTAAGCTACACATGAGTTTCGTTTTTTTTTCTCCTGTTCTATTCTCTGTGTGAAAGTAAAATATTCAAAATTCGATCATGCGAAGATTTTCTTGATGTGATGTTTTTCACTATGTAATATTCGTCAGTTTGATTAATGCCATATATTAACATGCGAGAGCGAAATGTTTTTGACAGAGTAAAACGAAAAACTAATCTCTCTGTTAGACGACGAAAATGAATAAACTTGTTAAACATTAAATCGAAAGAGATAAAGGTCGTGATAAAAAACTCTCATTCGCTTTGATGACGAAGGTCATCGTCATTTGATATTCAATCTCCCATTCATAGACAGTTGTTCATTAACAATGTGAAATGTCACCAATACACCTTTGTTCCTCTTAATTCAATCATTACAAACGCTTAATTAGATAAACAGGTACAAGTTATAGGAAATAACAACGGCAAGTCTCTTCCTGGTCGTTGTTTTCTTCATTGAACTGGCTTATTTTTTTTGCTGAATTTTAGAATATCTGGTGAAAATGAATAAACAAATTAAACATTCCAAACAGGAAAATATCGATGATGAGCAAATTGAAAAAACTTTGAACTTTTTTGACTCAATCCTTGATCCATATCTGAAAGATGAAGAAGCAACTGAGAAAAGACTCGATCAACAGCTAGTACCTCTGACTAACTCGGCCGCTCAGCAATCCAAATTGAATTCGAATGTAGGTTGACAGTTTTTGAAAAAGGTCAATTGATAATATATACTCGATACGCTTCATCAACCTCTATTTGATGACTTTTTTTCGTTTAGGGTAAGCCTGCCAACAAAGCACATCGCATCTCAGCTCCTTCATCCTCACCTCAACGACCAACGTACTTTCATGTTCGAAATAATCATCCTCGTCAGGAACAATATCCGTTAGTTATTCCTGCGCCTCACGTTCGTCGCTATACATCGGAAAATAATCTCAATCAATTAAGTCCGCCCTTAAAACCGAAAAAACTTGCACAAAAAACATTGCTACCAGAACCTATTCGCATAACGGCAGCATCTACAGATGACCTATCGACTATTCCAAGCTGGAAGAATTTCTCTCGGCATACCCGTCTCTCTGCGTTGACTGATAAAACTAATGCAACAAGCGCTAGTTTGATTGATTTAACATCAATCGATAAAGTTTCAGCGCCAAGACCACGTTATCGCTTTATTCCACCAACAGCAACTGATTTGGTATTGAGGGAAGAACCTGAAATCGAAAAACATCAACCGTCTCGATCAAAAACAAAACCAGATCCGTTTTTTCTCAAGCCCACTCCGTCCAATCCGCCTAAACATGCACATAAAATTATTAAACCAGCCGTAATCATACCTTCAAAGCCAAAATCGGCACCTGTTACTCGATTAACAGAAACGAATATTCAGCATCAGACGAATCATAGTGCATTTAAACCGCTTCGATCCAATAAAAATGGATCGCCGGCTAAAGTTCATCCAACGTCCGCTAACCATGCCAAACGGTCTGAAGCAAATAAAAAATCGAACGTAAATGTTGGAATAACGAACTCCAGTAATCATCTATCAAATAGCGAACTTCTATACCAACATCGACACAATATACCACAATTCCATCAATCGATGCTAAATCTATCCTCGACAGGTGTGCCAGACACGAGAAGTTCAAATCTGTATGGATCACGTGTATTGTATCAACCACCATCGGCAAATTTTTACCGATCGCCACAACACGTACCAAAAGCAAGTAAATCATCCAATCGACAATACCAATATCCAACATCCCTTCCTCCTCCTCCTCCTCCTGCAGCTCACTTCAACGATGCATCTAATCGACGGACGCAGCCTACTAAAAACAATAGTCATATCAATGAATTCGTCCATCCATCTCATTATTCGCCCCATGTGAATGGATACGGAGGAGGAGGAGGAGGAAACAGATCTCAACAGCAGGTTTATCCATACAATCTCTATCCGACACCAAATTCCGGTAAGTTTGTCATGAGCATCACGTTCAAATCAGTAGTATCTGACATCACCACTATTTCGCAATATTTAACAGGTCTTTCATCACCAAGAAATCCTTACGATTATCTTCGCCAACGACAACAACAACAACAACAGCAGCAGCAACCGTACTTGAATCCAGTCAAAGTACAGAAACATCACACCCCGCGACATCCAGCCTCTGTGCAATCAGCTTTCCTAGCTTCGTTTTCATCATCAGAAAATGGATTCTATCCAGTTTCATCCTCAAATATCTACCATTTCAATCAAACAACTTCTTCCGAAGATGAACAATCAACGTATGATCCTCGCCGTCGAAATTTTCATTATACAACATATCTTTGAAATCTATTGTATATTTTTATACTTCGATCTTGTTCGCTTTTTAATCATAAAGATAATGTCTCTGTTTGACAATCCTGTTCTCTAATAGCTTATAATCCATTTCTTCCATCATTTTCGACGTGCAATCGAATTCAACTCCATACAAGTCATACTACTTTCGGTGAATGAATTCCTTGATTGGCACTCATCGAATGTGATTTTTCCGCATAGAAGTTCATCTAATCGCTTTTGTATATGTATTCAAAAATGCTGATAAACGTGAAGATGTTGAAATAACTATAGCAAAAGTGATTAGAGAACATTGTTGAATTCCACATTAACCAAGACGCATACAAATTCATCACAGATCGCATCAACACTTTATTAGTGGAAAGAGTTATTGATAGTCATTATATCTTTCACTCTGAAAACAAGCAGTACACGGGTGTCTGAACATGTAATTAAAATGCATCTTTTCCTTCGCTGACATATGATCAGTTATATTTTTAATATATATAATTATGATACGAATATCAATCAAACAAGATATTGAATGAGATGATCGAACGAACAAAGCTACTCATTTACTTTCCGCTGAACGCTAAAGATCCATGTGGTTTTAATCCATATTTGCACTGATTATTTATTTCATTCTTTCTGGAATAATAGTACGACACCGTGTGTGGTTTAATCCTATTTGATCGAAGTCACTTTCAGCAACAGCTGCACGGCTCCCTGCTTTGTGCTTATTAAAAGATGAAAACTTGTATTTTATTTTTATGTTAGCAGGTGGTATGAAAATCGTCATTGTAAAAGCATTTTAAAGCGATATATTTGAATGTGACTGATATATGAATATACAGCCGCCAATTTCAAGATGCCAACGAAAAGCGATCATTTTGTCAAAAGATTATCCGATAGAGAAAGCATGGCAAGCTATGCGAACAACAACAAAAAACTATTTTCAATCAGTCCATTACGTCCACGGTTCTATTTTTTTCTGCTGTTGGCGGCAAAACCTTGCAAATAGTTGTCGAGCAATCGAACTGAACTCTTGTTTATATCCATCTGCTGTTAGAATGAACACAATGAATGTCGTCATCGATGGTACAAACGAAAAAAGATAACTTATAAGATAAAGAGATGGATCCTGTGATGATTTCATACATCCACTTATAAACGAAATAATCAAACGTGGCACAGAAAAGGATGGTACTGCCAATGCTATGATTAAATTATGTTTATGATGATGAAATTGTTCTTTTAAATTTTGTCGAAATGTTGCATTTGGTTGCATTGTTGAATTCGAACGTGCCAATAATAGAATAATAATCAAGATTGAAAAGAAACTCATTGAAAGTGGAACGAGAAAATTCACAAGTGACATAGCTGTATTATAAGTATCGACTATCGGAGGATAGAGAGCGATACACCATGTTCGTTTTTCATCAATGTCGAAATCATCAACCAATTGGCGATAAAAGAGTTCATGAGTATTTGTCAAAGTTGAGAAAATATAAATTGCAAAAATAATCTGTTTTGCTAATCTTTTACTTCGAATTTGATTGAAATTATTTCCTTGAAATGTTATAAAAATTTGTTCAACAGCAATACATCCACCGAACCAATCATTCATTGTAATAAGAATATTCAGAAACATGTCTAATAATTTACAACTGACTCTCAAGTACAATCGAATGGTTATGATTGAACTTTGTGACAAAATTAAATGCCAAACTTTCACAACTAACATCATGAGGAGACAAATCGAGTTCACCGATGAAATCGACAAATACAAACCACATCCGATATTTTTTATATCTTTTATCCGAAATGCTATTATGGATAAAAACCCATTAGTTATCGTCAGAAACAGCATAATTGACGTAATTAAAATAGTCATTATAACAATGCTTGATTGCTGATGAATCGAACGGTTTGGTATAATATGGTAAGCAAGAATATGATCGAGCGACGAGAGAGATCCTCGCGTTGAAAATTGACATCTGGCACCATAGTGGCATGCGTCGCATATACAGATGGATTGTGTTGGACATGATGGATTATCTTGTATGCATAGACCATTGTTTTCACATACACTTCGTCCTTGACAGTCGTATGAAATTGATGATAGATTGAATTTGAAGCAATTTGAGAAGCCATACGAATCACAAATACACATTTGTCTTTCGTCATGGAAGCATTTTAAATGAACATTTTCTTGGCATAATAATGGATAGTATTTCATACGACGAAGATGTGTGTAGCCAAGAAATGTTTCATTCATCAAGCGATCAATATGAAAACATTGATGATTTACTGAGATATTCGTTTGAATATGTTCCGATGCGAGAAATTTTTCTCGTAGGACGGCTAAGTAAAATGATCGGTCAACTGATTCCATAAAAACCACATGAAATGGGTATGCTATGTAAATTGTGAAAAGATTTTGTTCCACATGAACTTTCTTCAAGCGTACTATGTGCTGGTATTGACTATTTTCAGTTGCTTTTATAAAATGTACGAATACAAATGGAGTTAAGTGAATTTTGTTATGATCAAATTTAATATCAATTCGATTTCGTTTATATTGACATGTTTTTCCGTAGAAACCATCAGGACACAGGCAATAATATTTCTTCGCGCCTATCCGATCATCGACAGGTACACAGTGCCCATTGTTTTTACAAGGATTTCTCGATCTTTCGCAAATTGAACGATTTATGTAACATTTTGAACCAAATTTCTTCAACGGGCAGACACAAATCGATGATGAATGACATAGTGAATCTGGTGAGCAAGTACAATTATGTTGAATATGACACTGTGAACCGGAATAACCTTCCTGGCATCGACAGAAATAAGATTTGTTAACATTTGCATACTCTACACATTGGCCGTGTTGACCGCAAAACAAAGGACAAGTTTCAGATGCAGTTGTAGGTGTCAATGGGACGACTAATTGAGTGGCAATCCGGTTGACTGGTAAAAATTGAAATGGTACTGGTAGAAGCCAACCTCCGAAGTATGTAAGAGTTTTTTTATCATAAATATCAATATGAATTGAATAGTTTCGAGAGAGATTTTTTGGCCGAGTTGGATAAAGTAAATAAACATTATATTTCGTTCCACAATTTTCTTTAGGAATATAAATAATCTGCTCATAAGATTCCACCGTTTGTGTTTGTTGATCGATAAGCTCAATTATGACTTGGAATATTTGTATTATGTGAAAATTATGAAATCGACAAATGAATTGGATTGTTAAACTAACACGTTGATTTTGCCATTGACATCGTGATCCGAAATAACTCGGTGGACATAAGCATGATTTCGTTTGATTGTTCTGATAGAAAATAAGGATGCCTCGATTACAGTACCAATTCTTTTCGATTTTTAATGGGAATTCCACTTTATTAGATGCTGTGACAGTCGAACTGGTTGAATTCGATAGAACCGATGGGAAATAGCCCAGTCTGTACGATGTAAAGAATGATGATGAATAGTCACTTCCAGTAGATGTAGTATGATCGAAACCACAAATATGTCTTTTAGCAATTGGTGCCCACCAAAGCGTCACTCGGCCCTGGCATAAGAAAGGAGACATCGTACTGCAAGCTTTTTCCAGGGTTAGTTTACTGCTATCGTAGGAGCACAGCTGTGATAAAGATGTGCATTCCGTTCTTTGAAAACAAGTACTAATATTTCGATCGCCGATCATTTGCACAGAATTAGTATGATTATTGGACATTATTTGAATCTTGAATTTTGTTTCTAATAAAAGCATAAGACGATAACAGAACGTATTGGTTACAATTGTATTCTGACACTGATCCGTATTAACCGTATATTGAAATATAGGACAATCACGCTCGTCAACAGAATCAGGACAATTTGGGTTACCATCACATCGTGTGTAAGGATTATTGCATGACCAATACTCACAGTTTGATTCGTCAGTTTCATTAGCTTCTGATAATAACGACTCGACGACTGTATCGCACAGCAGACCGATAGGCACATGCCCTTCAATAATACCATATTCGATTTCATTCATTTCGTCCTCCTTTCCTTCACAATCATCTTCTGTATTGTACACAGCAATTTGGGATAGACATTTCTCTGGTTTAGACGGACAAGTAAATCGATTTGAACCGTTTAATAGACAACTACCGTTGAATAATTCATCTTCGTTGTAATAACAATCAGAAATTCCATCAACAAGACGATGTTTCGAAATACATTTTAACGAACGTGAACAATGAAAAAGTGATGCATTCAAACAGGTTTGTTCGGTATCGATTGTTTTACACCGGAGATAAAGTTCTTCAAGAATTATTTTAGCATCGTCTTCTTCATCCATTAGGAATTCTTTAACAATATCATCAGTATAATAGCATATAAATCCATTATTTAAGCCAATATCAATAGATATGTTATTGGCGATTCCTGAGCAATCGTCTGGATCGAAACAAATCAGATCAGGTTGGATGAAATTATAAAAGTCGGAAAACGATCGATGGGGTAAATAAATGAAATGGAATATTGGATGTGGATGTAATACTCGAGCTTTGAAATACCATTTCGATAAACATGAATTGTTGTTCGATTCACATGGCAGTAACGAATAAAAAGAATTGAAATTTGATGATACTGTTTTGTTGAATATATGTATCATAGAATTCAATGTAGATGTAAATGTGATGATATTTAAATTGTTCAAAAATGAATCATTTTGGGATGCAGGAAATGGTAGAAATCGACCATTTGAACACATTCCATGGATGGGACAAGACCGATCACAAGAATAGTACTGTCCATCGCCACAATGATAAGAATGTTGTGACCAACTGATACGTTCTTCACATTGAAATGTTGGATTTGTAATACAATAAAGTCCACGTGAGAATTCTTGTCCCTCATACGATTTCGTCTCATCCGTACCATCAAGACAATCGAAATGAGCATATTTATCTCTCAGAAATGACAGTGGGACACATTGTCCACCATAATGACATCGATACGTATCATTAGGACAGTCGTTCATTTCCAGTAATCGACAATTCTCTTCATCTTCACCATTGATACAGTCGCGTTTTCCATCGCAAATTTCATGCCAGTCAAGACATAGTGGCGGAAATCTGTACGAGCAACTCGATAAAAACGAATAACAAGTGCCCGTGTAAAGATCGGGCAAAGTTTTTGAAAAACTTGTCCGTGTAAGAAAATTTGATTGGGCTATTTCGTAAAAAGACAAAGAACTGTTTTCGTCAAATTTATATTGACACTCAGGACCAAACCATGCCGACGAGCAGTTGTAGAAAGTTTTCGTTTGACTGATAGGATTCATTGCATATTGTTCAACAAGATTGATCGGCGCTGACCATTCAAGTAATTGATCAGTTGTTATTCCATATTCATATAAATCAGCAAATGACAGTGTATTGTACACGTTCCCCAATGAAATTTTCAACCCGGCCTGTTCTTCATTTGCACTTGGTCTTCGACAGTAAGGAATGACTTGATATGATATTTCCGTGAAAATATGGTTATCTTCTTCTTCATAAATGAACGGAGCATAAAGACAATCGAAATCAAAGCTTTCGAGACTCGAATGATAGACAGAATATTGAGCTTTGCTCGTTTCGAACAAAAACACAATCATCGATAAACGTAATAGAGACATAATTTCTCTATAGAATAAAATGAATATATTTTTTAACATTCTATAGACATTTGTCTGTGAATAAAATACATCGGCAGCATTTCCGTTAAAAAAAAGTGTTAAAGTTTGCTCGCTACTGGCTGATAACAGCACTTAGCAGACGGGAATCAATAAAAGAATATCAGTTTCATTGTGGATAGGCACAAAGCCTATGAATATATGACGCAGCTTTTTGCATAGAGAAATATGAACATGCGATGAAAAAGATGTTAAGAAGCGTTGTGTTATACTATTCTGTCTACAAAGTTATCAGAACTTTGCGTCATAGACATCACTGAAATGCATCGGAAATTGTTTGCACTGCACAACTTTGAGCATTGAGTTTATGCATTACTGAAATTTGTCATAGGTATTAAATAAAACTAAGTTATATTACTGAATACAGTCAGTTGAGAAAGTATATGATCATTCGGAATAATGGCCTTCAGTCAATAATATAACGAACTTTATGGAGGAACCGTGGCGTCAATTGTTAAGGAAATATTTGTATATTTACGTTTTAATACCGTCGGCATGAAGCTAGCATCACGCACGTAAATATATTCCAACTCGAGAACGATTCATTGCTCAAGATCGGGGACTACATCATAGTGCCCACACAGTCCCTACTCTCAAATCGTATGTGTGAGAGTTAGCACTATGATAAAGAAGAAAAAACTGCAAAGATAATACACAATATTCATCGTATAAGAAATGTATTCTTAGCTGAAATGTTTCATCCAGGCAGAATTGTATACTCTCTACTAGAAGGAGGAGGGTTACATGTCGAGCTGATATCATTAAAAAAAAGAATTAATTTTCGTCCGTCTATATCGTTATAGCATAGTATAATTAGTGCCAAATAAAGTTAGAGTGAAGAGTTATCGAAATTAAAGAATACATACCGGAGGTTAGTTTTTTCTTATTCATCAAGCTTCGGCTTCAACCTTTCTCTTTCCAGAAGAGTTATATTTCTGTATCTGATCTGAAACGTTTTGTAGACGGTATTGGATAGAACACGATTCCTGGATGTGAAATCTGCGAAGATAGTAGTTTAGGGACTGACCTACAAAGATTCAGTATATCTTACATTATGCTATTTGTAATTCAATAAACCACAAGAAGCGGTATGAGCTTAGTGTCATTATTACCTTGTATGCTGCGATAAGGAATGTCTTTCGATTGGATTTTAGTGGAAGTATGTCGCCAAAAAGTATACACCTTAGCGCAATTCCATCTTGTTAGTTACAGACGTATCAACTGTGCAAATAGTATTCTAAACATATGAAGCACTGTGATGAGTGCTCTTTTCGTGGCAAATCATAAAGCGAAACTTTTTATCTAGTTTCTTGTGGCGGTCAAATGACTAGACGTTAGTTTGAGAAGATTTTAGGAATTGAAATGAGTATGAGGAAAACAATGGGATAAATTATCAAATGATTAGATCATTTAAATGGAGTAATCTTTCTTTCTTTCGTTGAAGGAATACTATGGTTCTAATGATATTCTTTCAGAAGAGGGTTTCGCGGCTACTATGCCATGTTTCTTGTCCTATAAGTTCATTTCTGATTACAAAATCTAAAAAATGGGCCTGTGATAAATTGTTCAAACATAAGTATTTTTTTTGTATTAACATTACTCTAAATCACATTGTGTATTTATTAAAGTAACGATTCATACACAGTAGATAAGACACACCTGCATATGTTTTCATTATTTGACAAATTAGCTTTTCAAATAATCCATATTATTACTTTTAAAAAAGCCCACAATGAATAATAACCTGTCATTTTTTTGTCCATTTATACGTCTGCTAGTTAACATAAACTTTGATTGTGCTATTAAAAGTACTTTTACCTTTATAAAAATGAAAGATACCTCGGCGAAGAAAATACATACAATGGAATCAAATGGTGAAAATAATTCTGAGAGAATTGGAGAGAAAGCTCTGCGAGTTCTTTTCACAATTAAACGTTCCAAATATTAAACAATGTTTCTAATGCAGTTCCGAAGATTACTTTACAAAAAATATGTAGAGAAGCGAGTTATTTTTAGAAGACGATACTGAAATGCATGAGTTAACCCGACGCATATTTTGTTTACAATCATTCTATCCTATATAAACAAGCGATCTTCAATACATTTCTTCATTATCCATGTCGCTCATAAATATTTTGTCACCAATCACAATCTTAATTCTGTGTATGGTCGTACAATGTAGCTATGCTCAAGAAAATTTTTTTGTGCGAGCCGTCAATAGAGCTCGGTTAAAAAAAGAGATTTTAGCTGATATGCAGTTCATTCTTCGAGATGCTACGCCACAACAGCAAAAATCTCTTCAACACCACATCCCACTCTGTCTTGCAAAAGAAGGCGAGTTTGAAGGCTTATTCAATGCCACCATTGAGTTATGGGAGCTTTTCATCAAAGAGACAAAACGAACAGTCGATGTTGAAATACGTGCAAACGCAGCCGTCAAAAAAATTCTTGATTCTCTTGGCAAAATTCTGGACAAACTCACTGATCAACAACTCGAAGCAGTTTCCAAAGTGGTTAGCTACGTGGAAGGTCATCATGGTGATCGACCAGCCTTTAGGTGGATTCTCACACAGGCATTCGAGGTATGCGTCTACGGTGTCAGCGATTGACGTAGACTATAAACAATATTCATTTTTGCTACTCTTTTTTTTCTTGCCTTCGAATAAAATATTTTGTCGTTATCGAACAGAAGTATTGATCCTGTCTACTTTTATGATTTGTTTTTCTCTTGAGGGTCGATGGTGAACAATAAAGTAGAAAGAGTATGTGAATAAGACAGATTTGTGTTATTAAGTCATTTGATTTCCAAATGCGTCAATGAAACTTATTCCTGTTAGACAAGTATCGTTTACATCTTCAGTGACATTATTGATTGATCTCATATAAAGGTAAAGAGATGATGCTGGTCGAATCGACATTTGATAAGAGATTGAATGATCGTAACAACATAAGTTGTACAGAATTTGTCATGAAGGAATATTTATTGCTGAGCACAGCATTATTTTGTGTGAATCATCTACACGGTAGAAATGAGCAGATGATCGTAGCATAGTCTCATATGAATAGATCGGATACTCGATATTCCAATATCTAATTTTAAGTGGAAAGTTCCATGTTTGCCCACGTACAATCCAAACCTGATGTAAAGTACTAAAAATCTAATCGAATAGATCATATACAGAGATATAAGTTTCTATATTGACGATTTCTCGTTTTATACTTTTATTTTCATTAATTTTTTTCACTACTCTGTTAAATAAATCTAATAATATTCATTTTTATCGAAATGATCGGTTCCCAAAAGATTGCTGCATGCTTTGGGACAATCTCTCAAATTCATCGTCACAGATTCGAACATCACTAACGACAAGTCTTGCAGTATCATCTTTAACCAGATTCACCCTTGAAAGCTACGCAAAACTAGACAACATAGCTAGTCGTGTCTACATACTTACAGATATGTGCAGACATGATCTCGATAGCAATCTGCCAATTTTTCAAGATTTAAAAACAAATTTGCTCAGTTGGAAATAAAAAAGGAAGTAGAGAAAGAACTACAACCAACCGACGATTTTTAGCCTTTAGTTGAGTCAATTGATGTTCGAATACCAAAACGATTTTAGAACTGATTCTAATTATTACTCATAGAATTTCGTCAATATCCGGCAAATTAGTGAAAAGATTATGAGAACTTTATATCAGAGAATTAATTCTATATAATTCCGGGTCGATCATTCGGTGACTGGAAACTTCGTTTCAACTTCTGGGCGGAACCGATCGGGCTACAATGACCTGGGAAAATGAATATATACAGAAGAATGAAGTCATAGTGCACGTTAGTACATGGTAACAAGTGAATGGTATAATAAATTCTTGTCTGGAACAGATTCGGTAATATGTCAAACAATATTAATCTATTATTTTATAATACAAATCCTATTGGTGCATAAAAAGCGATGTGTCGTAGTTTGCATCAGCAAATGAAAGATAATTTTATCTTTCCAATCCGCAGAGCGACTTCCAACCCTTTGCGTTTGTTATCCTCTGATTTTATTAAACGGTATAAACGAGAATTTCTCTATTCTGCACTGACACCCTCATCCTTCGATTAATTTATTTGAATACATAAAACGATACGACTATAACTATACAAGCACTACTTAATGTTTGTCTTTTTAATCATTCGCTTCGACATTCCGAAATAAATAACTCATCGATTCTTGGTTATGTATGCGACGAATTGCTTCCGACAAAAGTAAACTTATGTCGACTGTTTTAATTTTCGAGCATTGAAGTTTCGCAAATTCGTGTGGAACAGTATTGGTTATAACAACTTCGGATATGCGAGATTTTTCAATCAATACTGGAGCATCACACGTGAATAGAGCATGTGTAGCCAATGCGTAGACTTTGTATGCACCTCGATCGAAAAGTACATCTGCTGCTTGAACAAGACCTGGAACGTCGTCGATCATATCTTCTAGTATAATGGCGATTCGACCATTGACGTCGCCAACAACGTCCATTGGTAACTTGCCTTTTACATTGACTTCTGCGTAAGCGAAAAGGATAATAAAGAGAAAATTATGATAATTGGAGATCAGTACTTACGTTCGCCTATGACGAGTGATGGGATAGCAAAAACACTTCGTCTTTCTGATACAGGTACAAGAGGAAAATCTAAGCCGGTGACGACCAATGGTGGAGGTGAATTTCGTCCGTCAGCTTCTTCGCTTTCACTCTCTCGATCTTGTGAGCCGTGTATGACGGCAATATTCAGTTTTAATCTTTCAGCAAAGCCCGTAACACGTTTTGCTTGATTAGGTTTACGAGCGACAATGACTGCATTTCGCCAATCCGGCACCTTTTTTTTCAGATTAAAATCAGACGGAATCAGTTGGAAAATCTCTTTTTCTTACTTGTTCCTGAATGTAATCAACGAGAAACGATGAGGCACGAAGATTATCTACTGGAATATCGAAAAAACCTTGAATTTCTTTCTGATGTAAATCAACAGTAATCAAATGTGTTAATCCTGCTTTGACCAACATCTGTGCAACAAGCTTCATAGTAATACACCCGCGTTTCTTCTGTTTACTTTGTTTACTATCTAAATACATCGACAAGAACGATGTTCAATTATCGCTCACTTATGAACTCACAAGGCAAGTATGGCAAAACACCCTGAAATAGAGAATACTTCATTATTACCAAAAACGCATGGTCTAACTTACAATGATATTCCTTGCGCATGATGTCTTACATGCATAACTCATAATCATCAATTCCATTAAGTTATCATTTGGATCTCTGAGCAGAAAGAAAGAGACAATAAGTAGATCATCCAATCCTATCGATTTTACTTTGTTGAACCAGTCTGAATTATGAAAACATCTTTACTTCTAACGGATTCGCGAATTTCGACATGAGTTTCTAAAACGAACAATATACGCTTATGAATTCATTCGATTTGCAGTTCTTATTATACCTTTATCAGAATTTTTAAAAACTCGGCATTCACCAAGTGGTTTCAATCCACTAGAAGAGGAAAATCACAATCAATGACAACAACAACAACAGCAACAAACACAACATTACCATAGAAAGCCCACACATATTTAAACAAAACAATATCTATTCATATGAGAGATACATACCGACTAGCATCTGTTCTATGTGAATAAACAATTCTATAACGAAAAGAAGAAATATGGATATGCCACACATTGCACACGTATAGATTAAATATTCGCTCTAAATAAAATTAGTTTAATCGAGTTGTGAAAAAAGAACTTTATCTGGATTAGTCACAAGGCGATTTATTCGAAAGAGAGAATTTCACTTACCTCGAAATATTCTCTGCCAATTCGGGATAGGAATTTCCAGTCAGAATCACTAAATGATAAAAGCATAGATAAATCGTACTGAATAGAAAGAACACGTCTCTATAAAAGAGGATCATTCACACAGCAAATCATCTCATCAACATATACCATTACTTCATCATAATTTGAATTCTAATAACTTTTAAATAGACATCGTGTATTTCAAATGTGACAATGCCCACATCACCTACCCATTTCAGCTCGACCTGTTCGATCAGCCGACATATCTGAAAGAATAAAGTAAGCAAGATGTTACATACATTTTATCATACAATTGTTCAAATTAACAGTTAATTCCTGAGACAAAAAGAAACTCTCCGTGCTTGATTACAATAAAATTTAAAAGAGAAAAACATGTAAACAATACGAATAGATATGTCGATTATGTCTGTCGAAACTCGTCTTTTAAAACCCAAAAGCCCATGCCGGATGGTGCTCGTTGTAAATCGGCGATTTGTTTCAATAAAGACTTAAATTTTGGAACAAGACCGGGTTTGCCATTGAGACGAGATTGAAAATGATCGATGATTTCGGCTGTCGTTGCTTTGCCTTGAAGCGATCCGCCAGCTAAGAGATAGTCTTTCAAATCTCGAATCAAAACTAAACCTTCATCGTTGGAATGATCTTCTTCTACATGATTATCTGATCTTTCTGCATTTGTGTGCACAACAAATTCTGATTGTTCACGCTTGCGTTCTCGAATATCTTTTAATAGATTATTCGACGCACTCGTTGCACGAGTGTTGTTTCGTCGGACAATAGAATTTGATGATGATGGTTGTTGTTGTTGTTCTTCTTCTTCCGCTTCTTCGTCCTTTGCAACAGCGACACTTCTATTTGTACGGGAACCGAATCGGCGGATACTAAAAGCAGAGCGTCGATTTCTTCGAATAGACTGGTGATGAAAAGCTTACTGTTGAATGTTTCGTGCTCCCCAATTCGGAATTCCACTTTCAGCAGAATAACAATCTTGTGCGGACCTTCTCAATGCTTTGACAGCTTCCTCAGCATAACGATGAGCTTCCGCTTCAATGAAAACATAATCGTTGATGGAATTGTCCACAATTGTATCATGTTGAAGTGCACTGTGTACACCGGATTTTTTGAATAATTTACTCAATACATAATCATCTTTTTCTTTGTCGGCATCAGCAGGTACTTCAGGCGTTGGTGCAGTTGTTTTACTATCGACTTTCGTCAAATTCGGCACACGTTGTCCTTCAAATTCTGTCAAAAGAAACCAAAACTGCTTTCGAAACATTTCAATAAATGAATTTCTTACTAGCATTCTTTTGTCGTTTTCGTTTATCATATTTTTCCTTTAGATTAATCTCGGAATTTGTTCCTGCTAACAGAATAGACGTCTCTGTTCGGTCTTCCTGATCACTGTCATTGTTATCATCGTCATAACGAAATAATTCATGGAGATCATTCGATTTAAAGAATCGTCGTTGTTTCGGATCTTGAAGAACACGGTTGGTGAGAAATTGTTTGAAAATTTGTCGATGATAAATCTTCTCTTCAATAGTTCCAGATGTTAACAAACGGTAGATTGTGACGTTCTTTGTTTGACCAATACGCCATGCCCGTTCTCGAGCTTGCATATCAGTTGAAGGATTCCAATCGGGATCAAAGATTAAAACGCGATTCGCACCCGTTAAATTGATTCCCAGACCGCCGACTCGTGTAGTTAAAAGAAAGACAAATATTGAAGGATCCTGGAGGAGGCAAAAGAACTATAGGCAGAACGGTTAGTTTAAGGAAACATACCGAATTGAATTGTGAAACAAGTCCTTGTCTTGATGCAATGGATGTGGTTCCATCCATTTTCAAATACGAATAATTATGTTTCATGAGAAATGCTTCGAGAATATTCAACATCTGTTTACTTTGAGTAAATAATAAACATCGATTATTTTGTTTAAACCAGATTTTTAGTAAAGTTTCTAAGACAATCATTTTGCCTGATCGTTTTGTGTATCCATATTGCCCAACTTCATTTGGATCTTCGCCATATTCGGGACGATATTGTGTCCAATCGGTAAATAAATCTGGATGATTGCAAATTTTTCGTAGATTGATCAATCCAACAAATACTTGTGTACTGCCTTGAAGAATGTCTTTGCATTGTTGCGATTTCAAATACTCTCGATAGATTTCTCGTTGTGCTTTCGTTAAACGACAGAAAAGAACTTGCTCATTTTTCGTCGGTAGTTGTAAAACAACATTCTGCTCGGCTTTTATTCGACGAATAAGATATTTTTTAATTGTATCACGTAAGATGCATGCACATTTGTACGCTGTTTGAACTTCAATTGGACTAGCATTGGCATAACCGCCTCGAGTTATTGGAATAGCAAAATGCTCCATGAAGGTTGGTAAAGTGCCTAGTTTTCCTGGAAAGACGAAATCAAATAAAGACCAAAGTTCACGGAGGTTATTTTGCATTGGTGAACCGGATAAAATAATTCGATGAGGTGTTCGAAACTAAACGCAATTGATCGCCGTAGAAGAAAGAACAAAATGGAAAGAAACATACAGATTTACAAGCAGATGTGATCTGTGCATCGGGATTGCGAATTTTGTGACCTTCATCCAGGATGAAATAGTGCCACTGGTAGGAGATAAGAGTATCATAATGGATGAGAATATTAGCGTAAGATGTAATTAGAATACCGGCGGCCGTTGTGCCAATTTTTTGAATTAGACGGTACTGTAAAAATCGATGTTCGTTTATCAATCAGATCAGAAATCTTACGCCTTTTTTTCCTTGAAACGAACCACTTTCATGTAGAACAGCGACTCGAAACTCGGGCCACCATGTATGAAATTCATGGACCCACTGATGAAGTAACGTTGACGGACATACAATAAGTACAGGGCCGAGACCTCGATAGCTAAATCGTTGTGTACAAATGTTTTATTGGAAACAGAGCGAAAAAAGATCGACTTTTACCGATTCTGAGGATCACGCACTCGACTATAATGAAATGCTGCCAGATAAGAAATGATTTGGATAGTCTAAATAACATGACTTCGATTTCTTCGCCATCATAGTATCATTCGACAATTCCTACTTTTCCAAGACCCATTTCATCTGCAATGATCCCTCCACACTTCTGATCGTGTAACTCCCATAACCACTTCACACCGGCGCGCTGATAACTTGAAGAAAAACAGACACACTATCAAGAACGAGAAATGCTACCAAATCGACTTACTTGAACAATCGATTCCAAACACTCAATGGTACCCAAAATCCTGTACCCACTTCGATGTCATCATTCTCGCCATTGTTCGTATGCGAGGGAGGTTTTTGGCCAGCATAGAAGTCTCGCAAACGTGTTAAGTATTGTTTGTCGTCGCCATCATCCTTAGCTGACGAACGTTTTTTCTTTCGTCTCGGTTCATAAGAATCCTTCTCATCTCCTGCTGAACGTTGTTTTTCTTCTTCATCGCTTTCAAACCTGTGGTATAACTCAGTCAAGTTTACATACAACTATTTAAACCATATTACCAAGCTTCATCTTCGTCGTAAACCATGGTGCTCGGATCTGTTTCTCCTTCTCCATCATCGTCATCGGATGACGAAGAAGTTATCACGACTGGCTTTTTCGGTTTCGATTTAGGTTTTGGCTTCGCTTTTGCTGGTGACGCTGGTTTTTTCTTTAGTCTTTGATCACGATATTCAATTGGACCATCAAGTGTTAATGGAGCTGGTGGGGGAGGGGGTGCAGCTACTTTCTTATTCTCCGAGGATTTTCTTTTCAACGTTTGAACTTTCGCTTGCTTTCGGTCATCGTATTCCTGATCAAGACCTTGCATAAACGAATCGAATGACGTTACTCGTTCCGACTGATCAACTCTGCCTTTAATCAGACCATTTTCATCATAGTCACGTAATGTTGGCATCAACGTATCAAGTAAACAAGTAGATGTCTTTGCTCCTAAATACGATCATGTAACTATCTTGTAATAATGAATATGAAACCTACTTTTCGTCTGATTTGTTGCTTCTTCATCATAGATTGGCGATAAACCAATAAGTTGCGTTTTCAATGAATTCACTTTGACAAGATTCTTTGCTAGTTGTTGTTTCTATAAAGACAAAAATCTGTCAGAATGTCTTGTGATTGAATCGCTTGAGCGTACTAATTCTTTGATTGTTTTCTCAATATTGGCCTTTTGAACATCCTTTCTCGATGCAAGATAAGTTGCTTTGTCAATCGTAGATAAGATCTGTTGTTTAGCTGATATGTTACTTCGAAGTGAACTATTTCGAAGGCAAAGCCAATATAGAACGACATTGAATACAAAATATATCCAACCTAATGGTTTGTTCAAGTGTTTGAATTTGTTTTTCAATATTGGCAGATTTATGTTGTCGTTCTTGACTTGACACAACATTATCAACCTGATCGATTAGACCTATTCAAAGAGAATATATTGATTTAGGATGAGACGATGAATATGAAAGGAGTGAAAACCTCTTTCAAGATCCGCCTGATTGAAAACACTTAGACCAAGTTGATTTATTTCATCATTTTCGTCAACTAATGTTGCAGTTTGGATTTTCTTTCGATCTAATTTAAATTTTTCTGGAATCTGACTTTCTTCGGTTTCTCCATCATCAACTGTTGATGTATTAGAATCTGTCGTTCCTTCGTTCATCGTAGGAAACAGATACTAGAAAGGAAATACACAACAATGATTACATAACCGAACTCGATAGACGTTTCACAGAGAAAACTATTACTGTTTATGGTGAAAGCTTTTTGACGCGATACTTTTCTTTCCTTCTGTCTGTCTTTCTGTTATAGTCTCTCGTATCATTCGATGTGTCTTAGAACCAATAGTCATCAATGTCGCTAGTTGCTAGTTTGTATGTTCTCTCCTCTCCCCGTTTACAGTACTCGAATAATGTATTAGTTCAATTGACGTACGTATGTTTAGTACTGTTACAGCATCATACACATGTACATGTTCCTCCAGTGTCATCTATTGACCATTACCTAAATGGTCTATTTCTTGTCTTGCAAAATGACCATCAAATACACCAATGAACAGTGAAATATTCATAGTATGATGAACATCATTTGTGTTGTATATTTGTACAATAAACGGTATGCATTACTATCAATATGTGTTGTGTTGCTCAATCCCATTTGCCAATCAGAGAAAATGCGACTAAAGAAAGCTCAACTAAAATGAGTAACAGTCCATAGATGCTCTCTTAGCAAGACGAATGTATTATTTCTAAATAGATCATGAAACTCGTTCATCAATGATTGCTCAACTGGATAGTTTGCAGCGATTAAGAGAAGTACGTCTTATTAGATTCTTTTTCGATTGTTCTTAATCGGTAACATTCATATCGCTAGGTGGGCTGGTATTGGGGTCCATTGAGTTGGCTCGATGCTGAACGTTTACTTACAGATAAACAAGACTATTCATTCATTGTTCGAGATAGTAATCATCGTCATTATTTTCTGGCAATTACATTCAAATCTCAAGGCAATATTCATCATACGCGTATTGAACATAGTAACAGTTCGTACTTATCGAAGATGTTCTCGTTCTTGAATGACATTGCTTCTCTTTATTTTGTTAGATTCGTTTGGTTTCTATCAGAGTACAACGAAATCGCAATGTACATCATCTGACGTGGTGGAATTTATCGAGAGCATCATTGAACATTCGAATTCGGGTCAATTTATGTTTTTCATTCGATCAAATGTGCCTGGTAAATATCAAATTGATTTCAGATGAGAATATGAGCCTATCGAGTTTTATCCTTTCGAGGTCAACCAATGATTCCTGTTCGGCTATTATATCCAGTATCGCGTCATACTTATATGGCATCATTAAAACATATCACCCGGTTCTTTATTCATCGACAAATACGTCGTGATCGTATAGATGATCTCGACCTTCCCGTACGATTAAAAGCCTTTCTAAAAGAACCACAAATCTATACGGAATACCTTCCGCATGCAGACACATAATATTTTTTCGCCTTTCCCATTCGATTTTTTCTTACATCGTGCCTTTAACTATCGCTATGACGATAGTTTGTATGTATTCCTTGTAATAATAAAGTAATAAGATGAATAGAGCATCGTTGCACACATTTTCCCTTGTTTTCATGATGATTCATGCAAAAAGTATTGCACAACGACAGTTTACATCATGATGAAAACTATTTTTATTTAGAAACACACCGAAATAAATATTGCGAACAATGGTGGTTACATTTGTTACTGGAAATAAGAATAAATTAGCTGAAGTTCAAGCGATACTACACGATGTTTTACCACATTTAAAATCTGAAGCTCTTGATTGTAAGTGCCATGTGTCCGGCTCTGTGCCTAGTTTTATATAATTTTTATAGTGCCAGAGTATCAAGGTGAACCCGATGAAATCTCCAGAGAAAAAGCCAAACTTGCTGCTCAACGCATTAACGGTCCTGTTCTAATAGAGGACACATCACTCTGTTTCAACGCTTTACATGGCCTTCCTGGACCCTATATAAAATGGTTTCTCGACAAACTTGGGCACGATGGTTTGAATAAATTATTAGCTGGTTATGAGGACAAAACTGCATACGCTCAATGTGTTTTTGCCTTCTGTGCTGGACCTGATAGCGAGCCGGTTGTATTCGATGGTCGATGTCCAGGACGTATCGTACCAGCTCGTGGTCCGACTAATTTTGGATGGGACCCAATATTTCAACCGGACACTGCACAGGGTCAAGCAGGAAGTCAGACATTCGCTGAAATGGCTAAGACAGAAAAGAATCGTATTAGTCATCGAAGTCGATCACTTGAATTAGTCAAGGAATACTTTGCCAAGCATCCAGAATATCAAAAATAAATAGAACTGATTCCTTTTAGTGAATCATACATGAGAAATATCAGCACATGCTTCGATTTTCTTTTTTCGAAAATTAAAAAAATAAAACAACAGAACAAAATTTATTTAAAAGATGTCTATTTACTTCATTCTTTTTGTTTGCCTTCGTGTTCATCTTATTTCATCTACATGTACTCCTTCAGTCAGACAATGTGGATGTCAAACTGAACAACCAACTATTTCGTTATCGTCAAGAATTGTCGGAGGTATCCAAGCACGAAAACATTCTTGGCCATGGATCGGTAAGTACATTCGAGTGTTCGTGTAATAATCAATTGCATCGATTTATTCTCCCTTAGTCAGTATTCGCCAACATGATCGAGTAATCAGTGCCGGTACAATGATATGTGCAGGAAGCTTAATTAGTGAAAAATATATTCTCACAGCTGCACATTGTTTTTATGAGATAGATCCGCTATTATTGAGCAATTATTTTGTTGTGATTGGTGCACATTATCTCAACGATACGAATTCGAAACGTTTTCAGATTCAATCCGTAAAGATCCATGAAAACTATGATCACAAGTTATTCACCAGTGATATTGCGTTACTCGAACTTTCCGATAACGTTGATTTCAGAAATTCAATAGTTGGTTTCATTTGTCTACCACCAGTGAAGAGTCCAACATATCCAGCCGAATCAAGTATCGCTGTTGCGATTGGATGGGGACGTTTAGATGAAAATAGTTCGATGTCATATACACTCCAACAAGTTCGTCTACCAATTCTATCGCACAAAGATCACGTTTGTAGTCAACAAATAAGCGATAATCTCGTGCACATTTGTGCAGGATTTATTCAAGGTGGAAGAGATACATGTCAAGGCGACAGGTAAAGGAACGTATGATTTTGTTTGAAAAAAAAAAGATTTGTATTCTAGTGGAGGACCATTGATGATCTTCGATGAAACAATGAGCACATGGCATATTGCCGGGATTACTTCGTATGGATATGGATGTGCTCAAGCAGAAAATCCCGGTGTGTATACACGAGTAAGCATGTTTATTGATTGGATTCATGGGCATATGTCATCTCATTCCTCGAAAATGCAAGTGACAAGCAACATTCTGTTGATCTTCCTCTTCTTTTTTTCTCAAATGTATACACGAGTATAAGATGTCAAATTCTCTGTGTGTTGTACTATTTTATTGATGGAAGTACAGATATCATAAGCAGAAATATAGTTAGATTAGTCAATCGAGATGTATTCATTCAAGCCTTTTGATTATTGCGTGCTAAAAAATGAAGAAAAATAGATCATACATAATTCAGCGGATTATAAAAATTTACCTGGTCGGGCAATGCTAGCACCAGAAGCTCCTGAATATAAGAAAAAAAAAAGTTCAAATTTATATCGCAATCGTTGAATGTTCTATACCTTGTTGATTGATAATTGCTGGTAATGGACGAATCAATGCACCTGGTTGAAGCGTTACGTCACCTGCATGATCAACAGCGCCATTCAACGGCATACCAGTTGGTAAATTCCATCCACTTTGTGGTCGTACCGTTCCTTTCTCACCATTATTGTTTGATAAGATGAAGCCTTGAAGTTGTCCATTGGTGCCTATCAGCGGTTTAAATAATTGCAAAAAGCCGACGCTTTCAGTTAATGATTCACTCTCGATGCCATCTGACGTTTCTGATGCTCGAAGAAGTGTATTACGAAAGTCGGCCTTCGTTGGTGCTGAGAAGACATTCGCAACCAAAACGATCTGAACAGATATCGAGCTTTAAAAAGAACAGCTATAAAAATGTCAGAGAATACTAACCAATGATAGAGCAATGATGGTTGATCTCATTATATCGATGTTATAAGAGCGGAATGAAATTGAAGTAAGACCAACTGGGTATCGATTTGAGCTGTTTATATAGCTGAGATTTCCATGGAATCATGAGTGACTTTCTGCCCACTATCAAGTGATGCACTCTTTCGATCGACGTGCCTGACTTCTTTGACGAAAGTGTGAATTGATTGCTTTCGATACATAAATTGTTAAATAATATCTCGATGACACAATGATATGAGCGAATATGAATTTTTCATTCGATCGAATCTTTAATTTAGCGCAAAAACAGGTCAACTTGAATGTCTAAATCGCTTTATACTTCTTCAACCAGATCAATCTTATTACATCATTCTACTAATCAGAACATAGTTTATTTAGTAGAATTTATGTATACATATTGACTTTCTTTTTCGTGCTTTGTTTAATTGTTACATACAATCAGTTTGATACACAACTAGTACAGATAGGTGCATACGAATGAAGGAAATGAAGTATCGCGACAGCTGTACCTTCCTTACGTTACTTGCATACGGTCAAGATTGTACGTCACTCATTATTAGAATAACGTAATCGTGTCCTCCGCTTATAACAAAAAAAAACGTTGACGACGAACAAGAAACGTAAAGAGAAAAAAAAGAAAGAAGGCGTTTTTTCTCTTTCTGTCACGATATTAAAGAACGGAACACAGAAGTAAGAGAAATAATTATAAGTTGAAATAGATTCTTGTCCTCTTCGTCTCGTTCGTAGGAGGCTCTTTTTTACTTTCAAAGTAATGTGTCACTATAAAAAAATATGTCAGCTGACAAACACAGTTGGTTGATGTATGAAACAACCGAAAACGTTTTGTATTAATGATGATTCATCTATCATTTCTACAAACCTTTATTTTTTGTTCCATCATTCTCAATACGAATAGTAAATCTCAATCGAGACAGTATCAAAATGTTTTTAATATTCCACAATATTATTATCAACAACAACAACAACAACAACAGCAACAGCAACAGCAGCAACCACTGACGGTCAACGGTCAAAAATGGTTTTATTCATCTAATCAACAACCGTACGCTTATTCGTGGTATTGGACAAACAATGACGTTCCATCATCGAATTTCTATAAGAATAGCTTGCCAATGAATCAGGGCGATCAAATGTCCGACTGGGCATGCGGACGAAGTCCAGTAACGAATCGATTTTCTCGCATCATGGGTGGACAAGATGCTGTACCTCATTCCTATCCATGGATGGTTTCATTAGCAAAACGTTCACTAAATGACTTACACTTGTGCGGTGGAGTACTTATTACTAGACGGCACGTTCTTACAGCTGCACATTGTATGGAAGATTTCAAAGGTGTTTCTGACATGAATATCGTTGCGGGTATGCACTATACGAGTGAAAGCAAAAATGCCATTCCTGCATTAACAATTGACATTCATCCACAATATGATCCTGAAACATTTGCTAATGATATCGCAATTGTAACATTGGCCTCGGCTTTACCGGAAAATGATCCGAGAATCGGCACAATTTGCTTGCCACCGGATGATATGATAGGAAAAAATTATCCTACTTCGAAATCATCCGGTGTAGCCATTGGTTGGGGTTCGACGACATTCGGCGGTCGACCATCTACATCATTGAAACAAGTTATTTTACCAATCCTCGACGCGACGAAATGGCCGTGTAATATCTATGTGACTTATACTCAGGGACAAATTTGTGCAGGTGAATTAAGTGGAGGTGCAGATACTTGTCAAGCAGATTCAGGTAAGATCTCTTCAACTCGTCCGTACGTTCTCTCAATTAACCTTTTCTTTCATATTATAGGAGGACCATTAATGTTAGAAAATGCCGATGGCCGTTGGGAAATTGTTGGTATAACATCATTTGGTAAATCATGGTATGTTTAGAATGTTCGACAGAAACACGTTTTTTATTGCACTTTCTTTCTTGTTGTAGTGGTAAACCAAACTCACCTGGAGTTTACACACGTGTTGGCACTTACAATAGTTTTATTCGATCTAGTATAAGTCTATCGAGAAGTGCTTTTTACTATTCTTCTTCTATTCGTTCGTTTCAACTATATTCGTATAATATTCTCGTCAGTATTTCGTTGATAGTATCATTCTTAGTGTGAAGCATAATGTTCGTTTCTTCTTTTTTTATTTTGTACTATGCTGATTTTTTACTACGATTTCTACATTCGTTCAAATAGACGAAGGTCTCGATTTATACAACACTCGCATTTCTCTTTCATCATCACGCAGACGTGTTAGGTCGGTTGGTTGTATGTACTTCTTTTATTGACAGAGAGGCCATTCAACAGTGCATCATCATAAAGAGAACGGTGCAGAACTTTCAGGGTCTTTATATACACGTTGGATGCAAATATGAATATGGGATAGAGTCAAGTGGAAATTGAAAGAGAAAAAAAACGGAAGAAATAGAGAATAAAATGTACATATCTTGGTGATCAAGCAAGCGTAGTGTAATTAACATATTTCGATAAAGCAATGAAATTGATGGAAGGATGCCGAAGAGCGATAAGAGTCTGAATATTATCACAGAACTGTGATATGAAGAGAAATCTTATCGATGGAGCGGAGAGTGAACGAATCGTATATTTATTTGATGAGAAGTTATAAATCGAGGAGATTCGGAAAATGAAAAGTCGAAGTGTATGAAATCGCAAACTTGATGAATTAACGTGTGTCGCTTTCATTAGAAAATCATAAGTGCTCTACAATGGCTCAAGTAATATTCATAAAAGCTTTTTAGGAGAAGCTCATTGAAAATGCTTCTTTGTTAAATGTCCAATATTTTCAAAAGAGAAAAGGCGAATCGTTCTTTTATAAATATCCCGATACAAATCGATTATCACTGAACAGCATGAAAAGGTCTTCGCATGCGACTATTACACGACAGAGACACTAAAATCAATCGAAGTGTATACTTCGTTTCGATGAGAACTATTTTGTCACGCAGTTTGGGTCATTTCAAGCGTCGTAAGTGTTGAAATCATTCGTTCAGGTGTTCGTCGTCTCGCAATGGGCAACTTGTTTCTTTGAGATCTACCTGCCAGTTCAATATCTATGACGCCATGTGAAACATTATCTAAACCACGAACTTGATCAATTCGATTGATTCGAATACCGATGGTCAGATGCATTGTCAAAAGAATAGCTGTCGTGCACGCTGCAGAGAAGCCAATAGCCACTAATAGTCCGATTACTTGATATCCTAATTGGCGAATGTTGCCATACAATGCACCATTGTTAACTTTTTGATTAACATCAGTTTGAGAGAATAATCCAGCGAGAAGGATGCCTATGATGCCGCCTAATCCGTGACAACTGAACACATCGAGAGTATCATCGATGTGAAAGAAACGTTTTTTGCTTGATAGAAATGAATGAATGAGAAAACCACCGATAAAACCAGTAACAATTGCGTAACCCGGTTGAATATAACCAGCCGCAGGAGTAATAACAACAAGACCAACGACAGTTGCTGAACAAAGACCAGGAATGGAAATGAATGCCGAAGTTTGTCTATTCAATTTTCTATGAATAATATCTAGCACAATCCAAATGATCATACTTGATGCTGCTGCCACATTTGTGTTGACAATAGCTAGAGCAGCGATACCTACGAATTTTAGATACACTTTGCTGGAAGATTAGATTTCATATTTGTATAACTTACCATTAGCGACAAGAGCTGATCCACCATTGAAACCCATCCATCCAACCCATAGTAAACCTGTTCCCACCACGGTAAATGGCAGATTTGTTTGTCCTGCATTGACAACATCCGGGTCAAAATGCACGCGTGATCTTAAAATCAAGGCAGCTACCAGTCCTGATACTCCGCTTGAGACATGAATCATTAGACCACCAGCAAAGTCAATCACGCCTATTTGATGCAGCCAGCCTTGCCTAGAGAAAATCCATCGTGCTAATGGATCATAACAACAAGTTGTCCAAAGAACTATAAAGATCATATACGGAATTAATTTCATTCGACCGACAACGGCACCACTAATTAATGCCGGTGTAATGATCGCGCATGCACATTGAAAAGCCATAAATGCGGATGGTGGAATTGTTTGTACGTTTCTATCACTAGAAAGAGAGATAAAACTTTCTGGTCGTTGAGCGGCATATTCAAATGAACCAAATATCGCAGTGCCTGGTCCAAATGTAAACGAATAACCGATCAGACACCATTGTACAGGAATAATAGCCATGCAAACAATAGATAGAAACAGCTGATTGAGAAAGTTTTTATTTTCCACAAGACCACCATAGAAACAAGCGAGAGCCGGTGTCATCAGGTAGACGAGGCCAGTTGAGGTTAACACCTACGAAGATAAAAAGTATTTACTAGTCGAAAAAGTGAAATCAAAGTTTTTACATACCCACGCAGTGTCTCCTGTTTCGTAGGTGACGTTCGACATCGAATGTTAAAATGAACGCACTTCCCACGCTCCTATTTTTCTCGTTTTTTACCAAAGTACTTTGATTCTCATCTGACTTCGCCTTTACATCGGATCCATCGGGTGGAAATTAAGTGTGCTTGGAAAGATCTTTTTATAGAAGATATTTTCAATCATACAAAATCATCATCAGCTTTCGAACACAATGAAAAACAATTTCCGCAACTACTTGTTTTCATCAAAATTCTCGAACCGAACAAAACTCGTTTGCGCACGAAATACAACCTTCGCTTTATTTGAATCTAATTGAAATTCGAAAATATTATTATGCATACAAACTGCACTCTGTATTATCATCGCAGAATTCTGAGTAATCGTCGTTGATTGATACTTCGCCCGCGAAATGTCGTTAGTATCATCATTTGAATTTCTCTAAAACAAATCTATTTTGCATTTTTAAATAGACACTGTATTTTAAATATGTCCACATTGCTCTTAGTGAAGTAAGCCGTCGATTATTTAACATTATCTTGCAATATGAGTAAGCTGGTTTGTTCGTTAGTGGTATTAACATTGTTCGTTGCGATTTCTCATGGTTTGTGCTTTTCAGTAGTTTGGAATTTGTAATTTTTATGTCATGATTTTTAGCAATTTCGTGTTATGAGCATCATCATCAATGTTTGTATACACCAGCATGTACGACCGAAGCGAATAAAAAGAATTGTACCGAGTCGAAACATCAATACTGTTTTGTCAGTTCGATTTCATTTTGTATCAAGAAAAAACTTGTTCATTTGTTTCAATTTTTAGAAAGAAGAGAATGTTTTTGGCCTGGCGATTCGAGGTTGTGGTAAGTTCTATTCGAGTTTCATTCGGCAATATTCAAAGAACGAATTCCTATAGCTGAAGCTTCGTTTTGTAATACAACTGTATTTCTTGGTTATCGACATTGTTGTAATACCAACTACTGTAATCATGCAACGACCAAACATTATATAGGCTCATTGATGATTTCAATCATATCGGGAACGATTATGGGTGTTTTTAACTAATGAACATGAGAGAAAGCATATTTTTCTATCTTATTCACGACATTTGCTTCTTAAAATAAAGTAATGTGAGATAAAGCTGCTGTCGCTAATATTAAAACTAAACGACGTCATATGTATTGGCTATTCTCTAGGAATTAAGAACGGATCTAGCAGACATCCGCATGAAAAATTAGAATGAATGACGTTATTTAATACTCCCTGAAGAACATTTACATACATCAGTGAACACTATCTATGCGCAATTTTTATTATATCCATAACACATTCCGTAGAGAAGCGAAATATGTAATGTAATTTGTATGCATTACAATCTATCTTTGAAATATCAAAATATCATTGTTCGAAAAGTTTGTAAGTTATATATACATTGATTTCTCACTGGATGATGATTTTTCGTATTAATTTCAAGCGAGTACAGATGATTAACTTCCGATAATTTTAGAATGACATCTCGGTCAGATGTGGCGAGTCTATTTTTTAATGTATCAAATAACTATCTTCATTTTATTCAATCAAGTTGTTTTCGTTTCTTTTCTAAATTCTGTGATCCTACGTATATTAAATCAAAAGATGCAAAGTCTATGAAGAAAACTGCAGAGGAAGATGTTAACGTCCATAGTGATGATCAATGGCTGCAACAGTTTCACCGTACGGTTTAGGGAAGAGAAATGCAATTCGTTTTTGTCGTTCGTCTTCCTCTTCTTTATATAATGCTAGAATATCTTGAAATTTTTCATCTGCCATACCGAGTTTCTTTGCCAATGCCGATATACCGTCAATTTCACGTTGTTTCAAAGCACCATCAGCAGCTGCTGCACGTAGTCCGTTGTAAATCAGATCCGCTTGAAAGTGCTCAGCAAGCTTTGATTTAGTTCCATTGTTAAAACTTGCTGTTGAATCTTCAGCATTCAGCTTATAATTTTTCAATGTCTCAAGTTCATCTTGATTGACACCTAGGAGAGAAAATTTCTATGAGATATTCATATAAAAGCCATCTTACTGACCGTGAGCTGCGGCGAAACCGACAATCCATTTCCTTTCAACATCTGTAATTATGCCATCAGCACCGGCAACATCCAAAAGTGCTTTGGCATATTTACTCATCACGCTGCTCGGTAATATTTTCTCTTTATAATCATATGAGTCTTGAAAAACCCATTGTGTTGTTAGTTGATCAACTGGTTGTTTCGGCATTTGAGAATGAGTGAGAATATGTCGTCAAGCAACTTGCAAAATCGAAATAATAGATATGCACAACGTGAAGAAAACAGTCTATTGCAGTTTTTTTTCTTCGTGATCATTCATGTGTGGAAGATATTTCGTCGGATGAATGGGAAAGAAAATGTTTGTTTGCTCCTTGATGTATCGCGTACAATCATACAATAATTCGACGATTGAGACATTTGATTTAGCGCGTGTCAGTTTAATTTCATTTTAACGTTATTGCCTTCCACAGAACGCAATCGATCGAAAACAGTTCAAAGCAACTGTTCGAAATCTTCTGTTAAACCAACTGTAGATGATTGGATTATGACAACAACTACTAATACCTAACCAATAGCAAACCAAGTAGATTGTTGAGGCATTGCAGCGATTTTTTTGTGTATGATACTTTGATAGCGATGGCACAAAAAAGTCGCGAATGTGTAAGAAATGAACAGGTAGATGAGACAATGCAAAGACAAGAACCATGATTATTAACAAACGTATTGAACGGGTTCGTGTCTGTTTGAATGCAGGAAATTGCTGTACACCGATGACTGTTCGTCGGGCAATCGTACGCATGGTTAAACAACAAAGGATGCTTATGGTTACAAGCGGAATGATATAGAATAATACAACGAGACAAAAGACGCGTATTTTACGTATTAAACCACTTGAAATGTCTTGAATTTTAACAGGAAATAATATCTGACAGCTGATTAGTTTTTGTTTCGAAAGAAAATATGTATGAACTTTCATTGATATTAAACAGCTGGATGCAAATAGTGCGGAGATGAACCAAGTGAATAGAATTGGTTGTCGCGTATTTCGTCGTGAATACTGTCGTAGCGGATTTTGTATCAAACGATAGCGATCATAAGCAATGATGCACATGGTTAGAGTTGAAGCGTTGTATGCCAAGATTTGTGTAGATTTACTCAAAACACATAGATGAGAACTGAACGGAACTTTGTAAAGGAAATGCGTTGAACAAAAGATAAACTGTAGTGGAATTGCTAATCCCGATAAACCATCAGCAAAAGCGAGATTTAATAAAAGTATACTGGTTGTACTCGATGGTAGATGACTGGATCGTTTTCGTAGAAAACTTATACGAAAGACAACACCATTGCCGATCAATGCCAAGAACGAGGTGAATGTATAGAGAAGTAAAAGGCAAATGTCTCGGATAAGCACAGGGTTGATGATCAAAGTCATGAAAATGTTTCGTGGAATATACGCTGATGTTTTCTACTTCTTCTTCTGTCGATTATGCCAATATTTGTTTGTAAACAAACATTAATATTAATTCGTTGTGCTCGTGATGTGAATGGAAAATAACAGACTAGTGTGCTAGTGTTCCTTGTTAAGTTTAATTATTAATTATGTAGTCTAAAATAATATCATGTTTTCATTGTAAATAACGACTTGGTTTAGATTATTTCAATGGAAAAGCCAAGTCCTTGCATGCTACTTCAACTAATGAGTCAAATTAAGCCGAATACGATGGCAGAAATGACAGACATCGAGATGGATAGGATCGATGGGCTACTATGAATTGAGGTGTAAGTACTATGGATGCTTCTCGTTTATTACTTCCTACTCATAAAATGATCTTCTCTATGAGCACGATAATAGGTTGAAAGAAAGCGTCTTCACTGATTAGAAAGATTACCACTAATCTAGTATTAGTAGGGGAAAAGCACTCTCGTACAATGCGCAAAACTAGAGCAGAGAATGCCTTAAAGTTATGTTTTCGTGTAGGGAAAAGATTGGATTATATGGATAGTTATTTATGTTATTGATCAAAGCTATGTGATTATTCATGCCCAGTTACATCAGTGAAGTAATAAAAGTATAGATAAATAAAGAAAAACGGAAAACTTCATGCATCGATAGGACGTGTTATAATAGGGATGAATCAAAGGAAATTACGAAAAAAGATTCATAGGTTCTGAAGGATTATATCAACGCATTTCAGCTTCCGAGATTTACTACAATGAAGTTGAGAGTCAATGGAATATGTTAATGTCATATTAAATTACAAAATGAGGTTGACGTACATCTGATGACACAACGTATTTCTTATTCAATCGAGAATGTGAATACCTATCCTACTGATGAACATCAACAAAACAGTCGATCTGACATCGATGTTTATCATAAGAGTCTTATCTTTTGATAGAAATGATTATTTTGAAATCTTTCTTATTTAATCTTACTCTAATGATATTTTTCTCCATAGTAACACTAACTTGATTATATATCGTTGCATTCATCAACATTAATTCTAATGAATCTAGATAAAATTTACACCAGTGTGAGTTTCTGATCCATTATATACACCTGAAAATATACACTTACAGAGAGATATTTTTTGAAAAGAGATGTAACGAATGTCGATATTGTGTTTGAAAGTCTTTCAAATTCCTCGCCAACTGTCAGTATTTCATGTCTATTTCCTTGAATCTCTACATTCGTGTTCACTTGTTAACATTCAGCAATTCTTTTCTGTGAGAATTGTCACGACGATACTGTCGATCTGCGAAAATGGCTGACACTGGTTTGCACCGTATGAGCTATAGAACTATTCTCAAAAACTGAAACTATTCTTTTTTTCTAATCCAACCATCGACCTTTTACTGACCTCTTTGCACAACTATTTAGATTTACTATAAATTTAATCGACCAGCGTTTCACGTATTTACCTATTATAATTCTTTCTGAATGGCTCGGTTCTTGATAATGAAAGTAGTAATCCCTTCAATGACAGCTTATTAATTTAAAATGATTAGTATATAACCGACGAGATAACAACTAACTACTACACTATGAATACGTTGAGGGTAAATGTGTTCTTGACCATCGGTTCACGTTCCATCTGCACTATTGCTATGTTGATGATTACTAGGGTTTTGTGAGTGAGAATAGGGTAATACCGATGAATTTATAAGGCTGAAACAGAATTTGCACCACAATGAGATGGAGAAATGGAAGAGAGGAGTATCATGAGAGTGAGTAATGTTGTATTATTTCTTTTCAGCTTGCTGTTTTGTTCACATGTACAATTATGTTTAACCATGTTTAGATATGAAGTGTCATTCTCCCTGAATAAATTATATAGGGCATCTTTCAGCATGATTCAAGTCCTGACAGAGTGGATTCGTATGGGGGAGCGTGCCAATCGTGCTCAGTCGTATCTACTTGACAAAAACATTTCGGCCCTCACCTGAAGTATGAGTTTAGTTTTGATAGGTCAGATAACACTCGAATGAGAAATGACATTTCGCGTGGCAAGTCTTCACTTTTCTTTGTTTTCTCATAACTACTAGGATGTTACGTTTAGGCACCATCGAAGATATTGATGCACTCCATCGAATTTACATGCATCCAACAGTGAACCCGTATCTTAATTTTGAAATAATGAATAAAGAAGATTTTCTACCCATATTTCAAGAATTAATCGACTCCGGCAAATTATACATCTATGAAAACACCGACGGAGCAGTACTCGCAACGTGTTTTGTCAGTCGACAGCCAAGACGTATTTCACATATTGCGTACATATCAACACTCGCAACCAATCCAAACTACCAACGGCAAGGAATCGGAACCAAATTCATGCACGAATTGATAAACGAAATACGAAAAGACAAAGATGTCAAACGTATTGAACTGTACGCTGAAGCTGATAATGAAATTGCATTGAATTTTTATAAAAAACTTGGTTTTCAAATCGAAGGTTGTTTGAAAAAATATTTCAAACGTCCTTATGAAAATCATTTTGTTGATGAACTTGTATTAGCGATGATTTTTGAATGAATTTTATAAAGGAAATAAAATACAATTGGAAGTAATTCATTCAAAAAATTTTTCCGTTCGAATAACATTTTGATAGATGAAGCATCTCTCAACTTGAACTATGATGTGACCTCTGAATGATGACATTAGTTCTAGACGTTTCTTTTCAGAGTTAGGTAATATGTTCCTTTCTTTTCTTGTCGTCTTCAATAAACTCTACCTAAACCGTTTCCACGTCGACTAGTCATACAAGAAGAAGAAGAAGAAAAAACTATTCCATATAGATCATTTCTCTTTCTCTTCCTTCCGCAAATCTAAAACTAAGGACTCTCACTGTTATTACTATCAATGGCTGAATAGAAGTACGAACGACGCGCTAGAATCATGCAAATTACCGAAAAAATATTACTTCTTATTACAGCTGCAATTACGACTATAGCTGCTCTATTTTGTGTGATCTCTTTGAGTACGTCAGGATGGCCCGCGATAGGATCAATTGGTTTATTCTGTAGGGGCTGTCCGTCAACTCCCGCTGGTCTCTCAATAATTGCTTTCATTCTACTGATTATTGCAATTGTTGTCCTGATCCTCTTTGTACTTAATGTTTTACCAAAATTACTTCGTTCAGTCGCTTTTGGCGTTCTTTTTCTGGCGACTATCTTTACGTTATCAGCATATACATCATTTGTTGATCCAGCGGTTGGCTATTCATTTAAATTAATGGTCACAGCACATTTCTTCACTTACGTAGCGTCATTTTTTACAGCGTTTTGGCTCGGTGGATCGTATGCGACAAGAGTCGTGACGCCATATAATTCTTAGACAAACTCTCGCAGTTGACACGTTCATTTAATAGCTGTTGTACCTGTTATTTCCTTGCTACATATAAACTAAATAAATACATTGGTGTGCGTGTGTGTGAAAAAAACAATTATCTACTCCGAGTGAAGTTTAATAGAATCCTTCATTAATGATGACAAGTTAGAAAAAAAGCAATATAACGTGACGAATATCTCTTGAAATGCTAATAAGATGTTTCAAAATTATATGAAACCAATTTGTCATTAATGAGGGTGCTGAAGCCAGCGAGTAAAAGGAAAGATTTCACATGGTGAAGATAAGACATAAAGTGATCGATTTCTTCTTTTTCATGTATATAGCGCTCTCTACTACAGAATGGGACTACATAACCAATCCTCACAAGTGTCTTCCATTTATTCATTTACTCAAGAAAGAGTCTTCCCGTGACTCATCAGCATCAACGTCTGTCGCCTTTCTGAATATTTCGAACAGAATCGATTATTTCCGGGGATAAAATGGTAAGAGAATATGTCGTATACGTGTATCTTGTATTGAATCTCTATCCATATAGTTGGATGGTGATTCTAAGGAAGAAACAATCGCGCTTGGTCAACGAAATTTAATGTCGAAGACAAATGAAGTCTCTCGCCTTATTTCACTTGATCTCAATCATCTGAACATCGAATCTTATCATGATTTTAGTGACTTATCTCGGGAAAAAATCCTTCTTTTGGCAGCCACTTTCATATCTATTGTATGTGAACGAGATTTTCATCTGTTTCTATCATGGACGAAGGATTTTTTTCAATAGGGTATGATAACTGGTCTCTTGGGACCGATATTTCCCTTTCTTGCTGACAACCTTTCAACTGAATCACACTCAATCATACGTTTGATCACTATCAAAGCGGTTGGTTTTCTCTTTGCTATCTATTTTAGTTCATACCTTTATATCTGGTAAAAGAAAACATCTTTTTCTTTGTTTATGAGCACTGAGAGTGTCACTTCCTATCGAACAGGTTCAATGTTTGTTGTTTACTTGGCTTATCGTGTTTATCGATCAGCTTCGCTGTATGTTCACTGGCATTTATAACCGATTTAACTGCATTTTATCTGACTGCATTATTACTTGGAGTTGGCCTTGGCTTATCTTATCACGGTAAACAAAGTCGAGTGAATCATTCGAAAGTCTCCTCTTTTTTATTTTCAGGTATCGATATTCTTTACAATCGGCTATGGACTCGTTCGTCTACCTCAACTATTCGTTGGCTACATCTATTATTAGTCATCGGTGCCATTCTTTCAACATTAATATTACTTCCATCGACGCTGCACAATAATCCTGATAGTTCAATGACGACAAATATCACTCGTAGGTATTCTTTGGAGATAATCGCTTAGTCTTTTTTCCTTACATTGAAGATCCTTTGCGTCACCGTCGTGCAATGATCAATGACACAACGTTCTCGTTCAATGCATCTTCAACAATTCCTAAGATTGTTACCAAACCAGTGGTCGTAGCCTCAGACATTCTGTCCAGATCGTCTTACACGAAACCACCTGATGCACAACAAATATCTTCATGTATAAAAGCGTATTGTTGCCACCATCAAAATAACACATTAGTCTGTCGAGAGAATGACAAAAACCAATCCAATCCATGTCAAAAAGTGTTTTCATCATGTCGAATGTCTCGTTCAAATCTTTGTTATCTTGATAAAATTAACAATCCATGGTGTCCAATCGATTCCAAATGTGCCAACGAGACAAAATTGAATTGTTCCATAGAACTCACAAACAAAACGATCAATGAAAGCATAACAAAATCAGAAAATTGTAAATTCTGTAACGTGACTACCGTTCTTCCTCAAACAAACGCTCGTGTACAAGTCATCTATCGACATAAACCTCCGACCGCTGATTCGGACACGGATGATCTTTCGAAAAACTTCTTCTATTTAAAAATTCGCTTATTCTTTCAATCCATTACATCTATTCATTATATTCATTTGCTTCTAACAGGCTTATTCTTCATGCTGGGAATCTTCTATTCGATTTTAGCCATACGTGGTGAGAGCATGAATTCGTTATCAGGGACGAACTTCAATCCATTAGGATTATTATGTCTGAAACCTTATTCGATAATCTACAATTCTAATAATCACACATCCTTGTTATCGAACTTGTCGTCATTGATCTTTATTATTCTCCTATGTTTATTCTATTTTTTTCTATCAGGTATCGAAACTCTATGTATTTATTTAACGTATTTATTCGGCATTGAATCGAATCTGTCCGAAAGTCACAGTTTAATCTTACAACTCTGCTATCTCTCCGGTCGTTTTCTTGATTCATTCATTAATTATATCTGGTTGCTATTAGATAGATACAAAAAGAAATCGTCGAATATGCTTCCAATGAAAGTGCACATACTTTTACGCTTGATTATTTTATTTGTGATCTGTTTAACGAACTTATATTATCGGCGACTCAACTTTCTCTTCTTTTCAATTGGATTCCTATTGATGTCGTTATCCAGTTTGGTTTTAACGTGTATCGAACGCGATTTATGTTTGAGTGAAATCTTCTCTCGATTGATTTTATTCACAATCATCGTCAGTGAAATGACCTTCCCGAGATTATTCTTTGATAAAATTGAATATTTAATCGAATTCTACCTGTTAATTGGTTTAGCATTGCTGATGTGTTTGTTTCTGATGATTCTGTACGTAAGTAGAAAGTGGCAACGAAATTCAATGTATCGTTTAGTATCGACGTCGATGAATTCGAATGATATGGAATCTCAAGAAAACTCCGATAACGAAAGACTAAAAGATACGAAATTACAGTGATGAATTCCTCATTCAATAATGTTTTCGCTTGGTGAAAGATGTTAGTTTTTTTTTGTTAGAAGAAAAGAAAGCACAAATAAATTACTCTTATGTAAAAACCAACGTTGATAAGACTCCGACAATGACTCGTTTATTTTATATCAATGGGAGGTGGGTCGAGCAATGTCAGGTCTCCTTCAAGACATGACATCTATGGTCTTGAGTGGACGGAGTTGCTGTTGGATATGTCATACGTAGGAGATCTATGTTTGAAAGTATTTTTAAACTCACAGCGGATGAGTTGTATAAAAGGGAAGATCAAGTAACGATAAAGCATCCCACTTTCGACATCTTCCTTCTTTCGATACGAAATGCATAATATTTTCTTCATCGTTCTCATCGTCTGTGTATCGGCGACAGCAAATAGTCTGTACCAATTCAACGGTCAAACACGAGATGTAGGCTTAACTGTCTGCGAAAATCTGTATGGGCTCATGGCATATCCGCGCATCATTCAAAATATTACGCTTTTACGCACATCACCACTTCGCATTCGAGTCTATCTCGTCGCCCAAGGCCCATCACGAGCAATTCCATTCAGTGTCGAAGGTATGGTATGTCAAGTTGGTTTCGATCAGAATGCCGCAAATGCCGCCTGCCGTTCACAAAATTTTAACAATGCTGTTCTTGTCTCAAACATCGATTGGCAAGAACCACCCGGTGGCTCAGGACAAGAATGTATCATGAATACGGACTCGTACAAGAGTGTCATACCTTGTGAATATATCATGAATCAGATCAACTGTCCTGAATCAGCAGTTAATTTAGCTGAATGTCGTTTTCCTCCGCTGTTTAGTCAAACGTCATCGTGCAATCGACATACTCATGTTGGTCTCATTTGCACATAAACGAACGATTGTGATTTTCTTTCTTTTGGTTTTCGTGTAAACAAAATAAAAATTTCTGCTCGTTTTATTTCTTAAACTTCGTCTGTTGGCTCATCTCCGTACAATTTCTCTATGCTCATAATCTCTCCTGTTTGAATATTCGCTGTCACTAGAGCAATTGCTTGGGCAACTTTACAGGCGTCTGTTTCGAATTGACGAAATTTGGGCATGTCATCGAAGGCTGTTCCGTCTGACCACATATGAAAGTGTCCGGCGAAAACACCGAAATATTTCAATGATGAATGTCGACGTAGTAAATGGTCGACGCGTAATCGTTTTCCTTCGCCAAATGCATAGATTTCGCCTGGAATGTAGAACGGCGCACGAAAAGGTTGATGTTGTAGAAGCACTATGGTTGACCTTTGTTTTTCTAGTTGCCCTAATTGCGCTTCCAACCACGAGTATGTTCCACCTTGAAACTCATACAAATCAGCACCTGGCATCGAACCTTTGTAGCCAAGCGAAGCAACAGCGTGATGACGACTATTCCAATCGAGAGCAATGAAAATCTAGCGTGTTCATCCAAATCGAATTGCATATAACGAAAGATGGAATTTTAAACTTACATTATTATGTATTTGTAGACGATAGTTTTGGAACCATGATGGACAGGAATGCGTTGGATTCCAAACAGTTCCATTTGGATAATTGACGATATTCGATTGATTGAGAATATGTTCAAATGTTTGAGCAAACAGTTGATCACCTACAGGTGCTGTGTCTTCCCATGTGGAATTATATAACCATTGATCGTGATTGCCAATGATTGGATAATAGGGGACAGTTAGATTGTTTAAAACATCACGAACTGTCTCATACTGAGAAGGCATAGCCGAGTTGGTCAAATCGCCAGTAATAAACACAGCTTGTAAATTTGTCGAGACGTTCGCAGCTAGTTCATTGATCTTTTTGACTGCTGAACGAGCACGACCTAGTGCATTTGCACCCGTATCTCCTATATGAATATCCGAAAGCAGAGCAAACGTGTAATAGTCCGTATCTTTTCGCTGCCCTTGAGCATAATTGAGAATTAAAACAAAGAGAATTAGGCTAATGTGACGAAACATATTGTCTACGATAAGAAATGGCTGTTTTACTGAAAATTACTGTGATTATATGAGAACAAAAACAGATGCGTAATTGATGAGAGAACAAAAAACACACAGTAGGAAAAAGATGAATGACAAGATTCATTAATGTTAGCGTAAGTACAGAATTGAGAGTACGTTTAACATCGTGCATAGACCTCTCCATTACGAATATATAAAAGAAGTTGTTGATTAATGGGTAAGGCGATAGGTAAGGAAATTTGACGATGTGGCGGTAAACGATTGCATTGAATCGATGAATCCATGTGCTGATTTGTATTCAAGGACAATGTTGAATAGTGATTAAAACGAGCGTCACGCAATGAATTCAGATGTTCTTGATCATGATGTGGATCTATTCGTTCGATTTTAGCAGTTGCTGTCACATGGTCATTTTCGTTGTTGTCCTCGCGACGCGTGCGAACACGAATGTTCAATCGGGAGTAGAATGGTAAGCTGGCATTTAATATAACATGTCGACCGGTCTTTTCCACGTGAGAATGCATTTGATCCAGGTCGTCTTTGGAAGAATTCAGCGATTGCTCATTCCAATGAACATTACGCCGAGGAGACGGTTGACGATGACGATATATGGTCGAATCGTAGGTACAAGACATCGGTCGAGTTGATTTAGTTGAAGGTCGAAGAAAATATCCAAAGATACGTTCCGGTGAACGTTCTCTTGTTTCGATGACAGGTGACGCACACGATGATGTTGATGTTGATCGAATAGGAATTCCACTATCTCGAGAAGAAGGTGTTATTGTACGAAATAAATCAGCCGATGATGGATGACGACCACCAAATTCTGTTAAATCGTCCAACCGTTCTCTAAATCATCAAGAATGCATTCTGCAAACGTTCACACATAATGAAACTCACTCTACATCCGCGTACGAAAACAAATTTACAATTGTATAAAACATGATTATGTCAAATGACACGGCGGTATCTTCTACTATTCTCATGTGAAACATGTTGGTCTATGTTCGTTTATATTATACTAGACATAAATATCTAAGTCCTCGATATAGAATTACATTTATGATCCATCATTTAAATCTCGAAATTGGATATGATTTAAAACACATAGCCTTCGATTAGTTGAAGTGTGAACTCACTTTTATTATCAATTCTCATTCGTGTTCGAACGTGTGTTTGATGAATTCATTTACAAAGGAAAGAATGCGATGAACAAAACAATTGGATTATTCAAAAGACAGACAGACAGACAGACAAAAAAAACAAATATGCTGTTCTCTTTTGTTCGACTCGAGTTTTACTCTCAGTGAAAAATTGTCTTAATTACTTGATGAAGTTCTTTTCATTGCAGTACGGATGCGCCGAAAAAAGCTTGCCGAGTTTTGATGACAATTCATCGAGATCATCGTCGATAGACATGATTGTGTACATATTTCTTTCTACTAGGCGAAATGAATAGCTATTCTCCGTCGATGAGATTTGTTCGAAATCATACACCTGTCAGATATCAATCAGAAATGATTGTCTCGGTCTCTCCATCGACAAGTGATCAGATAAGAATATGTAAATTAGAACGTATTAATTACTCCTCATGTATCATCGAAGAGAAGAAGTGATTCTGTAAAGTTTGAACATTCCTTTCGTTTGTATATGCATTTGAATGTCTTACCTGTATTAAGGGCGAAATGTTGATGCTGTTGTGATGTCGTTCTCTTTTTTATTACATGTTTTCACGTCTATTAAAGAGCTCGTTCTTTCTTTCTTTCTCTCTCTGCCGATCACGATTATATTATGCCTATTTTTGTTTATAAACTTTGCAAGACTCGACTTAGTTTTGTGAATAATACCGCAATGCTCTTTAAAAAAAAGTTGTTGTAATGAAGGAAGAAGAAAAAGAAGTTGGTAATGCATTTTTTTTTCTGCCTATCAGTATTATTGATAGAAGATGTGAAAGAAGCAGTTTCGTGGTTTGTGGGCGATTGACTGAGAAAAGAAATTATAGGGCTTGAAACTATAGATGTTGCCAGATTGCTTTCTTTTAATGATGTCGGCGCACAGGTTTAATACCAATGATTTATTGCTGAAAAATAAATTCAGTTCCGTGAGAACTTTGCCGAATCACGATAAGAATATTTTTGTTGTGCGACTTAAATAAAATGTCGCATATAACTGTCTACCATGCTAGATATGGATTGTACGCATCTCGACTGCTAGTTTGATAAATAATTTAAAAGGCGTACAGATAAATGCTTGTAAGGTAAAACTCGTCCAGCAATACACAATATTCGTAAATATTGCCAAGCGCAAACATCGTCTTTCTCTTATTATTCTCCTGCCATTAAGCAATTTGTTGATCATAGACTTTTTCAGATTTGTATACATATGTATTTTTGTCACACCTGTCACTCTAGTTCTTGCTTTCTACTGATAAAATATTCAAACTTTAAAATGTTACGGTCTAAGCTTGAAGGTTTACCGAGTGAAGTTCTTCAACAGGTTCGATCGCAATTATCATCGCAACATTTACTCCACAGTTTTTCGAATATTAATACATGATTCGATAAACTGATCCTTTCGGATGATTACAAGATTCGTTTTATAGAAATAAACATTACCAGAGAGAATACTGAAGCCACTCTGTCCCTATGCCATCGGGTTGTGTCACTGGTAGCTACGAAACGATGGTGTTCGCCGATTCCTTATTTTCCTCAACTTAATCAATACAAACACGTTTCCAAATAGCAAATTATGTACGGAATATGATACTGGATACTTTTATTCTATGTTGGAAGAGTAAATAGTCGTAATCACGTTCTTGTACAATTGGAATGTCTATCATAATCAGACGTTCTACTTTCGACTACTTTTCGTTGAAACGTCAATGAATTCTGCCCTGATTCTTCAGTTTTAGAATACATGAAAATAGGTAACATCAATTTTAAGTGAACAGCAATGGCACTGTGTGTAGAAGGTAAGGAGCTTATGAAGAACAACGACACGAATGTATGTCGATGATATTGTTTATTTTTTAGTTCACCTACTAGTTCCGCTTGACATTCAAAAATAACTGTATTGAAAGATTTACTTGAATGACAATCGAGAGACGAAAAATATCTTTTTCTATTGTAAAAAATCACATTCTCAAAAGGAATTCGAGTTCCATACTTCACACTGCTTGTGACTTCCTAACTCTTTGCTGTCGAATAGACAATTCTCACGCTCAGACTCACCTTACCGTCGACCGTAGTCGTAAGACATCGTTTTGTGTATGTCAATGGTGGTATGTACTGACTCTTAGTCGCTTTCTACACAATAGCCATTCAAATCTCTTCTCCCAGATGACTCCCACACCCCTAAAATCGTAGCGCGGATTCGTTGAATTCACACGATAAATTTTATTATTCTAAGATTGTGTATACGATCATTAAATGAGAAAAAACCTTACAAAGAGTATTAAGATAGAATAATAATACATTGAACTTGCCCAGAGTAGAAACGAAGAAAGAGAAAGTTGGACGGATTTCGACAAGCGCACACGTATATAATAACTACCTGAGAAGCAACAACAACAACAGCAAGAACAAGAAAGAAAAACTGTCTTCATCTATTTTGGAGTCTTTTTCTCCGCAATAATATTGCCGTGTGCATCTTTGATTTTGATCTTTCCATTTGCATATCGAACTTCTTGTTCACCTGTATTAAATACTGTTAAAATTGAACCATTGGGAAATAACTTCCTTTTATATGTATCCGTATGCACTTCTTTCGTTTGATTTGGATGCTGAATAAACTTTTCTCCATTGGGTTTTATCGAAATGATCGTTCCATCAGTTAAATAAATATTCTTTGTTTTATCAGGCAAAATATGTTCTTGTCTTCCATCAGGTAAATGTTTTTCAATTTGTCCATTGCCAAATTCACATACACGTGTCCCATCTGGATATTCGGTTTCAGTTGTATTTGTAGTCACATATCTATACACACAACGGCCGTCGGAGAATTTTTCTTTATAATCGCCATTATAAAATTGAACACGTATATGTTTCCCATCGGCACTGATGTCTTGCTTGGATCCGTTAGGAAAGAGAATCTGCTTCGATTGATCCGATTTAATACGTTCGATACGTCCATCATTGTGACGAATCTCTTCGATAACACCATCGCTGGATAATGATGGAAGATTTTCTTTGAATGCAAATCCTTTTGCGGTCGTCGGAATGTTCACGCGAGGTGTTGGATTGAGGGAGTCGTTGTTTGTTATGCTTAATGGTTGCCGTTTGATTGTTGGTTGATCCAGAAGTGATAAGGTTTCTTGGTGTCGTTTGAGAAGCGTTGTTGCTGATGATGATGTACGTGTTGCCATTGTGAGTAATGATTTATAATCAAGTGCAGTTGGTGGATTCAAGTCATCATTGCCATCGTCGTCGACGAAAGATTTCGGATAGTCAGAATTAAGGAGAGATGATAAAGATCTTAAAAAAAACAAATCTTTTGTCGACGAATTATGAAATATAAAAAATGCGGCTCACGGTGACATTCGATCATCAGTTGCACGTTCGAATCGAGTGATATCTTCATCGCTTTCTCCATTGCCTGAGTCAGCTCTTTCTGAAATAACTAATGGTTGTTCGATAACTGTTGGTATCGGTATTGATTCGATTGCTCCACCAAATTCATTCATAGACGATGTTGGACGTTTCGTTGCTGGTAGTGACGAAAGTTTTCGTGATGTATCGACATTGTTTCTAATGCCATTCACACCGACAGTCGTTGTCGTTGGCGTTCGTCGACCACCACCATTGGAGGTCACTTTCGGCTTAGTCGATGGTTCCGAATTTCTGACTACCATTGTTTTTGGCAATGATTGAACTTTCGATGTTATTGGCATGGCGCTTTTCGGTCGTTGTTTTGGTTGAGAAAGTTCTGCGATTGATTTTCTTCCTGTTGACAATGATGATGTATCATCCTGGAATTGTTGCTGTTGTTTGGGCATCGTTTGCAGTTGATGCATAAGATCTAAACGTTTTCGTTCGATAATGTCCTTTTCTTGTTTCAATTCAGCATTTTCGTATTCAAGCGTTTCTATACGTTCTTTCAAACGATTAATTGTCGTTGACCAACGCGTTTCACGTTGTTTGAGATCCTCTTGCAATGTCAGCACCTGAAATCGATTAGGTCATCTCAGTTTCGTTCTGTTAGATATTCTTACCTGTTTTTTCAATGTTTCGATCTCTTCTCGTTCACGTTTGTCTGGATGGTCACGAAGTTGCTGTCGATGTTGCTCGAATAGACGCTTTTCCTGTCTTAACTTTTTCATTTCTTCTTCTTTCATGCGATTGAACTCATCTATATCCTTCTGTTTACTCTTTTCGAAATCGTCACGATCTTGCTTGAGCTTTTTTATAGCTGTATTCCGTTCATTGCAAAGTGATTGTAATTTTGCGTTTTCTTTTTCGAAAAGTTCTATTTGTTTTTCCAATTCCTTAGCCTTTTCACGTACTAAACGACTGTAATCTTGATTATGTTCAGTAATATTCTGTGATAACGGTGGTGGAGGTGGCGCTGGTGCAGGCGTAGCTTTTGGCACGTTATGTCGCAAACCCGGAAATGTATTGAGCATTAAAGAGTTTAGTTGGGGCGGGGGTGGTGCAGATACACGATCAGCCCATGATTGATCATCTCCGAAATCAGACGAACGAGCAGAATCCTTCTTTTGCTGTTGATACAAATGCTGTTGTTGCTGTTTGGGAAAGTCGGTTTTGAACGAGCTAATACCGCTGTCACTGTTGTATTCATCACCAGTGACGGGTATAATTTTAGCAACACCTATATTATCCCATTTACGGTCTTCGTCGTCATCATCGTCGTCGTCATGATCACGATCGTCATCATCATCTTCATTCTCGTCTTTATCACTTGTGATGGCAGCAGTCGCTGCTAGTTGTTCGATACGTGCGTTGACTTTGTTTTTAAATGGTATCACTTTCCGTTGTCGAATGCGATTTGGATTTACTAATACATCTGTTGTTTCTTCATGATGTAAATGACTCTCATCTTCTTCTACTTCGTCATGGTAACGAGCTAAACGATTCACAAATAGATCAGCTGTTTTGGTCTGCTGATGATCCTAAATACACGAACTAGGTATTTTCATTTCACGAACAAAGGCCGGCCCTACCTTAAAAACAACTTTTTCTACGTAAGAAGCAGTACTGATCATAGACGGATGTTCTTCAGCATACTGTTCGATTTTTTCAAAATCGTCTAAATCCTAAATAAACGAAAATATTGATGAGTCTTTTTTGTAAGTTAATCGTTCGCAAATTCTACCTTTTTAGGTTGCACATATGAAACTTTGGATTGTGTGCCACTACTTCGACTGGATGTACGTTGACGAGCTGTTGAATATAGGTCAACGTCATCGTCGCCTTCGTCATCATCAACATTGTTCACATTTGGCTCGTCTTCAGTCGGATGAAATGATGATTTGTATGTATTCCATTTCGTATCAATCATTGTTTGAATATTCGAATGAAATTTATCATTATGGTCAGTTTTGTTGGTCTCCATAGAAGGTTTCTTTGATTGATATTTTATTAGTAAGTCATCTTCATCGTCTAAATCTACTTTTCCTAAGAGATTACTCGGTGTAGGAGTTGGTGCTGTTGGTTTGACAGAAGTCGAGCTATTAGTTTGTTTGGCTGGTTTAGCTTTTGATGAAGGACGTGTGTTCGTGGGTGTTTGTCGACCGGATGTCGTCGATGAAGATTGAGAACGAGCTCGTGGATTCGACAAATTATTCGTTGCTGTTGCTGCTGCTCCTGTCGAACGGGGATTTCCACTGGTACTGTTGGCACTTGTGGGTCGTTTAGTTGTCTAAAAGTGGTTATGAACGAGTCTGTCAGAAAGTAACGTCGCAAAATCGTTACTTCATTTTTCGCTGTGGTAGAAACACTGGCATTCGCATTGTTGTCAGTAAGTTTTGGACATGACTGGCGACGCTTTGGCGGCGCTTGATAGTGCGCAAGACCTTGACGTTTACGTAGAAACGGTCGTTTTTCTTTCAGTTTTTGATTTTGACTGTTATATTCTTCCTGTTTCTAAATAAAAATACGTTTCTCTTTTTTAAACACATTCTCTTGTTTATAATTATCAAACAAACAAACAAAAATGAGTACACAAGGAAAGCCAGGGTCGTTTTATTTATACAATGTATCACGCGTTGATCAGTTCGTTTGGCCTGACTGAAGCTTTTATAGTATCTAAATATATGATCTCATCGTCCTCCTCCTCATCTTTATCATCATCATCATCATCATCATCAACAACGGTGAGCGCCCCTGGTTCTGATCGCATTTGTTTAATTGGTGATTCGCTTTCTTGATCAATATCTTCATGAGTTCGTTTAACGTATGTTACGGGTAGTGTGTTCATCTGATCATAAATGTATTTCAAACGATAAAATAGCCATAGAATATCGTTGTATGACACAGTTTGATGGTTTTGTAATATGGTATCTCCTCTTTTCATTAGACCACGGATTTCCATTAAATATTTCTCTTGAAAACGATCGAGTTCATTACGATATGTCTGAAGAATCGTTTCCAAATGAATCAGCGCATTCTGTCGGTCATTCTTGAGACATCTGTCGCATATGTGATAATCACAGCACGGACAAAAACTCAATTGATGAACTTCTTTACATTTCGAACACCGACCTTTAATGTCATAATTCGTTGGTACTAAGTCACGCAACTGATTGTGCGTATACGAAACAGGAAATTGTTTAGCATTTGTATAGGGAAATATAAGACGGCACAGTGGGCAGGTAACGATCGAACAGACTTTATTGGTTGAGATGATTAATGGTATGCATGAGCAACAAACAACATGTTGGCATGGCAATACTCGTGGATCTTGGAAACAATCGAGACATAATGGACATTGAAGGATATCTTGAATTATCGAGAATGAGTAGGCTAATTTGGAAGAATTCGACGCTATAAAGGGGTAAAAGTTTTTCCAACTTAGCGTTGATTATTTATGACTCATGCGTTGACTTACCGTCTGCATCCGTCATGTTATTAGAATTTGATTGGAGTGACATAGGAATGGTTATAATGTATCAATAGGCTCTGATAGATCGCGATTGTAGGAGCGACTGATGGTTCGAATGACATTAAAATTTAAAAATGAAGAAAACGTGCGATAACGTTTTTTCCGTTTTCTCGTTCTTTTGCCAAAAGGAGAACGAAGAAAAAACCCTATTTGTCGACGATGATGAAATATTATTCTTATCGATGAGAGCATATTTTTCTCGTTCTTACATTTATCGTTCTGCTTGAAATTATCTCGAGTCATGTCTCGTTTTGACTAAGAATAAGTCATGACACTTTAGGATCTCGTCTTCGTTCGCAAAAAATGAATATACTGTGAGTGATTATTTACCTCCGATTGAAGTTTCTGATGAATGTATTCACTGTATTTCAAACCTAGAATACATAGGTTCGAATGTGAAGGGTGAGGGTTAGTATTTTGATACGACTCTTACTCTCATTCTTGGAAAATACCGTCGAAACAGGTATATCATCGATCGAAGTAAATGAAGGTGCTTTCGGTCGATCAGTTAATTCGTTGATGTCATTGTCGTCATCGTCTTCTTCCTCTTGTTCTTCTTCGACATCTTCTTCCTCGTTTTCGTAATGAACCTGAGCAACTGGTGTTCGACGGGTTGGTGACAATTGTAATCGTTGCTGATGAACGTCAACCAACGATGTCATGGGTGTCGCGTCTTCACAAGATGCTTCTAATATGGTCGATAACATATTTTCTTGTTCTTGTTGAGCCATCATTTGATGCTGTTGTTGATGAGTTTGTAATAGCTGATGATAAGCAGTCAGATATGCATCTTCGATGTCGTCATCATTGGCTAAACGATTTGGTAATCGTTCATCGAAACCATCATTATCCGTAATATTCAGTGGTTGAATGTCATCGTCGATATTCCAATCATGATCACCATTTTCATACGGATCGTGATGGTGAGGTCGACTCGGAGCCTAAGAGTTAGCAAATCGATTCTTGAAACTTTATTTTCTGTATAGGTTTACTTTGTAGGTTTGATACTGCTGTTGTTGATGATGATTCTGTTGTGATTGAGAAATGTGTGATTGATTCGTGTCATTTTTCGATGTCAGAAATAGATCACGGCTGAAAACAGACAAAACGAATAATTGTACGATATGTTTTCTCAGCCGATAGATGAAATTCGAAAAACTAATGTGTTCATTTCAATTCACTCTAGAGCTTCATCAATCCGAATGAAGCCTGAAAAATTCACGTTGTCCAAATGTGTTTTTTTGAACTTAAACGAAATTTTCTACGACTTACCGTGCAGAATTTTGTGCGCGACCAGAATTATCTTGTTGCGGATGACTTGAAACTTGTTGTGAAACTAATTTACACATAAAATTATTCTAAAGAAAACCAAATATCTTCTCTTTTGCAAACAAAATGTAGTTCACCACTCACTTCATCTTCTTTTGATTTCTCTAAACGTTTTCGAAAATCTTCTGTCTGCTGTCGACCAATTTCATCGTGCATTCGTTTTATGGAAGCAAATCTAGACGTGAACGAAATCAATGAAAAAATGTCTTTTTCGAAATTAAGTATCACGAAGAGTACTTTTCAAAAATAGCATTTCGATCCAGTTCACTTTCCGCTGCCATCACATACTATACGTTAGATTCTTAATTGAATAAACCTGAAAACCGTACAATATTGTTTTGAACAAAGCTTTGAAGAATTTGCAGCCATTGATCGAGTGCGCTCGTTTCTGTAGCTACTAGGACTTCATTTCCGTTCGAAGATATTTACTATTAAATACTATTTTTCGTTTGCAATTCTAATTTCACATGAGAAAACAGTTTATCGAATATGAACGAGTGTTTTTTATATTATTTGATTTAATTACTCATCATGTACGTGAGCGCCATCTGTCGAATAAAACTTTCGTCAGTTTCAAAGTTGAGTTTTTACTCTTTATCACTGTAGATAATGTTATTATTCGTTTGAAAATTCTTTCACTATAAGCGTGAGTTAGCATCGCGTAAGTTTGTTCAACAATGTCGGTAGACTTAGTTGGATGTGAGTTAAGAAAATTGACTTGATCATAATAGACGATTTCTCAATGATCTGGTTTAGGCATGATTCCTGCATTGTATCGTGATCTATATGAGATGATCAATTTACATGGCTTGGAGAAAATCACATTTCCTGTGTTTGCACCTTTGTTTGAATCGAATACTTTAAACAAAAATGTTTTGAATCAAGTAAGTTTCTAACCGAGCGATTCCATGTTTGGAACTGGCCTTGCCAGATTTGGTATACAGTAGTCAAGACGAACTCTATCAATTCTCGTAACGATTTCTATAAATGTTTGGCGCTAATGGCACTTGCTCAACAAGGCAAAACTGTCGACGAAAAGCTACTAAATAATTATGTTAATAAAGGTAGAACTGAGACCTTGACTTTACTTGAACTCATGAGTCGATTTCTTCTATTAGAACTTCCAACTCCAACACTGGACAGTATCAATAGTTTAGAAGATCGCTTGATACGTTTGATTCGAAACGATCAACGAAACACGACACTTTGTTTTCGATACAATGATCTCTGCGCACTCGACACGGTTCAAGTGAATGTAGTGCCTGAAAAGAAAGGTAAGGCAAGTTCATAGTCTTCGAAGTTCCGATCTTATATCCATTAGGTGTGATCATACGACACGTGGAATATGAAATTAACAGCATGGTAAGTCTCACTGGACTTTTGTCGTCATCTTCGTGTTTATCAATTGTGTTTTTTCTCCTTGTCAAACATGATAGCGTCAAAATAACAAAGTTTTGCGTCGTTATAATGACTTCGTTGCACTGCACGAATTGTTAAGTTTAAAGTATCCACATCGAATCATACCAGTACTTCCGCCAAAGAAAACCGTGAATGGTCTCCCTAATTGATCGTGTTTCTTCGATTAACGTGACATTTGTTGTTGTTGTTTTGTAGTGGACAAAGAATTTATCGAAGAACGCCGTCGATCTTTAAAGCGATATCTACAGATTCTCTGTCGTCATCCAACGGTCTGTGAGACAGATATCATCAAGTTCTTTCTAACCTTTCAAGGAACAGTTTGTTTTCTTTATATTTGAATGACAACCGAAGTTTCTCATTCATTCAAATTTCATAGTCATGTGGTGATAATATGAAAGCAACATATAAAAATGTTCAAGATGAATTCAGTTCGGAGCCACGATCGTTATACAATACAAACGACAACACTGACGTACGTATTTGTGTCCTACTTTCACGAAATTTTGTATGTCGTCATTTAGAAATGTGGGGAAGATACGAATGGTATTCAAATGTTTCGTATAAGTCACACGCATATGTCATTCATACTACAACAATTAACTGAAGTTCGTGAATGTTTGAAGAGCATCAATGAGAAACAAATGAAAAACGCCAATGAATTTTCCAATATGGAGAAAACTTTGCAGTCAGTATTGCACACTCAACTTTCTCACAAGGAAAAACTTATCGTTCGTTTCCTTTAGAACATTAAGTTCTGATTCTACTAGCGTAGATCGATGGGCTACGGGTGCAAATGACTACTGGCCATTTATTCAACATGGTCTTGCTCAGTTGCCTGTAGAAATGAGTGCGATTTCTGAACGACTACAAGAACAATACAGACGCGATGATGACGTAATTAACGACCATCTTGATTTGTTAATCGATATACTTTACGGATACAAGGTAAATGGAGGGTAAACTCAAGATTTTCATTATATAATTCACTTGTGTTCTTAGGAGCTCTGCAAACGATTTGAAGAAGCATTGACGAGTGAACAAAAAGCAATTCAAAAAGCCACTGGTAAACAAAGACGTTCTGTATCGACAACCGATGGATCCTCGAAAGTGAAATAATTTGATATCAGGTGCGAATAAAAACCGATGAGGTTATCTTTAGAATGAACTCAGCCTTGACATGATTCAGAAACGAAATCGACATGCATTAAAATGCATACAAATGGAAACACAACTAGTCTATGCGAATCTGGAAGCGTTTGTTTATATTCTAAGTAGTCTCGGTAATAGTCAATGTAAAGGCTGCTCAGACGTAAGTTTATCGAAAAGAAAACCTCGCTCGTTAAGATTTCATTTCAGCTTTTCAATATATGGAAATCATTCGCAAGTAAAATCTCTGAACTTGGTCAAAACTATGTGAATGCCTCGGCAACAGAGCGAACGAATACAATGGGCTTAAGAAGATAATAAAATTGCATTTTCTTTTATTTGATTTGAACTTTCATCGATTACAAGACATTGTTGAAAAAGAAAACTGTTAATTTTTGCTGCCAGAATAAACTTAAGTTTGCTGATTTTGTTTCATTTTGTGATATAGTTCGATCCATCGAGCACGTAAATAATCAGGAGAAGGTAAGGGATCTTGCGCCGCGTATTTCACATGATTATAAGCCATTGTATCATGTTGTTCAGATGGATAATACAGATCTCTTGCTGCTTCAATGTCATTGTCAGAGAGATTGTGTTGATCGGGCAATTCCATCGTCTTTATAGTAGCGAATATACATATAAAGAGAATTAAATCGAAATATAACCGCCGTGCCATGAGTGTGATGTGCTGGTCTAGAGAAAAAATGAAGATATAGTAATGAAAATCGAAGAAGAAGTGTCATTGAACAGATGTAATTATGATATGTCAAATACATGTGTTCATCATCACCATCGCTGGTGTAACATGTGGGAGTTGATTTCTGATATTAGATTCAGCTATCCGTAAGCGATGTGTGTGCCATTTAATGGTCTCTTTTTGATTAACAAGAAATTAAATGCACAAAGACACTTTATACTATTTCTATAGACATTAGTCATTCCAGGAAACAAAATAGCCTACACGTAAGATCTACTTTACTGATGAATACGCTAATAACGAATACAGTCGACGGTGGCATAGCACACATTTTCCGTCGCTAAGCATAAACACGAAAGAATGTGAGGAAAAAAACTGACGTCGTTACTTCATCTTAATATATAATTAATAAGAATTTAATAAATTAAATGCATTTTTTTGTGCCGGAAGAAAGCAAATTTTGTATATATTGAATACAATGGACATAATTGTCACCTCCCTCAATAACGCTCGAGTGCGTATATGATTGATGTTTTCTTCTGTGAAACTCTTTTCTTCTTTCAGCAAATGGATGTTTTGCACATTTGTCATCTTTTTATTAGTTCGAAAAAATTCTCTATCTGTACAAGGAAGAAAAATATATCCGACTAAAGTAACATCGGTTCCATTTGTTTGATTTCATCGATTAATCGACGTGCGTTGGGCGCCCAATCAACATCACTGACATGAATACATGTAAAACGAACTTTTCGCTCCTCCTAAAACGAAAGGTTCAATGTGAATTTGAATGAAAAGCAAGTGTCTATTACTACATTGAATTGATCAACTTTTGCGCGAAGTTTGAAAACTCGTTCATGCTTCATTGCTTTGTTCACTACATCATCAATAATACTTTCATTTTGCTAGAAAAAAAAAAAGAACAAGCTTTTCTTCGTTCTATGAAGTTCTCCTCAACGACATACATTCATTCGATAGCTGCCAAATTTTTTAGCAGAAATACCAAGCAATGCTTCAGCTTCGTGACAAAAGATATTTATCCATTGCGATCCAGTTGCGTCAGAGATTTCCGCCTAGAAAAAAATCCTTATCGTTTCCTCGAATTTCGCTCTCACTTCGCATCGTTCCTACCGAGAGCATATAAGCCCATTCGAAATTCGTATAATTTTTATTACACTTTTCACATCGATACATTCCATTATTCTCGTCCACGACCTTCTTTCCACATCCTTTCTCAGGACACATCTACATTTTAAATAAAACCGTCCTGTCATATCTTTTTTTAGTTTCCTTTCTGCTAATTACCATATAGACGGCGGAATCTTTCTTAATTATTGTAAGCAGTGCTTTCACATTGATATAGTCAGGTTTATCACCTCGGCCAAGACCTTCAGCAATAATCTGTGCTAAAGTCTTGAAGGGTGCTTGTCGATTCGCTACATCTGATCCTTTGGATAGATCAGGTAAATCCATTGTTTTTCCTTCTCGATCAAACCAGACTCGAAGTTCCATAGTACGTGACGTTTCCGGTGGATCTTGGCAAATTAACGTACTATTTACACTGGATAATGTTCGGCCGTTGTAATCACCAACTTTGATACCTTTGAAGGCAATGACGGGATGTGACGAACCATCGAATTCTTCAGCCTAAATAATACAACTCTATCACTTTATCAAATGTCTGTTAATGGCTGTACTTGTTTCGCCCATAAAGTAGCTGTGATGGAAGCATTTTCATCAACTAATAATATATCACGTTTATGGAATTCTTTCTGTGACGTTTTCCCCATAATTGTTTGAATATCTGACGTACTTTTAACGACGCCAATAACATCTAAATAAACATAAATGTAAATTTTTCTATTCCACTGATGGAGTTATCAGGACCGACCACAGACGCTATTTGCAGCTCGGTTTGCTACTTCACTAATTGGAATGAAATTAAATTGTATCTGAGGAATATTATCACCCTCTCCTGCATCACATGCTTCGATACATGTATCATAATTGAATGTCATTTCAAAATCGTTATTCAATTTATTGTATTGACGATTCACTGGTTTGAGCGATGCTCGTGCTATATAGTAAACCTGTATAGAGAAGACAAGTTTTGATTGAAATCGATTTCAGAGGAAATTCTCTACCTTGCCAACTTCTAGTAACGGGTAGATTTTATCGCATTCTACATTAAACGCTGTTGCACGAATTTCACCTGATTGATCGACGAAATCACAACTGAATAATTTTCCAGGACCACGTGGGTTCTCATAAGTTCGAATCTGAGTTTTGCTGCTTACACGGGCTTTGATAGTCCATCTAAGATTTCAATCTGATTGAAACAGTAAATATCTTTCGAGAAGAACCAACTTGTTCATGTAAGGATTGAGTTTATCAATATTGGTAATACGTTCTTTATCGATCGCATTGTTTCCTTTCGATGTTGCACAAGTACTGTCACTAGTTGTTTTCTTCGGAGTATTACGATCATCTAACGTTGTGGAACCTTGATGAGTAACGTTCGTCGTTGACGGCGGTGCTAAACAATGTTCGATTTCATAGAGACAAAAAATGAGGAACTTTCGTCATACCGGCAGTTGTTGCAGGTGCAGATCTATTACTTGCTGTTGCTAAAAATACTTCTTCATTGTCATCTTTTTTCGTTTGATAATTCGAAACTTTACCTGAAAGATTGGAGCTACTACCACTATTAATAATATCACTTAGTGGTAATGCAACTGGATCTCCAATTCGTTTAGAATCACTTTCGACGACCTCCAGTTCATAAATCATTAGCATAACTCTACAAGAAACTGTTTACTCGCTTGACAATGCTGAAAAAAAGAACTTACCGTCCAGTTCGCTTGTCAATTGTATTCACCATAACGCGTTGAATGCGAATGATCGAATTCTCTTTCAATGAATGGTTGTCAATTAAATGATTCATTTGTGTGCCCAGCATACAAGCTAAACATCGACATAGATCACTCTAGAAGACAAAATCATATCGATCTTACACGAAAATGTGCTTTTTCCATCGGATAACATTAGACGATAACGTTTAGTACCAGTCGGTGGATCGTCTGTTTTACTATCAATCGTTTTGATGCCCTACAGTATATTCATAGTAACATCTATGTTCATTTCAATTGTCAATAAAGACATACAACGACTTGTAATATCGCTTTTTCTTCAGTATTTCCATGTAAATATCTCTGAAGAAAAAATATACGATCAACAGAGACACAGTTGACAATCGAATCAATCTTTTACCAAAAGGGCACCGGTGGCGAGTTGCTGACTTGCCATTTTTTTTGTCAAAAAAAAACAATCTGGAATAAATATATTACACATTATTGCTATTTACAAATAAAAGTAAATTATTTAGAAACAAAAAATTCGATAAAACAAAGACTAAAACTGATTGCTAATGATTTGGAGTAAACGTTGACCATATTCACTATAATCAACATCACTGATTGAGACACATGACGTTTTCACTGTTGTCATATCCTAAAACAGAAATCGAAGAATAATGAACGAATATTGAAGGTATGACTTCAATTACATTGAAGGTTTCTTCATTGATACGCAAACGGAAGATTCTCTCATGACATGTACTCGCAGTTAAGTAATTTTGCATTAGAGTCTCATTATTCTGAAAGAGATGAACATAGTAATAGATCAATTTACATACAACACTATTTCAATTACATTTTCTTTAGCATGTGCGAATTGTTCAGCAGTTATATTTCCCATGAGTTGTTCACCTATTTGCCGGAAAAACGAAACCCAAATTGTACCAGTCGAATCAGCAAGTTCAGCCTAGATTGAATCGCTTTTTGTTTTTCATCACCGAACAAGAAAGGAATCTTACGCGAAGCATGTAAGTCCATTCGCAGCTTTTGAAATCCTTTTGACACTTATCACAATGGAAGAGACCTGATGACAACTTGTTCACTTTCCGAGCGCAATCATCGTTCGGACAACTCTAGAGAAGATGTTTTCTGTTTGCAGTTTCAATATACAAGTAGAAAATAACAAACCATATAGACCACTCGATCATTAGCGATATGCATACACATGGCTTTGACGGACACATAATCTGGTCGACCTTGGCGACCAAGTTTTTCATTTTCGATTTGTCCGATGGTTTTCCATGACGCTGAAAACAAACGAATAACGGCACGTTAATATGATTGGCAAATGAATAATTTTGTTGAACCTTCCGCTACGGGGCGACTTGTTGTGATCTGGGTAGTCGGAACTCTTCCACCAGCATTGTACCAGATTTTCAAATGTTTTGCTTCTCGAACATCGGGATTAACTTTGATAATCATATTTCTATGGCCAGATAAGCTGTATTCTACGATAGAACATAATAAACAGGGGAGTTCTCTAGAGGTGATTGTAATTTAGTTACTGTTGTTGTAGATTGCCACGCGGACGCGACGAAAGGCTACCACTGCATGGTTTTCCACTAGTTCTTCATCGAAATTTTCTGCCTGAAATCATTCCAATAGGCAGATATTCTTTCATTCAACTGAACTTACTTGATCATCCCAGAGGGTTACCGAGGTGGTCGTATGTTCGTCCACTATGGTGAGTTCCCGACGTTTGGAATCTTTATTTGAAGTTCGATTCGTGAATGGAATAGCATCGGAACATGCCTCGACGATTCCAATAACATCTTCATTGATCAGAAAAAGATATCAACACAAGATCGAAGAAACCAAGACATTTACCAATAAAAGATTCATTTGCATGTTTAGAAATATCTCGAAGTGGAACGAAATCGAAAAGTATATCGGGGATACTTTCCTCTATAGTAGGATCATCCACAAGACGAATAACTGAACCTGACGTTAATGTCAGTTCATAAGTATTATGGAGACTATTCCATCGTTTATCAGCAGCCTTCACTCGTGTACCAATAATATCATAAATCTTGAACACAATTCATATAACAAAGGTACTGTTTCTTCACACTGCTATTCACCTTTCCGATTTCAATCACTGGATGCCATCGAGTACATTCATCTCGAAACGCCACTACCCGAATTTCGCCACTAGCATCATGAAAATCAAAATCACAAACGGGATGAGGTCGTATGGGACTTTTTGCAAAGCATCGCGCACGAATCTTCCATCTAAAACCCTGATTAACCAAGTCATTTTAAACAAAATCAAAACTTACATTCCATTTAGATAAGGTGTAATCATTTCTATTGGACAAATATTGGTCGATGCTTGTTTTTTATTATTGTCCGTTGTTGTAACTGGTTGAGGTGAAACGGTCAGATCCATTAAGACTAAAAACGATCTAATAACAAATGACGATTGATAAATACTTCATATCATCGTTCAGCATACTTTCCAGTGCTTGTCGAGTTATGTACGACCTTTTCGAGTTTAACAATCGAATTTTCTTGCAAACGTTTTTCTTTAACCAGTTTGTTCAATTCAGGTGTCAATATACAAGCTAAAAAACGTGACTAAATATTCGCTCTCAAAACATCGGCATCAACAAACCATCGAATGTCTCTTCACCATCACTGATCGACAAACGGTATCGTTCCGCATCTATACTACTACTACTACTACTTGCTTCGGATGATTTACTAGGTTCACATAATCGAATGCTCTGCAAAGACATAACGAAAAAAAGATCTTTACGATTTCCCGTTTGTCTACTCTTACAGTAACTTTAACGGTAGCTGCTTGTTGAGTATTTCCATTTTTATATTGCTAAAAAATAGCTTATCTCAAGATTTATTCAGACAAATAGGATTGATGAACATACGGCAATTGCACCCGTAGTTAAGCCCGCTGATGTCATTGTGTCAAAAGCGCGAATCAATGCAGGATATTTTCTTTTTATATGTGTTCATTTCGATGCAATCACAGAGGGCGTTGTTTGACAATGTTTCGAAAAATATTCCAAACGCAATTTTATTCGATTTTCTTCTTGAGAAAATCTTTTTCTTGAAGTGAAATCCAATTGTTTACCGAAAAGTTCTATCAGACATCTGATTGGTCGCCTGTTATTTATTTACTTATATCATTGATTTTCTTCTTCTTCTCTATTGAAATTCAAGTGTTCTGAAAAGAATATGTTACCAGCACTACGTACCCACGCAAATTTAAATCGAATTCTTACACAAACTCTAGCTGCTCGACGACAGCAAGATGCATTTCGTCTACCGGCCAAAAATTCATCAGCTGTTAGCGTTCTTACCGATGAACAACGTGCACATAATCTAAAAATCTGGCCTGGTAAGCAACCGCTATGCTTAAGAAATGTGATTGATAAGTATACTTCTTTCCAGGTGTTCCTGAAGCAGTTCGACCATTGCCAATTGATTATTGCCCGATCGATCCGGTTGAATTCGATAAATTAACAGATCGTTTCAATCCACAAGTAAAGATGTGGAAATGGTTATCGTTACTTGTCGCTATTCCGGCTGTTGCTCTATTAACCTACCTGAATTTAGTTGTTCCCCAGGAACACACTCGTCCAGAATACAAAGATTGGGATCATTTACGACCGCGCATGAAATGGCCCTTCAAAGATGGAATTCATTCACCATTTCATAGCAAATGGTTCAATGCAATTCACTACGATGATAAAGGTTATGAAACAAGCGATGCTGAATTCTCCAAACATTTTCACCATGGCCATGATGCCAAACATTAGTTTAGTCCCAAACTAAGATGAACAGTTCTATTTTCCTTTTCATTCAGAAAAAAAAACACACACACATATACAATATTTCATTAATCTAAACGTTTCTGTAGGATGTTCATACAATAAAACACCAGCATACAATATCCATCCTTATTTTTTGGAAATATTGATAATTGTCCTAGTTTAATTTTAGATGACTCATTGTATTCTTGATCTTCCTAATGAAATACTTAGTATGATTGCTTTTCACGTCATTGATGGCACTTGGAAGAATGATGTACGTGATTTTGTCTCGTTTACATCAACATGCCGTCGTCTTCATACTCTGTCTCATGACGAACGATATTGGCATAAAATGGCTTTAAGACGAGACCCAAATAATGAAAGGCCAATTGATCATTTGACGTGGTTAGACTATTGTAAAAAAAGTAATATTGATTTTGTAAGGAAACTGAAGAGAAAAAAGGTAACAATTTTTTACTACATTAGTTTATCTCATGCGCACGATCTTGCGAAATGATATGAAAGATACTGTTAGCCAATACAATGAAGATTATGTTTGTACAATTCAGAAAGTTCTCTTATTTCCCGGTAAAATACGCATTTACATCGATGAACGTGGAGATAATTCGCTAGGTTTGTTACCAATTACTTGAAAACAGAATCCAAAGGCGCTATGTAAAACTTGATAGGTAGTATTCAAGAACCTACAACTTCCACTGTTGCGCTTGTTGATCCTGATATGTGTTATTACAATGAAAACGAGCGGTTATTACCCGACGGAAGTGAATTCTCCATCGCAGATACGAGATCACAATATCTAGGTACAAAGTTTACATCTTATCGTAGAGAATTTGCTTCGTCAGAATTTATTTCTCAGGTTTTTTGGATTATTCCGTAACATTGACGGCAGAGCATATGGATAAAACCTTTATATTTCGATATGGGCACTACGGGTACAGTGTTGCACGATTATTCGAATTGGACAAGACATTTATTGATAGACACAATCTTTCGCCTTTAATCAAACCGAATATAAATAATGAGTAAACGAGTACTTCTATTACGAAGAGTTACTGCGTGTTTTTGATACGATTACAAAAAAAAAGTGTCACAATAGAAAAATACGCTATGAGTGTTTTGCTCTGGCGTGATTCGTTCTTTTTCTTATTGAAACCGGCGTATTCTTTTTTTTTCTTTCTCCATTTCTTTTTCTCATCGTGGTCACCTGGTGATACAACGAAACGAATATTTAATCTTTCTATCTTTTCTTTTTTCTCTCTTTTCGTATGCGTATGTGTGTGTGTGTTTTTAAGTGAATGTAAAAACGCCGAATCATTCTCTTTTTCCAAACACATTTATAAAGATGATGTATGTAAGTGTATGTTTGCTCAGGTCGTCGTTTGTCTCAAGGACATGAAGAAAGGTATGTAGGCTTTATATTTATATATAATCTATATTTTTATCTCTAAATACTTTGTATTAGTAAATTAAGTCAGCGAATTGAAATGAAATAATTGCGATGCATATGACTCTAACTCTCATCATCGTTGTTTTTCTTTATCTCTTTCTTTTCGTTCTTTTAGATTATGCTTGACTCTATCCAGAAAAGCTTATCGAGCAATCGTTCTTCCCTTTTGTCGTCTGTCAAGAGTCGTACAAAAACGCGCTCTTCATCTATTCTCTCCCGTCAAATTTCCTCTACTTCTTTATTAAACAATATTACAAATTATCACCAAATCTTTCGATGTCCAACTGGACAATTAACCATGTTTATGATTGAAAATCAATAACGTTTATTACGCTCTCGTCCAATTCAAATCGATACCAAACATTTCATAACTCAACTATTACAATTCTTTTTCTCTCCTGTTTTCTTTCTTAATTATATTCCATAAATATGGCGTCCGATAATGATCTTGACAATTTCTTCAAAAAGAAGGATCGTAAAGCAAATAAACACAAAAAACAAGCTGGATTATTAACCAATAACGAAGAATTATTCAAACAATTAGGTAAATTTTCCTTTCGAATGCCATCATTGTCGTTATCGTGTTCTCTATTTCATTTAGTCATCGTTACAGAAGCAACAACATTGTTCAAAGAAACTATGGATTTAGATGATGATGCTCTTGACCAACAGGTACTCAATGAAGATATTACAGTGGGAACGGGATACACTGAAGATGCTCCTAAACATCATAAAACCAAACTTCCAGACACGAATAAACATTCATACGAACAAAAGGGTACTACGCTTTCGAAGACGACAGATGGACAACAACAACAGCAGCAACAACAACAAGACGAATGGGAAGAATTCGAAGCATCAAAATCGAAAATAGAAGAATTACGCTTAAAAATTAACGGTGGTAGAGATGCTGATGAAAGTGATAAGGATGACAATGATTATGATGAAGATAATCCGAATAACAATGATAACGATGCGGCCGCTAATCGTGAAAAACAGAAAGATCGACCCGTTTGGAGAATCAATGATACTAAAGTAGAAGAACGACAACAACAGCAACCAGAGCCAGTGGTTGAACAGAAAATTGAAGAACCAAAGCCGGCACAACCGTCAACTGGTGCATATCGTCCACCACAACTGCGTGGTGGCTCATCCATTACAGTTGTTGGTGGTGTAAATTCACGAGTTACAAAAAAGAAAGAACCAAATCTCGCTTCAGCTGACGAGTTTCCAACGCTTAAATCAACTGCGAATAAAAAATAAGCATGAAAATTCCTTTCCTTCATTCATTCGACAGTATTTTCCTTTGGTCGTCATTGGCATAGTTTGTTTTCTATTTTGCTTCAGTTTCTTTTTCTCTCTCGTTTTTGTTCAACTCCTACTCTGCTTTACTTTTCTCTTTTCCACGTTCCTTCTATTTTGTTTTTTTTTCGTTATCAAAAAAAAAGAAAAACTTTTTTGTCTCTATTGTTCCGTTTAACATAAAGTCTATTCTGTCATTTTCTTTTTCGATTCAAGAATACTTTTATATAGACGATCACGGACGATGTTCGCTTCTGTCCATCGGCCAAGCCAATCTTTTCTTCGACGATGTACACTCGGTTGATGATCATCTTGAAAATACTCTTTAAATATATCTTCGTTGTGAACTGTTTTCGTGTGACTACGGCGTTGAACAGGAATACCGCGACAAACAGTACTGCGTAGATCATTGCTTAGCGTAGCATAATCAGGATCGGTTGTTTTCGGTTGCTCTGGTTGCCGTTGTTGATAAGCAGGAGGTCTTTGTTTCACATTCGCATACAATAATTCGTCTTTATCTCGTTCAACTTTATCTCGATCTGCGAGAAGTTCAGAAGTGATAGTCGAACGAAACCGATGACGAATATTCTGGGGCACTTGATAACCGTTCACATCTGTATAGTAATCACCTTCGAGTTCAATGGCTCGGTAAGCATCGCAATTGTCTGAGCTACCCATTGTAGTCGAATGAATGTAGAAACAATTTGCAGCCATTCTTTTCGTTGTTTGCAAACTCATTACTATTGACAGTATTTGTTTTTTCTTTCTACAAAACTGATTTATCAATAGATGGTGCCATGGACAAGATCATGACCGAAAGAGAAAATGTTCATTTCCGACAAAAACATACATTTCCATATGCTATGGAATTCATTTACACCGACAACTAATTAACTTACCTTTTACGGATTAGTAATAGAATAGAAAAGATTCGATTATTCTTTCGAATAGGCAAAGACAAGGAAAATTTGATATGCATATATTTGTCGAGCAAGATTGTATGTATGTATGTATTGATATTCATTTTGGAGTACATTGAAATAAATTAAAGATACTCGATACTCGTCTAAACGTTCTTTAGAGACAAGGACGTGCTTTACAAGACGATGACCCATCAATTGCAATGTTTTGTATTGCCTATGTGCAAATGTTATTGTTCGATTTCATTATGACAATTACTGTATGTTATACGTCCAATAACATTGCCTACAGCCTAATTAGAGTCTTTGTTTCGATGAATACATAGTGTTAAGTGATATGTAGACGACGAGAACAGTGTATATTTACTGCAATAATCGGCACTGAGCTGTTTGATCTGAATATTTCGCATTCGCGAGTATTCGCGTAGAATAAACGCAGTTTATCTCGTCAATTGAATGGTTATTTGTAAATGAGCCGTTGTTGATTGATTAGTAATCTCGTTCTCTCTTACGGGTAGAAGCTAATCTTCTTGATGTTCTGTTGGCCTTTTTTCTTCTCTTGTTGAGTATCCTAACAATTTACTTATTGAATAGATATCGTTCACAAATGAACTTAACTATCGGTCAGTACAAGGAAAGCTGTGATGTGGCCTACGAGCAAACAGGCAGGCGTATTTGTACGATAGTATTGATTTAATGAAGATATGTAAAGTAGAGAAGAAGAGGAAGGAGAAAGAACGACGCATAGAAGAAAAAGCAGAAAGGTGGTGAACTTGTGGCTACTGCTGGCAATTGTTGCATGTCAAAAAGCTCATATTCTATCCTGCTAGTCAGTCCACCGAATCCTTTTTTTCTTTCTTTCTTCTGTTCTTCTGCATATGCGTCACTGAGATGTTTTTTTTTTTCTTTTTCTATTCTTCTGCTTCTTCTTCTTCTCTTTCTCCTCTTTTTTTTCTCCATCGCTGTTACCCATCCTATCAAGCCTTGTCGCCATCGGAGAGAACTATACAAAAATCGTCAAGAACGATAAATTGCCAGTCATTTTGTACTCGTTTTTTGGTATGTGTACAAACATCGTCTTGCGGTTTCTTAAAAGATAAAAATAGATTTTGTCCTTATCACTTACCGTCCGATCTACTCGCTATCTTATTCCATATATATGAAGAACATTACTTTAGCATTGATCATTGTTGTTTTAACGTGTTTCCTTTTTGAACCGACAAGATGTGCATTGCCAGCTTATTTACAAAATCTCGAACTCGATGATATTACTTCACTATGGGATAAATTTCCATCAATAATCGGTAAAATCAAAGAAGCTGGTACGTATAGTTCGATGAATGATAAACGAGTCTCTCTTTTTTTTTTTGTTAAATTGAAGGTCATCTCTTGCTATAAATCGCATTGAGTTGCTTAGAACGACATATGCAGTCTGAGTGCCTAGATGAAATGAAGCCTTTTTTGTCGATCGAAAATGTGTTTTGTTTGTATTTTATCAAAAGTTAATTATCAGCATTGACGGAGAGTATCGAAGAAGACGTTCGAATATGTTTTGTTAATAAACACTTGTCAATCAAGGTTGCATGAAATCGATAGTTATACTTATTTACATATTAATAGTATTGACGCGGAATGAAAGAAAAATGATTGAACTTGTTTGATTTTAGTCAATCGATTCCGTTGTCCCAAAGGCTGGAGACGTTTAGGTGGCTCTTGTTATTACTTATCGAATGTTACTTCAACGCCTAGTGAGGCCAATCAGACATGTAATTTGTTACACTCAAATCATTCAAACTTAATGCAAATTCGCAATACAGTGGAATTATTCTATGCCGCTCATGTATTAACGAAAAATAATCTTACTTCATTAATGATCGATATCGATCCTCTGCTATTGAAAGGTAAAGAAACAAGCAGAGACTAATTCAAGGAAATTATTCATATGTTGTCGCACTTGTCGTCTTCTTTTGCTTTTAAGGAAAGAGAATTGCCGAGATTTTGATGGATGATCAAGGTCGTTGGCAACGTATGAAGAATAAATTTCGTGAAGTTCGCGTTCGTTATTATAAATTAAAAGAAAAAGTAATTAATGAACTAAACGAAGCTGGTTTACGCATATCAAGGCGTTCGAAAAAGGTCAAACAATCGACTCGAAAACACAAACAAAAGTTCATTCATGACCATATCGATCCGGACGTTTACGATGATTATGATTATTACAAAGAGCAGAACATGACAGATGCGTATCCATCGAATTACACAACAGAACTAGATGAATACGAATACGACGATCTCGACTCCGCTGATGAAGGAGATGAATTCGAGCAATTGGAAGATATTCGAGGAATCTGTGATCAACTCGACTGGAATGTTATCAGCAATGATTCAACAGTTTACCTTCTAACGACATATTTAGTGTCAGATAAAATCGTTTGTTCATTGAGTAATGTGGAAGATGACACGGACTACGATCATGTATGTGAATATGGTACGTTTAATTTATTAATTTCGATTTTTTTTCTCTCCTATGCGACTTGTTTGAATTCATCTAGTACTTGATTTTTGCTTTGCAAATATCGTATGTGGCAAACATGGCCGTTGCGTAAATACATTATCGGGATTCAAGTGTTCCTGTTCGTTTCTATATGGTGGTCTTCTCTGTGAAAGAAGTAAGACTTATTTTATTTTAGTTTGCAAGAGAAATGTTGATTAGAATGAAGGAAAAAAAAACTTTCGAGATAAAGAAATGTGACATTTGTACAAAGGTATACATCAGTCATATTTGCTTGTCAGAGGAGATATTTTTCTCTCAAGGTCGTCCTTTGTTGACATATACATTATACTCAAGATAAGACAAAAGGAAGTCATCATTTAGAGAAAAAGAAGCAATTAAATCTGACGGATATTTAACTTGAAACGATGTAAAAAAAAGGATATCTTACCTCTTCAAGTCGATGACGTAACATATTCTTTCATGCTAAATAGTTCAAAATCTGTAAAGAAAAGAAAAAGCATTAAGTAGATGACATACCACTTTACATTTCTTTTTATTCGTCGTGTAATCTTTGCCAGTACATATTTCAAAATGCCTCATTGGAGTGTTATGAATAGAATATTATCTGTTTGCCCGGAGCACATGCAGATAATATCCTTCAATTATTTTTAGTTTCGAAACAAGGCAAACAGATCTTGATCGGATTTATTTTGATCTTTGTACTTTATGGTTTGTCATTCAAACCTGTCCGTTGGATACTATTCGGGTGTTTCAAACAGAGTCGAGAGTAAGTGTTCGGATTGTACGCTTGTAAGATAGTCTACGTTGATTTGTAGTTTTTGTAAATATTGTCTCAAAGTTCAGAAGAAAAGAAAACAAGCGAAGAGAAAGGAAACGAAAGAAGATAAACGACGATTAGTGCCAAGTCAGAAGTAAATATGAAATATTGATTTGATATTAAATTCAATAATGTTTGTACAGAAGCGAAAATGATATTCAAACTATTGCGAAGATTCCATTATCAGAGTATCATGTCGAAGATCGTCGGCAGACTCTCGCTCAAGAAATTATGGATTTCATGTAAGTGATTTCTTTTCTTTTCATATATTTGTCTTTCAATATAAATATATATGTATATATATTCATATCCAATAGACGGGATTTTTATCGATATTTAACGTATGCCAATTTCTAGCAATTTTCTTTCACATGCTAGTTTTTCTTTTGTTTATTCTTAATTAAAACTCAGCTGTAGTTGAAATAACTCTTAGTTTTCTTACGTGTATCAACTATTTTCTTTGAGTGTTCTGCATTTCTCATTTGATTTTCATTCGTTTTCTGTTTAGTCTACCACACAATGTTGGTCCGCTAAAAAGCCCGAATAAACGTGATCTGGTTCGATTGTGCTGGGTTGGTGGATTGAGTGTATTCTTCTTATCACTGCTATTTATCGTGACAACATACACGCATTTCTCATCGTATAGATACGATATTACAGATGAGACACGATTAGATCTGCTAGTGAATGATACGTTACGTTTAGTAACACGATGTGAAAACATATCGGATTATCGATTGGGAAACTTAATCTTCTTCCCCATTGCATCGGCTTTAATTTTAATATTTTCCTGGTCGATTAAACGAGAAAAACGATGTACAGATCTTTGTGATGGTCGACCGGGTAAGATTTAGTTTTTGCTCGGATATAACTTACGAAGAAGTATGTAGGCTTGATCGCCCCAATCGAACCATTTCGAACAACAAATCGTTTTACTACCGCCACAGTTTTCGGCATCCTTGCATTTGAAGTACTGAAAATCTTTGAAGAACTGCTATTTAGTACAGGTGATCCACTGAATCAGGGCGTTCTTATCGAATTACTTATCCGAATAGCAATTGTTATTCTTGTTGGGTAAGAGCAAATTCCTTACATTGATATCAAATAGATAAACAAATTCTTTTCTAGACTGCGATATTATCCGGTGCTGGCGTCATTACAATTACGTAATATTGCTGTACGATTTTTTGTTTGTCTGTATATATTAGGTGATATTATTTATGCAATTATTCGCGAAGGCTCGTGTATGGGCTTTTTACCATTATCAAGATACTACTCCGCTTTGGAAGAGGCAAAATTACGAGTGGTACGTTACCTTTTGATTTTGACTAATAACTGTATGAATGTTTTAGGAGCTTGGCACGTGGTTTATCATCTACGGATTAATAAAAAACACTCCACATTTTATCTTGTTGTCGTATATTGGTGCCGAGCTATGGGTACGTTTTGCTTACGATTCCATCTATGTTCCAATGAAGAAAAAGCAAAGTATATGGGTGGCACCTGTTGTTCAACATGATGAATCTGAATTTGCGAAATATTACGTTAAAAAATTATTTCGACGCAACCTGCCGACGGTTCGCACGAATTATTCGACAAAAGCGAATATAGACCAATTGGAAGATTTCGAACATGAAAATCAAATGTTAAATAAAGACAATGACTCACGTGTGAAAAAGTTTTTTCGTTCAATTTATCAATGGGATGATGATTTTCGTTTTACCACAATGGCAACTTGTACATATACCGTGGCAATCGTTTTTCTCTACTATTTGGCTTGCACATTCGTTTTTCTGTATATCTCTCGAACTACAGGACATATCTCATTCGTTCGATATTACATTGAAAGCACATTGAATATCGGTGAGTCATTTCTTCGTTTTCGCTGATGCAATTTTAGATGTTTTTTTTAATCATTTGAATTCTTTAGAATTCAAAGGAATATTTTCGTTACGATTAGAAATTATCGCTAGTGCGGTTATCACTGTTTGCATCTATGGATTTCAATTATATATTGGCATGCAAAATTATAAAAAACATCGCAAGGATCTATACAAAGGTATTTACGAAGATGTGCCATCAGCAGCGAATTTCACTGCGAATTCCATAGCATCGAAATCGGTTCATTACTCAGGCTTTCTCGTTGGTTATATGGCTTGGGGATTTGTGATTTGTTTTCATCTGATCTTTTTAATTCTCAGTTTCCTTCGAATTATCTCTTTGCAATTACGTTATATTGAATTAGTGCTCACTTTTACCGTGCCTGTTCTGGTGGTTTACTTGCTAAAAATGGTTAGTACATCGTCAGCAGGAAAGTTCTTCTTTATACAAGATATGGATGAAAAGTTAAATTTGAAAAATCGGAAAACTTATGCCATATTCGTCTATTTCAATTTCTTTGCTGGTAAGAAAGAAGTTTATCGAAGAGAAAGAGAGAAATGATGAATATTTTTTCTTTCGTGATAAAATAGATTGCTTCCTCGGTATTGCGTCGTGTATCATCCGTTTGATCAAAGCGACCGCACTGAATGTTGTATACATGGCCCGACTTGACTGCAGTTTTCTTGGACGGCCATTAGAAAAATTTGGTGAGCCATCCGCATCTCTGCCAAAGAGGAAATAGTTAATCTTTTGGTTTAGATCTTGGCTTCGCTGCGTATGTGTCCTACTTACATATGGAAGTCACACATACCAATCCTATTATGCTGGGTAAGAGTTGTGCACAATTGAGTTCTTATGTTGATTTGTTTCTTATAGCATTTTGCTATTCACTGTATGACGATGTTATTCAACGTCGACCGAAAAGGTGTTATGATGATGAGTGTTGCATTGCCCCAGGTGAACTGGACGATGATGTCCATGTAGTTCAGGAAAGGACGATAGTTAAGAAGCCGATGGAAAAGCCAACTCGTAATGGAAGTAAAACGATACCGCAGAAGACAAAAGTGGACGCACAAGAACGCATAAAGCCAGCGAAATCAAGCATTAAAAAGCGAAACTCCATTGCCAGCGGCAACGGCAGTAATGACGATGATGATGAGCAAGGTCTTTCGATAAGAGAGACAAAGACACAGAAAAAATCTCCAAGTCCATCATCGGTAAGATTCATGTAAAATACGAAGACATATTCATTCTTGTGCATACTATTAGAATTCGGACAGAGACAGTCAGAAATCGAAACCACGGAAGCCAAGTATTGATAATAACATTGCTGAAGAAGAAGAAGAAGAAGAAGGAGAAGATGGTGGTCCTACAACACCAGAGATTTCTACGATAGCGCGACTTATTCCTCAACAGCGACCTGTTTTACCATCACTATCGGATCTTCCCCCTGCAGTGCCTCCTCGTGCAGACCTCTCATCAGAGAACGAACAGGACAATGATGATAATTTTGACGATGACGGCGGAATAAAACCACCATCTATATCTTCTATATCAAAAATAATACCTCAGCAACAGCCTGTGCTACTACCCATTCCACGATCATCACCACCGCGTGCACCTCGACGACAAGACTTAGCGGAAGAAGAATACGATGATGATGACGGTGGTATTAATCCAAAGTTGATTGCTAGACAAAAGAAAGAACTTGAAGAGAAGAAAAAGAAGAAAGACGCCGAGAAGAAGAAGAAGAAGCAACCGAATCGTGCAGATGATGATGATGACGATGATGGTGGCATTTCAAAACGTGAACGAATTGCAGCTCAAAAGAAGAAGGAAGAATTAGAGAAGCAGAAGAAAGAAAAGGAACAACGCAGAGTGAAAGTTAAACAAGAAATCGATGACGATGATGATGATGGTGGTGTGTCGAAACAGAAACAGATCGCTGCTCAAAAGAAAAAACAGGAATTAGAAAAGAAGAAAAAAGAGAAAGAACGACGAAAAGCGAAAACTAAACAAGACAACGATGAAGACGAGGATGGTGCACCAAAGCGGCACGAATCCATCAAGAAGAAGCCCTCGAAGGAAAAAGTTTCTAAACCAGCACTCGTAAAAGAAGACGATGAAGACGATGATGGCGGCCGTATTGTTAAAACCTACGACACGGTTAGAATGATTATGCCAAAGAAAAAACCTGCATTCGATCGACAAACGACAAAACAATCGTCACCAGAAGCACTCGACGATGGCAGTATGCTGACATCGGCACCAGTACAAGAGTTATTATTGACATCGTATGATACCGTAGGCCAGATAGTGCCGAAGCTTTCCACGGCTGTTTCACGAATCAAAGAAGAAAATCATTATGACACTATACCTACAGATGAAGAACGTGCTGCTCGATTGAGCAATGTTTATTCTCCACCGCCATATGATCAAGCGTCGAAATCAAGTGATTTGCATTCTCTACGAAATGTATCCTATCGTCAAGCTCAACAAAGTACACCTCCACTAACTCAACGACGTTCGACTAATTCGTCGTTGACACATGGTCATAGTAACACGAATGATGATAGTAGTCATTATTCTGAAATTATCCAGAACACAGTTCCATCAGGAGTTATCAATCGTTCCTATTCTCATACAGGATCCATTCAATCTTCGTCGAATAATTCCATAAAGCAAGCAAGTAAACGATCATCACAGAACGCTTTGAAAGAAGAAGAACAGCAAACGGAAGAATCGACTGTGGAAACTGACCAAGAAGAAGAATCTGAAGAGGAAACTGGAGAAGAAGAAAATGTTGATGAAGAAGAAGACGAGGAAGAAGAAGAAGAAGAAGGAGATGATGATGATGATGATGATCAAGAAGATAAACCATTGGGCAAACCTTTACCAGGCAAACAGATCGTTGTTGACAACATATCTACAGCCTATTCGACTCTCGCTCATATGGTTGACCCAAAGGAAGCTCGTAAATTAGAGAAGATTCGAAAACGCAAACAAGCACGTTTTCGTTGGTTTCTTGCATATACAATACTTAACAATTATCACCTATTTGATCTAAGGAAACAAGCACAAAACCGTCTTGCTCTCTTACGTATACAACGAAGCAATCTAATGGATGAACAACAGCAGCAGCCGGTACAAGCGGCTGCCATTATACCCACTTCACAATCTGTCCCAACAATTATTGCTCCTGAAATGATACAACGAAGAGTACAGTATGTGCTCGAAAAAGTTTCAATTCTATTGATGAGTTACATTTTCCCATCTTTCTTAGGGTGACAACACCGACGCCGGAAATACAAATAGCGCCTGCAATACGACCTCAAGCAATAAATCGTCTGCTTTCAGTACCTTCAACAGTCGTTCCTGCTGCTGCTGCTGACAATTTTCCTCAGAGCCCAGCAGAACGATACATTGCTGTTCGTTCACAAATGCTATACGATGTTACTGCACAACATCCGACTACATCTCGCTCCAATGCATCTTCAATCATTAGTCAGGCAGCAAAATCTGATTTCGCTCCTAAGGCGCGTAGCTCGCAACTACCGACTGTCACCATTCAACCACCATCGTCGACATCTGGCAGTGAACTTAGACTGAAACGCCCGGCCTATCAACGTCAAGCGTCTCTTGACCCAACACATATCGTAACATCTCAAAACAATGGTACACCGATTTTTCAGGGTGTTCCTGAATCGAATCACTCTACAGCTGACTATCCTATCACAGCTGGTTCTTCAGTAGCAAATCTGTCAACATTACGTACACAAATGAGTCATGCCCAACATATGCAAGCATGGCGTCAACAACAATTAAGAAGAGCTCAAAAAAAACATCCGCATTGTTATGTATACGGTCCACCACCTCAACGACCATTGGAAGAAAAAGTTGCTACTGCTACTATTCTCACTCCTCAGGTTATTGAACCAGTTAGCAGTGGCATTCAACGACTACCAAGTAGATCACCGTATCGATTTCCACTAGAAGTCAATCCAAATGGCGGGAAATCCAAAGCCACTTCGACAGTTAACAAAACCAAACAAGATAAATCTGTTCAAAAGAAATCATTACGAACATCATCTGCTTTAGTTAACCGAAGAGAATCACAAGGTAGTTTATCGAATGTTACAGAAGTTTAAACTTTGTTATTACATGATAATGTTTTCATGTAAGCAGTGTTGTTTTTTTTGTTTCTATATTTTCATATTTAGGGCTTTTTTTGTATACTTCTTTTTTGTACTTTATCAAATAAAAATCATTAAGACATACGGTGGATAGTTTATCGCAATAGGATGACGGTGAAAACTTTACAGAATTCTCTGGATGAATTCGCACTAGTAGAACTTAAATCATGTTGAAAGACATGCTGTGTAACTTACTGAGGGGAAATGATACTTTCATATGCAAACATGGTTATATAGATGAGAAAAACAAGTTCGAAAAGATAACATAAGAGATAGTCAGCTGATTACTTGAGGGTCAATTCTGTAGATATTTATAAAAACAATTCAGTAAAGAAAAACTCGGCGCAATGATACATAATAGTTTGAAAACGAACACAAACTTTTTCCTTCAAATGATTTGTTGTTTCGTATGTTTCTTCGGACGCTGTTCCTGAGTATTTGCATATTGGTGCTGAGAGCTGAGTGAAACCATTTTAGTCTCGGACGGAATTGAGACTACTTAGATCTAATAGACTGGCGTTAGGGTGGCTAATGTTGTACTTTTAAACATTTTCGTGAGACAACGAGATATTGATACTCTCCTGCATCTTGGCAACATCGACGAAGGACGTGACTCAGTCAGAATGACTTTGAGGAAGTGATGTCTGTCGAATTGCTTGGGCTTTTTTGTAACGGTCAAGTACTTTCTAATGATTGCCTATGTTATCGTAGGATAAAGCTAAATGAGGGTGAGTCGGAAGAAGTAATGTTAATTGAATTTTAAGAACTTTCTGATAGCTAGAAAGGACTTCGCAATAATTTTTCTTGCTGTGATATGATGTAGCTCGGTCGGAATGAGTAGGAGGAACAGATGCTTGCCAAATTGTCAAAGTTTCCTCGTAATAAAAGAATGCTGTTGCATTGTTATTCATATTATGATGCACTGCAGCAATGTGATCGTTTAATGTGACTAGATCGAAATGATTTGAGGGAAGTGACTTTTATCGCATTGCAAGAGCGTGTTCGTAAAACTAGTGATTCTTGATTGTTACTCAAAAGCTTGTATATAGTGCCAAGTCTGTCGTGTAGAAAAAAGCGCTTTCAGATAGATACTAATGCTATGATATAACACGCCAATATCGTTGAGGAATGCAGTCAAATCGACATGGATAGGAGTAACACTCCTTCTGGAATTACTAGCGCTTTGATGTAGGACGACAGTACACTCGAATAGTTCCCCATGTAGTAATAGACTGCTTCTGTATTGGTGTAACGTGTGGTTAAGTCAAGATGAAGAGGAAAAAGTGATTGTCGCCCGATTGCAAGCGCCTTTTTGCGAGACAAAAGTGCTTTTGAGTTGTCACCTATGTTTCAATAAGCTTCACCAAGTAGAATGTCGGAAATCCCTTTTGACTTATCAAAGAGTCCTGTTTGACATAATACTAAGGCTAGCCAATGTCATGGTACGTAGTTTGGAGAACTCTTCTTTCGAACTCGATTCGTCAGTGCGCATAGCTCTGAATCATTGTCGTTCGCTAGAGATAATTGCACTTCATAGATTTGATCACTTTCTTCTATCAAGTTAACATCATGAATACGAGATACACTGAGCATCGTAAAGAACACCTGATCTTCGCTCTTGGTAGTATTGTAATCACGAACCAAAGTAAACGGTAATCTTGACTAATAAGAATCGATCTGCATTATGGGCAGAATCGCTATTAAGTGCGGATTACCTATCACAAGTTTCGCATAAGCTATTGAGACTTGTCTAAGTTTTTTGGTGATAGATAAGGAACTGTTGAAGGAAAGAAGTCCACCTCTGATTTGCTGCAAGTAGTCAAAATCTAATTTGGAGATACCTTGGTCATGACACACTGCGGGCACTTGTGCAGTAGTATTTTCATTCTGATGTTCTTGGTGTAACTTTTCAATGCATCGATGTACATCGTTGATATAGAAACTCACTCGTATGATGATATCGCCATCCATGAGTTGCAGAGCACGATGAAGCATACGATAGAGAAAACAACCACATGTATACCAACACATGGACATTCTCTTAGAATAGCGTCGTTCAAATGGTAATGTGTAAAAACATCGAAAAAAAATCTCGAAAAACAAAATCTCGAAAGATTAAAACCTCGAAAAAAATGAAATTTCGAAATATTTATATGGCGAAATTGAGGGTGAGAGTGAGCGTAAGAGTGTGGGTGAGGGGTAGGAGTAGAGGCGAGTGTGTGAGGGTGATGATGACGGTACCAAAACATTCAATATTCTACTTTTTTAGTTTCGATATTTTCTTTTCGGAATCATGCTTTTTCGAGATTTTGCGTTTCGAGATTTTTTTTCGAGTTTTTTTATTTCGACCTTTCTTTTTTCGGGGTTTTTACAGCAATTCGTTCAAATTCGTTCGTACGACAGTATTGAATGTAGGCTTTGAGGTCTTTTCCTTCGTAGTTAATGGTTAATAAAATTTCTTTGAATATTTTCGTATAAACGAAGGACGGATGTAATCAATTCGCATTCATGCCACGCTCAGTGAAGCTCACAGATATACAATTCCGTTCATACAGTCGAGCTGCTTTACGGACAGCTACCACATCGTTGAAGACACCTTAAATTTTAGGTCATGTATTGAACTAAGGATCAATAATCGAATCATCATAATCAAAGATAAAGATGGAATCTACCCGTGGCAAATGACGTATATGAGTCAGGATACTTTCTGCAAATATGTCTCTGATGATCGTACAAATCTTACTATCATTGATGCGGAAATCCAATCAGATCGGAATGACATTTTGCACTCCTCCCCAGTAGACGTAGTTATTCTGATCTGCTTTACTCGTAGCAGAAAAACAACTTTTCCTTGCTGTTGTGTATGATTGTCGCGCGATTAGGTTCCCTGGGTTTCGAAGAAAGTACTAATAGTAGTGCGAGAGTGATGAAGTGAGTTTTATTTCAATGTTTTTACCTCCATTTGCGAAATTTGCGTACTTTTTAAATACATGTAAAAAGCATAACATGATGAAACGGAGAGTGCAAGAAAGAAATAGGTAAATCGATGACGAACGGCTCATGTGCTATCAACGAACAACAACATAAAGAACGAAAGATTCGTCATTGAGCATTTTTTTCTTGACAATTTTGATGCACATCAATGGATTCGTCGAATATCTGCAAGCAAGTATTCTTGTGTGAATAAGGTGTCTACATTTCGCTGACAAATTAGATAAAACTGCACTGAATGGCTTATGTTTTTCTTTCTGCGTTGATTACATACATCACAAGAAAATACACGTTTTGTTTTTCGATATTGATTGTATTTACAAAAGTACGTTTTAAAACACACAAGCACACGTCTACTGAAGAACGAAATAATGTTATCAGAAGTTAACAACATTGAAGGAGATTGGAATATTATCGATTATTCACAACATCCTGAATGTATTGGATGTCAATTGGAGATAACACGTGATGAGATAAATCCTGACATTTTTCACGTTCAAGTGCGTATTATCAATACTATCAAGTGCGATTTTCGATACATAGCTGACATTGACCTGTGGGAGCATTCAACTGTTGTATCAACAAAGATGGCTGGTCCGTTGGAAAAATTAAATCAAGAACGCGTGATTAGCAGTTTTATTGACAGTATCGAGAACCTAGAAGTTCAAGGTGGAGTGCAATTAATTGCTCGAACGGTTGATGGGGATCTCATTTTATTAGAACATCCTCGAGAAGAGAATCAAATCATTAGCAGCCAATAACTTGCTCGAAACATGATCTTGTATTTTATCTTTTGATTTTTCATAATAAGTTTAAAAAAAAACAAATTAAAATCTGGCATAGTGTCAGATTTCTTTTCCACGGATAGAGTATGTTCGTCCACTATATCTGACGTTACGAAGTCGATTCATTTAGAAAAGTTATCATTTGAGTATTTCGATGACTTGAATTCAACTGCTGTTGATTGTAATATTTATCAACTATTTGTTTGATCTCATCGAGTAGAAGTAAGGATGAATATTGTTGAGAAATACTGGCGTAAGCTGGTAAATGTGACCAATGATCGATGGCTATTTTGTGTTGATTATCCCAGCCGTCGAGTAAGTCGTCAACATTGTTTGAAGTAAATAAACTATGACGGTCTGAAATAATCGTAGGGGATACTCTTTTATCATCTATCCACCATCCGTACCTAGAGACGTGATTGTCAGATTCATAGCAAACCTAATCTGTTCACGAATGGCAACCAAACGCTGTTCTTCTACTGTTCGTAGTTGAATAGATGTTCGTTGATATACTTCTAAGAGTTGCTCTTGATATTTCCCTTCAGTTAAATAAAGGCATATTGTAGTATTCCAAAAAAAAGAAGTAATTCAAACCTGACTGAGAGTGATCCGAAGAGCGTTTCTGATATTTGTTCAATGCATTTTCCAACTCACATTTGGATCGAGTGATTTTGTAAAAATGCTTTCGAAATGAAGCAAGAGTTTTGTTTGCTTCTCGCAGAATATTAACCTTCGCTCGAAGTTCACTAATCTGCTCTTGTAAACTAATCACATATCTGAACAGAAGTCACAGTCAGCGAACACTTGATTTCACATGAGAATACCTACCGCATCATATCCTGTCGGTAAACACCATACAAACCATGTTTCTGTTGTAAAGACAAGAGAAATTGATCAGTATATCTGAGAAGATGTTTGAGAAAACTGGTGTAAACTGTAATAAGTTCTGCATTTTGCTCGTAGAGAAATTTAAGGAATTGTTCACCTTGATCTGCTCGATCTATCATTGCGTATGGATTAATCAACACATATTTCTTCAATTTCACCTTTACATGTTGTGTCTCAGATTGTTGCTGATTTCGAATCGAAATAGGAGAGTTAACATCACTAGTTTGAGATTCTTTTGATTCATTCGATCGTGATACTTGTGTTTGTTCGTCAATATAATTATTATCTAGCGAATTTGGACATTGAATGGACACTTCATTGAACGCTTTTTCTGTTAAATCGACTGTGGCTTTGTACATGCAATTTTTATGGTAAGTTTGAAGTATCAAATTAGGATCAATAATCGCTTTACGTGATAATGAGGAGAAAAATGAAGATTCATGCATATGTGTATAAATGATTAGCTGCATTGGCGCCGAGCTATTTATTCGAATCAAATTCACTTAACTATCATAGAAGAGAGTGAATCTGAATGCATTCGAGAATTTTTTTGTGCGGTTCAGTCGCAAATAAGAAGGAGAGCATTAGGATAATGACAATCATGACTCCGAAAGTTCATTTACCGGTCAAAAGATTTTGAATATAAAGTAATGAGTACATCTGTGTTTTCCCCGATTGTTATTTCATGGGGATTTTGCTGGGGGAAAATTCTCAGGACTTGATATATTGACATTCTCGATAAAATATTATCAAACACATTTCACGGTCATATTCGAACAAAATTACGAAGTTGAATTATTTCTGAACTCATCGCTTAATGGCCTACCCGTCAAGAGCTAACACAATGGTTCGGAAGAATGCGAATGTGACTAATCAGTGATATTTTATTGAAAACAAATGAAACAACAACAAAAATGAAGTTACGCATTTCTCTTATGAGTTTTCTTTTCGCATCTGCCTTTTAAATCATTGATTTCACCTCTCATATTATCAACAACTGCTTTCAGGCGACGATTTTCTGCTCGAACAGTCTCAGTAGCATCTAAAAGCGCCGTAAATTGTTGCTGAATTCCCGAAGGATTCTTCTCGTACATGACTGCAAAGCACTCTTGCAAGCTATGCTTGGTCTCCGGTGATCGTCTTGATATAGGCATTTGACAAGTTTGACATGGAATCATTTCGAATTCGCAATACCGTTCATGATCTTCCAAATCGTAATAGTACGGCGTTTCTTGACATCCATTCGGAGCATATGCACAACGAATTGACAATCTGGCTAGATCAGTGACAAGGTCAGTAGGTAGTGACCCTTCTTCGAAAACTTCACAATTGTTCCTTCCATGTCGAGGACGTTGAGCACCTAAGAATGTTGTGATTTTATTAAAAAAGCCAATTTGAGGACGGCAACTGTTGCAGAATATATTTTTACAATTTTGACAACACACTGGTCTCAAAACAACATTACGACATTCCGTACAGAATAATTTGTCGTTGCCCGTCGCTTCTGTGCTCTTACCAGGAACAATACGATTTCTATGAAGTTGATCTATTTCAACTGTAGATCTGAGATGCGTTCGCTGTCTTTGATTCTATGGTTGAGAAATGTCTGACAATGTTTATTGGGTCAAGGACTATGTATGTGTACCTACCTCATCTGAAATAATGCCTCGTATGACTAAGGCTGCTGTTTGTTCATCTAAACACACAGACAGATATCTCACACCCATCTCGATTTCTTTCGGTCTTACGTTGTGTTTGTTGAATTTGTTCTCTGAGTCGTTGAATTTCCAGTTGTGACTCACGTTTAAATTGTTCAAATTGTTCTCTAAGATAGATTTCATCAGCATATTGTGTAGGACCATCGTTTGACTCGGAAACCATTGTGCAATTACCAGATGTGGTAACAGCTGCTGTACATCGGGATCGATGTTCAGTAAGATCCTTCTGTAGCATTTCTTCTGAACAATTAGTACACTTTACCGGCCGGTAATTGCAGGTTAGCTCATGTTTCTCCAGAGCATCATATGAAACATCCTACTTATATCCACAATTCACTCACTGAAAGAAAGCAAGCGCAATCGAACTCACTTCATTACAACCATTTGGTTGATAAACGCAAACAATTTGCAATTTAGCCAATTGTCTTGCGATAAATTTCGAACACGGCCGTTGAACGAAAGTATCGCATCGTAACGGACATTGATTCGGATTCTTTTCTAACCACTTTGTAATGCATTTTAAACAGAAATGGGTCTCGCATTGTTGACAAGAGACTGGTTTCCACAGAACATTTTCACAGATAGTTGAACAATGAATATCATTCATGTCAACGTCTGTTGAAGAACGAATACGCTCAGAGATCAAACCTATGTCGTTTGTTGACGCCATCATATTCATTGCATGACACCTGTGGTAGGCCTGTATTTATTTGCGTTTAAAGGATGATTCAGGCGTTCTGTGACTAATGCATTTCATCAGAATGCAGAAAAATATCTGTCCAAACATGTCTTTTGCCATGCTGTACTACTGCGTGAAATTTGAGCCAATAGGCAACTGCAACATAGAAGTTACATCGGTCTGTTTTCTTTTTATGCGTAGCGATGTAATTGCGTAGACCTGACGAAGATATTAATTAATCGATATTTTCTGGGCGTAAAGACGCCAAGCATGGCTTTGATAATGTTTTCAGATGAGGGAGTGAAATATTGATGTCTTAACTGAGAGAAGAATCACATGAAAAAGATGGTATATAGTGGTTTGATGGAATGTAGACATATGCTGCAGGTGGACGGTGTACGGAAAGAAGAGCTCGCTATACACTAAAAGTATTTCTGATAGATTTTATGAAATAAGAATTAAATGTTCTTGATCTTGAATGAATACATATTTATATTAAAAAAAAGTGTTCTTGCAGACAAGAACTAATAACCACGAACACGAAGAGTGTCGTTTTATTTCGATGCGTAGCCGTTCTAAACAAGTTCATACAAAGGAACTAGTGAGTTCAAAATACTAACTTCTTTTGAAGCGCAGTCTATTAATTTTGGAAAAATGATTTGTTTGAAATACCTGGTACCCGAACTTCTTTATTATCGTTCTTGAGTTCGTCATGAGCGTCTTCATCACTACTGCGGTTGAACTTACGTTAGTAAAAGACATTCTATGAATGAATGAATGAATGATTCCAAGTTTCGAGTGATAGAAAGCAGAATACACATGACAATGTACAGGCGTATATCTATTATTTCCTACTAAGTTTGCGGTTCATTGGAGTCTCAAGAATTCAACCTTTGATCGAGAATCGAGATTTTTTCAGGTGAATAACCTACATCTCATCCCACTTCATCATTTCGAACTTTGGACTTTGGACTTTGGAGAAACAATTCTTTAATATTTTCTATGCAAATGTCGGAGTGATAAAATTGAATAAAATAATCAAAATGTCCGCAACCTTAAATAGCATTCTTCGCGAACTGAACAGAAATTTTTGTTGCACATTCCATTTTGTTTTTGTTCATTAATCAGTCGAGAACCAGACGAATCTACTATAATGGATGTTACTTGTATCCTTAATGCATGTTTCTTTCGAGAATTGTTTTCATGAGTTGTTGTATATCATTGGTGACATGATTGTTTCGCATGTCCAATATAGTCAGTGTCTAAAATATAGAACACCGAGTAAAGAATCAGATGTATGTTTGATTCATATTACAGTATTCTTCTGAAGACCATATAATAGATAGTGCTCTCCGCGAATGGAGATGTTGTTATTACATAAATATAGTGCAATGAGTGTCTTAAGAACCGATTGATTAGAGGAAAAATCTGAATGAAGAATAATACTTTATTCCGTTTTAAGGCATCGGCTAAATAATCTGCTCCGGAATCGCCGATTTGATTGTTTTGGAGTCCTAAGATGGTAAGTGTTTTATTCGCTCGAAGAGCATCGGCGAGATACTGTGCTCCTGCATGACCGATTTGATTATTTTGTAAATAAATTGCATTGAGTGTCTATCACACAATTGCGAAACAAGTGACCTATTAGTATGCAAAATATTACTTTATTTCCTTCTATAGCTTTTGCTAAGTGCAGTATACCTTGATCGCCAATCTGATTATGTTGAAGATCAAGTGTAACAATTGTCTGTTAAGTTAAAACGATGATGTTAGTGTAGAGCTGACAATAGACTCGGACAAAAATATAGTATACTTCATTGTGTTGTAAAGCTCGTGCAAAGTATTGTATTCCCTGTTGTCCAAGTTTGTTATGGCTCAGATGAATTACCGTCAGTGTCTAAAAACGGATGAATATAAATGATTTTATTAGTAATTTTATTACTCTGTTTGTTTTCATAGCATCAGCCAGATACTGTCCTCCTAAATGACCGATTCGATTGTTTTGAAGATATAATCGAACGAGTGTCTATGGAAGAGAGATACTATTGAAATCAAACGTCAAAGTTATTTATTAAATCACTTTATTGTTGTGCAAGGCATCTGCTAAATACCGAATTCCAACATCACTAATCTGATTTCCTTGCAAGTCCATTGTTGTCAGTGTCTATACATGTATAATGCCAATGGCTGAACTGTTAAATGAATAGAATTACCTGATTTTGTACTAAAGCATGGGCAAGATGCTGCGTGCCTTCATCGTTGAGTTTATTATTACTCAGATAGAGTGTTGTAAGTGCCTTTACAAAGAATGCTGTAAAACGACAATCTGTGTAAATGATAGAATTACCCTATTTCGTTGCAAAAAGTTGACTAGATACTTCGCTTCTTCATGACCAATCCCATTGCTTTCAAGATTCAATGTAGTCAATGTCTGCAAATAGTTTACAAACAAAAGTAAACATCGATAGTATTTTCTTACTGTGTTTTGTATGAGAGTATTAATAATATCTCGTATGCCTTGTGAATCTATTCGATTACCTTGTAAAAAAAGTGAGAGAAGAGTCTATGCAAAATAAATCAACAAGAGATGAAACAGTAATAGTCAATGTACTTTATTTTGTGGCAATGCAGCGACTAGTCGTTGTATTCCGCGGCTATCCAATCGTTGGTAAGATAAATTCAATGTCGTCAATTTCTGTCAATAGAAAGAACATCGTACAACTAAATGGAAATGGGAATCATTTTCAATTACTTGATATCGTCGATAATGATCCGTAATGGTATTGAGTCTCGTACAAACATTACGGCACGAGAGGAAAATCGTAACTTCGTCCAAATGATCAAGAATTTCATAAATTAATTCACTAGGCAACGTATGAAGTAACCGCGTAGACATACTTTTTTTTCTACATGAAAGTAAAACACATGACAAGAATGAAAAGTAAACAAACGACCGAAATATGATCAAATCTAGGCAGGCAAATTCCGAGTACATCGCTTTGCATATATGCAAGAAAAACTCAACCAAGAAAACATATTGAAGTAATTCCGGATGTAAAGCTATGTGCTTGAAGAGGTCAACTGGAGCTGGATAGAAATGTCAAATAAGAAAACAATGGAGTATAATATGTACACATGAAAAGTTTGTCGTTGTTTTCTTTTATTCTTATTGAAAAACTCGTCGTAATTCATCACGAAAAATACTCGACGTAGCAAAACAAACAAAAAACGGCGTTGAACATGACAAATAAACAAAACAATCGATAATAACTTCCGCTAATAGTATATGTATAGATTTCTGAGCGCCATGCTTATGTTGATCTCGAATAACTTTATCGTGTCTTTCGATGATCTTAAATATCTTATATGGTGCTGTACTAAACATAAATATAAACGATATACATCCAAGTGCAAACGTCAAATGCAGACGCCGATGCCTTGCACGATGCGCTGTTATAATAACGGTTGTATTCGCTGTCCCATATGCTGGAATATTTGTAGATAGTGAAAAGGAACTTTCGGAACGGGCAGGTGCGATGTGCATTATTCGCGTGAATGTACTCCAACATTCCGTACGTAAACGTACAACTTGTCTTAAAATTCGCGAATTGAAATACAGAATAAGAAAAAATGGTATACAGGTGATAAAAACCATATCAATTAGTGATTGTCCATAGGCCATATACATTGTAAAATAGATCGCTTTAATCTTCACCGAGCATTTAACTGTGGTATGATTATTACTAGTATTGATTGAGTAATATCCATAGGATGGTGACAAAAACGAGGAGTTCTTCGCAAATATGCAGACGAATGCAATGCCTAATAAATAAAATAAATAGTTTCGTTTACGCCAGCGCGAATAGTACGTATGATAAACGCAACAAATGAAACGATCTGTCGTTAAGCCCAGTTGTATATAGGCTGAAAAATCTAATATAGAATAACGTATACACTTATACAACCGACAACCGGTTGGCGTTGAATAGATCCGTATTGGTGGTTTCATATAGACTTTTAAAAAGATGTCAATAATAAATAAATATAAGAGAATCAGATCATTAATACACAATACGCGTACACATACAGAGGATGTACGCGTAAGACGTTTTTGAAATTTGGGTCGGCAAAATACGAGGAAACAAAGCGAATTACCGATGGTTGCTAATGGTAAAATTAACAATGGAAAGATACTATTCGTTAGATGAATGATCAGTGTAATATGTCTTTCAGCCGGTAATGAACTATTCATTTTTCAGTGTGAACTAGTTTGTGGAATAAGACCGTTAATATCAACGCGAGTCAACATCTGACAATAATCGATTGCCAAACATGTTTTGTTTTCTTTTTCTTTACATTCATTTCCCTTCGCTTTCTTCTTTGTACTTCAATTGCCGATAATCAACAAAAATAACGCAAAATGAACTTATCGTCGATGTTCTGATCAACAAAAAACATTTCCGACTACGACAAACTAATCTTACTAGATTTGCTCACATAAGTTAAATATTTACTCAAATCTATATGAATATTTTCTTGTTTTTGTAACAAACGTTTAGTTCTTCTTTTCTTCAGTGTCTACATGATAAATACAACAATATTTGATCGATGCATCAGAGGAGAACAGACGATAGGTCACCGTAGTTTTATCGGATGAACGCTCTTACGTAGTCTTCATAAGTTACATTGAGTGTGTAAAGAGACAAAAATTAAGTTTATTTTCGTCATTTGATATGAGTCCCAAACGTTTTTTTTTCTTTCTTCACAAGTACTCATATGGCTGGTTTGTTCATTGATGAAACGTACAGAGGAGAGAGAAAAACGAAGAGGAGGAGAGAAGGAGGAGCTAAAACATTTCCTCTGTCGTGACGATTGTGCACAGGTTGTGCTTATCAACACGTAAGTTAACGATGCCCCATACGCAAGATAAATATCATATCAACGTTTATTATACGTTCAGTCGTGTATATAAAGTTGATCAATAAATCAACCTGCTCAGTGTATGGTGCACATCGACTACGATCAACACGACACCGATGATTTTGTTTCGTATCGACATTACAATATAACGACTAAACACACATTTTCTCAATGTCACTCGTTAAATTACTGATAGTCTGGTATCAGCGATATACAAGGCAATGTTTCTCTTATCTATAAAACAAGGAAAAAAACGTATAGATATTTATTCGCGTCAGCAGCCTTGATCAACGTCGATTTTTTGCTTATATATATATATACATAAATGGTTTGTTGTTCACAACATTGCTCGCACTCCGTTTTTTTCTTATCAGTGTTGAATACGTACTTGGATATAACCTTCATCATAGACTGTCGTCTTTATTTTGTTTTAGATAATTAAACCGAACATCATCTTTTTTCTCTTTCGCTCACAGTGAATTCATAAAGTTGTCAATGAACTTTTGTCTTTAATCATCTGACAGGAAATAATATAGTCTAAAGAATGTCTCGGAAATATACAGCGTGGGCAACCAATCAACTGCCGATGAATCCTGATTTGCCAACAATGATGAGACTAGCAACTGTAGGGGGCAATGAGCAAGATCAACGTAAGTGTATTCATTTCAATACTTTCTATCGTTACACACCCTCTGATTTCAGTTAAGAATTTCGAAAGAGTGGAAGCTATTCCACACATGTATATCAACGTGGATGCCCCACCACCTATGACAGTAAGTAAAAAGTTTTACATGTCTGCTCCTATGTTAACTCACACAAACACATACATGCATATACTTTTGCTTCTAACAGACAAAGCTTGATACGCGAACGATTCAACCGACTGTGATACAAAATTCCCCTGCGAGTTACTTTGCTGTAAGCTTCTTAAATTGCTTTGATAACATCTATTATCATTCGTTGATATAACTCTGTCTTTGCTAGGCACCAAGTGTTGTGCACACACCGTCGAATATGCAAACGAAAATTTGGCCAGTCGAAAAACCGGTACGAAGTACGTCGATATTTGAAAATGGCTCATCGACATCAAAACGACCGCACAAACACAAACATCACCATCACCACCATCATCATGGCGAAAAGCATCATCATCGTCATCATAGTCGACGACACCGTGCTAAAAGTGCTGAATCTATTCGAAATCGGCAAAATCCAGCAACTCTAGAAACATCGAAAATGGCATTTGCCAATTCACAATATCTTGAACAAGATCAACAGCAACCAATGATCGTCTATCGCGAAGTGGGGAACGGCGATAGTTATACAGTTGATCCAAACGGATTTGCTAGTGTTCCATATGCAACTGAAACAGAAGCAGTTGTAGGCGACGATCAACAAGCACCGATGGTTGTCTATCGTGACGGTAATCTTTCACAACCACAACAACATCAATCAATCATATCTGATGGATTTTCGCAAGATGTATTCTACAATCAAGATCAAGATGGAGTAAGTGCAGATTTTCATTCTTATATACATAAATATTTAACATGATAACAATCATTTCCGTTGATCATTTCTTAGCATACAAGCGAAGGAACGATTCCTCTGCAGCCTATTACGAACAAAGTCATCTCACATCGCGTAGCAGAACGAAATGAAACGCATGTGAATAGTTATTCACCCTATCAGTGTACTCAAACGGCAGTACCTGCCTGTTCGAATGTTAATTACATTCAAGAAATCGAACGAATCTATATCGAAGAGGATTGTTGTCCTCCATTGACAACAGTCAGATGCGTATCAAACCCTTGTGTATGAAAACTGCTAACTGTTGCGCTGCTTCTGCGAAATAAAGATAAGCTTGTGCCTTTTGCATCACTGAAGCTTTGCTCGAAGAAAAATCCTTTCAACTAGACATCTCCTATTCATCTTTTCTCTTGATAGATCGTTCAACAAACAACTGATCCGTTCTTTTGTCTTCCTCAACAGCAGCAGCAAACATCACAAATTGTTTATTGCACGGATCCCAATCAACAAGACTACCTATGTGCATCGAATAATAATAACATTATTCAACAGACTGTGACATCATCGCCGCAACAGCAGTTTGTTTGCGTCGACAATTGTTCATCCACTTTACAACCAACCATCATCAATCAGATACCCGTTTTCAATCCATTGTCAGCAACATCAAATTCACCATCAATCGTTACTGTGCCGCAGACGTCACTTCAACGCGCGACGAGTGTTATTATTCAACAACCACAACCCCAGCCGTTACAAATCATTCAACAACCGCAACCGCAACCGTTACAAGTTATTCAACAGCCTCAACCGTTGCAACTTATTCAACAACCACAACAATTACAAATCATTCCGAGCCAACAAACACAGGCTGGCCAATTTGTACAAATTGCCTCGGCGACACCGCAAGTAATTCAAACGATACAACCACAATTAGTTCAAAATCCGTCTGTTCTTCAGACTATTCAAGGTAAATTGATCAACGTTCATTCATTCTTTCCTTTCATCTTCTCTCTCTCTCTTCGTCTAGTGCCAACACAAGCTATTGCAGGTAGAGTTTTGATTAAAATACTTTCGTTCTTTTGGTGACGGTTCTATTTAGGTGACTAATATAATCTACTAATCTATTTTTTTATTATTAATTAAATAGTATGTAGAAGAAATCAGTACATGTTAGAATGACGAATGGTTCTTTTTCTGCAAGGTTCACCGCAACTTCTCTATCAACGTCCATATGATCCTGTGGTGGTTCCAGTTCAAAACCAACAGATGGCTGTTGCTAATTCGCCTCTCTTAGCATTGAGTCAACCATCTTATGCACCTGCACGTATTCCATCAGTTCTCACAGGAGGCCAATCACAGGGACCAAACATGTTTCGACATGCTCTCCTACAGGTGATTGATCCTGTCAATATTATACTCGGAATAAAACTGATTATCCTTTTTCTTTCTTATAATAATAGACTGTTGCTGGTCGTGCTGGTGTACCTCTTCCGTCTGCAGCGGTTGCAGCACCAGCAGGTAGCGGTGGTGCTATTCAACTCATGCAACCAACCATAACAACACCAATGGCTTCAAATCCAAAGTAAGTGCTTGTTTACATAGTCTGTCGCTCGTTGATATTTGCGCGTATGAAAATAATGCTTCCTCTAATCGTGATATGTATATTTCACCATCGCAAAAAAAAAACTTCGATGTTTGTAGCCTTATATTAGGTGGTAATATACAGCGATCATCATCAGTACCAATCGTGCCCCTCACACCAGGAGGTTTACTGATCCCATTTCAGCCATCACAGACGGCAGGTGCACAGCCGGGTCTTTTCTCGCAAACCGGCGGTCGCTCGAATCTGCGAAACTTTAATGATATCCGACAACACATCCAGGAACAACGCGCTCTAATCGCAAGAAACCTCCAACAACAGCAGCAACGCAGCAGTCGCATTCCTTCTCCTCCTGTCATATCCGCTGCATCAGGAGGAGCTCAACGTAGTCCATATGCGGCAAGAAATACATATTCGAATAGTGGATTGAGTAGACCTCCCTTCGCGTCAGGAGCGGCATCGACCTATGCACCACTAGGTTCGAATGGGCTAAACTACAGTCGCCCATCCTCTGCCGGCTTTGGCTACACTCAACCATCTTACGCTGGCTCGAATGCCGGATCTATCGAATCATCTCCATATCGCCTGTTGAGATAATAAGTACTCATCACGAGAAGGTATTATTTCGTACTAAAAATCAAGGCTGCTCTTGTCAACAAGGTCATCTATGATATTAAACATATCTGCTTTGATTTTTTGCTTTGACTGAAACGAAAACGCGACATTAATCAATTAGTCAATGAACGATTTTAATCCTTTTTCTTTCTTTTTAGAGGAGCTATTAGTCCATTCAATTCATCGGCATGTTCAATCATGTAAAGTGCTTTTTCAAAGGATAAACTCACCGATATTAAATCGACTGCTCCTCTTCTTACTTATACGTGTTTTTATTGTTATCGTTCTCTTTCAATTTTCTTCCTCCTGTGTGATATTTATGATCACAGTTACATTTCATTTATAGTATGTTGAATACTAGTTACTTTGATTAATATATTTGACTTTTAAAAACAACATCCTAGATCATCCTGATGAACGTGTAAGGTTCACAGGTGAATTCTTTCTCTCGGTCTTGTTTATAATAAAAAGTACAGAGGGAGTAGTGAATGAAATATGTTCTTTTTCTCGACAATTATTAAATCAATTAAATGGCTGACTTGAATTGTTCTTTTCAACTATCAAGAAAGCAAAATATTTGCGTGTCAAATTTTAATCGAATGTCAAATTTACATTGTCGAGTTATATAACGATCGGTAGACATTCTCTTTTTAGACGTTCATCACATAAATAATTTGTATGAAATGCTTTCACTTACACAATCAATACAAATGAACTTTTGCTAATCTTAATTGAAAACAGATCTTTCTTTCTCCTTAAGTCAACGCTGTACTGTAATATGAAAACTAGCGTCGTCTATTTAATTGGTCCAAAACAGGCGACCAATCCTAGAACGACTTGAAATTCTTCCTCCTGATTCACATTGTTTCTTTTCTTCTTTATTTTTCAGAACATCTGCTGCTCTTTCCGTACTTCTTACTACTTCTTTTTTTAATTAACAATAGCCAGTACTAGTTCCCTCTATTCGTATCTTCCTAACAAGAACTTATTCTTTTCTTTTTTCTTTTTTCTTCGTCGTTCTTACTGATGCCTACACATAGAAGTTGCGGGATTGTATTTAGACATTCGAAACGATTTTGTCATGTTAAGTCGTTCGATTGAGTAGATTGAAAGATGACGAATTTATTCCGTGGCAATGTACAACCAAGTGCTCTACAAAATGCAATTGAAAGAGCAACAGATGGAAATCAACAAAGTGAAGATTGGAGTTTAATTATGCAGATTTGTGATCATGTTAGTGGTCATGAAGAAAGGTTTGATTAACAGTCAAAAGTCTTCTCCTTTTTTCTCAAAACTTATTCGTATCTTAAGTGCGCGAGAAGCAATGAAAACCATTCGAAAACGTTTACAGATCAATCCAACGACCCATGGTTGGCGAACTATTGGATTAACTCTAACGGTATGTTGATATAGAGATTAAACATTCTAATGAGTTGTCCGTTGCTTTACATCTAGCTATTAGAAGCATTAACAAAGAATTGCGGCAAAATCTTTCATTTACAAATTGCTCATAAAGATTTTCTGAAAGAACTAAAAGGGGTCATTGGGCCGAAAAACAATCCACCTGTTCCATTACAAGAAAGAGTTCTTGGTATGATTCAAGTGAGTCAAATTGATTGAATATCATGTGAATGAGGACGACGTTCTTTGTAGACTTGGGCATTAGCGTTTCATCACGATCCTGACTTGAGAGCTGTCGATCATTTTTATCAAGATTGTAAACAACAAGGTTTGATGTTTCCACCAGCTGAGCCAGAGAATATTATTAAAGCAGCTGTTCCCGCTACAGTAAATGACATTTTTCGAAAAGAAAAACAAGGTCGAGATTGAAATATTTAGGGAACAATTGAACGTCCTTCGCAATATGCACGCTCAGCAGTAAGATGAATCTTGGAGAACATACTTAAACTCTATCATTTTTGCTTTAGTCTCAACCAGGACCAAGACCAACAGGTCGAGACGTAAGCATACTGATTCGGAATGAATGTTGAGACAACATGTTCATTGGAATAAATAGGATCGATCTGCATCGGATGGACCATCTTATCCTACTGAGTACAAGTCCAGCGCTCCGCAAGCCATGGGAGTTGATCAACTAGGGAAGTTACGTAGTGAACTGGACGTTGTACAAACCAACGCACAAGTTTTCGGTGAAATGCTTGTTACATTACAACCAGGCGAAGAAAATCCACAAGACTTCGAACTATTAATGGTAAGAGAAAAAACGAGCACATTTCTCGAGGTCGAGACTACTCGACGCATTTGCTAAATCTAAATTAAATATTCATTAACGTCTACCGGGAATAGAACAAATTCTTTTCTAAAACATTGCGTACATATTTATCTTGTGTTTGTCCTCGAAGGTCACTCTTCATTATACACTTCAAATCTATGTCTTCTTCTTTTTTTGTTCGGACTGATTCTAAATATACGATTTCCTTAGGAGTTGCATAATACATGCAAACAGATGCAAGCACGTATTGTTGATCTACTTTCTCAAGTGTCTGCTGATGACATCACGGGTAAAATCAAATCAATTATGTACACTGAAATGTTAATTAGTTCCTTTCTATTCTTTTAATTAGTCGATCTTTTACGTTATAATGATGAATTCAATAATTCGTTCAAAACTTTTGAAAGTTACATGCAACAACGTGATCGACGCTTCGGTGCGTCGCACAAACCAACCTACAATTCACCGACAGCATCATCTCGTGCAGTACCATCATCGACATCGAATGCAGAGAATGAGCCAGCATTGATACAATTCGACGACGATCCAATACCGATAGCAACCGGTTTACAAACTATGAGTGCGTACATTGATTAGTTCGTTCGTGTAAGTATTCCACGTATTTTCAGATATTAATTCCATGTCAGCAAGTGCAGTGCCAAAGAACATTCCGCAACAATCAATGTAAGTAATCAATTGGAGGATTAAGAGGTAGAAAAAGTTCATGTAACCATCTTTTCTTTTCCTCAAAGAAAATCTATTAACATTCATTCGTAAGGCTAGATTTGCTTTTTTATGTCATCCATAGAATAGTCGCTACTAACTGACTCACGTTTTTGTTTTGCTATAAACTTTCCTTCTACTATTTCAGAGCATCGGCTGTTACTCGACCGGCAGCAAACATTCAAGTACGTATTTTCTTGTCATAAAAATCTGCGAATATCTCTATTTCTTTCAAGGATCCTGAACGAGACGTCAGAGAAATCGAACAATGGCTCAAATCTCAAGGCGATGTATGACTCTTGCCTCTACTCTTTTCTCGCAGACATCTTCTCTACTAATAGGAGAGTGATACTGATGAAACGAACCGTCCAACAGGAGATACAACGCATGCATTCAATAACTTTCTACAAAAACGTGTGTCTGCAATAGCCGAACAAAGACCATCTGATCAACCATCGTTGTATCCAACCCTTCAAAATCCGTCGATCAATAGCACACAAAGCAATACTCGTCTGTAAAGAGAGCCTGAATGTGTATATAGAATACTACGCAACAAAAAACCAGAGACAGATCAAAAAGATTTTATTTTGAATTATAACATTTAATGTGTTTTGTTTTTCATGCTGATTTCATGTAATTTTTGTTGTTCTCTCTAATTTAATATGTAACATACTTCCGTATCTGTATGTTTTAAACTTGCTAAGTTTTTTCTTTTCGATTTTCATTTTAATTCAGAACATAAAGTAATCGAACAAATCATCTGTTTTGTTTCATTCTATCGCGATAAGTATATTGTCACCGAAAACCTCTCTAATGCCGCATTAGTCACATGTTGTTTTTTTCATTACGGCGAGAAATAGTATACAGGTAGACTAATAACAAGCAGAACGCGAGTCGTATCATCATTAGCGTTGCGGGTAATGTTGATCACACAGGCAGAGTAGACGATCGAGTTTGACGGAAGACACGCATGTTAGAGAAAGTCAATATTTTTTTTTTGTAGTGAGAAGATTTTTATTCTATATGTCACATGACAAATATTTTAGATGGGTAAAGAAAGTTTCCTGTCGACTGATTTGGGCCAACGAATTGTTCTCGGTGTGTGTATAATTACATTCTCGTCGGTAGTTCTACTTCTATTTGGGTAGGTGATGTTTCTCACGGTTGTTTTTGATGATTCTCTGCGTTTTGCTTTGTGTAGAAAACTCCATCTTCTGTTCTTTGTGTTACTGCTGGGAATAAGCTACAAATTAACAGATTATTATGTGTAAGTATAGATTTGCTTAGAGACCAGCTTTGATTGAACGTTTCGTATTTAGAGCTCCATTAAAGAATCCAGAGAAATCTCCCAAATTATGGCCGAATCTACTTGTTTTCATTGATCCTACTAGGGTAATCAATTTCAAATGACTCATCTTTTTCTAATCTTGTTATTTTCTTTTAGGATGTACAGAAAGAAGCCGTTCAAAAACAATGGTAAATCTTTCGATTTTAAGTGCTTTTTTTTCTACATATCTGTCCATTCAGTGGAAACAGTCATTATTTACAAAAGAATCCATGGATTCATTTAATGCTTTCCAAACGGATTGATACAGCTATTGATGAAGTAAACCCATTCCTTGCTTTTTCTTTCGAGCAAACACTGACCCTTTGTTCTATTCTAGTTTTGTTGTTTATGCCTTAGAGATAATATTTATCCATGGTTATCGTAAGTAATTCGATGAATCTTCGATTTGAAATAATGTCCACTTTTCAGAATAATCACACAAGATGATACTCTTGTCTATGAAGCCAAACATGTCTTCCGGTTTCTCTTGGCTACGATTATTCGTCGTGCACACAATGTAAGATTTTCCTTTGAAATCTTGCCGAAATTGTTGATCACGGGTTTACTTCAAGGTTGATATAAACGCATTCGTTCTCGAACGGATTGTTCCCCTTATGTTTCAAACATGTGATCGTTATATTCAAACTGTCAAAACAACATCTACTAATGAATCTCAATCTTCAGTGGAATTTTTGAAGAAAATGTACAAATCTGATCTTCATGTCGCCATGCAGAGTCGCCAATCGGAAATCAAATACTTAAAACGTCTCATTCTTGATCTTATGCCAATAATTACACCGAAGTTTATCTATGAATGTAAAGGATCCCGTCATTTCCTTACTGAAGTCATAGCGTGTCAAATTTTGATCGATGGAATCGATTCTATTTGTGAACCGGATACGATAAATCGTTTACTACATCTCTATTTCACCAATGCTATTCAACGTCGAAATGGACTTCTCAATGTTCCGGCTCCTGCACCAAGTCCATCCGTTGAACTATTAACACGGTTTTGCACGATGAACGGTCCGATACATAAGAATCAATTAGCTTTAGAACTAACCGACGTGATGTACGAGAAAGAATTACTGAATCAATTTAGCCGAGTACTTGACCGACATGGTTCAATCGGACTGTTGAGTATTTATGTGACACTGTCGGATATCTTGAATGATATTCCATCCGCATCGAATATATTAGTTCGAAAGAAAATATATCAACGTTTGAAGAACATTGACGAACGTTATTTAAATCCGAAAGCTTCGGATGCTTATGTTAGCATTAGCAATATCTACGATCCAGATGACACGTTAGTCGATGAGATCAAAGATCTGATATACAACCATTTGGAGCCATCCATTAAAGAGGAAAATGAGAACGAAAATGAATTGAACACATTTGATGTTCAACATACGTTCGCGTTATTATCCCGTTTTCATTGTAAAATTTATGAATTAGTTGAAGACAAATATCAGCATTGTTTTCTGACAAGTGATGAACATTTTCTTTACATATGTGGAAGACGAATGGATTCGCCAGATTATCGAATGCGGGATCAAGCGTGAGTTAGCTTTAGTTTTTGCTTTTCGAAATCTATTTTTACGTATAAATCATCTTAGTTTCGATGAAATCGCATTAGATTTCGTTCATATCGAAGAAATCAGGTTTGACTATGCACTTTTCTTTTCATCTTCATACCCCTACTATAGTTTTCGTATACATTATTAGCTTTGTTATTTATTCTAAATTTTTCTTCATACAATCGACAAATTGAATCTGTTTTTTTATTCAGAAATACCAACGATAGTGCAAGAAAACGCAATGCATCGAAACCATATACAACAACTTCATATCAAGGTATGCCACCTCACATATGAACCTTTGTTGTACGATTCTGTCTGTTGTAGAGTTGGAAGAGAAAGATGAAGCAAATGCAAAATGCTCGGAAGAAACAGCAAGTATCGGTAGCAACAGTGTATGTTATCTCTTGCCTCTTACTCTTCTTTTCGATGCATTGTTTTAATCATTTCAGTCGTATGATGATCGAGACTTGAATACCTGGCGTGTTAACATTAGTCATGCTGAGGAAATCCGCGAGAATACAACTGGACAAGTCAAATACTGTGCATTTATGATCGTTGTACAAAGGACTGACATTCACAATGGTAAGCATAGTCGAGATGATTTGCGGTGACAACTTTTCGATGTGTAGGTAGTCCAGTACCACTCGAAGATGACAAATCCAATTGGATTGTACATAGGTGAGCTAATCGTTTCGAATGATCGGGTGATTGGACGCTTATGTTTTAGGCGATATCAAGAATTTTATATGTTAGAACAGAAATTAACTGAATTTCATGGCGTCTTTTCTGACGCACGTTTGCCTCCGAAAAGGTCAGCAGCAACTGCTCGTAATGTAGAATTTCTTCAATCGCTTAAGAAAGAGTTCGAATACTTTTTACGGGCAAGTTCTACTCTTTGAATGGGTTATCTCTTTGAACATTCACGATCTTTAGCATTTATTGTCGAAGCCAACACTACGTAATAGCGAGTTATTGTACAATTTTCTAACGCAACCTGATGAATTCACTGTACCTACGGGCGAAATCATAATAGGTGAGAGAGTCGTTTTCTATCAAAGTAAAATAAAGTATGGAGTCGATTGTAGCCAAAATGTTCAAAGTTGTACCACGTCGATTACGCATCGAAGTACGTTCAAGTTTTCTCATAACATCGCTAAACTGAGCTTTTCCTTTTCCCGCCTGTTTATAGAAAGGCCAATTTCTTGATCCATTCCTTGTTTCGTTAATCAATTACGCTGAGCCAGCAAAAACAAAAGCAACACAACCAAATCCTGTTTTCGCCGATATTATCGAGACTAAAGTATATCGCAATTTTATTGAATCTCAGTCTGAAATCTCTCTTTTCCCAGCTAAAAAGCGCAATCTATGGAAACAATGCGAATATTACTGAATCGATGGAAGAGTGCAAAATAGAGAGGACCCGTACAGACGAACTTGAAAGTGCCTATGATAATCTGATCGTCATAGCTAAACAAGTCTTCTCTGCGTCGCCATTGTTAATCTATATACTCGATTTACTACGAATACCGTTAAAAAATTCCTTCGACTCTTATTTTTCACATTTTGTTGACGAAAGTGTCGACGAAATTTTAGCCGATGAAGACAATTTTGTCGATGTAATTCATGCTCTACGTGGTAAAGATTGTCCGTTGAAAGAATGCGTTGTCATTGTTGTATTTTATAGATACAATTTTCCCAAATGATGCCGAGAAGAAAGGGTAAGGAAAGTTTGGTAGCAATTTATCTTATCGATGTATTTTAGTCCAACGGATCTCGTTAATTTTGATGACGTTGTCGCAGCTGCTGAAGAATTTTTACCAAGTGAGGATAACACCGAACAATGCACACATATTTGATTGCTGTATTTCAGAACCGATAAAATTTTTGATTGGTAAATCTAACATTCAAAATGGTTTACAAATGATCCTACGACATTTCCAGGATCCTTTACTAAACAAACAGGTATACTGCATAACTTTGTTTTCCTTTGTCTCGAATATTTTTTTGGTTTTTAGCTATTCTACATGATTCTCGATGAAATACTTCTCCAATTATTTCCTGAATTACAAGCTCATTCTGAAAAGCCGAATACTCGTTTGAACTAAACTGACATTTGCTCTTTTTTTTCGGAACCGGTCATATGTATTATTTTCTTCATTCATTCTTTTCTTCTGATAATCTCGTTGTTATTTTATTCTCTGTTGTATAGAATATTTCGAAGAACAAATATTAAATTCTCATTGTAGATAAGTGTTCGATCAATTCGTTTGAATGGCACACTTATCGATTCTTCTAATTGCCTTTTTCATCTCATTTTCTTCTTGTCAACAGTGCGAGCAGACTTCCGATGTCGATCGATTCGATTGTTATCCGGAGAACGGGGCCTCGGAAGAGAAATGCCTGGCAAGAAACTGTTGTTGGAGACAACCAATTGAAAAAACAAACCAAACTTTGAAACGTCCGACTGCTTTTCGCGATGTTAATGTACCATACTGTTACTATCCGAAGGATTTTCCAACGTATGTTTTACAAAGCACGGAAACAACCGATTTCGGTCAGAGATTACGAATCAATCGATCACAATCTACATATATGCCACATGATATCATGAATTTGACTGTTGATCTAATTTATGAAACAGCACAGAGACTTCGTATTCGAATCTATGATACAGAATATAAACGCTACGAAGTGCCACTTGAAGTACCAATTGTTATGACAAAAGTTGATCAAACAGATTACGATGTGAAGGTCAATCCAACACCATTTTCTCTTCTTGTAACCCGAAAATCAACAGGTGTGACATTGTAAGTACTCTTTCTCCTGAAACGGAGATTCACTAATGAGTACCAAAAGGCTATGATAAACCAGTATGATTAAAGTTGATAATGTTTTTCATTAACATACAGCCTTGGTTATTTCTGTTCGTGATTGATTTTCGAGCAACTAGAAATGTCAGAAAATATCAGAAGATCTTTTACCGAAAGATCTTCTAATAATCAGAATATCATTCAAGTTATCTGTATCATATCTGTTATTCTAATCAAAATATGTCTATTCTCAATCAGAAGACAATTGTTGACCTTTGAAGTAAATTAAATGTTAAAAGAACTCCTTCATCTTAGGTTCGATTCCAGCGTATCACCATTGATCTTCGCAGATCAGTTTATTAAGTTCTCAACGAAACTGTCAAGTCCATTAGTCTACGGCCTCGGTGAACATCGACAAGGTTTGGTTATGAATATTACCAACCAATGGAAAAAATTAACTTTTTGGTCACGAGATTTTCCACCTGTACAAAACATCAATCTTTATGGTTTGCCACAATGACTTGATTCTCTTTTCTGTTCTTGAAATGAAAAGTATCTTCTAGGTGTTCACCCTTTTCATATCAATCCAGAATTCCTTCCAGGTGCATCAACACAGTTTCATGGTCAATTTTTGCTCAATTCCAATGCCATGGACATTGACCTACAACCATCACCAGCATTGACGTATACAACAATTGGAGGTATCATTGACTTGTACGTCTTCACTGGACCGACAGTACAGAATGTTATCCAACAATATTGGGATGTCATTGGAGTATTTATCACAATTGACGAAAGAACTTTTTTGTCTAAGAGTATTTGTTATTCTAGAAACCAATGATGCCACCACATTGGTCATTAGGATTTCATCTTTGTCGTTATGGGTATAATAGCATTGACAACATGATAGCTACTATAAAGGTAACTTCTTGGGTGAAAAACTCTTCTTTGTTGTAAAGTTTTGAATTGTAGAGAATGGACGCAGCTGACTTTCCCTACGATGTGCAGTGGACGGATATTGATGCAATGTCCTCCTATCTTGATTTCACGTATGATGAAACGAATTTTCGTGGTCTTCCAGATCTTGTTCGTACTCTCCAAGCAGGTGGGAAACGTTATGTGAACATTATCGATCCCGGCATTAGTTCCGTGCAACCGGCAGGTACATATATACCGTATGAAGAAGGTCTGAAGAACAATGTTTTCATGAGAAAATACAATTCGAATGAACTGATTCTTGGCAAAGTAAATAGGAAGAAAACACATCTGAGTTTACCTTGTCTAAATTGTATTGTTTGAGGTTTGGCCTGGTATAACTGCTTTTCCAGATTTTACACATCCGAATGCAACGGATTGGTGGACAAATATTGCTTCTGCTTTTCATGACATTGTCCCATTTGATGGAATGTGGATTGTAAACGTTTCATATGTATATCACTATCCAATCCACTATTTTACATTACTTTTAGGATATGAACGAACCATCCAGTTTTATTGATGGCTCTAGTGATGGATGCACTACAAACAACCTAGACAATCCACCGTTCGTTCCAAGTAGATCATTGTTTTGCTGTATATTCCTCTTCATCCTGTTCTGTTTCTATATAGACGTCTTGGGTGGTACTCTCGGTTCGAAAACGTTATGTCCCTCTGCTCAACAATATCTGTTCCCGCACTATAATCTACATAGTATGTATGGTTATTTCGAAGCCAAAGCATCGAATGCGTATGTTATATTCATGTGATCTGAGAGAAATGAATCTGTCTGTTCTACGTTTTCTGTATGTAGAGCGTTGAAAACTATTCGAAATAAACGACCTTTTGTCCTATCGCGTTCGACATTTGCTGGTTCTGGCAAATTTACCGCTCATTGGACAGGAGATAATCGCGCGACGTTCGACGACATGTACTTTTCAATTCCCGGTAAACATTTCGTGATAACTAGCTGCTCCAAAATCTACTCTATGTCTAATCGATATTTGTAGCTATTCTTAATTTTAACATGTTCGGCATCACACACGTCGGCGCCGATATTTGTGGATTTGGACTTGAAACAACGGAAGAATTATGCACACGTTGGATGCAATTAGGTGCCTTTTATCCGTTTATGAGAAATCATAATGATCTGGGACAGAAGGTAAGTTCTCATGAATAATTACATTTTTGAAGAACTCAACTTGGACAACTGAACCTTCGAAAAAAAACTCTTTTAGGATCAAGATCCTGCATCGTTTTCCTATCAAGCTCAACAAAGTATGAAACAGGCATTACTGATGCGCTACTCCTTGGTACCATTTTGGTATACACTTCACCATGAAGCAGCAATGCTATCTAGAACAATCGTCCAACCACTATTCTTCGAGTATGAATCAAGCATATCAATACTAGACTAAATATTATTCTTCGTGTTTCAGATTTCCCGATGATATGGATACATATAATATAGATCAACAGTTTATCATTGGTCGTGCTATTCTCGTTTCTCCAAATTTAAAAATGGTACCGATACTCTAGCATAAATTTGTCTTAACGTTCACATTGTAGGGAACAACTACTGTTTCGGCTTACTTTCCGTCTGATACATGGTATGAATTCCCAACAGGCACGAAAGTGGAAACGGTAGGCTCGTTTACCACGTTAGATGCACCGTTATCAAAAATAAATGTGCATGTTCGTGGTGGCTTCGCTATTCCGATGCAAATACCCGGTGATAATCTTATTATTGGACGTGATAATCCATTTACACTGCTTGTCGCTCAATCTCCATGGGGGAATGCCAGCGGAAACCTTTTTTGGGACGACGGAGACTCAATCGGTATGTTTCTATTGTTCTGTTTCCATGAAAAATAAGAGAAAAAGCATTCTGTTTGATGTTCCAGATTCAATTGAAACCAAAACATACAATTATCTCGAATTTTCATTAACTAATGCGGTAAATATCGATGATTATTACGATTGTTTCGAATGTGCTGCTTAACCGAATACATATTTTTCTTCCTTGGGGGAAAAAGAAGAATTCAACGAAGGAACTTAAGTGCATTAACACAAAGTGCTCTCGGATGAACTGTAAACACATCAATTCAACGATATTATCCATTTAGATTCCTTACTCTTAGAAAATAACCTCGTTTTAACTTCACGCGAAATGAAATCTCTTCTCATTTTTAGACACTCTTAACAATTAACGCACTAGTTGCCAATTACAAAGATTCACCAATGCGTTTGGCTTTAATCAAAGTTCTCGGAGTCGATAAAACGGTGATAAATGTTAATGTCAACGGAAAAATCTATCCGAACTTCCTCTACAACGTATACGATCAAGTATGACCTAACTTGAAATGTCGATTGAATTGATCTCTCCTCTTTTGTTCTGTATTTATCAGATCCTTGTCATCTACGGACTTGATTTGAACATGATAACTGAGCCGGTTCAAACCATACAATGGACGCTGGCAAGTTAAACCATCGGTGTGCTGATTTTGTCTTTCAAAAAGCAAAAACGTAGATCAGTCTTTTTCTTTCACTCATTCTAAACTCTTCTTTTGCTTCATTTTTTTTTGTACAACAGTTTTTTGATCGAACTAATAATTGATAACCAAGGAAAACACATCGAGACAATAGAAAATAAAAAAGATGAAAAAAAGCCAATAATAGACAGGTTTTAGTCGAATATTAATAGATGAATTACATCGATCCGAACTGCATAAACAAAATGAATCCAAATGATGCTTCTTATGTTGATAACAAGTTTCTGCTTTCTTGATATGATAACGAAAGATTTTATGACAATCACGTCGGACATAACGTGATGCCGCTGTTTTGTCGTCGCCGGAAATACTATCGTTTTCACGCGTCCACATTTTCAAGCAGTAATCATCACATAAACGTGTTGGTATTTGATTTTGAGTAAATGTTCGTGAATCTTCGCACGCTTGATTCTCTCGCGAGTCACATATGAAACATTCGACTTGTCGGCGGCACGACGCCGGATCCGCTTGAGTGAACAACGAAGAACGAAGACGATTTGTTGAAAAAATAAATAGAAAAACGAATTCGATAACAATTGATATTTGCATGATAACTTGCTTTCGTCGTAGTATCGAGCATATTCATATGAACAGCAATGGCTTATCCATCTACAAAACTAGAAAATGCTTGGTCAATCGTAGGCAAGCGTTTGACAAGTGACTGAATTGAGTACAGAGAAAATTCAAAGCTAATTCTTCATCTGTCAATAAATATTCGATGATCTGCTGGCTTTTCCTAATGATTGCGAACATAAAAAATGAGAAATGCTCTCATTTGTCATCTTGTCGAAGTAGTCAGCTGAAGATTTAATTGATTGTTTAAGACAATAGGAAAACTAGAGAATACGTAAGTAAACGAGAAAGAACATCGAACGAAGGTCGAACAAGCAAAGAGAAGAAAAAACAATTACCGACTATAATGTGCGCATGTCTAACAAAAGAACTCGGAGTAAAATATTAGCAAGAAGAAAAAAGGAATCGAGTTTTCACAGCTAACGAACAGTCTCTGCGTGATGTTATCAAATGCAAGCGAGTGAAAGAAGAAAAAGAAAGAGACAACAAGCTATATAGACGAGAAAAGAATCGAGAAAAGCAATTCTGACATAGAAAAGGAAAATAGGGTAAAGAGAGAGAGAGAGAGAAAGGGAATACGAGTGGCAAACCAAACTCTAAATCTAACCGACAATGTAGCGATAAGAATACTAGCAATAGCTTATTTCTCTTAAGCTATATGTGTAAGCATAAGATATACAGACATCCGTTCGTACTCCAGATCTGCAATAAGACAGTTCTTTTTTCTATCGAACTGTTTGTTTCGCTCTCTCTCCATCTTTCTTCTTCTTTTTTTTTTGTCATCTTGGCTTATTGATATTGCTGTATTTGAATTCATCACTCGTACATCTGCATTAACTGTCATCAGATGACAAGATGCGTGCTCATCATACACACAAAAGAACTTTTCTCGTGACAATCTCAGACAATAGCATCTATTCGATTTAATAATCAACTTATATTTTCACGGAATAGAGGCGATGGTTTATATTATTGATTGTTTCCTTGTCTACATTTCCTAAATTAATGTGTAGCTCTCATAATTTTGCTCAACTTATTGACAAACACATATCTCTTTCTCAAGCACATCAAGTTCGAAAGACATATTTGTTCTTTGCTTTTCCTCTGCCTCTCTTGATAGGATAACTTCATATACGCTACTATTATCTGTCAACATTGATCTAGGGAAAGATATTACTGACAAGTTCCGTATTTATACATCAACAATCAACACTGTGTCAGTTATTTAACATTACATTGTAAAATCGAGTTTGATGATTGTGGAAGCAAATCACTTGAAGTTCTTTTCCCCTCTCTCTCTCTCTCTCAATTGGATTCATTTGAATGTAACTCACGAACGAGCTTTTCTTTTGCCTTTGTGAAGAATGGCAGCATGCAAATGATAAGTCAAGAGAGAAGAGAAAGCGACTGCTCGGCTTTGTATATACAAGAGGAAGATGAAATCGGAGAATAACAGCTTTCCAGTTTCCATCAAAGATAACTGAGATGATGTCTTGCAAATTCTGATAGCATCAACACTTGTCCGTCATTGGAAGAAACATAACAACAGAAAACTTCAACTGTTGGAGATCATCAATCATATGAAGTCACGCTCAGAAAATGCTATGCAAACAAATACAACACCACTCACTTTTTCGAAAGTAGTTGGTAAATCTTATACATCATAGACATTCTTCATTCGGAGACAACAATAAAATCAAGGCTTTATAGCCTGAAGGTATTATCAGACACAACAATCGGAGTGCACGAGCCCATCGACAGTCGAACAAAAGATTTCCTCAACCTAAACAAGACGCGTTCCTTTCTTCTTCTTCTTCCTTTTTTTCAAGCAATTCTCGATTATCACTTCACACCGGAAAGTATGAGCACTTGAATAATTGTTCGTTTGAATAAATCGATTATACGAGAACAAGTTATTATTTTTTTGATGGATAAATGTTTTATAAATAGAACTGCTTTTCATCTATATTGATTGAACTAGACAGAGCTGTGAGATTAGTTGTGAATACCCGGCGATTAAATATACCAAATCTCTGAGAAAAAAACATACAATTGAAATTGACAGAAAAAATAATTATTCTCGAACCGGAGAATTCCGTAGACAATTGACCGAAATTTATTTTACTTCATAGGCGTTCGGTTAAAAATAGATGTTCATTAGAGACGCAGTAGTAGGATATGTAAACAAGTGTGTAAGTAGAAGATGGTTAGAGCTATTGCTGTTAATTAGGCTAGTTAGTATTATAATCTGTTTACTTTGGGGAATGGACAGAGAATATCATTTGTTTACTGGATCGACTGATGTTTTCTGGAAAATTGTTTTGTTAATAACATTAGTTGTGATCGAACTAATGAGTTCTCTTTTAAATGGGATCTTGCCAGAGGCCATCGGGTTCGTGATCAAATGTCATTATCTAAAGTACGACATCTCTTGTAGAATTATTTCGATGAAAATTGCTTTTCTTCGAAATCAAATTATTTACTGTTTCATCCTTGTGCGGGTTATGTGGAAGTGTTTTATATCATTGCAGTGCTTTTATCAAAAGTATGACTAGTTTTTACTTCAAATTGAGGTTGCAGTTCGATGATTAATTGAATGCAGCGAACATAGTTGATGCATGTTATGAAGTCGGATAACACTTGTGCTAAAAATATGTGTCAAGCTGTTTAGTTATGATATTACTTTTATCAATGTATTTATAGTAACAATGAGAAACATTCACAAGAGGAGACATGGCAAAATACGATCCGCAGAAATTCTCATGTACTTGTTCGACAGGAAATCGGGCAAAATGCAGATACAATCCGCATTACCAGAAATTAGTATTATATAGGAAAATATAACTAATGCCAAGGTTGATAGAATTCGAACCCAAATGACAATCAACGCCTTCTTCCGTTTTGTATACATCCTTTCATTATAATTAACGCATTCTTTCAAAGTCGGTTTCTTGTTGATCGACGCATATTATCCGAATTCGAACTACGCCTTACATTCATGGAAGAAAAGCTATCGAGAATCGTCGAAAGACTGCTTCCACATCTCCAAATATTATATTTATAGAACATAATTATTATTTGTCGTGTATTCATCGAAGTGAAAAGAAATATGTATTTATTCATGATTAATTTATGTTGATGTTATCTTTCGATGATAAAGAGAAATAGAAATTATTTCTACTTCTTCGAAAATAGATCAGTCTTGTCTGGTTTTTACCAGCGTTCTACTCGGTAAATTAGGACGCGACTTTTGTAGGATTAGCTTGACGTTCGTCCTTGAATGCCATGTGAAATTTTCCGCAAGTTATTCGATGGCAGAATGCAATCAGCTGTTGTTTAAAAACTCGACGAAATAATTTACTTGATAGTGTGTTCACAAAAAATCCTTTGCTGAAGTTCAGATAGAAAACGAAACTTGATATTTGCAGAAGTAGTGACTCCATAGCACGACGTTCGCTACTTTTCGCTATGCTTGTCGACAGGACAGTATACGAATAGTAAGCTGTTCGAATATTCAACAATATCGAACTGCAAAGCACTTGTATTAAGGTGATTCGAATCATCTGGGTGTCCATGCGACTGCGCTTCGGCTCATTTGTTCTTTCTGCAACGGGATGAATAAGACGTAGACGACTTTTCCTAATATTTAAATAGGTTAATATTCCAAAACTAAGCATGCAACCTTGCGGAATTAAGCTTGTCCAAATAATACTATACATCGACAGGAAAAACGCGTATGTGCCTGGCAACGGCGAACACGTAGGTCGAAGGTCATAATAGAAAAATTGATGGCAAGTTGTAAGGCTGTACAAAAGAACGGGTATCGGCGTTATTCGACGAGCGATCTTCACCTGGCTGAACGAACGAAGTCGTGTTATTGTTGATGTGGAAAGGCATCGGTCGAGCGATGCTAAAACTAAATAACTCGTTGCAAAACAGGGCAAAGTCCATGTGAGAAACACACGAATCCGACACCAAGCAAGGTTGGTGTTTTGTAATGTACTTCCATATTGTTCTGAAGATAATTTCGTGAATAAACCAAAATTAATATAGAGAAAATCAAATAAAGCAGACATAAGAAAGTACCATCCACATGAATTATGTCGTAATTGTTTGACAGTAAATGTAATAAAGTTACAAATACAACTGACGTTACCCAAAACGAGAATACAATACGGTGCGTAGTAGGAAATGTTGTTTGTCAAGGCTTGAATAGATGCAATATTCATTTTTGAGAAAATTAATGTTAGTTATTCTCGAAATGAAAGAAGAAGGGAATGTGAGCTGAAGAGGTAATGAAAGAAAGTTATTTAGATCTCTCCTTCGGACGAGATACACCGCAAATTCTACATCTAGATCCGTATTTTTTCTTTGGAGATGTTCTTTGATGATAATTGATTATAGCGGAAGATTAATAATCAATGATCTACTTGTGCGTATTGAAAACATCCTCCGTAAGATATGTGATGGCGGCAAACTGTAATGTCAAACAAAACTGAAGTTATACGATGGAAATATAGAGTAAGGATGTTGAACGTATCAACTCATGTGAGAAATATTGACTTTGAACTCATTAACGTAATTTATCATTTCTCTCGAAGCTAATCTTCTGTGAAGGAAGGATGTCTATGTGTTCATATTTCAAAACCTCTATTCAGTATTGCATTGACATTCACAAGAAAAGAAATAATTTACGAAAGAAAATTCTTTTTATCTTCATTTCCTGTATACCTTCAAACTAAACACAGATATCTGGTATTAACAACAAAGTTTCGAGTCACTTGTTCTAAACCGTAATGAAAGTTTCTATAATCTGTTCCCGTATTAGTCATTAATCATCGAGTGCCGTGCTTTTCTCAGCGGTAAATGAAAGATTAACCATCGACTGAGAAGAAAAAGATCATAACATCTGACAAGTAGCGGACGCAGCAAAACGTGACTTGTCTTTAATAACTTCGTGCTAAGTCGAGTTCGTGCCGCAGACAAAGCACAGAACACTATGACACATGTATGAAATGTTTGCAATATCACGTGTTAGCTGCAAATGTAAAATAGGTCTCTGATTTGAATAGAAAGTAGAAAATAAGATGTTGGCCTAGATCTGCATTCTTTGAAATCTAGCGACCTCTTTTGAATTATAGTTTGTTCGATTAGTTCGTTCTACGATCAAATAGTATGCCTAGCTCCTTCGATTTCGCACGTTCGTCTGGTCTTCTTCATCAGTTTCTAGAATGCAGAAATCGTTAACAGTCGGTATTGCTGGTGGTGGTATATCTGGTCTTGCATCTGCGTACTATCTCGCTCAAAAGGCAGCAGCTTCGAAACTTCCACATTTGAAAATCTTACTATTCGAACGGTCGTCACGTTTCGGTGGTTGGATACGAACAGATCAACTCGGTCCGAAATACGATGCTCATATATTCGAACTTGGCGCTCGAACATTGCGACTACAAAGTGGAAATACTTCTCTAAGTAAACATTCCGCGATTAATACGTTACAATTACTTGAGCAATTGAAAATCTTCGATGATCAGTTTTGTCCAATCGAAAAATCTGCCCCAGCGAATAAAAATAAATTAATTTATTACAAGCAAAATCTAGTCAATCTCAATGACTTATCGTTAATATTCGGAGGAAAACCACTGCGTTATCCCCCGTTTGTCTACGCTCTTTATGAGTATTTTTCTAAGCAAGGTCGAGTTAAAGTCCAAGATGAATCGATTAGATCCTTCATTTATCGTCGATTCGGTAAATCTCAAAGAAGAATATCGATAATTTTCAATCTCATCCGTTTTAGGCGATATTCTTGGTGAAGAGATTGTCGAATATTTACTCGATCCACTCCTGAAAGGTATCTACGCTGGCGATGTGTCCAAGTTAAGTGCAAAAAGCGTTTTGAAGAAAATTTTCGAGTTTGAACAGACTCATGGCTCAGTCATAAACGGCATTATGAAATCCAGACAGGATAGAAAAACGGAAGATCCAGTGAATCTTCTATTTAACGACTTAAATCTAAATGATTATTCGCATATTCTGAGTAAACATGCGATTTACTATTTAAAAGATGGAATGGAAAAGTTAACAAGGACATTAGTCGACCATTTGCAATCATTGCCCAATGTCGAATTGAAGCCGAAGCAACTTTTACAAAGAATTGACTTCTCAGATGATCATGTCTCAATTTGCACGCGATCGAACGAGAAATTCGTTGTAGATCATTTGATCAGCGCATTACCCGCATATGAATTAGCAAACCTTCTCGATGATACTCAACACAAGATCTTGCGATCACGGTTAAATCAAATCGCATTTGTGAATATGGTGGTGATCAATCTACTCTATGGAAAAGAAGATATTTATCCAAAGGAAGCATTTGGATATTTGATTCCCACACGCGAACATTCACATTTATTAGGAGTTTTATTCGACACATGTGTACGACATACGATCGATAAACAAAAGCATGGGTCACAGTTAACAGTCATGATGGGTGGAGCGTGGTTTGATGAACTAAGACTAGGAGAACTTACTGAAGATCAAATCATGAATATTGTCATGAAAGAATTGAAAAAGCAAATGAATCTAGACGAGAAACCAGCTGTTTACTCCGTCGCACGATTGAACAAATCAATACCAGTACGTATGAAAAGTTACCTTCGATCTCATTCGATTACTTTCATATTTAGAATTATAACGTTGGCCATCAGGATGTTCTCGATGATATTTACGCTCTAATTCGACGAGATCAACTACCTTTGACTCTGGTGGGAAACTCTTATCGTGGTATAGGCGTTAACGATATCATCTATGATGCTCGAGTAGAAATGGAGTATCTAAATTTGAATTCTAGGACAACACAACAGTGAGAATGTGGATTTTAGTAGTATTAGAGACCTGTGATATGCGTCGTGTCATGCTTAGGAAGTTTTTTGCTTTATTTCAGATAAAATGTACGTTTCACTTATAGTTTCGACTATAGTTTTGGTTTTTATAACCGGTGGTTTAACCACCGATTGTCCAAGTTCACCATCAAAATGGTGTGAAAGCAAAGAAGTTGCACGAGCTTGCAATGTATGTAGACAATTTTCTTCATTCTTCTACAAAGTTCTAATGTTCTAGGTAACTGAACAATGTCAAACATATGTTTGGAAAACACGAGCTAGTGGTGAACGTGTCAATCTATCGATCTACTACGAAACACTATGTCCTGACTGTCGACAATTTATATCAACACAAGTATGGAATGCTTATCAATCAATTCTCGACATTGTGAATATTACCTTTGTTCCATATGGTAACACTCGGGAATTATATCGACCGGAAACCAAACTGTATCAATACTATTGTCAACATGGTGCTGAGGAGTGTTATGGAAATCTCATTCATGTAAGATATATTCAACATCAATTCATATTTTTTCTCGTTTTCTTTCTACAGGCTTGTGTGATCAATTTCTATCCACAAACTGAGCAACACATGGTAAATAAACATTCAATTCTACTGAGATTGAATGACATTCATTTAAAAATCTATTTAGCCATTCATCTATTGTACAGAAACTACTGACGGTGAAATGGAATCGGTAGCTACAGAATGCGCACAAAAGACAACGATTGATTATGATCAAATCACCGCTTGCACACATAGTCGATTGGGCAATCAATTACAGCATGCTTATGCCGTTCAAACGGAGAGTCTTCAACCAGCTCATCAATACGTGCCATGGGTAACACTCAATGGTGAACACACAGAAGATATGCAAAAACAAGCTGAAAAAGATCTGATTGGGCTTGTTTGTAAATCATACAAGGTGATTGGATGCTGCTTTTTGAATTTTCGAAGATTCATATTTGCTTCTCTTTGTTTTAGGGATCTGATCCACCTTCTCAATGCGTGAAAAATTTATAAACTGTCCAATTTGTGTTTCTTCTCTTTCATCATTCTTTTTTTTTCGTCACCCAATGATATGTTTTCCATGATACTAAACAAACCAGCATGTTTTTCAAGATAATAAACTATAACTTTACACTTTCACATATCCGAAGATAGAATTAAAACATTCTGAAGCGCAATGATGTGATGCATAGAGCAAGAGATCTCGTTGCTCCCAGATAACCGAACAATATACAAAAGATATGTGAGCAATTCAAGGTAGGAATGACGAACGATATCAATTTGTTTGTCAACATTGCTTGATTGAGTATGTAGGAGATACTATTCACGCTCAAACTCCAGAATTCATTGTATAAGAAGCGAACAATGATTTTAGAGTGCAAATGATATTTATTGTTTCGTCAATGATACTTTGTCTTTTCTTTTCTGCCATTATAAAACAATCGAAAAAAGAAGGTAATCTTACAACTCTATTTCGAAGTAAAAAGGTCATCGTATGAAGAAAAGCAACAATGATAGTTCGTTTATAAAAAAATCAATCCACACGCACACTTATTAGTTGTTTTTCCTCGATAGAACATGTTTCAACGATGGCCTTTACCTCAATATGCTACTTATCTTTTGATCACACTATTTTTTCTTTCATCATGGACAGATGTCAATGGAATCTATGCACAATTGCCACAGATTGTTTTAACTCAACCAGAAAGTTGGAAACTAGGTGCCAATCTTGCATTGATCACTAATCTTGGAAATATTGGGCCTTTTTCACTCGTGTTATACAAATGTCTTTGCCGGAAACGAACAATCAATCCTATACCAATTAATTACATTGTGATTTTAATTGGAATGCTATCATGTTTCTTGATGATCTTCTTTTGGTCGTACACAACCACGATCGGCAATGAAAAACGTAGTACAGCCTTGTTAATATTGGCTTTTTTTCTATCGCTACTCGATTGCACATCGTCTATTACATTTGCTGATTACATGCATCGATTTCGAAAAGAATTTACTAGTGCAATTTTTCTCGGAGAGAGTTTAACTTCTATCCTACCGAGTTTACTTGCTATTGCACAAGGAAACGGACAAATTCATTGCATTCAATCGGCTAATGGTACAAATACGACTGAAGCTATTTATGAAACTGCACGATTTTCTGTTTCGATCTATTTTCTATGTTTATTCATATTGCTAACTATTTCATTTGTTTCGTATGTACTTTTACAATGGACAACGATCGGTCAAAGCTCATACCAAACCAACGCAGACACTTTGTCAAACGAATCAACGGAATCTATAGACAAGCCATTAACTCGTTTGTCCTATATTCTTCTTCTGTTAGCATGTGCTTTCACCAGTTCAGTTCTATTCGGAATGGCTCTTTCCATCTCTACATACGTACTGATGCCATATGGACATCGAATATTCTATTTAGGAACGATCATTTCACCGTGGATGTTAACACTTGTTTGGGTATTTGGAATGGTCAAACCATTGTTATCCAAACGTTATTTATTAATTCTAATCATCATCGGCTCATTAGCATTTGCATTTGATTTATTTGTCTCGTTTAAAAGTCCGTGTCCACCATGGGTTGATACAACCAAAGGGAGTGCTCTTATCCTGATTATCTGGCTTAGTACGTATATCTTCTTGGGTTATCCACGTTTAGTTATTGCAAATTATGTACGAATACATTCAACCAATGGGATGTTCTGGTATGGCGTCAATGTTCAGTTCGGCGCATTGACGGGCTCAGTTATTGCTTACCTCCTTATTGATACGTTTGGTTTGTTCCACGAGCGGAGAGCATGTGAACAGATTGTTTGTTAAAAAATAAAATTGAATTCATTTTGTTAGTCATGTCAAATAATTTTCTCGACATGGAAAACATCTGGTTTTTGTTCCGTAGTAATAGAAGTTAAGTTACACCATTTGCTGTCATGACAAATTCTTTTCATGTTAACCTTTATTCTGTAATTATCTATCTTATTTCATTTAAATGATTGATATTGAACAGATCTCCGTTCTCTCTCTCTCTCTCTCTCTCTCTCTCTTGTTGATAGAAACAAAAAACGTCAATGTAGTCATTGACCATTTTTAATCATATCACAACTGTACTTATTGACTGCCTGTTGTAATTAGAAAGAAATAAACCAGATACATACGCACAGCATTTTTTCTAATGAAAACGAAACAAATTAATATATTTTACATGTCAACCATTGTTCGTTAGTTATCGTCGTAGAGAATCGAATCAGTATTGAACAGCGGCAAATGATGAAACATTACAGATTACTCGTTTCGCGACGGTTCAATTCCGATTGCCAGACCGTTTGGGGCCACCCAGTTCGTTCTTTGGATTTCCGTGTGTCGTACTAAAATAAAATCTTCTAGGAAGAATAATCGAGCATTTCTGTGTTACTTTGTTGGATTCTCGTGATTCTTTTCGAGTTCTTGTTATATCGGCCTTGAATGCACTCGGCATTGCCGTTGGATCGTCTTTAGCAAGAATATCCAGCAAATACTCGATGTATTTCGTCGCTAATTTCAGTGTTTTAATTTTGGATAATTTCGTATCTGGTTGAACATTCGGTATGGCTGTGCGCAGGTCAGAAAAGGCAGTATTAATGGACAATGTGCGACGACGTTCCTTTTTATTAGCTGATACACGTCGTTTAAAAATGCGAGGAACACCTATGAGATAAGATGTTCTGTACTCTTACAAAAACTATCTAAGATACCATCATACCTGGTTGTCGTTCACTAATAGTTTCGAGTTCATTCCAAGCCGAATGATTAGTTCCGAGGGAATATGCTGGCAATTCATTGGTTGGATAATGTGATGCGGGGAATCGTGAATATGGGTGATAAGATGAATTCGAATTGAAAATCATCGACGCTGAAGACGATGATGATGAGGATGGTGGAGAAATGAAATAATCGTTCGATACGTTGAACATGATTTTAATAATATAAGTCACCTGCAAACTGGCAAATAATAAAGTCTGGCGAGAATATACGTCTGTTATTCGTCAAATATGATGTTTGACTTATAACTGCTTTCTCTTTCTCTCTCTTCCTCTCTTATCCAATGATAGAGAGAGAGAGAAAATGATTTCTTCTTCTTGTTTGCTGATAAGTACAGTACGACTTTCTATTGGCTGTTCGATGCTGAGCAGTGATTTTCAGATGTATGTATTGATTGATGGAACTTTGAAAAAAAGTCAGGGACGATTTTCGTTAGAAAAATGCGTTTTTCTCGGTGACCTTCTCCGTGGTATTATTGCTGTCTGCTGTCTATCCTTTTTTGTAATTGAGTACGATTCATTATTTGAATAATATAGACAAACAGCACAAAACAATCTCCATTTCCTGTTGATAAGCATCTCAATACACGGCATGATGTTTGTTTGTATAAAAGATGTGTTTGATGTGGCTTCTTCCGTTAGACGATTATCACTTTCTGTTGTCTTCACTAACGAAAAACAAAAGAGATCATGTTTAGAATTCAATCAATACAGATCACCGATGATGATTACGCTGGAAATTGAGATGTGAATAGCAAAGGAAGCGGCACGGACTGTTTTGTGTCTTTTCGAAAACAATAAAGAACTTGTTTGGAAGCAGAACAAGCACATCTTTGCCTTTTCATTATCAGATATCGTTTGATCCACATGATTAACCAGTGTGTAGTGACATCATGCCGAAAATTTCAGTTAACGAATCATTCCCAATTCTTTCTAGCCATTTATATTCCATTCGAAAATGAATATTGTTGGTGCAATATTTCCTCTTGGAAACTATTCAAGTGAAAGAAACGGATCGTTTATTAATCATTTACGATCGTTACTTCCATTTGCACGAACTTGTTTAATTCGTGGTGATGCTGATCAATGTTTTCGTCCTCTGCTCTTTCAAGCAGCTCTCTCCTATGCTGCAATTGGCAAACGCGTATCCTTCTACACACCTGCGCCGTTTCAAACCATACCCTCACTTGTTCATACATTAATTCCAAAATCACTTTCAACGGCAAATCTGCATTTGATTCGATTTCATTATTTGCCAACGATATTCGATGTGCACAAACATTTAAGCGATTCGACGTGTGATATCATCATCATTGATGGTTATCTAGAATTTCCACTATCGAAACAGGATGATTCATTCAAGATTATTTCGGCGTGTGCTTTATTGAAAGATACATATGAATATTTAAGCGCAAGATCTCATCGCAATGATCTGATTCTATTATGTTCATGTACGTGTGCAGAGATTTCGATGGCAAATGTTGAACAACGAGCATTATTTAATTTGGCAATCGACATTGAAATGCTGGAAGATGGAGATTATCGTTTTCAAGTGCATTTATCAACAAAGAGCAACAGTTCGTGTGTGTTTAACCTTCGAAGTGGAAGAAATGAAATAATGCCTTTATGTGCAATGATCGAAGAGCAAAAGGACTAATTTTATTCTGAATTTAAGTTCGTTTTTGTAGACAAAACGAAGAAAATTTGTATCCCTGACTTTATCTACCACTGTACTTCTTGAAACTCTCTATAGACCTCCTCATATACGTTCATTGCAGTCTCAATCATTAGTCTTTAATATAGTGCTTTCAGGTTAAGAGTTTTTCATCTCTTTGAACTACCATTAGCATTAATCTGAAACTCACGCATGACGTCGTGGATAATTTTAGATCGAAACCTTTATTGTATAGCTTTACATTCCTCTAAATTCAATTTGAAACAGTCGGCGCATGATATATTGCGACATTCTCAGTATTTCCCTGAATTTTATGCATAAAAAACTCACGAATTATAATGGTTTTAGCAATTTGATATATCTATAAACATAATAGCAGAATGTCCTAATGAAGATTGGCGCATGATTAATGAGGTTTTCTTTTAATAACAGTATGTGCTTTCAAGTGAAAGTATAATAAATGGGTCTTTTGTAAAAAAAAAAAAGTATAAACGCACTTCTTTTTTCTTGTCATAATCGGAGCAACTCCATTCTTATTGATACAATCGATTTGCGTGTCATCTTCATTGGCAATATGTCTGCATCAACCACGACCAACTCACCTAGTGTTCAGAATATGATCAATGAGATGAATGTCGCCATCGTCTCGCTTGCGAGATATGGATTTCCTGTTATATTTATATTCGGCGTTGTTTGCAATGTATTGAATGTTTATGTCTTTACGAAACCAACTTTAAGAACTAATCCATGTTGCATGTATTTCCTGTCGTCATCAGTAACTGCACTACTTTTCACTGTGTTCAATCTACCAATTCGAACACTTCAATTAGGATACAGCATTGATCTGACAGTAGATTCTGTAGTAGGTTGTCAAGTCAGAACATATCTTGTCTTTGTCTGGCGGTAAGAAATTCTTGTCATGAAAAATGTCATTTCGCTCATTCATCTGTGTTTATTAGAGCATTAACGGTCTGGTTTCTTGTTTTTGCCTCATTCGATCGGTAAATATAATTCTAAGAATGATTGACAGTAAGATCTTTTTTGTAGATTTTTACACAGCTCGTCGGATGGCAATATTCGAAAATGGAGTAGCTTTCGTATTGCTATTCGCGCGATTGTCATAACATCGATTTTAGTTCATGCTGCCTATGCCCACGTACTCGCATATTATGAAATCATTCCCACTCGTCGAACTTGTTCGGTTATGAACAGCTCTTATGTATATTTTCTCGGCATTTGGCATCTAGTTATGTACGGTACTGGCCCACCTTTATTAATGCTTATTTTCTCTCTACTTACAATACGACATGTACGTAGTAGGCGGATTATGCCTACTGCTCAAGCAACAAGTGCGCATCATAATGGATCTAATAAAGAAAAGAATTTAATTCGAATGGCCCTGTTTCAATGTTTGTTAGTTGGTTCAACAACAATTGCATATGCTATCTGTCAATTTTATATTATATTCACAACAGACAATGTGAAAAGTTCGCTTCGAGTAGCGATCGAGAATGTTTTTATCAATGTTATTGGAGCAGTATCAGCAGCTGGGCATAGTGTAACATTTTTCATATTTACTCTAACAAGCCAAATGTTTCGACAACACTTGAAGCCTCGACATGGAATGAGACACACTTAAAAAAAACAAGATTTAGACTTTGAGTTACAATGAACGTACCACTAAACTATGTAAAGTCTATTTTTGTTGAATATTTACATCATTTGAGTCTTTTACTCGTACATCTCGTTGTCACTAATGGTGGGTTTGATGAGTATAGAACAAAACTGTCGTTGTATAGACTTTTCGTGTCTGAAAATGTATTGTGACGTAATCCTTTTGTTTGAATAGGAAGAACACACCACGTCAACGATTCGTTGACTTGATGATTGGTCATGATTATGAACTATGTTGAAGGTGTTCATGAATAAATCCATCATTTGTTTTGTCGAACAAAGTTTACTATGCACGAGCAAACCCATGATAACGATGAATCAAAGCGGCACAGTGCGATATCGAGTAGATCGTTAAATCCCACAGAAGTGCTGTATGATATTTCATGTTTAAATTCAGTAAAGTATCGAAGCCGATTTGTATGTTTTAGATGATCAAGTTCATCGCAGTCATACCGATCTACGACTCATTCGAGAATAAGCCAATGTGACATACTTCAATAATCAGTCATCTGCGAGTTTTCGTCTTTTTATTTATTATTTCGATTGCTTAGTCTTGTGAGAATACAGGTATCCGAACAGTTTTTCGAAACTTCAGATGATACCACTAGTGCCGATCGACCATCACCATCTGTTGTCACCGTCAATGTCAGTGGAAATCGTTTTCAAGTGTATCCCTCTACTCTGGACGTCAATCCGACGACATTATTAGGTAATGCGAAAAAACGTCAACAATACTGGAATGACGAGAATCGGGGAGTCTTTCTTTGGTGACATCGCGCTTGTTTTGAATCGATTCTATATTATTATTATCAATCCAACGGTCGTCTTCGTCGATCCGAATCAGTTCAAATACCAAGGATGACCTGGCGAAAATATATTTGATTCTATTTAGAATTTCCTCTTTACTAGCGTATTGCACGTATGATCAGCCTCATTTCAGTATCTCTCACTATTGTTTCCTGTATTACGTTAGATGTCGAGGCGCTCCCAGCATACAACGATCGATTGGAAAGTATATGTGAAGCACAAAGAAATCAATCTGACGATGACATGACAACAACACATTGTCCAGCGCTATTTCAATCGCCATTCTTCATCATTCAGAGCATCTGTATCGCATATTTCACGGTAGAAATTCGTATTACGATTGATTAGCACACCGTTATGTGTTCGCACATTTTTCAATTGCCTTGATTTGGCTGAAATTCTTCCATAATTTATTCTCTGGGGAGTCGAATTGTTCAATAGCAAGACATATCTATTCGGTTCTGCTGCTTACTTTGCCGAGCGAGATACGAATGGATATGCATTTGATTCCGTTCCGAAATCAGTCTACCGGGAATCATAAGGCTTACCGGAGTAGGATAAGAGATGTTGATTTCAACTTTTTGTTTCAAACTAACCTTTTCAGACATGGAGAAATATTTTTTACGCCAGTTGCTGGTCGGATGACAGCATGTCTGTGTACGCTAGTTGATGCTGGAATGATGGGAATGTTAGTGTCGGTTTTGATTGAAAAATATCAACATGTGTACAAACGAAAGATGTATGTGTCGAAATTGGAAGCCCAATCACCAGAGTTAGATCCACTGATGAGTCTTGAGAATGGACAGAGAAGAATTGTATCTCTGTGAAAAAAATTGAAACCGAATTCGCGACGAATGTCAATACAATCGCGTTGAATTCAATTTGAGGTTTCGATTGAAAGTGATAATTTGCGTAACAATAACAGCGATAGTATTATTGAAACAGTAAAGGAAAAAACCAACGAAACAATCGTCAATAAAAATCCTGATATTAATTTACAAGTGACCGGAAACATTCAGAATTTATGATTCATTTAAAAATATACTCAAGTGTTTATGACTACTAACTGTTAGCTACTAGTACTCTAGACGCAAAGTGTATTGCTAGTGGAATCATTCGATTTGTACAATGTTGTTTTTTCTTCCTAACGACCTTCGTAATTCATTCTAACTGCATGAACAAACATACTCTTTGCTTTTTTTTCTCGTTTACTTCTCACAGTACGCATTGACGTTTATTTTTATAGAACCTTCTCTCATGGAGAACAAAAGTATCACTGCTGTCGTGTTCCGGAAGTCAATTTGCGACATGTAAAATGCGTTGGTCACTAAATCGCTTGGGTCATATGATCGATCGAATTACTAACAGCGCAAGACGTGATAAAAGCAGTTGTTCTATTTTGCTATTAGCTGACGCAATTGAAGAGCAATCCAAAGCATGTCTCCGATTTGTAGATCGTAGCAGACTTTAGTCAGTTTGAATGTTTGCAATATTAGAAGCAGGAAAAAAAACAATACGAAGATATAACGAGAAATGCAATCCTTGAAAGAATGCACTCGATTATGTAATCTATTTCATACAATACTCCTTATCTGCCCGTATTCTATTCGAATATTTTCATATATTTGAGAATTTAAAAAAATAGCGATAATTATTTGTCTGTTATCAAAGTGCACAAGAACTGTGAAACTATAAGCCTTCCATACCTCCAACATCAGAGACGTGGTTGTCCCTTTTACTAAAAAAGCAGTCTCTCCTCTCCTCTCCCATCTTGTTTTTTTCTCTGTTCTTCTCGCAAAAAAGCATTCATACCAACAGAACAGTCGAAGAACACGTCAATTCATGTAATCGCTGCTGCTATGGAGAACAAAAGTCCTTAGATATACTTTCGGTGCAAAGATCATATATAGAACGTATTTTTCTGAATAAGACTTTACCACGTTATCTTTTCATCGACATATTTCTCTCTCAACCTAGCCGGACAATTATTCAATTGATATAACTTAGCATGGATGTGACGTGGATACTTCTGATTATCGTTCTCTACCTTCTCGCCGTTGTAACATTCCACATGTACGTTCGGTATCTATCGGCTCAACGACACAACTTCGATCCGAAGTATCTACCTGTGATAGTCGAACCATGGTATTGTCCATTTTTAGGTCCTGCTCTCGCTCTGATGGACTTAGAATCGGCCGTCAATAGGTGGCGTGCGAGGTTCGGTGAGAATTTCACCGTTTTTATCCTGGGAAAATTCGTAACAGTCCTAACAAAATATTCAGATCTGAAAACATATTATCATGCCCCCGAAGAAGCACTCAGTCTGGGACAGGCCGCACTTGTTTTGCTCGGATCAGCATTTCCAGAGAGTCACTTTATCAAAGATCACAATTCGGTTCCACACATACAACGAATTTTAACACCACGTTTCTTGCGACAAACGGCTATAAATATTGATCAAGTTATCGATGATTATTTCAATCTCAAGAATGGTCAATTCTGGGAGGAATATGGTAATGGCGCTGTTGTTGATATATTCGACTTTGTTTATCGATTCGTACTGCGCACCAACTCAGCTAGCTTCACATCACATCGGATCTATAAAAATCACGTCACCGAAATAATTGATCTCTTCACCACACTAGATGCTGATAAATCTTTTATTAATCCCTTTACACATGGAATTAAGACAAGATTAGGAATTCGCAGCGAAAGAGATATCGCCTGGGAAAAATGGGTGAACCTTTTCGTGCCCGAGATTGAACATTGCGTCAAAATGATCGAAGATAATATTCAACCGAAGGGCATTGATTTCATGTACGATACTGTCAAATATGCGATAGAAGACATGCAACGACATGGTAAAACACTGACACCTCGATATATTGCCTTTCTTATTTATGGCATTTTTTTCCCGGCTCAACTTAATACCTACACAACCCTGGCATATGTGTTACTCGAATGGATTCGTCATGGCCACGATGAAATAGGTCATAAACTTCAAGAAGAAATCGATAGTGCCCCGCCGCCAGGAGAACTCACAATTGATTATTTGAATTCATTAGAATACATTCAAGCATGTATTTATGAAGTTATCCGCACGCATACTGAATTTCCCATCGCTTTTCGATATGCTGCTGCGGACGTTCAACTCGCCGATGGAAAATTCGTTCCAACTGGAAATTTAGTTATCACTCCTGTTACTCGTGCTCATGAATTATATGTCGATCCTTATAGATTTGATCCCGATCGTCATTTGAAACCAAGAGAAGAGATGAAGGCCGATCCATATAAAGCATTACCCTTCGGACGGGGTAAACATCCGTGTTCGGGAGAAAAATATGTGAAAATGCAGATTAGAGTAGTTCTTATTCGATTGGCAAAATTATGTACAATGGAAATCATGCCAGAGTCAATTGATTATGAAAAAATAGTCAACAAGAAACAACTGGTTGGGCTAAGTCGGCCAACAAAACCAGTATTTGTTCGAATAACCAAACAATGCTAATCTTATATAAAAAAATCAAGCTCTTATACATTTTCACTGTTCATGTTTTTAATATATTTAATACGAAAATAAGAGTATTTTATTTTTTTCTCTCATAACCGTGTAATGATGTGATCAAGTTCTGTATCTTCTTGATTATCATTCAATTGATGGTAACGAGTTTCCATGATTTCCTTGAATGATCCGTCAGCATACTGTTTCCAGTCAAATATCCAATGATGAGCGATTGAAAAGCCAAACATTTCAACGCAAATTAATACATTCGACAATAAAATCTTTTCCTGCTCAACTGTAAAACCCGTCGTCGAGCCATTACAATGTTGATTTGTGTCTGGATCACATGTCGTATTTCGTAAGACTCCAACGGCTGCTAGACCACTCATTAACAAAGTTTGCCAGAAGATAAAAAATACAATTAGCTTGACTACAATAAATTTGCCTAGTGGGCGAAAGGGCTTCAATGCTTCTTTGGCATTTCCATAGAATGCTATGAGCATATACAAGGCAATAATTTGACTAACATTTATAATAATTGCTATGTACGGAAAGCCACGACGGAAATTCCAGTTGCCATCATCATAAACACCAGCTAGGTTTAATATAACAGCAATTGCTGAGCATATCGGACTGATCAAGGTGTACTGTAAGGGGCCAACTTTGAAATACCAAACCCATCTGATATTTGGGCGTGGTTTAATACAACAGCGTACTAATGGTAAGAAAATAACATCTTGATTGAGAATCACTTCCGCGACACCACGATGTCCACCAAGATACTTTGTTAATAATAAAAGAAAACAGTAGATGACATAAGCTTCGTAGCAAGATTTGAACAAGTCCATGTATATAGATGATGTAAAATACAAAATCGAGACCCAAGATGTGATTGCGTATACAGGTACCACGACTAATATTCGTATAATACGTTTTTGTGACGGATGGTGGGTTTTGTGAAAAAAATGCTGAACGATTTGCACCAATGACATTCCCGTTGCTACAAGAGCGAATATACCGCCGATAATGGCAATTAGACCTTGTTCATGAACTGGATCTTTATATTTTTGCCATTGAACTGGACGATTAGACGCCCAAATAATAATCAATGCCAGATCACAACATAGAATCACAAGTATTCCCCATGTAACTTCATTTTTTATCAATGCCCACAGTGTTTTTCTATTGCAACGTTGACGACATATCATGATTGGTAAAAAATAAACATACGTAAACGTGCAAAAACGAAGCGTATGTACCGTTTTTTTCGGGAACGTCCACTTTGTCTTATATTCTACTTTTCTCTTTCGCACGTTGTGCACTCAGGTCGAAACGACTATAGCATATTTGCATCACACGTGTACACATTTTCTATATGGTCTATGTCGAGAAAAAAAAGCATATCATCTTCGTAAACAGACATTTTAATGTCAATAGATTCATATCATATTTCTTTTTCGTGCTGTTAGAGAATGTATGAAAAGACTTAAGTTCAACCTTGTTGATTGTTCGGTGCAATTTCAAAAGATTAGAATTTCAATGTTTTATTCATTACAACGATGTCAGAGACTTATGATTGAGTTTGATGACAACTTCAGCAAAATGTCGATCAGCAAAATCGCAGATGACGACGTTGACACCGTCGAGTAGTGAAGGATCACGTTGGCGTGATGCAAGCCATTCGATTAGTCGTCGATTGATTTCTCTTGCTTGACTTTGCAACGAACTGAATGGATTATTTTGTATTGTTGCACTGTCAGGTGTAAGTTGACCTTGAAGTACATTGACGCACAATGTCGATCGAGTGGTCGAGATCTTTTCATCGAGAAAACGAAATAGATCGTCAGCGCGTGGTGTGTTTGGCCAAGGAGATTGGCAAATCTATGAAATAGATATTCTGCTTATTTTTCTTTTCATTTCATTGATTTTACTTGAAAGAAATGACCGATCCGATTCATGTAGGCCGAACACTGATCACGGTTTCGTTCGTAGAGTAAGATAACTTGTTGCTGTTTATCCCACAAATAGTTCAATGTACATTCGAGAATTGTTTCTGCTGTGGTACAAATTTTCGCTCCGAATATTTCATCAATCAATTCAATCAGTTGTTCATGACCACATTGATCAGTAAAATCATAGAAATGATTGAAATCCAGTAGGACAACTTCTTTCGAGTGTTGATTCAGAAATGCATTGATTTCTTCTAGACCATCGCGAACTAGACCACCTAGTAAGCCATGTGTGAATGTAAATGGACTTCGCTTCGATTGAGATTCATTCGTTGTTCGACAAACACGTAAATCAAAATATCGAATACCAATTTGTAATTGTTCTATTTTAAACCAAAGAAAAACAAATACTCCTTTTAGATAGGTGGAGAATTACCGGCAAAAGTTAGATTTTGTGTAATACTCCAATTTTTAATAATCGGGCTGATCAGTACATGTAAACGCCGTAAGTTCGCATCCATATCTGGTCCCGCATGCCGCGATAAATAAAACGCAAACGAATCGTGCGTACCTAGGAAACAATCAATGTGCTCCTTGTAGATTTTTCGACTCTTACCTGGAATAGCAAGTTTAGTAATAGCCTCATTATGCAGTTCGATCGGTAGATTTTTCATCCACTCAACATATGTCGCATCCATGGTTGTTTCTCCAACTGATCCACAGCAATTCATAGCTATGCTTTATGACGATGTAACAACAACTCCTGTCTTTTATTATTTAATTGAAGATCTTAGTGACTGATATCTGTCTTTCAAAAACAAATATATACTCGTCAGTGACTATGCATGATACGAGCGATACAAGCAAAAAAGCGAAAGAAGAGAATATTTCTCATATGTATTGCAGTTGTAAAAAAAAGCGAAAGTGAAGGTTATAAAAAGGTGGAACGTAATCGAAGTGGCTATTTGAATTTCGGTGCACTGCGGTCGTTTGTTTTAGCTTTCTTCAGTTTACCAGGACTGAAATCAGTAATAGAGTTCAATAATTGTGATCGATCGCCGCCACCACCAGCAGGAGTAGGCGGCGGGGCTGCTGCTACGGGCATCGGTGGTGCAGGCGGCGGAGGAGGTGCTGCCGTTCTTGTTATTGGAACTGGAGGTGCTGCCAGTGGCGACTGTGGAGGACTAGCTACATCAACACTTAAATTCGTAGTTAATGGTTGTCTTGGTGTTGCCCTGCCGGTTGACAATTGTAATGGATCAACACTAACTGAACGTTGTAGAGTTTCTGTAATGTAAAAGAAAAGACGAACATATAGAATCATATATGTAGGATCAAAATCAATTCAGCCCTTCTCATTAAAGTGAACATGCAGTGATAGAAAGTCACAAACTTACTTTGACTTTAGGTATGTTCTTAAGAGTAAAATGATAGTTTCCGAGCGAGCAAAAACGTTTTTACATACTTAGCGTTCCTTGTGGATTTCCTTGACTGTCTAAACTTTGTTCGAGTGCTTTAGCCTATAAAAGAAGACGGCATAAGAATCCCAGTTCACTATTGCATGATCAGCAAACCTGTTTTTCTTTGCGTCGTCGCAGTCTTTCTTCATCGGACATGAGATGACTAGTCAGTTTTGTTCGTCGTTGAGCATTTTTAATCTAATAACCAAGAGAAGTGCAAAACTTAGTGGAAAACGAAAGTGGAAAAGCCATACTTTCATTTGATCGCCTTCTAGTCTATTTTGGGCTGTTTGGGCTACTTGTTCGAACGCTTCTTTCGCCTTTGCACTCAATTTGATTTGAAATCGTTCGATGTTACTCGACGGTGTTGTTTGAAAGAAACTGTAAAGGAAAACAATATCAAACCAAAACATGAACGAAAACGAATGACTTCTTCTTACGGATCAGTTAGCAGTTCTTGAATAGTAGGTAAACCTCCTGATGGCGCAAAAATTCTCAAGAGAACATGCTGAACAGGTATTGGTACAGCACTTGGAAATTGCATGGAAACGCTCGTTGGACATTCTTCACCAGTTGATAACTCGTACAGTACTCGTCCGAAGCCGTACACATCACATTGTTCCAGTGTCTGTAGCGGAAAGGTTAGATCTTATTCGATGACGGTTTAGTTTTACGTACTCGAATTTGTTTCAAATTCGAAATATAGCATCGATACTTCGATGAAATACCCGTAATTGCGTTGGTCATGTCGAGTAGTTTGATGGGTAAAGCTTGATCCGTATCAAGTAGAATGTTACCAGAATGTAGATGACCGTAGACAAGACCGTTGGAATAGATAAAATCTAGTGCTTCCAGAATAAAACGGCCATATTGCTTAATCTGAATTAAATCACATGTGCGAGTTGGTGTTTTACGGCCATATCGTTTCCAGTAGGGACCATTCGTTGGTTTCGTCTATGAGAACACGTACATATTTCGACAAAAAAAGAAGAAACTAAAAATATCAAGTTCGTTACTTGATGAAGGTAATCTTTCAATGAACCATTCTTATAGAGTCGATAGACAGTCAGTGTCCCGGTTTCATTCGCATAAATGTCATCGATTGGAACGATTAATGGATGCTACAAAGTCGACATAGATTGTGTGTAAAATCAGAAGACAATACTAACAGCAATGTTTTTCAACAATTTCAGACAGTTATTGGTATCCTTTTCTCCAAATGCTTTATCCAATCCGTAGTGACACTGGAAAAGGAAAACATTCATTCAATGAACTTTGCACGAAATTCGTTACCATACCCAAGATAAAAGGTAACGATCGTCTTTCAGCGCTCCGGCTTTGGTTGCAGAAAAGTAACTTTTGTTATATCGCCATCCTAAATCAGCTATTTGTTCAACAATCTGATAGGTATTATTCGTGGAACGAATGAACATCGAGACATGTTGTAATGCTATTTCTAAGAAAAGAAGACAAGATAAGATTGCCGACTTAAGCGCACTAAGGAATATTTATGTGAATACCTGAATAGTTTATCATATGATTCTCAGGATCAAGAAAACGTTGTATAACTAATGAATTGCAAAGTTCGAAGTGTTGAACAAGTGTATCCAGATATGCCTATGATGAAACGAGATTGGTTCGGTGAAGATGAGTTATTCGATTGAAAATACATACTTGAAGACCTTTCTGTCTTTCTGCCATAAATATTCGATCGGTTCTTCCCAAAAGTTTTTTCTTTGGCAAATCAAAATCAAACCCATATTCCTTCAAGCAGTTATTAACATCATCGAACTCTCGGAAACGTCGAGTAACAAGCCATGAATTCGATGGGTCATGTAAAGCACGTAGCACTCGAATTGAATATTCCTAATCGAACAGGTTCACAAAATCGCACTCAATCATATCTACCTATTTACCCCATGTCCTTCAACGAGTTGAGAACTTTCGATCATACATGTCATTGGCAGTGTGTCATCAATCGGTGTTCGCACACCGTTCATTAAATGTGGTATAATTGGTCTTGCCATTTGACAATATCTTGAGATCAATTGTTTCGAAATAGTACACGAACGAGTTTACTTACTTTCTTTTTCTCTCTTCTATCTATTTGTTCTTCGTGCGTTGTCTTATTCGAAAAAAAGAATGAGAATTATATATCATAGATAAGAATCAACATGCACACACACATGTGATTCATGTTTGTATAGCGAATCAGAGATTATTTTTAAAAAAAATCATTTATAGTGGTAAAAAACTGCTGGAAAGACTGGAAGACATGTGTTGGAGAAATATACGGAATCAATCAGGAAGGGTTGTTAGTATCATCATCATTCGTATCGCCGCTGCTTGCTTTTTCGTCAGTACACATTGTTGAAGTCAAACGTTTGGAATGATGGTGATGGTGTTGACCATGTTTTCGTCCTAGAGAAAAAATTCTGTTTTCTTGATAAGAAGAGAAAGAGTAAACTTACGGCGATGTTTACGTTTCTTTTCCGCCAAACGCGTTGTATCAATTTCAAGTTTCGTTGCCGTTGACGATATTTCAGATGGCGACAAATCAACGATAACAACTTGGTGATGACTTTCCATTGGTGCACCATGAGTAATAAGTTTATCGTTGTTTGAGGTTAACTCGTCATCACCGTTTCTATTTGATTTATTAGATCGAACCTGAAAACGGTTGATTTCATCATGGATCGCGCTTTGTAGTTGCTCGAGAGTCCATTTCTGAATTCAATTGAAAACATACGCTTACAAATAGGGAAAGGCAGACCTTTTTCTTACTTCACTTTCAAATCCAAAGTCGAATTTGTCAGTATCAGTATCCATAGAACAATCATCACTATCGTCTAATTTGATTACAAATTCATTGACGAAACTATGCTGCAATGCAGCATTCGTACTGATTCGTTGTTCTGGATCAATGACTAGTAGCTGACGTAATAGGTCGATTCCATCATCAGTTGCATTCGGATAAAGTGCTTTGAAATTTGCAGGCTGACGATTGCCCACGCCTAAACAATACGTGAAAAGCTTCATTGTCGTAAATACGTTTTCATGACATTTACTCAAAATTAATCGTCGAAAACAATCACTATGTAAGGATTGAAGGTACGCTTTTGTAGGTGTACCAAGAATGATGAAAATCAACTGAATTTGTGCGATCGTATTTGTCCCTAAACAAATCTTTTTCAGGAAATCCTTTTTTCAAAATTGAAGACTTCGTACCGGAAAAGATCGGCTTTCGTCCGAACATTTCGGCTAGAATACACCCAACAGACCAGAGATCAATAGCTTGAGAATATTCCGTATAGCCGAGAATCACTTCAGGCGCTCGATACCAACGTGTAACAACATATTGTGTTTGATCATGGTCACGATATTGTCGCGCCATACCTTCAAACGCTCATCATACGTCAAACTCAAGTAAAAACTTCTTACACTCTTACCAAAATCAGCGATTTTGATATTACATGTTTGACTGACAAGAATATTCGATGGTTTCAAATCTCGATGAATCTAAATACAAAACATGAACTAAAAAGAACTCAACTCCATCAAATCTAACAATCCCAGTTTGATGAATGAACGCAAGTCCGTTCAAAATTTGATATGTAAAGTATTTGATATGATCATTCGTCAATGTTTGATTCGACTCCAAAACACGTTTTAAATCTGTATCCATATAATCGAAAACAATATACACATCTTTACTATTATTCGAATTGAGGAACACATCACGAATGGTGATTATATTTTCATGATTGACAAGATGGCGAAGAATCTTTATTTCACGATACGTTCGCATGCCAATCAGAAAATGTTCGAAGACATTGACGATTTTCTTTATGGCGACATTCGTCCCCGTTTTGCGATGACGGGCCAAGCAAACAACACCATACGCGCCATTTCCTAGAACATAATGAATCGATTGCGACAGACACCAGACCGATTTGAGAAAACCTACCAATAGTTTTTATTGGTTCGTACTTGTTATCACGCAGATCGAAATTTACATCGAAGAATTGCTGATCAAGTTTTTCATTCATAATCTAAAAGATTTCTAATTCTAATCAGATTCAATCCTTTAATCCTTCGGTAAAATGACTAATGTCCTCAGTGTCTCTCTGCTCCTACAGTCGATTGCTTGACAAAACGAAATTCGACGCGCTGACATGGCTGTAAAGAATCAAAAAAAAAGAAAGAAAAGAATGATGAGGTTATTCATCCATATCACATTATGTTAACAAACAGAACTTTTATTAAAAGTACATCAAGATAACGACGACATAATATATATTTTCACATCAGTAATTGCTCTTTTTCTTCAAATTGCACATTGATTAACCGGAAACAATGTATCGAGTATGTCAAAATACAGTCTTCAAGTATTTTATTGGTTTGGAAAGAAAGTCGGTGCAGAGAAATGTCGGTCTGAAATGGAAATCTTCGTTTCGGATTTGTGTGTGTCAAAGAATTCTTCTCGATCTATTTCAATAAATAATAAGAATACACAAATGATCATCTCTTCAAATCTGTATATTTAAGGATGTATCGAAGAAGACAAGTCTGATTTTACAGACAGAGAGGAACAAATAGGAGAATGAAAAAATGTACATTATAGAGAGAAAAATTATACACGCATACATATATAAAGATGCACTTTTGTTTTATTGTTTTTCAACGAAAATGTTGTTCAATTGGGTTTGGAAGGCTCGTCGTGGAAACGTCTGGAAATGAGAGAAAAAACACGACGAATATCCTTTTGCCCATGAACCATCACTGTTGTCGCCCGCACACACACACATACACTACGAAGAAATATCATACGCAATGAAAAGAACTGAACAGTAGACGCACACACGCACTTAAAAAAACGAAGGCGAAGGAAAGAAAGAGAGAATATGAACTAAAGAAATGAGATTTGTCTTATCTGGAGTATTTTTCGTGTGTGTGCGGAGTAGGATATCAACCAATCGAGCCGAAATGACTATAATCATCGTTGTTTGAATTGTTCGGTGTTTTATCGAATTTTTTCACTTCTTCTTGCATGGATTCTTTTAATTTTAGAATCGCATTCGTATCGTTGCTGGGATCTTCTGAATAATTGAAATTTGTCACATCTGGAGGAGGAGGTGCGAGTGATTGCTGCGATTGTTGCGGTGGTTGTTGGTGGCTAGGTGATTGTTTCATCTGTTGATCATAGTCTCCTGAAAGAATAACGAATTCACATGAATTATGTATGAGTAGAGGTGTACCATTGATGGAACCATGATGCATCATATCTGGCGGCATATGGGATAGATGTGAATCGTGATACTAGAATTACAGATGATTGTTGTAAGAAATATTCTTTAGAATTCTGGTACCATAGGAGTCGGCCCCGGGCCCATTCCAGGAGGCATATTTCGCATAACATACGGCTGCATCTCTCCATTATTTGAATCTAAATTGAAGAATAATCTTTATAGTAAAATTCATGTTCGACGTTCGACAAACAAACCTTGCGGGCTGGACATCATGGTTGGCGTTGTCGGTGCATGGCCTGTTGGACAAGGAGTCTAGAATATTGAATAGAAGTGCTTTTCATTGAAAAGTCAAGAAAGATACATACTCCATAAGGAGCCGGGGATGATGAAGAGTAGCCAACCTGAGATTAATTAATAAAGAAAACAAAATAGTACATAATGTCATTTTACCCCCGGTGAATTTGTCATATACATTCGTGGTCCAGGCTGATTCATTGATGGTGACATACCTTGCGGTCGATATGCGTTTGGTAATGGTCCACCAGGACCAGGATGACCAATTGGATTGGTTGGCATTCGAGCTCCAGGAGACGTCATTCGTAAACCTAAACGAAATGAACTTTTCGAGTTCATATAGAATAACTGGTGATCATGTACCGTTTCGTCCGGCATCCATCTGCGGTGGCATAACAGGTCCACCCTAAAACCATGAGGATGTGAGATATGCGCGAATTCCGACAAATATATTATCTTACTGGATAATCAGATTGAGAAGACATACGAACAAGTGAACGTGGCGGCGGATTTGGATAGCGTGAATACTAGCAGAGAAAGTGATACTTCTACGAGGAAAACATTATTTCATCACACCTACCTGATTCATCATGGGTTGTCCTTGTGGCTAAATGGAAATCCGATGTAATTTTCAATTCTTGTCGAAATATATCACCTACGGGGAAAAATGGAACATTTGGATTATGCATTCCTTCATTGACATTCATCGACATGGGTGGCGGACCGTTTGGATTTGCATTAGGCTATAGAGAAAAACATAATATTGCTCAATACAACAAAAATGTTCCTTACCTGAGGAGGCATGCCATTGACATTGATAAATCCCTGTGAAAGAAAGAATGACAGATTCGATAGATGATGAGGAACTTTACTGCCTCTTACATAATCGTGAAATGCTTTTGCTTCTTCTGAATGTGGATGTTGATCTCGACGTTCAGGTGCTGCACTGTACAAATCCCAAAAGACGCTAGAACAATTAGAAAACGGTTCCGTGCTTGTCCAGAATTCTTTTCGTTGAACTTACCACCACCAACTAAATAAAAATCCAGGTGCTTCGCCAAGCGACATTTTGTTTGGTTCCCATTTCATCTTCAATATTCAAAACGTATGATTTCTATCCGTAAAACAGACGACTTACATCCGCACAAAATCCCTGGGCAGCTTTTGAAGCACCAATATGATACAGATACTCGTAAACATACAAATTCAACCTGGAAAATAAACAAGAAAACGGATTGAATCATTTCGGCAGTCGAAGTTTCAGTACGCACTTGTCCTTAGCATGGATATCCGATGGAGCAGCGAGATTTTTATTTTTGGCGTACATGATACTTTGATTTCTTTTCTATCTATGAAGCAGTTCACTTTGGATAAACATTTGATAAGAAAGAAAAGAAAAAAACTCTATCTAAATAGAGATTGATTGATTTGCTGTTAATAAATTCTGTCAAGTAGCCACCATTGTTCCGTTTTCTTGACCTCTTCTGCTTTCTCCTTTCGAAAAAGAACGTTGAGACAAGTAATGACTTGGAGAAATCTTCTTAAAAAAGAGAATTTTTTCCAATCAATTCGAGCAGTTTCTTTGAAAAATTTTGTAAACTATCGAGAAATGCGTTCATTGGAGGAAATTATTCACCAATCGAATTGCTGATCGTTTTTCCTTGAGATTTCAGTTACGAACGAAAAACCATCCATAATCAATAATTGCCCGTGCAATGATATTCGACGAACTGCTTAGCGTTGTCAGTCCGCGTTTATACTGGGTAAGTGATATTACGAGAAATTCGAGCAAGGAATTGTCAGTATTTTCTCTTGGTAAAGCTGATTAGTGTACAAAGAGACTAGTATTAAGGGAGAATGAGCTTGAAACTGGTACGTCAAAACGCATGATTCACATGCTTCGTATATTTGGAGGTTTTTTACCTCCAAATCAGACAACTCCGTCAATAATTTCGTTTTGATCAAAGAAGAAAATTTCTTTGATGAATTCGTTTATCTAACTTTACTTCATCGAGTAGTACCAATGTCTCTTTTGCCTTTGTCTTTATCTCTGTATCATCATTAAACCTGTCCTTTGTTCAGGCTGGATAATCTGCTTTGATCCACAAACAAAATACTGATAATTCCCTAAATGCTGCAATGTCTTATCTAGAGAAATCATTTCTTTTTAGATACTATTTGTGATTGTACTTATCATAAGTAAAAGAATGTTGGAACTCTACGGTCAGAAATCATCGAAAAAAGAAGAGTCGACATTTAAACCGACAGATGACGAGCGCGAAAGAATGAAAGCATTGGAACACGAACGTGGCTTAGCGTTCGACAAATTTTATCGATTTGGCACTGCTGCTGAACCTTCAATTGTCCTAGATGACTTTTTATTTCTTGGAAATATGCAGCATGCAAATAATAGCGATTTATTAGAAAGATTTCAAATCAGTACGTTGATAGATCGTTGTCTCCCTTAAACAAATCATGCGATTGTTCTAGAGCACATTATCAATGTCTGCGATATCAAACTGAGACAGATGATTCTTGATAATTTCAACGTTGTACATATTCCGATGCCTGACGAGCCTCGTACGAACATCAAACAGGTGCTTACCTTTTCAATCACGTAAAAGCAAAGTATTGAGATTGTACTTTTTCAGCACTTCGATCGAACAAATGAGCTGCTGCATGGTTATTATGAAAAAAAAGAACGGTGTCTTGTACACTGTGCTGCTGGTAATGCAAACTTGTCTTGCTACTTTCTAATCGAACTCTTCTTCGGTTTTCTTTTTCGATTAGGTGTTTCCCGGTCAGCAACGATCGTTCTTGCGTATTTGATGAAATACCATCATAATACTCTGAAAGAAGCCTTTTTCTACCTGATTGAAAAACGTCCACAAATCTGGCCGAACGAAGGTTTTCTATTACAATTAATTCGTTATGAAACAGAATTACTTCAAGCACATGAAATTCCGAAGAAAAGCAACGGCTCGATCAAAGATCTTCGAAAGGAGGAGAATCCCATCGAGACACTAGTTGAATTTGAACACAAACATGAGAAAGATGAGTAAATAAAAGAAGAGAAAGAGAGAGATCGAAAACAAAATGTACTTTTTTTCTTAGTAATTCTTGACTTTTCTATTTTGCCGGTTGGTTGAATAAATTCTCAAAATCTTCAATTAACTAAATATCGTTGTCAGAATCAAGATCTTGTTCTAAGCGTAACTCGATCGATGTGGTTTCCGAAAAGTTCGATGAAAGATCGTATTTCATAAGATCTTCATCGTCTTCTAATGCTGTTGAAATCATCGGGATAGTGACATATGAAGTTGATGAATCATACTTGAACTTTGTTTGCTGTTGTTGTTTTCGTCTTATCAGGAATTGATGGATGATTAGATTTCGAGTATTGGATAAACCAAGGTAGATCACTAATAGAATGCCGACAAACGGGATTGATATGCCAATGAAGAACATTGTCCGTCCAAGTCACTAATCATGGAGGAACGAAAAGGCTGTACAAGAAAAAGGTAGTGAGTATTAAAGAAGCAACAGTCCGCCCCGCTATGCGAGTAGGTAGATAAATATTATCTTTTTTAACAACGTAATAGAACACACAGATACATAAATAACTAGTTTCGAGTATAGGCAATGAAAAGATGGAAGGTCAACAATGTGTTGACTTAGGTTTGCGGAGATATGTATTTTATCAATATGTTGAACGAATGGAAGATAATTATTCGTTTCGAGAAGGCCGCGGTAAGTCATGTTCTTTGTGGAAATGAGTAATTGACGACAGAGAAGTCAATATTGATCGAAAAGATTTTCGAATGGCATGCCGAGCAAAATTATTCAGAGAACATATTCTCGTTTTAGTTTAACATGCAAAAATAAATATTTTCAAATAGAATAATCAGAGTGATAAATATATATTTATTTATATGGTCAAAGAAAAACATCGCTTAATTTTCGACGAGACAAAAAAGCTGTTTGAAGTTTGAAGGAGAAATAATGAGGATAAAAATATGCATGTACGTTAAACGTATTGGACATCGTATTCACAAACAGTTGTGTTTTTCAAGTTTAATATTTGCTCCCACTGGCGCTAGTTGGGCTTTGGCGGCGTGGCGATTTGTCTTGTTGACCTGTGTGTCCAGCTGGTGCTCCGGGTGTTGTTGATGATCCGAGTAAACTTTGAACAGGTGTGTGACGGTCCGAGCCACTTTCTTCGAGCTCATCTCGAATCATTTTCTCTAAACGTTCTTGTTTCACTTCTTTGCTCATTGTGTTGTCCTAACACGAAAATTTTGATTTTTTTTTTTTGTCAACATTGAGCTCGCATGACTACTTACGTCGGCAATATTGTTAAGTATTTTGGTTAATGCTTCACGACGTTTCATTTTGCCTTTTTCCAACGTTTCTAATTTAGTTAAGACACCATCAATCTAAATAGTTTCGAGAATGTCATTTTCAGAAATCGAGCACAGTTTGGGATCATTACTCGTGAAACGATGTTTCCAATCGAATATTCCATACGATCAATACGTCGTACTAAGATTGCGAATTCATCGTAAGTGATGCGATTTGGGTTATCGCCGTCATTGTCATTAGTTGTATTCGCACTTGTTGTTGTTGCTGCTGTCGCTGCTGCTGCTGCTCCTCCTCCGGCAACAGGATTGGGTTTTCTAAAGATATCGACCACATTTCCAGTACTTTGTTCGGAACTTTTTCTTACTGAACATGAGAATCGTTCAAATCTTGAATATCCATGTCCAAATTGTTCTCTTGTGCAGTTAAGTCAGCCTTGAATCGACGTTGTTCAGCATCGCGGAGAACACGATCACCATCGGTATCGTAGCGTGAAAAGACGTTCTCGATTTCAATATCGGTATAACCACGAGCTTTTAAATCACGACGCCATTCATCGAACTAGAAATATTTTGCATATATTTCATACCCGAATCCTCGCGAACTTACTTCGATGATACCATCTTTGTTCACATCAGCGCTTTTTAATGCATTTTGGATGTCAATAATACGCTGAAAAGAAATAATTCAGTCTAGATTTCAAACATAACGAAAGCTTCTCTTCTTACATCACGTTTAACATTCAATCGTTCGAGCATTTTGTCGTACGATTTCTTGAAATATTCTCCTAGTTCGAATTCCGACTTCTGTGTCGTCATATCATTTTTAACTTCAGAATAAGTATCGTTGATGATAGCCAAAAACATGTTCAATAAAACGAAGAACACGAAGAAGACATAGGTCAAGAAGAAGATCGGTCCAAGAATACGATGAGCATCCAAAATGGCTAACAAAACAAAAGAATATCATGATATAGACGTTCATTCAATTCGTCTTTTACCATTGAAGTCAAAATCACCCAAGATAATTCGAAAGAGAGTGAAACTAAAACACATGGCCAGTCATGGGCATGATTTCATTTCAAAAGCGACTTACATCGAAATGGCGAATGTCTTATAATCGTCGACCATTGTTCCAAACAGCAAATAGCCCAATTGTGCATATGCTAAGAAGACAATCATGAACATCACGCTGAAACCAAGTACATCCTTTGCGCAACGGGATAACGTTGTTGATAATTGTGTCATTGTTTTGTTGAATGAAACATATTTGAAGATCTAGATATTGCTTGGATTAGCGAATTTCATCTGACGAATTAAAACTTACTTTGATCCAAGCGAGAAAAACGGCAAAAGCGACGACATTGTTGAATTGAATTTGCCAGTAGGTAAGAAATTCGAAATCGGCAAAACTGTTCTGATCTTGCAATAATTCATCGAGAATTTGGCCAACTTTGAATTGACGATAGACATTGAAAGCAATGCAAACATACGAGATCAAAATGATAATAACATCAAGAACATTCCACATGCCTTTGAAGTAATACAATCGATAATGTTTAATCTAATATAGAAAAGATTTTTCGCCCATCGAATCAAAGCTAAAACAATCGAACTCACTTCAATGATTTCTTCGATTGTGTAATAAATTGTAAAGACAATAAACAAAATTTCGCATGCCAAAACGAAGTAGTCCATGGATGAGACATACTAAATGATGAGATAATCTGGTATACACAGTTTCGATTGTTTCCCGAAGCATACTTACACGGATCAATTTGACAGTTGAGAATGATTTTGATGGAACGGCACCGCCTGATGCTGGAAATTCAACGGTTAATTTAATTTGGCAGAACAAATTGATGTTGGCATTGTAGACAGTAAAGTCCAAAAAGACTACACGTGTACCACGGTCGATCCAAAGATTTGCATTTAAATCAGCGATTTGAGCAGAAGCAGCATTGTAATTTGTTGTCAAGTCCTGTACGAAACCACCACCGCCATATCGAGAGATTAGACCACTTGAAGATGAACCCTGAAGTTGACTTGACGTTTGATAGTGCCATCTTATTACGAGAAAATCAATGAAACTATGTCAACTAAAATGTTGAAATCTTACGCGTTCGGCGTGACCGTATCGTTCGCCGGTCCATACGTTTGGCGATCTTCTCTACTGCCACTGTAAGATCCGTAGCAATCGGGAATTACCGATTGAAATTTCTTGTGAACAGTACAGGAATGATTGGTTACCTGAAAATAAGCGAATGCTTTTCTCTCTTCTAGAAATTCCAATGTGAAAATGTCTTACACGAAGTTGCCGAAGGCGTGGTAAGCCGAGAATTTTATTTTCGAATAAAACATATCCATATTGATCGAGTGTTAGGTTTTCCCCATTGTACCACGTCTGATCGAATAGCCCATTGAGAACCGGTCCGCTCATTACCTGGAAATCAGTCAGCAAAATGTTTCGAATAGATCTCAAAATCGAATCTTACATTCCAAAAATCATCGAAATTAGCGATATCATCATAGGCCGGCTGGTCCCCAATACCGGTAACCTTACGTTCCGTAAAGATTGTGCGCAACACCGTAGTGAAATAATATGTTTTGGTTGATGTCATGCCAAAAGTTACTTAAATCAAATAAAGAAGATGTCAATAAAAGGTAGACAACTAAAGAGAAGAAAACGCTCTTACTTATGCATAATATAGTAATGAATACCAAATAGAGAATCAACTCTCGAATCGTTGTTTTGACATACAAATCTTTGTTCTTGCGAAGATCTTTTTCTGTCTGTCGGGTTGCCCAAAGAGCTGAAAATATTAGCTATGTAGATAAAGTGTTTCGAGATCGATTCATCGATACATACAACGAATACCACGAAGAATGGTCCAGCCGATGTTTTTCTTTGTCACAGGATCGTGACGATGTGGATCCGGATGCGAACGATTTTTCATTCCATCATCAGGCTTAACGATGAAAATATTCGAACCCATCGGACTTGGTCCACCACTATTGCGAACTCCAGCTGGTTCGTCATCGTAAGCTGGATTGGCGTACGGCGTTGGTGTTTGGTTGGCCATCTTGATAGTTTTATTTCAGTTGCTTACTCTCTACAACACTTCCTGATGTGATATTTGAAAAAGCAATTTTTCTCACCTCTACCTGCTTCGCGCTTTTTTTTTGTTGACGTACACTAGCTATGTCCTTTGAGAAATGTCTATTCTTATATAGCTAAATTACTTTTTTTTTGTTTTCTCATTTTCACTCTCTTCTCTCGTTGTTTCTCTCTATTGTTATTTTTCATCTAGGAGAAAGCAGTAGCAAGAGAATTGATATTAAAAACTGAAATTGTTTTTCTTAAGATTGTAAACGAGTTTCTTTCAACAAAATAACACTTGCCAGGACCAAGTGCTGACGTCGATAGACTCCAAAACAGGAGAAAGGCAACTGCGTCAATGGGAAAAAAGAAGTTATTTAACAATTCCTTCGTGTATCTTTAAAAAAAATATTTGTCATCGAATAGGAAAAGAAAACTCGATGGCCGGTTGTCGCTCCTGACAAAAATGCATTTTGAAGACAAAAGGCGAGAAAGAAAACTTGGTAACATCATCTCTCTTTTCTAAGTGTTGAATTTTGATTGGAGTTAATATAGACGGTGAAAAACAACTAACATCACGAGAAGTGAAACAAACAATTGAAACGTTTTTAAAAAACTCTCATCCTTCTCAGAACAGTGGATGGAATGTTCTAGAAGTTCGGCTAGCTGAAGCAATATCGTTAATAGAAGAAAAAAAATGATTTTCTTGGAAATTAGCAAACAAAGGTCGGACGCTCTGGGAAATCATGTCATGCGATACCAGTGAAAGACAAATCTGAACAGTAGCATCGAGACTATACAATTGAAAAATAGGAAACGTGGGTGAATTAAAAATTAGACGAGTAGGCAATTCAATCATGAAATTGCTGTAATTGACGTTTGATTAGAAAATAACTCCAAAATTGTAAAGACATATCTGGATGATAGCGTCTCTTGTAACGAAAATCTTTAAGATGGTGTGTTGAATTGTGTATAAGCAGATGAATTGGCAGGACTTACAATCATTCGGCATTTCTTTTGTTTTTCACTTAGCTATATTAACTTTACAATTCAACTGTGAACATTATGAATTTTTTACAGGACCAGAACTGCGACGCAAAGTCAAACCTCGTATGAAAATAAAAGTTTAAGGAGCTACATTCTTGTTATGATTACTGAGCCGTGCCAATGAAATAACCAATAGTTTCACTCAATTCAAAAGCGACTTGATCATCTACATCGATAATGATGTCATGATAGTATTCAAACCTTAGCCAAGTTGCCTTCGATAAGGACATTTTGTGGTTTTTATCGTAGAAGTTTCGAGTGTGATATCAAACGTCTTAAGATTTTATTTATGTCTTTCTTTTCGATTCATTATCGAACTAAAAGCCGATGACCTTGGCATATTTTGTACGAAGAATAAAGATCATTGTTTTTTCTTTAATGGCAAATAGACCGACTAGGGATCTTTATTTGAAATTTAATCCACCGCGCGTCAACGAAACGAATGATGTGCATGATCGCAAGCATGTATTCATTCCTGTCATCGTCAATTTATTCTGTCTTCCAACTTTATCTTTTCAAAGCAAAATAAGACTGTCCTTTTTATTTTCTTGATTGACGACAAAGAAGAAGAAGAAGAAGAAGAAGAAGAAGAAGAAGAAGAAGAAGAAGGACTTTTCGGGTTTTTTTTTCTCTTTTTTCTATTTCCCTGCGTCGTTTTCTTTTTCGAAAGTGTCTATTTGCTTTATGTGCCTGTATCTGATATACGTTTAATAATACTCTTGTCGTTTGCGGTAATATTTTTTGTTTCCTGCGTAAGAGAAGGACACTTTTTATTCGATGTTCCTCTCATATATATTCAATTCACGATACACAGGTCATAAAAGATCACTTTCATTATCTTTAATGTTGTAACCTCTCGAATAAAGCCCAAACATCTTCAATGTACGAAAGCGAACCAATGTGAGTAAGTGATGAGATAGCGAACTGCTTCTCAATTCTGAACTTGTGACGGACACATTAATTTGCAGATGCGCAGATGGGCTAATTTTTGATTTTACAATAAGATCATTGTACGTAGAACGAAAAAGAATACGAGTAAGGAATGAAAAAGCAAGGAATGACATTCAATCGTTCCTCGTGGCAAGAAAGCTGGAGTAATCTTTGATTTTATACATTATCTACAAAATAGGATTATTATGACATTTCTTATTCCTTCTTTTTTGATTAAAATACTACTTGGAAGAGGAATAAATGGATATATTGAATTTTGCTACGAAATTAAATGCGGGAAAACATCACTCAACGAAAAATGACGACGTTTTCATCGATCGACTCAATCATCGATACACAGTCACCATGATCTTAGTATTCGCAGCCATCATTACAACACAGCAGTATTTCGGTTCACCAATTACCTGTTGGGTACGAAGAATAGTCATTTGAAATGCCTTTCTGTACTATTTGGTGTGTAGGTTCCTGCACAATTTACTGGTGGCTATGAAAAATATGCGAATGATATTTGCTGGATAATGAATACGTATTACGTTCCCATGGAACATGATATTCCACATGCAGAAACAACACGATACGAACGTGAGAGTTTGATTTTAAGAAGCATTTCTTTTGGTTAATTGTTTATTGTAGGTATGCTGAAGTATTATCAATGGTCACCGTTTATTCTCTTGTTTATGGCACTGTGTTTCTATTTTCCACGGATGCTGTGGAGATCATTGAATAATAAGTCTGGCTTAGATATTGAAAAGTTAGTCGATGCCGCTTTAAAACAAGAACAACAAGTCGAAGAACGAGAGAAGGCGGTGGATTATATCGTAAACTCAATTCGTGTCTATATAGAAAATCGTTACACTTCTCCTGCTCAGCATCCGAATCATACGAAAAGCGTTCCTCAAAAGTTCTGGTATAATATCACATTTTGGCGTCATCGGCATCTTAGTGCATTCATTGTTATTCTATTCACATTCGTAAAATTTCTATTTCTCTTTAACTCATTAGTACAAATATTTTTATTGAATGTCTTCTTGGGCAATGAATACCATTTGTTTGGCATTGAAGTCATTATCAAATTTATGCGCGGTCTGGATTGGGGTGAGTCGAAGCGGTTTCCGCGTGTTACATTATGCGATTTTCATATACGAGAAATCGGAATTATTCATCGATATACTGTCCAGTGCGTCTTACCAATCAATCTATTCAACGAGAAGATCTTTCTGATTCTATGGTTTTGGATTATTCTCTTAGCTGCTTTTAACATCTGTGATTTTATTTCGTGGTTATTACGTATTCTTCGCGTGGACGGCCGATCTGCATACGTCCAACGAAAACTAGCTCTGAATCGTGCAGTACCGCGTGACTCTGCAGACGGACGCATCAAATCCGATAATGATCAGTTACACGAAAAACTTCGTACTCGAGCTTTTGTTCGCGATTACCTGCAAGAAGATGGCTGCTTTGCTCTTCGTCTACTGGCTCGAAATGGACAAGACATTATCGTTGGTGACATAATCGACAAACTCTACACACATTTCTGTGCAACATACGATCGCAATCATTTGAATTCCGACCGACCAAGACTACCTCCTAGCAAATTTGATCCAAATAGTTCATTTTCTCCCTCAATTCGACCAAGATCAAACCCAACAGAAACCTTGCTTAATAACAATGATGATCATCAGTGACATTTAGTCATACAAAGGATAATTTAATGGCTATGATAGAATTTCTCTTCGTTTCTATATCTTATATGTAATGTGATACTATATCTTCCATAGAACAGTTTCAAAAATAAATTCATTGAAAAAAAATTCCAGATGATAGTTAACCTTTTTCTTATCAGAACAACAATAAAACCAATGAAAGTGTCGACTTGTTGGAAGATAATAATCATAAATTAATCTGTCGAGTACGTTACTATGTCCATCAACATCGGTGTATTCTCTCTTGGGTTCGATTAGTCTATGTGGAACATGAATTTTATACGTATGTGTATTTCAGAAATATAACAAATAGACAGATATACTTTTTCTCATTCCAGTACAAAGAAAAAAACCACACACACAAATGCAAAACAAAGATAACTCAAATAAATTCTTTCGCATCGACTAGGATGTATATTCGTGTTCAGCGAAGAACCAAACCTCGACCCCTTAAAATGGATATATGTTAAAATCATTCACACGATAGAGAAAAACAGATGACCAGAACACACAACAGCGAAGAAGAGTACGAAATACAGTTCAGACTTTATTCACCTATAGAATCGATAGAGAGAGAGAGAGAGGGGGGGGGAAGAAGATATACAATTTGCGTCAGTTTGAAACAACAAGAAAACGAAACTAACGAACAACAGAGAGAGAGAGAGAGAGAGAGAGAGAGAGAGAGAGAGAGAGAGAGAGAGAGAAAGTAATACAGAAGATATTGCGTTACAAAAATCACGACGTCGAAAGAAAAAAAATGAACATCAATCACAAACGAAAGACTGGCATGGCTGTTCATTCTCAAACTCAGCTATGTATATATATATTGCTTTTGATTATTCTTTTGTTTTCAATACTGTTCGCAAAATGAAAGGAACTTACACAGATATGGAGACATGACTAGTTTCTCATTCAAGCATGAACGGGCGATGAGACATTCGCTAGTAAATTACGTGTAGATTGATGACGATTCTCCGCTTCTTCGTCGTCGTCGTCGGCAACGTCTTCGTCCTCGTTTTCCTCCTCGGCATCATGATCATTGGAGTTCTCTTTTTTCGACATGTTCATTGGTTCTTGATCATTACCATTAGATGACTTGATGATGAGTTGTGAACGATTGATTGGTTCTAGTTTGACTTTATTCGGAACGAAGACTTCACTGTGTTGTTGTTGACTGGATAAGGCATTGGAAAATAGTGGCTGAGTTACTGTTGTTGTTGAGTTCGTTGAACTTAATGTTGAATTTGTGTTGGTTGTCGTTGTCGAACTCGCTGGAAGATTATTGCTTGGTATTCGTGAACGATGACTTGAACGTAAGTGCGAATACCAATCTTTCGGTATGGGAAATACTTGATCACATAGCTCACAACGATGTGGACGAACGCCTGAATCATGGGTCTTGACATGACTATTGAAATTACCTATCGTGCGGTAACTCTTCAAACATAATGGACATGCATAAGGTTTTTCACCCTAATCGATCAAAGAAAATCATTTTCGATTGGAACATCGATAATAATTAGCGAAAGAATGACTCACTGTGTGAATTCGGACGTGAATCTGAAGATCCCCGGAATTGGTAAATCGTTTTTCACAATACGTACTAAATAGAAACGAACGCATTCCATGATTAGATCTCTAATAGAGAAAATGAATAATTACCATGGATATGGTTTATCATTCGTATGTCGTCTAACATGTATTTGAATATTTGTTACGATTTTTTCACATAGCCCACATTGGTACTTCTTCAAATTTCCCAATTGTTTTGCCATAAATACTTGCTTTTGTCCTGTATTGTTGATTGCGGTTATTGTCAAACCTTCTGCTGTCGGCGTCGCTGATATTGTCGATGATAAATGTTTGTTAACATTAGGAATATTCGTTCCGTTTTGTTGAATACCATTCGTACTAACATTCGAACTATCGTTACTTGCATCACCAATGGATAGACCGTCCTCATCGGCGTCGTCTAAGGATGGCGAAAGAATTGTCGCTACATTGTTGTAATTAGTCGAGAGGATGTTGTTTGTTGTAGTCAATTCTAATGGAGTACTACCCAGAGTGGCTGGTCTACGGCGTCCACGTGCTTTCGATGAACCTGTGACAAGAAAGATAAATTTGAATCGGATGATCGACGTAGACAGATTTTGGGCAAACATGCTTTTCAGTCCAAACTCATGCGCGCTTACCTCATCCTTCTCGTAAGACTAGGGGTTTTATTAATTAATTCTTCGGTGAATATTTAGAAGAAAAAGCAAATGAATGTAGAACTCACTTTGATCGGATAGCGTGCCGTTGGTGCCGTTGGATGCATTGAAATTGTTGATAATACTGTCAGATTGACCTTCTGTTCCCTGCGTGATGAAAAAGCAAAACAAGAAATGAGATTTTTCATTTAGCTGCCATTGCTAAAGCGAAAATTTCCATGAACATCTATCTCTCATTCGACTTCTAAATAGCTGAATAAGTGATCATTGATGCCTCTTGTAACATTATAATTAAGCACTCAAGATCGCAGGGATGGAAAAAAAGTCATCACTTAGCATTCTCGATGGTTTTCATAGAAGTTCTCAAAAGGCAGACTAACGAACAAATGTCAATAGAGAAGTTTCTTTCATCCTCTATCTATGGTTTACGTGTGCGGGTGTATCCCTAAACCTCACGATTTTTCCTTTTTGACGATAGCAGAAAGGCAACGAACCTTGGAAATTAATTGTTAACGAGAAAAAAAAAGATGCTAAAGGACAGCAGATACTTTTGAAACGCCTTTTGGCCGTGGGTGTCAAAGCGGATACTAGGTGTGAAGGAGACAGACGAGAGAAAATAACATACGGATAGGAGAGAAACAGCAATGCGTTCAATATGATTGCCTTTCACCGAGTTGAATGGGCGACTGTTCAATGTTGACGAAGAAGTTGAACTAGAACCGGGTGTTGTTAAATTAAGCAAAGGAAGATTATGACTCGATGTATCAGTTGAAATGTTCGGTTTGAGAAGATTAATACAATTATAAGATTTATTATTCGATATATCAGATGTAAGCTTCTAAATAACAACTTAGAAATGATGGCATCAAGGTACCGAGAATCTCTTACTGATAATTCTGAATCTTTCGTTGACTGCTTGAACTTCTTTTTCTGATTAGTAGTTTCCATTATTATTTCAGGCTTTCGCCTTGAACTTGTTCGTTTCGTTGAAGACAAGTATTGACTTGACACAGACTTTCTTGCTTCATCGTCTTCTTCCGTCTCCTCGTCGTCATTATCATCATCATCATCATCGTGATCAATTGGTGGAAATTTTACAATCAATTGTACACTATTCGTCGGCCGTTTCTGATGATTCAAAGTTGGAATAATGTGCTTCGGCGCACCCTTACGTTTGGATAGTCGTTTCGGTTCAACTGATGTCATTACATTCGATGCTTTCGTTTGAACTATTTTCAACTGTTTCTCAACTTGGTAACGACTGATTTGAGATGTTTTGCGAAATTTCGATCGAAGACTTTTTTGCGTTCGATCAAAGGTTTGATAAGCTGTTTCCAGTTGAGTCAGTGACGATGCACACGTGCCACAGATAACAGTCGAATAATGGTCATTGGGATTGTTTTCAGGTAAGTTTATACATAAATAACGAACGATTAAGTCACGATAACGAAATGGACGACGTTTGTATATATTGTAGATGCGATCATTATGTTGGGAACACCAGACTTTCTGATGAAATAATGAGGCACCTTTTAGACGTGTATAACAAAGCCGACATCGATCTTTGACACTTATTCCACTGGTCATTTCTAATCGAAAGTAAAACAAATAGTGAGTGTAATGAGAACTGAATGAATCGGATAGAAGAAAAAAAACATGTTTATGCACTCCTCAGTCTAATTTAGAAGAAACAGTGGAAATACATTTCTCGTTCGCTGATTTGTATCTCAATGTAAAACAAACACCAACTGATAAAAAGTTTTTAGACGCAGGTAACACTTTTCCCTTCCTTCTCCTTATTCTTTGTCGTCGTTAACATACTTTGATCATACTTTTACACACTAACATACAGATATATATATATATATATTTAGAGAGAGAGAGAGAGAGAGATGAAGAAGAAAACCAGAATGACAGTGTGCGTTTTTTTGTCTTACTCTATGTCTGTCTATCTTATTATCAGAAATCTCTTTTTTCTTACAATTTGTTCAGTGACAAGAGGGAGAGAACGGCGACAATGTCGCTGGTCTTCGTTTGCGCTCACGCGCATTCATCCAACTTTTTCTAACCCTCGCGGAAAAATATATATATGATGGGAAAAAAATACGTATAAAGATGCTAAGCAATAGTGGGCTGGATGTGTGTAGAAAAGAAGGGGAGGGAAAAGAAAAATTCTCGTCGAACCTTCCTCCGGTCGGGTATGAACATATTTTATAAGCGCACAGCTACTATCACCAGGAGAGACAAAGCGAACGAGAAGAAGAATAAGAAGAGTTACTATTAACTCGTTGATTCTCGTGATGATGATGTTCAGGACAGTTCTTTCTCTCACTACATAACCGAAAGAGAGGAGAAAAAAGACAGGCACTTTTTTGAAGGACGACAAGACGTGCTCACTAACAGCACGGTCAGGATTGAACAGCGCAATAGTTATGTCTCTTTCTTTCTACAAAAAAACTCGTCCAAACATTTTTTCTTTTTCCTCTCATTTTCTCTTTTTTGCTATTCTAGTCATCATGTTCACAATTGCGTGTATAATGCTTCTATGTGCATATTTCCAAGGTTCCTTTCTTCGATTCTGTTTAGCTCGTCATCGGGAGAAAAAAAAACTGGAATAGGAAAAAAAAGAAAGCAAAGAGTTGTATAACACACGCGCATAGACATGGATAGACTTTTTCCTTCCATTTACCGATTGTGTCTATGTGTGTTCAACAGTGAGTCTTCTTTGTACTTTTTGTCTCCGACTGAGAACAAAACGAATAGAACGGCGAAGAGAAAAAAAAAGAAGGGAAGACGCGTGAGTAAAAAAAGAAACAGGCACACACATAGAAAATCCTCACGGAAATTATGTATGACATGAAAAGGAACAAAAAAGCAAGGAGAATATTTTCTATTACTCAATATAAAATTCTACTATTAAAATAGATGAATCTATGAATTATTTACGTATATAGAAGATAAGAGAGAAGAAGAAGAAAAAAAAACGTCCAGTTGTCTGTGTGTTAATTCATTTTTTTCGCCAAGGTGACAAGAGATAGACTATATGCATAAAAAAAATCTTCTGATGCATCGCCTTTGCTTTTTCTCTTGTCTATTTATTCAGCTACTCATGTTGCATACACTATCATCCACCTTCTTTCTCCTGTATACTCACATGCTGCTATTACTTTCTTCTTACGAAAAAGATGACTATGTTCTATCTCTCTCCCTCTCTCTCTCACATACATCTACTTTCGCACGACGAGAATCTTTATCTACATTGCACGACGTTGTCGTCAATGTATTTTTTTTTCTTTCGTTGCATTGTTGTTGTTCTGTCTATGTCGATTCTTACCTGTTTCTTTCGTACAAGAGAGGGAGAGAGAGAGATACGCGTACAACAAAGCAGCATACGGCGCGGATAAACTTTTTAACGCTGCGTATGCATCTGTGTGTATGTTCTTTTTTTTTTACATCGGCACACTTTTCTCCTTTTTTTTTCTTACACTTTATCAATTTTCCTTTCCTTTAGTTTTCGTTTTTCTAACAGAAAAATGAAGTAAAAATATTCAAATGCATTGAATACATACGCTTTTTGAGGGACGATGAGACCAACCGTCACCAGAGATTCGTTCGACGATACTTTGTCCCCGTTCTTTGTCTATTCGTATTCTATATCTGTCTTATACTTCTTTCCTTTCACATTAAATGATTCGACTGTGCTTTTTTTAAAAATATTGTATATCCAAATAGCACAATCAATAGCGGTATCACTCCCGCCAGGAGCAAATTTGGTCAAGGAGATCGACATATCCTATTACTTGATAAACGATTAGGACAAAGTATTGGTGCACCATCTACATCAACACCTAAGCATATATCTCTTTCATTCAATCGTACATTTTCATTTTCACTGTTTATAGAACTACTTTTCGTTTTCTTTATTCTAGATACAGTTCCAAGTCATTTATTTGAAGCACTTTCCATCTATTTCTCATATGGATATCTGTATGAACAAGGCAATAAACGTGTTCATTTTGCCAATGTTCGTCATCTGTTCGAAGCTAAAGTAAATGAAACTTTAAAAGATTTCTTATCTAATTTGACTTTTTTCATCTGTAGATGGATACGGTAGTTGATAAATCTCAAGAATTAAATAAGATTCTAGTCGTTCGTGTGACAGGTGATTGTGAAGTAAAAGAATTATCTGGTATTGTTTCTGGTGATCATTTATGGTTAAACAGTGTGAATCGATGTCGTTTCACTGCTCATGTTCCACTTGATGATGAAAAACACATATCGTCGTTCAAACCAATAAAAGGATCATCCGCAGATCATCTTCGTGACCATACATCAAAGTATCAATCAAGATCAACGATGGTGTACATTACTTTTATAAGAGAGTGAATAGAGACAGAAAAAAAGAATCTTTTTTTAAAAGTTTTACACGATAATAAAGATTGGTATAGAATGTATGATTTGTTCGATCTCTGAACTGAATTAGATCTTTATACTCTTCAATAGTGCCTGATTGAATTTCTCTTCGCACTATACAATATGATTTCATATACAACATTGATTATTGAGTCATCTCTTTACATACCTGTTTAGAACGTAAAATGTTTTTCTAATTGTTATGTTGGCATTAAAAAGAGTATGATTTTCAATAAGAAGAAAATATTTATTATAAAGCTGCTCGAAAATTGTCAATCACAAATAAGTAACAAAGGAGAAGAAAAATGAAGATATAACAACTACTCTGTACTATGTTAACAATAGACAACATGTCAGCTAATGTTCGCTGCCGTTGTTCTATAGTAGTTTTAAGATGATTGAAATATTTGTGACTACCAGCGAAAACTGTTTTATATTTCGTTTGTATTCGTTATGATTTTTCTCAAATGCTGAATATTGAGAGTTTAAAATTCAACAGGGAATCTTTCAGCTGTAACATGTATTCTCTTTTTTTTATTCAAACCAATGAAAATTGAGGAAATCCATTAATAACAGCAAAACCAATTAGAATCTATTATTAAATGTCCTTTTCATGGTTATAATCGATTAAAATTGGAAAAATCGACTTAAATAAATTTTTTCTTGGTATTTAATCGGAGAATGCAATATTAATCAGATTTTTTATGTTTTTGTTACATGGATACACATCCACCCTCATTTACAAAAATATTTTTTAACTAACACAAGTTAAACATCACATAAAAATCAATTACAATGCTGATTTGTTCAACTTCAGAAGATAGCGTCGTCTATCGCAAAACGACTTCTATCATATACATGTTACTGTCGTTCTGTATATCAGCGAATTGTCCAATTTCATTTCTATTAAGCATCCTAATTGTTGAATGATTGTAAACATCATAACAAGGTGATCTTTTTCTCACTCACTTTTATTCAAGATCTACTGAATTTTCAAGGTAATATGAGCGCTCAAAGTGAGTATTGTATGTTTTGAATAGTGTTTGCACAAAGATATTCGATTTGTTTTTAAAAAGTGACCTAGTCTGCTCATTGTTTTTCAGGTTTAGATGTTATTGGTAAATTAAAATACAATAACCGTTATGACGAGGATATATTGGAGATGTTAATCATGAGAGCTTACGAATTGATCGCGAACAATCAAGAATTATTATCGAAATCTGACACGATGTATCAGCATTCAGAATCAAATACGGAGTGTATCAAACAAATTTCACTTCAATGTTCATTAAACGAAAATTTTGATGAACTCGATGGTCTCTTAGCTGAACATATTAATGGATCCCAGGTTATTATGGCACGGTCGGTTCCGGTCGGATATTTCCTGTGCAATTCCGGTCGGAATCCGGCGGCAAGGAACCTGCTGGAATCGGCAAAAACTATGCCGGAATGATCGACCTGGACAGCTATATTCTATGATGACCCTTAGAACCCAGGACGGTGGTTCCTGAAGTAGGATTTCATGAATTTCCGGCTACCGGTTTTGACATGTTCCTGTCGATTCCGGCCCAAACCAGATAAATCCAGCCACCGGAGCCGGCCGTTTCCATGCCGGATTGTTCGACGTGGGAAAATCTGGAAAATTCATATTTCGGATCCGTCGAATTCCTGTAGGGTCCGATAAAATCCTATATTGGATTCGAGTACGGGATTGATTGCCCTGGGAATCTCATGCTTCGAATTAAAATGAAATTGAAAAAAATACAAACTTTATTCAAACGGGTAATATTGCTACACAACTTCGGAACAAAATGGTTCGCTACATAAAACCAACTTTGTCAAAGTGAGCAACTCGAGATGAATATCTTTTGTGCATTAAACGGGGAAGAAGTTTTTCAAAATTAACCGCTCTTATTCAAACATGTAATCCAAGTCTCACAATATACGATGTTGCTCGTTCAATAAATGTATTAACTAAAGAACGTGGCGAAAAAGCACACGATGAGGGTGTGGGTGTGGGTTAACTTAACAATAAGTCATGAAGAACTTCTTTTATTGAATGCTCTCAAATAAAGGTTCTTCTTTGAACAGATGTTTTTTTCAAGGAATTTTCGTCTTATCCAAGTTCATATTTTGGATGCACCGATATGTTCTTCGTAAACTCGATGTTTGCATTTAAATCTTCATTTTTATCATCTACATCATTTATATTCCAAAATTCAATCGAAGACTACAACTAAAAAAATAAACAAATAAGTCATATATGAGGTCGAGACAGAATCGTTTCTTTCAATTCGACCAAACTGTACTTTGATCACAAAAATATATTGAAATTCTTTTAATAAAAAGCATCGATTGATCTCGAACGAAAACTAAGTTAACACTTGACGCTTGAAGATTTGGTGTAAAACCCTTTTTTGCTTGGATTTTTTGAAAATACTTTTCACGAAACTCTCTTTGATTTTGTTACCAGTGATGAGTGATATGCAACACTATTTTGAGCTCAAACATGGTGGCAGTAGTTCGGGACAAAACCCCTTCTACGGTTCAAAAGTTAGAAAGAGTTGATATAAAACCTTGAATAATACTAAATCTTTTATGGATTTCGTATAATCGCACGATAACATTTGGTATGCATTAAATTTACACGAAATCAAAAAGGTTTCGTCGAACACCTTTTTTGTTTTCAATGTACGAAATAGCAAAAAAGGCTGTGATATACAAACTCTCTGTTTGCTTTGTCTCCAGCTTCTTATATGTAACCTCTCATGTCATCAAAGTATATTGCATCATAAGAACGAAAGGAAATATGAGAAAAATAAGAACACAAAACAAATAGATTAAAAAGGAGTAAAAGACATGCAGCTTCATTGAAAAAACCAACAAAAAATACTTGAATAGATAGGGGTGACGTTATCGGTATGGGCACAGGCACGTGGTGTAAAGGTTAATAGAAGACAAATAGTAATCTTACCCAACCCACACCTTCGCCTAACTTTAAACGCCCTGAAACTAACTGAGTACTTTATTGTTCACGTCCGGCATTCCTTGATTAATATCGGCCTGAAACGAAACTGATCCACTGGAATGAAATCCTTTTCGGAACAAGATACTCATTTTCAATATTGTCTTTAGCTGTGAATTTTATGGATAAACAATGGATTAATTAATATGGCCATTGTTAGAAACATTTATTGTCACAAAATATTGACACTTGTATCAGATTAAAATGCTACAGTATTCTCGAATGTCGGTAGCCGATTACCTCGTGCCTCTGTATACAGTCGAGTTTGCACCGAATCGATGTCCTTTTCATATCGAGCACTTACCGCACCCTCACGTTCACTTTGTACCTTGCTTCCTGGACCCTGATACTTGGATAATTGAATGCTTGAATTCAGCCTTTGAGCATGACATGTTTGGTAATTTGAATCAGTCAAAAAAACTTTCTACGGATGACATATACTGTATGCTCTATGAAGTGACATCATCATTTTATAAAAATATTACAATTGTATAATGTATTAACACAATTTATTGGAAAGAATGTTAATATCTCAACAAAAAATCTGGATTAATACTAGTTTATTCAGGAAAATATGAGCTTTATTAATCTGATCGATTAGTCGCAAACGTAGTTAGTTCCATCCCCGAGCATAACAGAAACCTTTGCATGCTGCATTGGATCCATAACAAGCTGCCCAGCAGAGAGCTTTGATCTGTGCTGTAGCTGCCAGACCTCGACAAAAAGCTTCCATTGATTTGGTACCACCATCACACGCTGCAGTGCACGGACCGCCATGAACTACTCGTGGAACAAATAATATGGCGATCGATAAGATGAGAAGAAAAGTCGTTGTTACTTTAAATAACATCTATACAAAGAGAATTATCAAGTAAAACTATATAGTTACATTCGTAGTGTTAACTACCATGCGTCAGAGTGCACTGAAAAAAATATTCGTAGAATTATAAACCCGTCGGGGTTTATTACTGTTGATATATCTTTTAAAAGTTTATTGAATTCATAAACGCCTTTGAAGAGTACAATAGTAAACTGCATTTTAAAAGGTTTATGGATTTAATAAACTTTTAAAAGATATATCAACAGCGATAAACCCCGATGGGTTTATAAAGCTACAACGTACGAAATACCCTTCGTGGGTTTATCAATCGAAAAGGTTCATGGAAGGGTGTATGACACAGCATAAACCCTTAAAAGGTATATCTGAAACTGTTATACGCTTTTGATGGGTTTATTGTTCTACGGATATTTTTTTCAGTGTGGTCGGTTTTCGAAATGTAATATATCGCTACACTTACTTTTAACTGATGGAGAGATCGAAGTAGTGTGAGTACGTGAAGTTTTTGCCACACGGGGCGTAATTTATATTAAATACTTGAGTCAATAAAGAACGGGAAAAGAACGGAAGTGACAAATGTCAACAGAGCGAAAGAAGCATATAAATACAAGTAACGCTCATCCTTTGGATTCGCTGGCCCTTTTCTGAAAGACTTTTCCTAATGCTGAACACATTCAGAGACTTCGAAAGAGAAGAAACGCACTGCGATTGCTACACTGAAAAAAAAGGTATTCTACCAAACTCATCAAAAAGGTTTCGTAGGTGTCCAAAGTTTCCAAATGTGTCGACATGTTCAAAAAAATAGTTTTCAAAAATCTACGAAACCAAAAAGGATCGGTCGGCGGGCACACGCTCCGAACCATCGTCTCGAAACCTTTTTAAGGTTCGCCAGAAAATACGAAACCTTTTTGATGGGTTTGGTAGAATACCTTTTTTTTTCAGTGCAGATCAACGAGCGACCAGGCGTTTGTTTGGGTGGCTTAGAAGAGATAAAATAAGTGTAAGTAAATTGATTTTTGATCGTAAATAGTGTGAAGAGAGTCGATTAGTAAATCTTTAGAAACAGTGTTCCTTTCCCAGATCGAACAATCGCATACTCGGATCCAGCATCGGATTTTTTTACCTGGACTTGCTTACATCTTTGGACAAATGAATTGAAAGCAGTTGGACGTGAATAAAATAGAAAAAGATTAAAAGAAAAAGAATGTGCATAAAAGTGGCTTTAATTCGAAGCGGATTAGAGTGAGATATACGTTAGAGTTTTTATCTGAGTCTTGTAAGTCTTTCAGAAAAGGTTCAGCGAATCCAACAGATGAGCGCTACTTGTAGATATACATCTATTTATATTCGAACTGAGATTAGTCTATCAGATATCCGTTTATAATATAAGTCGAATTAGGCAACTCATGATTTTTTCATAACTCAACAATCGTATCTAAAGTAATGCGACAATTATAACAACGAGACGTTTAGATTATCAAACTTGAAATTGTAATCATTTTTGACGGCATTTTCAATTTCATCATTCTCATATATACTTATTACTACGTTTACGTGCTGTTTGCTATTGAATTACGGAAGTTTCAGAAGCTTGGTGCGAGTAATTCGTAATCTGAGCATGAGCTGCTTAATGTAACTCTGAATGCATATGAATACTCGACTGCTTTTTTTTAACTTCAAAAATAAGTTAGAAAGATGAGAATTGTACTTTCAAAATGTATTAGAACTGAATGCAGTTCTAATCTCGTGCATGTATAGAATTATGTTTTCCTTGAGAAATAATTTTATACTTCGATTTGCGTTTAAAATCTGCATTTATATTCGACTGAAACTGGAGAAGCTGCTGATCCAGCTGAGAACTTCTCTGTTTGATGTGAAATTGAAAAGTTATTTAACGAATAAATCAACGACTTTTTACGATGTTCGATTTTTGTTTGACTATATGCATAAAGCTGTATAAACAAACCACAGTGTTTTGGCGGCTTTACGCTCTATTCACGAGTCTTGAAAATCAAAATTTCGTTATTTTTCTTTTTCGTCGTATGCTGTCGTCAGAGGTTCATTTTGAGAGTAAGAATGTTTGTATAGGAAGAAGGAATGTTTTTTCCAAGTTCCATAAAACGTGAAGGAGCACATTACTTTTATCGTTCTCTACCAAACAACCATTTCTCACATCTTACAACAACTACCTTATAAATAATCCAATCTCACAACAATGGCAAATCAGAAACAAGGCAGTTTGGATATGTTCGAGCAGACACCAGCCACCTTTCAACAAGCAAATGAATTGAATCGTATAAAAATTGAAGAGACGCAAGATGTTTCTGTCATTTGGCTTGACACTCACATTCACAGCAGTAATCCAGACTATCAAAATGCAATCACACATCTTCAATACATTGTCAATGATATTTATACATTCACCGATAATGCTGAATGTATCGATTTTATTCTCACTCTCACCGACACAGATGTTTGTTTGATCACGTCAGGATCAGTTGGACAATGTCTTGTACCTTGTGTACATGATGTTTCAAACATCGATTCGATCTTCATTTTCTGTGATGACCAAAATCGACACGAACAATGGGCCAAAAACTGGTGCAAAGTGAAGAGTGTTTCCATTGATATTATACATATTTGTGAACAATTAACGAAAATCATTCGTCGATATGAACTCAATGTTATTCCTATGAGTTTTGTGCAATCTGGTAAACGATTAGATCGACTAGAGCCATCATTTATGTACACAAAGATCATTAAAGAAATACTTTTAACAATTCAATTTAAGGATAAACATATCAAACAGCTCGTGAAGTATTGCTGTGATAATTTCGTTGATACTGAAGTCGATCGAAAGAAAGTGAAACAGCTGGAAGACGAATATCATCAGCACACACCTATTTGGTGGTATACAACACAAAAATTTTTATACAGTATGCTGAATCGTGCATTACGAGTGATGGATGGTGAAGTGATCACATTGATGGGCTTTTTCATCAGTGACCTTCATCGACATATCGAAGAATTGCACAAACGACAGTTTGGTGATGCATCACCTACTCCTAAATGCTTTCAAGTTTATCGTGGTCAAGGTTTAACGAAGAAAGATTTTGATCAATTGGTGGCAACGAAGGGTGGGCTGATGTCATTCAATAATTTCCTGTCTACCAGTGAGAATCGCAACGTTTCTCTTATTTTTACTCCAGGAAATCGAAAAAACAGTGATGTGATCAGTGTTCTATTTGTGATCACAATTGATCCAAAGCAATCAACAACGTCATTTGCTTCGGTCCACAACATCAGCCAGTTTCCCGAAGAAGAAGAGGTACTCTTTTCGATGCACAGTATCTTTCGCATAAGAGATGTTAAGCGCATGGATGGGAACGAGAAAGTGTACGAAGTGGCGTTGTCATTGACGAGTGACAATGACGAAGAATTGATGGTACTTACTGAACAGATTCGAAAAGAAAGCTTTCCAAATGCAGAGGGATGGTCACGACTGAGTCTAGTACTCGCTGACATCGCACAGTCAGACATCGCTGAACGAATATGTCAAGTTCTAATTGATGAAACACCTTCTGAAGGCTCTACAGTCGATGTCTATAATCACCTGGGTAAGATTAAATCCCAGAGAGGTCAATATGAGGAGGCAATAACACTTTTTCGAAAATCTCTTGAACTTCGCTTGACGTCATATTCTCCAAATCATCCAGATGTGGCTGTATCCTACAACAACATCGGTATTGCGTATCGCAGCATGGGTGATTATCCCAAGGCACTTTCATCATATGAACAAGCTCTCAACATTCAACTACAATCACTTCCTCCCAATCATCCAGATGTGGCTGTATCCTACAACAACATCGGTATTGCGTCTTCTGACATGGGTGATTATCCCAAGGCACTTTCATCATATGAACAAGCTCTCAACATTCAACTACAATCACTTCCTCCCAATCATCCAGATGTGGCTGTATCCTACAACAACATCGGTAATGCCTATTCTGACATGGGCGATTATCCCAAGGCACTTTCATCATATGAACAAGCTCTCAACATTCAACTACAATCACTTCCTCCCAATCATCCAGATGTGGCTTCATCCTACAACAACATCGGTATTGCGTCTTCTGACATGGGTGATTATCCCAAGGCACTTTCATCATATGAACAAGCTCTCAAAATACGACAACAATCACTTCCTCCCAATCATCCAGATGTCGCTTCATCCTACAACAACATCGGTAATGCCTATTCTGACATGGGCGATTATCCCAAGGCACTTTCATCATATGAACAAGCTCTCAAAATACGACAACAATCACTTCCTCCCAGTCATCCAGATGTGGCTGTATCCTACAACAACATCGGTAATGCGTATTCTCACATGGGTGGTCAAAGGACTGCTGTATTGTTTTACACAAATGCGGTTCAAATCGCTCAAAAAGTGTTACCATCGACACATCCTCAGCTTCAATTGATTAAAAGAAACTTGGAAAGAGCGAAGCTGAAACTATAAGTTTTGTATGTTGCTTTGGGCGGAACCCTGTTTCGAGACGTTTTGCACTTGTGACTGAGCTTCGCCCTTTGAATAAGTTGTACAATAATAGAAGATACTTGAGTGCTCTGTAAAAAAAAATCGGATCATAGTGAACCTGTTTTGGTTTTAGCAAAAAAATCTAGAACCCAAAAGGTTCTGAAAATAAGGTTCTGAAGATGGTACCCAAATCTACAACCATAAAAGGTTTTAGACGCTAGCTAAGACCTTTTATGGTTCAGTATCGCCCGGTTTTTTTTAGAGAGTGGATCAGCGGGAAAGATATCAGGCGGGAGTGAAAAATTTGGGAAGTTCTTTTTAGAATTGGTTCGTATGGTGAAGACCATTTTTCAGTTATATTTTCGATAGCTTCGTATACTTTGACAGAATGAAAGATAATTTTTTACTTCACAAAAGAAAATAAACATGTCAATATTCCTTTTTCTCCTTTTCTGAAAGAAAGGGTTATACAGCGTTTAAATGCTAGATTAATCCTAAAGCGTACGCTTAGAATAACCTTGCCAGGCGTCAGATAATTTTGAAAAGGATCTGACGAATGGATATTCCTCAATGAAAATATTCGACAAGGTATCATTTCGTTGACAGGAGAGAAAAGAATCGGTTTATCGCCGGAAGACACAAGCGAATGTTCAAACTTTTCAAGCAGTCTACTGTATATCGTCCGTCTATGAGTGACTTAGTAAAGCATTTATGAACATTTCCATGCGCGTGACGTGAAAATAGAAAAACAGATGACAAAGGTCAATGGTTGGCCGCCTGACTAGTCGTTGAGCGATGAATTTTTCAGTCAACATAGTGAGTGCTGGAGAATTATCCACTGACAAATGGATAATCGGTCTGATTCCTAAAAAGACTTTTGCATCCTATTCATTCTAGTGTGTGACATAGTGCCATGATTCAGTTGAGCACTAGTAGCATTCGCGGTGAGTTTTTTTCTCTTTCGAAGTCTCTGAATGTGTTCAGCATTCGGAAAAGTCTTTCAGAAAAGGGTCAGCGAATCCAAAGGATAAGCGTTACTTGTTTTCTAATGAGGTTCGTTAAGTTTTCATTGATTTATGAAATGCTGCAATCTGATTGGATTATGCAAACAAACAAACTTATTACATTTTAGTGTCCTGATTTATGACGCTATAATCCTTTCTTTTAGAAAAGGGAAAAATGTGTTTGTTAAGTAGCAGTATTTCTTGTTTCCATGTTTTCTATGTATTTGTCCATTTTATTGAAAGATTCCGTTACTTGAATAAAGTAACCTTTGACTTGAATAAAGGCTTCTTTTATTTTTTCCAAATATTCATTATTTTTTCTCTGGGGAGCTGCAGCAGCTTTCGTCTCTCCTCCTCTATCTTTCGCTTTTTCTTTTATGAATAATGATTGACATTTTAATGCATGTCCATGGATGTTTCTTTGTTTCGATTAGTACCGATGAAAAACTAAGCAATAAGCGAAGAAATCGAACTAGATTTATTCTAACATGATTGTTTACTAAACGCAGCATCAAATTGCTGACTTCCGCGTTTGAAATCTAATCGACGCACGAATTGCAATGACTCTTGGGCGCCCATTTCTCTGTCCATATCTCCGTCTTCCCATTCGACTGACAATGGACCTTGATAGTCGATTTGATTCAATGTTCGAATAATCTTTTCGAAATCGATTTTTCCTCGTCCAAGAGAACGAAAATTAAAAAATCGGCGTGGATCACCGAAACTTGTGTGACCGCCAAATACACCTGCTTCACAGGGACAATTCCAGTCGAAATCGACATCTTTCATGTGGACATGAAATATACGCGTTTTGAATCGACGTAAAAATTCGATATAGTTAACTCCTTGATAGCCTAAATGCGATGGATCAAAGTTGAATCCGAACGCTGGATGATAATCAAGCGCAGCCAATGCGCGTTCGGCACTGACAATGTCGAACGCGATTTCACCTGGATGAACTTCGAGTGCAAATTGAACATCACATTTCTGATATTCATCTAAAATCGGTTTCCATCGTTTCGCGAAATCTTCATAACCTTCATTAATTTGTTCAGGATGAATTGGCGGAAAACCGTAGAGTAAATGCCAAATACTTGAACCTGTAAATCCATTCACGATTTTAATACCTAAGTTTCTCGCAGCACGAGCAGCAGCAATGACTTCTTCGGCGGCGCGTTGTTTAACGCCTTCGGGATTACCATCACCCCATACATGAACTGGCAGAATGGGTCGATGACGACGTTCATCAATGTGGTCACATACAGCTTGACCAACTAAGTGTGCCGATAGAGCAAATAGTTTGAGATTATTTTTAGCGAGTAAGGACAGGATTTCTTGACAATATGTTTGATCAGTTGAAGCTCGGTGAATATCCAGATGTCCACCAAGTTCCAATCCGTCAAAACCCCATTCGCGAGCTTTTGCCGCAAGGATTTCTAATGGAATGTCACCGAATTGAGCAGTGAATAAAGTAACTGATCGCATCTAAAACATGTTTGTTTACTATGCATTCGATTTGTAGTTTTAAATGAGAAAATTAATGAAATATGCCTTCTCTGTAGATCCATTATAGAGTTGGTTGTATATCGAGATATTTTGGCGTCTAAAGAGTAAACGGAGATAAAAAGCAGGTATATCTCGAAGGAGGCTCTGATATTTCATTGATACAATGAAAAATGATGTGGCGACAATAGATATAAATGAATGTATGATTGGTTTTTTGTTTAAGTCAATGAAAGCCATCTTAAAGTTGCATTTACAAAGCCTTAGATCCATACGAAGGCCTTTAAAATTAGTGTCGGCGTGAATTTTGTGAAAACTGAATAAATAATCAATGAGTATTTCAGTATAGCTGCAAATTTAATTGATTGAATTGGCACATATATAGAACATTAATGTAGTTTCTCCATTACATTCTCCTGTATACACTGATGTTCCCATTCATTCAAGTTTTCTAATCTATAAATTTATGATTAAAACTAAATCGAGGTTTTTAGGGTTGCCATTTACAAAAGAAAAATTTAATCTTATTGTGTTTACCTTCTTTTAAAAGTAATATAACGCATCTTTCATCGGTCAAAGTACCAGCGGGATCTTTATTCCCTAATCAAACATATCTATTTGTTGTTCACATCATCAATCCTGTTCGTACCACATCGAAATATGTAGGCTATTTACTTGTACATGTACAAGAGTCTGTCACGTATCAGATAGCGATTAGGTGAGTAACTTTTGCTTTGAATTACAGCGCCTAGTAAATGCATCTTTCTTATATAAAACTATGTTTAGATGCATGATTTCCGCTCTATGCCATTCAGCAGTTGTATATCAATTAATAAATCTGACGCGAATTCTTCTCACCAGGTCTACCGTTTCAATTGATTTTCGTTTCAATATATTCGAAAGATCTCGTTATTAGTGACAAATACGAATCATTTTACAATGATCGACGACCTATTTCTTGTACACTCACGACTTTGGAAATTCGAAGTTGCTTACACACTCCGTCTAGGATGTGGTTTAAGTGTACTATATTTTCTTCTAAATCAATGCCTATTCAATGATTCATTTTCCGTTACTCCCAATAACGGTACAATAACAAATTTGTGTACTCTTTCCTGTTCAGACTATTTTCATGAAAATGAAATCAAAGATTATTCATTCTATAGTAAGATTATTTCCTTTGTGTTTCAGTTCAGAAATCAACTTTCTTCTATTAGTATGGACAACAAAAAGCTCAGCATCGGTCATGGTCGCATTTAGTGCTGCTTCAACTTTTCAAGTTCGATTACCCGTAGGAAATAATTCAGACAGTTTGATGAATCTTGTTGTACATATCCGAGATCAATTGGATTGCGTCACTAGGTACGATGTGCTCCCTGTAAATGTGCTAAGTGATCAAAATGGCAATCTAAATACGATCGAACAAGTGATTACAATATTATCACAAGAATTTAATCAAATGAATCATAAAAACTTCAAGAATGCCATTCTAGGTGAGTATTAGCAAAAGTGAGTTCATGTCAAGAAAGACGCATCTATGATCGTTGTTTCACATTTGGCAGATCATCATTCGCCAGAAGTAAACCTGTCGACATTTCCTCTCTTTATTCAAATCTTATGATACAGGTTTTCGTTACGTTCGATCAAACTGCACGCGTTATCCTTGGCTGAACTAATATATGCAATAAATCAACTCACACAATTAAGCTCGGTAACAGAAAAAAACGACAAAATCCTACCGTTTACTTCCATTATATTCTTTCAATAGATCATTACTTCGACAAAGTGCTATGAGTTAGCTAAAGCATTACATTCCATCTCGCCCAAACTATCTTACGAAGACATACAACTAGCAGTGACTTTAATCACTCAATGTGCTTCAAATGTACTGAATGTAAGCAATCGGAGCTAGACACAATCTCTTCTCAAGAAGAACATCATTTCTGCTATCAGCGATTCACTACAGCAGCGAGTAATGTTGCTGCTCGATTTGGATCTGTCGCGTTCATTTGACTTGGATTCTATGCAAATTGTGAATGAAATTTAATTGCTAACCAAGCAAATACTTCCTTTATTATCATTATCGTTGAATAGTCGTCTGAATTTTAACGAAACCTTTTTACTGAAGAAACTGTCGGTGTTCATGTCTTCAGAAAAACATTCCTCTTCACAGTATCTTCGAACATTAATTGAATCACTGTCACCAATCGGGAGTTCACAAGCGAGTACGAATTTATCTCGGGCAATGTCGATGTCATTAGTTAATCAAGATGGAATTTCTGATTCCACGCGATCCAACTATGACCTTACTGAAATTTATTCTACAAAATGTCCCTGGAATGAATCGATCGATTGATTCAACGCAAATCGGAACTAATCAGCAATTGACAATATCTGCACATTTAGAATGCCAGTCTCGCTTACCTGCTTATCTATCATCTGGATCAATTTATTCGAGCCGTCGATGTCACCCTCACTCACACCCTTTGTTCGATAAATTGTACGTAGTGTAACATAATCTATATCACTACGTACCTCCCAAATTTCGTACGGCGTTCTTATTTCTGAAGTCACTGTTGAAAATAGTTTGCCTTTGTTTGGTCATAGTTTTATTCATGTGGTAATACTTATCTAAGTCGCTAGGTTTTTATCCAAGCTGCTGACAACTGAAGCACCATATAACATAAATAATGAACCAATATATTTTCTATCCTTTCTTATTGACATGTATGTTTTTATTCAAAGTGCGATGGTAAGGTGTTCAACATTCTATACTCATGCCCATAAACATCAAAAATCACTATTTTCTCCAATCCAATCGATATAATTCGATATTCGTGTATAAATACTTGGTTTCATCGGAGTAGCACATTCTTCACCGTACGAAACAATACCATCAACTGTATAACGATTAGCATCAGATACATTTCTTTGAATAAATAGACCACCACCACTATCTCCATGACAAACATCGCGTTCACCTTGAAGATCACCACAGCATAATTGCATAGTCCAATTTTTTACTATCGATGATGCAACATTCGAACAATATTCATTCGGATAGATCGTGAGATTAACTTGCTGAAGAAAAATTGAACCTGAAAGATTACCATTGAACACTATTAATCGTCTATGTACGATATATGTTCCACTAACCTTGATTAGCACCTGGAATCGTATCACCAAAACCGACGGCAATGCCTGTCAGATTCACATCTAGATATGAATTCGCCAGACAAGCAAACTGGATTGTTCTTGACGGTCGAAGATCGTCAGCAAGCTTAAGTAGAGCAATATCATTATGCAAATTCTTCTCGTCGAATAATGGATGCTAACAAAAAGCAAATAGTATGAGCACAAATTGAACTACATTCAATTTGACTGACTCGTATCACTTGAATGACTTTGACATGCTGTTGTCGCGTTTGTTTTCGACGGTCATAGACACCTACAGACACTTCTAATGACTAAATCGCATACTTTCCCATGTAAATCTCCTATCAAAGTGCTCACTCACGCTTTCTATATTCGGATAGAATTCATTCCAGAGTATAGTATATTCAAAAGATTCATATTCGAACCTATGTGCAAATGAAACAAAGAAACATCGAATGATCGCCTATGACTTACGTATCACCGGCCGTTTTTAAACAATGACTCTAAATCATCATACGATCGATTATTTTCGAAATAGCTTTCGAGGGAAGCTTACTGCTGTGAGAATTGTTCTACGATTGATCAATGTTCCTCCACACATCCACGTTGGTGAAATCTTTACAGAGTAGGAGAAAATGTGTGCAACTGTTGAAGTGTTCATTTACCACACGAAATTCGCCATTGATAAACACCAGTTTCTGATAATGCTGACGAATCAGTGCACTAAATGGCCAGCTGTTGACGGTTACATTCTCACCGCCAATAATCCGGGCATTGGGGAAGTCATATTTTACTCCACATTCTTTAACAATCGAAATAAAAGCGAATTTAGTTCGTTGTGAAGTAACTTTCACTTACCATCACAGACTGTGCGACCATTTCCAGTTGTATCTTCGCTGCAGATGCATTGTGCCTTGAATGGCCATCGATTGATGCACCGAGACGCCTTTGGATGACATCTGGTCAGCCAGCATGGTTCTACGAAAAGAAAAAAACGAATAACTTGCTTCGTGAGAATGACGGATAAACTGACTTATACACGCTAATATGAGAAGGATAATTCCTGTAATCAACACAACGAGAAAAACGACGGTAATAACTATAATCAAACATTTGGACCTTCCATAGAGAATCAGATTAGTAACGAACTGATTGTGATTGTGTCATCTTACTTTGAAACTTGTTTACAAAATATTGACAACATTCGCTACTATAAAAGCATCTATTTAGTTACATTGGCGGTACTGAATGTGTGAATGAAATTTATGTTGCTGAATAATGATCAATACCGTTGTAGAGAAGAGAAAAAGAAACAGCTGAGTACCATAATATGACCTCTTGGTCAAGGTTTTCGAATGAGAATAGAAGAAAAGGAAAGAGTACTAACGATAATTGTCTCGTCTTAGGACAGTGTTCTCTCTTTCCTCTGTTCTTCTTTTCAAAATCGAAGAAAAAAGATATTATAATAGGTAAAAGCTAAAAAGTGACCTTCGAATTCTCGTAACTGTCGTTTTTCTTTTGTAATAGACTCAGTTAACTAATGACACTTGCATGGCTTTTTGGCCGACAGAAAGAATGGCACGTTTTGTTCACTGAATGCAAACTTTGATTCTACGCAAAATTCGTATATTTGCGCTAATAATTTCAATCTATTGCGATAGGTGTCACTAGTTGCCTGGATCAGGTTATGAGCGAGCAACTGAATCGATCTTGACCTCTCCAATGAAGTTGCACTTTCTTTGTTAATGTTACTTCGCTGTGCACTGTTATTGTGACAGAGTTATTTTGAAATAATCTGGACAGGATTTCATACAAAAAAGTATCCAAGCATTTTCTAGATATTTGCAGTGAACGATGGCCGAACAAACTGCTCGTAATGCACAATATGAATACAAAGCGGTAAGTGAAATATTTCGAAGAAAGATTGACTTGAGAAGAAAACTTTCATTATCTTAGAACTCCAATCTTGTCCTACAAGCCGATAAAAGTTTAATTGATCGACGTGGACGTAATGAAGCTACCGGTGAAGTTCTATCAATTGCAAGTCACTTGGTAGGTACTCGAATGGGTGATCGTGCTCAACGTACACGACCAGAACGCAGTAACAAGTGCGTATAGAAACATTCTTTCGATTGATTCTATTTCATGATTTGTCTGTGATAGGAAACAAAAGAAAGACGATGATCATTCGTCAAAATATGATGTAGCCCGGTTTAAAGGTCAAACTTTGATCGCTGATGCTGCTGATGATACGTCGAGTATCTTATATCGACCCAAAACACAAGAAACCAAACAGACATACGAAGTGTTGCTTGGTTTTATTCAAGAAGCAGTTGGTGATCAAGCACGAAGCATCCTTTGTGGTGCAGCCGATGAAGTGTTAATTATTTTAAAGAATGATAAACTACGTGATAAAGATCGTAAGAATGAAATTGAAACATTGCTAAGTACAAAGATTCCAGAACAACGCTTTGCATTTCTCGTCAATCTTGGAAAGAAAATAACCGATTGGGCAACGGACGATAAGAGTGGAAAAGACGGTTAGTCGAAAAAGAATGAAACTATTGAACAGCTATGAACTGTCGTGCATTTTTTAGGTGATGAAATTGACGAAACTTACGGTGTTAATGTTGAATTCGATGAATCGGATAATGAAGATCAAGGTGGTGAGGATGAAGTTCGTGACGACGACGAAGATTTGTCTGAAGGTGAAGAAGCAAAGACGGATTACACAATTCAAGAAACAAATTACAGCAAGACAGTATGTAACAATATAGAGAAATTGCTTTTACCATCTTTTGTTTGTTGATAATTAGGGCGCAAGCGACAATTTCGCTCGTCCAAGCAAAGGTCTACAACCACATTCCATCGATGCTTTTTGGCTACAAAGAAATTTGAGTAAAGTCTATGCTGAAGCCACCGATGCGAAATTGAAAGCTCAAGAAGTCTTGGAAATTCTTAAAACAGCATCCAACGATCGCGAATTAGAAAATCAGCTCGTTATGCTACTTGGCTATGAACAATTTGATTTTATCAAAACATTGACGACACATCGATATATGAGTAAGATTTGCTTTTCGGAATAAACATTTAAATTTTCTGCATGTTTTGCATAGTTCTGTACTGTACATTACTTCTGTCCTCACAAAGTGCTTCGGAGAAGGTGAAAATCGAAGAAAAAATGCGCAATGATCCTGAGTTAGCTTGGATCTTAAAAGCGTTATCGGAAACCGATCGAAGTGATACAGCCCAAGTTAGTTCTTTTTGTTTCAATTTAACAAAAAAAAATGTTTACCTATGTATAGGATGATCGGGATCGTCGTGCATCGACTAAAAAACGTCGCGGTGACGACGATGACGATGAAGACGCAATGGAAACGGAAACTGCCGAAGTAAACTAAACATTTAAATGAAATTTCTCAACCAAGTCTACGTTTGTGTTCATTTAGACAAAAGCTAATCCACAACATGTTGTAAACTTAGAAGATTTAGCATTCACACAAGGTAGCCATTACATGGCGAATAAAAGTTGTCGACTACCTGATGGTTCATATCGTTTACAAAAGAAAGGATACGAAGAAGTTCATGTACCTGCTTTAAAACCACCCGAGCTTGATGCGGGAGAGGTAAGCATTCCAATCGAATAAATAGATTTACATCTAGATGATTCTTTAGGTTCTCTATCCAATTTCCAATTTACCAAAATATGCACAACCTGCATTCGAAGGTTACCAAAAGCTGAATCGTATCCAAACCCGTATGGTTAAAGCAACGTTAGAGTCCGATGAAAATATTTTGTTATGTGCTCCAACCGTAAGTGAAACTTTTCTTTTTCGAAAATGTTTCTTTTCATGTCGTGTATCGTAGGGTGCGGGTAAAACCAATGTTGCTCTACTTTGCATTTTACGTGAAGTTGGCAAACATGTAATGTCAGATGGAACAATCAATGTTGATGAATTCAAGATGATTTACATTGCACCAATGAGATCACTTGTCCAAGAAGTCGTGGGCAATTTTACAAAAGTACGTTATTTCTTTGGTACAAATCGTTCTTGTACATTTTTGTTTTCTCTTCTTTAGCGACTAAATCCATTTGGTTTGAAAGTAGCCGAGTTGACCGGTGATCATCAGCTATCCCGTGAGCAAATCAATGAAACTCAATTAATCGTCTGCACTCCAGAAAAATGGGATATCATCACACGTAAAGGTGGTGAACGTTCATTTACTCAACTAGTCCGTTTAATCATTATCGATGAAGTACATCTTTTACATGATGATCGTGGCCCAGTTCTCGAAGCGATCATTACACGAACTATCCGCACTATTGAAACTACTCAAGATCCCGTCCGTTTTGTTGGTCTGAGCGCCACATTGCCAAATTATGAAGACGTTGCTACATTTTTGAACGTTAAACGCGAAGGTCTCTTTCATTTCGATAACAGCTTTCGACCGGTACCACTTCAACAGCAATATATTGGTATTACGGAAAAGAAAGCTATCAAACGATTTCAAATCATGAACGATTTAGTTTACGATAAGATCATGCAGCATGCCGGAAAAAATCAGGTGAGTCATCTTCGTGTTTATCGAATGTTTCTTATGAAATGAGTGCTGTTTTTGTTTGTCTAGGTTTTGGTTTTTGTACATTCACGAAAGGAAACAGGAAAAACTGCACGAGCCATTCGAGATGCATGTCTAGAGAAAGATACGATTGGTGCATTTTTGAAAGATGGTTCAGCCTCTCAAGAAATTCTTCGAACCGAAGCTGAACAAAGCAAAAATCTGGAATTAAAAGATCTTTTTCCCTATTCATTCGCTATTCACCATGCTGGTATGAATCGAACTGATCGTGCTTTAGTCGAAGATCTTTTTGCCGAACGACACATTCAAGTACTCGTATCAACAGCAACACTTGCCTGGGGTGTGAATCTTCCTGCACACACAGTCATCATCAAAGGTACGCAAGTCTACAGTCCAGAAAAAGGCCGATGGACAGAATTGAGCGCCCTTGACGTAATGCAAATGCTTGGTCGTGCTGGTCGTCCGCAATACGATACTCTCGGTGAGGGTATTCTATTAACAAGCCACAATGAGTTACAGTATTACTTATCATTGATGAATCAGCAATTGCCAATTGAAAGTCAAATGATTTCAAAACTAGTTGATCATCTCAATGCGGAAATCGTTCTCGGTACAGTTCAAAACATCCGGGAAGCAGCTGAATGGCTTAGTTATACATATCTGTATGTTCGAATGATAAAAGAACCTCAACTGTATGGTGTTTCCAATGAATCATTAATGGTCGATAAATATCTCCTTCAACGACGTTTAGATTTAATTCATTCAGCTGCTATACAATTAGACAAGTCTCATCTTATTCGATATGATCGCAAAACTGGTAACTTTCAAATGACGGAACATGGTCGTATTGCTAGTCATTATTATTGTACACATGAAACAATTGCTATGTACAATCAACTATTGAAACCCACACTCAGTGAAATTGATCTATTTCGTATATTTTCTCTCTCATCGGAATTCCGACATATAACCGTACGGGAGGAAGAAAGAAGCGAATTACAAAAATTACTTGAACGTGTACCTATACCGATTAAAGAAAGCATCGATGAGCCAAGTGCCAAGATCAATGTTCTTCTCCAAGCTTACATTTCGCAATTGAAACTCGACGGTTTTGCATTGATGGCAGATATGGTTTACATCACGCAAAGCGCCGGCCGATTGATGCGAGCTATTTTCGAAATGGTATTATTGAGAGGTTGGGCGCAATTAGTCGACAAGACACTGAGCTTATCGAAAATGATTGACAAACGAATGTGGCAAAGTATGTGTCCATTGCGACAATTCAAGAAGATTCCCGATGAAATTATTCGCAAGATCGAAAAGAAAAATATTTCATGGGATCGATTCTATGACTTAGACGCGCCCGAAATAGGTGAATTAGTTCGCGCACCAAAAGTTGGTAAAACAATCTACAAATACATTCATCATATTCCAAAACTGGAATTGAACGTGCATGTTCTTCCAATCACACGATCAACATTAGAAGTTCAATTGACAATCACGCCGGACTTTCAATGGGATGATAAAATTCATGGCATGGCTGAGGTAGGAATTGATTTCGTGTTCAAACATGCTCAACATTTCTTTGTTTTTTTTTCTTAGCCCTTTTGGATCCTGGTTGAAGACGTCGATTCAGAAATCCTACTTCATCATGAATATTTCCTTTTGAAAAAGTAAGCAAACACCTTTGAGTTAGAATCAAAGTTCACCGGTACATTTCCTAGGAAATATTGTGAAGATGATCATTATGTGAAATTCTTCGTACCTGTATTCGAAACACTGCCACCACAATACTTCATTCGAGTCATATCTGATAAATGGATCGCATCGGAAAGTCAAGTAGCTGTTTCATTCCGACATTTGATTCTACCGGAAAAACATCCAGCTCCAACAGAACTTTTGGATCTACAACCATTGCCAGTCAATGCATTACGTAATCCTGAATATGAAGAATTATACGATTTTCGATTTTTCAATGGAATTCAAACGCAAGGTAAAAGTTCAAAGCGAGATAATTTGTTGTATTCCTTTTTTTTCCTACTTTCCTAGTCTTTAATACGTTATACAATGCAGATGATAATGTATTTCTGGGCGCATCCACTGGCTGCGGAAAGACGATTTGTGCTGAATTTGCTATGTTGAGATTATTCTCAGCGGAAAAATTAAAAGAGAACCCAGAACCGAAATGTGTCTATGTTACACCTAAAGAAGAATTGGCCGAGCTGGTTCAACAAGATTGGGATCGACGTTTTGGCTCCATTGGACGAAAAGTCGTTCTACTTACTGGTGAAACATCAACAGATTTGAAACTGATTGCCAGAGTACGTTTGTATAACAAGCCCGAATGAATTCATATTGACCTTTTTTATTATTAGGGTAATATTATCATTTCAACACCAGAAAAATGGGATATTCTATCTCGTCGATGGAAACAAAGAAAGAACGTTCAAAATGTAAATCTATTCATCGTCGATGATTTACATGTCATTGGATCTGATGATGGAGTAAGTTGAATTTCTAATTGAAATAGGACTTCTAATGCATTTTTGTAATTTCTTTTCAGCCTGTTCTCGAAGTCATCTGTTCTCGTATGCGTTATATGAGTTCCCAAATAGGCCGTAATATTCGTATTGTCGCTATGTCAACATCTATTCTCAATGCGAAAGATATCGCTCAATGGCTTGGTTGTAGCACCAATGCTACTTTCAACTTTCGGCCCAGTGTCCGACCAGTTCAACTAGAATTGCACATTCAGGTAAGTTGAATCTCTCTTCGTTCTTCTCGATTACATCGATTCATCTTTTTAGGGTTTCAATATGACACACAATGCATCGCGTTTAATCGCTATGGCTAAGCCTGTTTATCAAGCTATCAATCGGCATGCGCCAATTCATCCAGTTATTGTCTTCGTTCCATCACGCAAATTGTCTCGCATGACAGCTATCGACATCTTGACATTCGCTGCTGCTGAACAGAAACAAGATCGATTCCTACACATAACTGCAGCTGAAATCGAATCATTCACCAATCAACTCGAAGATCAAACATTGAAGGAAATTGTTCCGCGAGGTGTTGCTTACTTACACGAAGGTTTAAACAGCAAAGATCGTACAATCATCGAACAATTATACACAGTTGGCGCTCTTCAAGTGTGCATTGTATCACGTAGTATGTTATGGTCATTGAATCTCTATTCGTATTTGGTTATCATCATGGACACTCAATACTACAATGGACAAGACCATACCTATGATGATTATCCTATCGTCGATGTTTTACAAATGATCGGACGAGCGAATCGACCATTGAAAGAGAACGATGCTAAAGTTGTTCTCATGTGTTTATCGTCGAAGAAAGATTTCTTCAAGAAATTTCTCTACGAACCATTACCTGTCGAATCGCACCTTGATCATTGTTTACACGATCACTTCAATGCAGAAATTGTGACCAAAACAATCGAAAACAAACAAGATGCTGTCGACTACTTGACATGGACATTACTCTACCGACGCATGACACAAAATCCAAATTATTACAACTTACAAGGCGTCTCGCATCGACATTTATCGGATCATTTATCCGAACTAGTCGAAAATACATTGAGTGATCTAGAACAATCCAAAGTAAGAAACAGTTTCGAACCGAGGATATTGATTTGATGGTTTCGTTTCTAGTGTATTGCAATTGTTAACGAAATGGATACATCACCATTGAATCTTGGCATGATCGCTGCGTACTACTACATCAACTATCGAACAATTGGTGAGGAGCTTTTTTTCTTTCTTTTCGCATTCACTTTGTAATTTGACATTTGCTTGTAGAATTATTCAGCAAATCATTGACCGCGAAAGCCAAAATCAAAACCTTACTCGATATTATTGGTAATGTTGCTGAATATGAGCACATTCCAATTCGTCATCATGAAGATAGTATTTTGAAACAGGTAAACTTATTCGAGATGAATTCTTCTCATGGAGAAACTCCTTTTTTCTAGCTCTCAACACGTCTACCAAACAAATTGAGCAATGTCAAATTCAATGATCCTCATGTCAAAGCCAATCTGCTGCTTCAAGCACATTTATCACGTATTCAATTATCAGCCGAACTTCAAAAGGATACAGATGAAATTCTGATCAAAGTAAGAAAAGATTTCCGTGTATATTTTCATACAACCGCCTGTTTTGTTTAGGCCATTCGGCTTATTCAAGCCTGTGTGGATGTGTTAAGTTCAAATGGATGGCTGTCTCCGGCATTAGCAGCAATGGAATTGGCACAAATGATTACCCAAGCTATGTGGAATAAAGATTCATTCTTGAAACAATTACCACATTTCACATCGGAAATTATTCAACGTTGCACAGACAAGGTAAGTTCATAGCAGAAGATCTTTCGAATGAATTCTCCTGTTTTTGTTTCTTCTAGAAAATCGAAACTGTATTTGACTTGATGGAAATGCAAGACGAAGATCGTGTCGAATTACTTAAGTTGAGTACATCGAAATTAGCCGATGTCGCGCGTTTCTGTAATCGTTATCCAAATATCGAAGTATCCTATGAAATACCGGATAAAGACGACATCTCATCGGGTAGTACAGTAACTGTGAATGTGTCATTAGAACGTGTCGATGAAGTTTCCGGACCTGTTATCGCACCATTATTTCCACAGAAACGCGAAGAAGGCTGGTGGTTAGTTATTGGAGAAACGAAAACCAACGCGTTGATCTCAATCAAACGTTTAACTTTACAACAAAAAGCTGATGTAGTCTTAGACTTTACTGCACCATCATCTGGTACACATAATTATATTCTTTATCTTATGTCGGATGCTTATATGGGTTGTGATCATGAATATAAGTTTACTATTGATGTTCACAAGGGTTCAAATCAAGATGTCGATATGAAATAATTATTGAAACTACTGTATTGCTGTCGTCGTTCTTCTTCTCCTACTTTTCTTGTTACTGTTGTTCATGTCGTCTACTTGTAATGAAATTTCCTTGGAATAAAAACGAGAAGGAACAATCTGTCATGTCATCTGCTAAATCAAGCATAAAATAACGAATTCTTTATTGCATAGAATAGAATACTACAAGTTATTCATATCGATACTAAGGGATGTCTAAGTTCGCATTTTCAATATGAAAAATAATCGGATGCGATGGTCGTGGTTCATCGCTTGTAGTTACTGTAACTGGAAGCGATTTCGAATGGTCAATGGGCGATGCTGGTAGTGTAACAAGACTTTGAAGAATGGTGTAGGATTGGTTATGATCGACTGATGTCGATGGTGTTTGAGCATTGCGCCATTTTTGTAGTGCATTTTCGACTTCGACTAAAGCAGATTTGATTCGTGCTTTGAACTTCCGTTTGCGCAAAGAAAATATAATTTGTGAAAAGGCCAATATGATAAATACAAGAATATAAAGTGTTAAGATGAGAAAATGAGAACGATAAGCACGAAAATTTATACAAGCAGATATCGGTAATGAACGATTTTTATGCTGCTGAACAAGAAGCGTATTATTCTGATGTAAATGTTCGGAGCAAATTATTGCACATACACGATAATCACCAGCATCCAGGTGTTTTAATTCCAACGAATTTCTCCAAAATGTCAAGTTTTGTTCCGGCATTGAATGAGGATATTCTCGATTACGACGGACCGTATATTTATACATTTGACACGTCCGTTGATCATTTTCTCTGGCTATTTCGAAGAGAACACTGGCCGTTCGAGAATCCTGAATACGAGCGCGAAGATAAAACGGCTCCTGAACGATAATCTCTTTAATTGCTCCGCCAATTTGAAGGCAAAGCATCCAGATGCATACCAACCTTCCTATCCGTCGAAACATAGCTGGAGTGTTTCTCGTTTCCTTTTCTGGCACATCTATCGACAAATAACAAACAACTGGCCGCACCAAAGACACATTTCTTGTTAAGATAATCAACGCGTGTGATACACTATTGCAACATCCTTTTTTCCTTCTTTCTTTCTTTCGTTCTGTCTTCCACGCGACAAGAAGCTAATCTTTATTCATATCCCTGATTACAAATAAAAGACAGGCAAAGCATAAAAAGAAAAGGAGAGAAAATCATCTATCACATTTTTCTCGTTGTTCATCCTGTTTTTGTGCTTGAGATATGTATTTCATTTTGGCAGCTAATTCAATTTTATCTTCTTCTTCATATTTCATGGCTTGTTTATAACCTTTCGACTTATGAATGGCTTCCAATTCAGGAGTTGATAATGTTCCGCGATGTGCCGGATCACTATGAATGCTTGAGTCAATGCCAGCATTGATATTGTATGCGCCCGTGCCACGTTTATCCATTGGCGAGGCATTCGGACGATCACAAGGAGCTTGGTACGACATGATTGATACTTTAGTTTACGTGAAACGAGATATGAAGTGAAAGGCACTAGGTTTGTATTTATAGATGCCGAACGAATAGTAACAAGAAGAAAAAAAAACGATTACAAACTGACTAGTCAAGTATGAACGCTTTGCACACGCCGGTCAAGTAGTAACCATCTATTCGCGGAGTGATAAATGGTTTAGAACGAAAGAAAAATACGATAAAAACATCTGTTTGATCGGCGCTGATAATTTTTTCACTGTATGACACCACTGTGATCCGATGATAAGTCAATAGACTTGAACAGTGTAGTTCGAACCAAGACGAAACATCGAAAGATAGATGCGAATTTGAAGAAAACTAAGTAGTACGTCATCTGTTAATTGATCTGATAGATTCGCTTGGGTATTCTTAAAACACAAAAAAAAGAACTTTGTTTTGATTAAATGAAGAAAGATCGATTTACTTGAATCAGATCGGTTAGTTTTACCATATCCGTTTGTTTGATAAAATATTTGTCTTCCGTTGTTTTACTGGTATAGAATAACTGAGAAAACAGACAGATTTCAAATGTGACATTCTTCTTATTTACCTCTGCAAGCGTCGAAAATGTGATAATTAGTCGTCGAAGACATAAACTCGAAAGTATAACTTGAATTGTCAATGAATCTACCAAACCATTGTCCGTGTCAACTTTAATTTCTTGCTGTTTGATTTCCATATTGACAAAATCCGTTTGACCAATCAATAATCGACGAGCAAGTTGAATATTTAGCTCTTGGAAGAAAAATATTTACATCAACATGAATAATGCAAAGAGTTACTTTTAAAATTCGTCGCCGCTTCGTTCCGCAACGTTAAAACTAAATGATATTGTTGCATTGTTGCGTTGATCCTTCTCATAGACCTGAATTTCTTCGGAAAATAATTTTCTAAGGAGAGTTCTTCCTCTTGAACTTGTTCTTCCAAAGATAAAATAATACGTCGATGTCCTAGTTGATAATGGAAGGAATTTGGAGAGCGAAGAATGAGAATTGGTTGACAAAGGTATGTCTTTGCGATCGATTCGTTCACTTTGAACACCCAATTATTCGCTGAAGTCAACTGATAAATCTTCATGTGATTTCCCGAAAATTGACACAGTAAAATCAAGATGAGATCGCTCGATTGAAACGTTCGCGATTGTTGATCAGTTAAGATTAATTTCCATTGATTCTGAATGAATTTTAAACACATCGATAGGTTCAATTGGTAGAAGAGTTCAGCTTTGGTTAACAGTCTTTGCAATAGACAAGCGCTGGCTTGTAAATTTGTAATTGTCGTCGCTAAACACGCCAGTTTTTTCGTCTGATTCACCAACGAATTGCTACGTGACAGATTGGCAGGTCGTGGCAGAAGGCTTTTCAATCGTTCGAAAGTGCCATTCTCGTAATAGAGGATGATTTCTTGTCCGTCTAAATATCATCGAGAAGCATTTGTTTATGCGAGTGTAAAAATCGTCTTACCAACGATTAGCTTTTCGAAATGCCCAAATCTTAAACTTTTTGTTTGACCAATAATGTCTTCGTTGTTCGGTTTCAATAGATTTGAAAGCGAGATGGATCGTATTTCATTCGCTGTCACATAGATAAGATTATTCGAGTAAACACAAGCTGATTTGATTAAATTGTCAATCAATATTCGACGAAGATTCGTCGAATTGACAAGAACTAGACATCCGAAGGATTCGCAAAGAATAAAGTGATTGACAATCATTTTGGGAAACTTCGAATTTGTCGATGAGGATAGAACGGCATCGAGAAGATTGCTATTTAAATCATAGTAAAGACCAAGAATGGATATTGGAGATGTACTGGGAGACGAGTACCACACATTGGGTGGATGATTTTCAGATAGGAGAAGAATTCGACCATCGGGAAGTGAAAGCAGAAGAAAAAATTGATCTTCATCTGTTGTCAAATGAGCAAATAATCGACGGTAGAATGAGGAATCCAATTGAAGCCAGTACGAGTAAAAAGTCGGATTTAATGAATGATTTTTCGATGACGATGAACAAAGATAGTACAAAGGAGAGGTCGATGGTAATGTACATTCATCATCGACATAGGAGATCGTCCAGTTACCCAAATCTCCTGTCGACGACCATTTAACATAAATTTCAATCTCGTTCAGATGATAATTAACTAACAAATCAATATTATCAAGAAGTTTCGTCGTAAATTGAAAGAATATCATGACAATGATCGAACGAGACGATGATTCGTTATCGATGAGTCATTTATCGATACATAAAGAGAAAGCGCCACATAGATCGGCCGAGCGTGTGTCTCCTGTGATTTCCACTTGACCTACATATGACAATGTATGATTGCATATAGATGTCTTAACAAAACATTCTTATTGGAAACAACATGATTTGTTATCAATCAAAGGAGATTCGTCTGTTGATTTTCACCCTTCGGGTGAAGATTTCCAATCTAATTAATCCCAAATATCGATTACAAGAGTCATTTCTGCTATCAGACAAGCTAATGAAGACATTTTGAAAATCTTCTTGGATTTCTTCATTGAGTATTCTCAATCGATTTCTTCGACAGGAACCGATACTTCGCGCAAGGCAAACATGTGTACATTACATAAGTCAATGATGAATACAAAGATTATTTATTCATTGCCAGATAATCACTCGACAAGCAATTTCTCTTATCTATTCAAACAGAATACTTTGCAAAAAGAAATTTATACCGTCTCTAGTTTATTATGATTAGCAACGACACAGAGAGAGAGAGAGAGGGAGAAAAAACACATCTTATTGACTCATTGTGTTCTCCTTCTTTTTTTATTATCAGTGTGCCGTTGATAAACAATAGAGAATGACGTGCAGGTCACATAGCAACAATTCAAACTACTTTAGACTATAAAACTATCGGGTAACCTCTGAGTTTTGTTTTTTATTTGGTTTTTCATCGTACAAGAATAGTCGAAGGAACCATCCCTTTATGAAAGCGGTTAGTAATGAATTCTCAAGCGTTCTAGTCTTAGCAAGATGTAATCGAATAAATAACTGTCTGACTTCATTTGCTCGATTCTTAGAGAAAATAAAAGAAGATACATATAAATCATTAGACATTCATTTTGCTCTGCTTTGCGTTCTTGTTCTCATCAGCTCTACTGGCAATTATTGTCTCTGCGTCGTCAGCGAAGTTTTTTTTTTTCTATTTCAATCGGTATTTTTTTGCCAGCGAGCATTGAGAAGAATACGCAAGAGATAGAGAGAGAAAGTATTGACAAATGTCTCCGTAATCGATGCTTATCTCTCTCTTCGTTGGCCTCGTTTTCTTTTAATCCGTCTTCTTCGCTATAAAATGACAATATGATGACGTCTGTCAGAGCCTATATACAAGCTTTATCCATACGCACGTCAGTCCATTGACGAAAGTCATCTTGAGATACTACAGCCTACGCACGCGTATGTTTCTTTTCGTTCGTTGAGTAAGATAGTCGAGGAAAGAAATGACGTGTGAATTAGATACGTTTGTTAGTTATCAAAGAAGACCTTCATCAGAGACTATTATCACTGACATATGAAAAAAGTAAATGGATTTTCTGTTGGATTATTACTTTTAGCGTTCGAATAGAATTAGCTCGGCTGAACAGATTATTCCAATGGCATCGAAGCAAGAACGTCATGCAAATACTACGAGTCAAGAACGTAAGTGACAAAACTGATAAGGTGATTTGTGTGGATTTCATTTTGTTCTCTGTATATCGATTAGTAAATACATCGACTGTTCCACGCAATAATCAATGTAAGTCTTGATTAGTGACAAAACATCTCAGTTGAGAATTGTTTGACTATGTATTAGATGATATTCGCAATTCGGAAGAAGGCTTGGGAACATGTGGATGGATCTTAGTGGTTTTATCTTATATTATGTGCGCATTAACATTCCCATTTTCGCTTTGTGTGACTGTCAAAGTAAGTCTGCGAAGATGTTTGGAGAGAATTAGAATAGATCGATGTTGTGTGCAGGTTGTTCAAGAGTATGAACGAGCTGTTATTATGCGTCTCGGTCGAATTCTATCTGGTAAGAATTGAATGACAATCGAAGGAGAAACAAATTATGATGTTATTTAGGTGGTGCAAAGGGTCCGGGTCTGTTTTTTGTTTTACCATGTGTTGATTCGATAATTAAAGTCGATTTACGGACGAGTGAGTGGTTTTTTGATGGTTGAGGCATGAGACAGTGCTTAGCAAAAACATCTCCTGTTTACTTGTAGTTACTTTTGATGTTCCACCTCAAGAAATCTTAACGAGAGATTCTGTGGTACGATTACTTAGAAGCATGCTGATGAAAGTCCTTCGTCTTCTCATCTCTCTAGACAGTTTCCGTTGACGCCGTCGTCTATTTTCGAATATTTAATCCGATTATAAGTGTGACAAATGTCGAAAATTCTCGTTATTCAACTCAATTACTGGCTGCTACAACACTTCGTAACATCCTGTAAGCAAATTTCAATCCGAATGTGAATTCTTTCGAAGAATGACTTTGGGAATTTTTCAGAGGAACGAAAACTTTACAAGAAATTTTATCTGATCGTGAAAATATTTCTCATTCAATGCAAGCTCATCTTGATGAAGGAACCGATCCTTGGGGAGTCAAAGTCGAACGTGTAGAAATGTGAAGAATTATTACATTCTGTTCTTTTCATTCCGATTAACAATCGTCTTTTCCTTTCTAGCAAAGATGTTCGTTTGCCTGTCAGCATGCAACGCAGTATGGCTGCTGAAGCCGAAGGTGAAAATCTTATTTGACATGCTGTCGATTCGTACATGACCTTTGTTCTCTATTCTAGCTGCTCGAGAAGCTCGTGCAAAGATTATTGCTGCCGAAGGTGAACAAAAAGCATCGAGAGCATTAAAAGTAATATTGCGTTATTATGAGTACATAAGATTGAATTACTTGTTTTTCAGGAAGCTGCTGATGTCATTCATGAAAGTCCAATTGCTTTACAATTGCGTTATCTTCAGACATTGACACATATCTCAGCAGAGAAGAATTCGACGATTGTTTTTCCGATTCCTGGTAAATGAAGTCTTTTAAAGAGAACATGTTCGCACGTTTTCTTCTTGTTTTAGTTGAACTTTTGAAACTAATGAAGAGCCGAGGTGAACGTGGAAGTAGTAGTACAACTGGATTTTAAGTTTTTTTAATTTCTAAGAGACTATTCATTTATTTTTATGTATCTGTGATTGTCATTATTAATCAAATATTATATTAATCTTCTCTGCTGTTCTACTTTCAAACAAGATCGATTTCTATTGCTAATTCAACATAAACATGAGAAAATAACACGAAGTAAATCGTGTCAGAAAGCTCCCATTTCAAATTTCAACCAAAAGTGCAAACGTTTGTCTATTTGAATAGGCTCATTGAACATCACGTAGATTATTTGAGGATTCAAAGAATAAAAACGACTGCCGATCAGTGTAGCTCTGCTTCTTTAAAGTAGGAATGAATGACACGAGCATTTCTGAAGAACCTCAATGGAGCCGTCATCTGAAATTTTATATTTTCACTTCGATTCAATTGCCATCGATATGTGTAGCTGTCTTTATTCTTTATCGGTTTTATTATTCAACGAAAATTCATTCGCGTTTGCATTATCATTCGTTGCTCACCTTACTAACCATTGCTTTTCTGGAATTGATCACTGAATTACCACTCACACTGCAATTTCTCTATTCCGGTCGAGTGCGACCTGCATTCAGTTGGTTTTGTCTCGTTTGGATATGGTACAATTGCTCACTTCATTCCATGAATCTCTTTCTCATGGCATGGACGTCAATTGAACGACATATTCTAATCTTTCATTCTCATCTTCTTCAGTCATCTCAACAAAAATTCCAGCGACACTATTTACCGATCATATTTTCTCTTTTCTACATTCCTCTCTTCTATTTCATATGTATTTTTGTTTACTCCTGTGAGAATACATTTAACTACACCATACTTTTATGTGGTTCTATTTGTTACAATAATCTCCCGTGGTTAGCAGCATTCGATTGGATCGTTCATATCTGTGTTCCATCGTCAATCATTCCAGTTGCGAGTATCATCCTCCTGATTCGAGTGATAATACAGCGAAAGAAAATGAAACGAACATTAAATTGGAAAACAATTCGTAAATTAACTTTACAGTTGATGTTTATATCAAGTCTATACTCGATCTTTTGGGTATCGTACGCATTGATTATCGTCATTCGTTTGTATTTCATTCCGACGTTTCTTCCTGTGATCATCAATTACTATTTTTTGTATTTGCCTTACTTCGTTCAGCTTTTCATGCCATTTCTATGTTTAATCTGTTTGCCTGAATTATGGCGTCAAAAGCTGCGCGTTGTTCCATTAGTCTGAAACGCACGCTTCTCGATAAGGTGTAACTAAACAAACGTTAGAGAAGAGAATGTGAATTTGTTGTTTCGGTTTAAGTGTTGTTTTACAAAAGAAAGCAACATTGAATTCATTTTTACAGAATAAATGATGTCACATTGCAAAAATCTGGCGACAGAACTCGATTGCATAAGATCGATGAGCCGCTCTTGAAATCATTCATCACACTTTGACAAATATCTGTATCGTAGCAATTTTCATAATCTGTACTGAATATATGAGCACCGTACGCCTTTGCTTCGTTATAATTTTTATTCAGTCGACTTCCACCATATCCAAGTAGAACACGTAGTATATATCCGCGATTGATACTCTTTTGCATGAAGTATTGATCGGTAATAGGACTGTTCGTGGTCATAAAAGACGCGTAGTCTTTATTTGTGTTTTTTTGAACAATGAAGAAGAAATCTGATAAAGGTTCACATGAATCAATCATATCTGGAACGATATTATGCACGTCGTCGAGGAAGGCTGGAATAATCTTTCCTAGCGAACGATATAACGGTGGCCAACCGTAACCTGCATAAGTAAAATCATTTTTCTGCTCGTAATATCTTTGTTTGCGAAGTGCCAACCGAAGTGAACTTTGATTTCCTTGTACTTGCGGTGGTAGAATCAAGGAAGTGTTTGTGAAAACGTCTAAAAGTTGTTGCTTAAGTGCTTCGAAATGTTTGCATTTAACACCGCCTTCGAGTCCAGTGAAGAGATCTTCGTAAAACATCTGTTTGATTTCGATAAATAAATAAATTGGATAATGATTGGCATTGATGATCGTCCAATTCCAAATGCGTTCGATACAATCACTTAAACAGTAGCAATTCGTTCGATCATCGAATAATTGTACATGATAGACGACATCATGGTTCGGCATGAGATGAAGATCTAATTCTATCTGACGAATACCATAGAAGAATTGTTCTGCAAGATCGGAATGTTCATATCGATAGAAAGAATTCTGCTTATGATAACTATTATGTGTACCAAGAATGGTAAAATGATTCAATTTCAAACGTTTATCGATCAGTGTTGGATTCAAGGAATGATTGCCCGTTGTTCGATTGGATTGATAAATGCGCCGCTGAGTAGAACATTGATTGTTACGATACCGGATGGAGATCACACACATCCAAATGATGAAGGTAGCTATTAGTAGAAAGAAACAGTTGACTGTAATGTCGCGTATCATGTTTTAATGCGTTTGTGGTACAGGTGAAATGATGAACATTGGAAATGGTTACGATGTTTTTTATTGCTTAACAATGTTTTGTATTTTTCTGTTTGTTCGTCGATAAGATTTCAATTCAATGATGCAACATGTCGGTGAGAGTATGCATTTAATAATCATGTGACAAATATGTGGCTTTCTCTATTTTCTTTTCTTTTGTTACCTAAAAGCATCGAAAATAGTAAACTAGTTTCTTGTCTAAAGTAACTCTTTAACTAGAGGTAATGGAAGAAAATAATCACAGCAGAAATAACATCGATAAATGCACTTTTTTATAAGTTGTCTATACTCAAAATAAACTATCACAATAATTCTGAAACTAGCCGAGATCCTTTCGGAGAAAGGCGTTGTGACCGGCCATCTGCATACCTTTTTATTGACAATACACTTTCTACCCAAATTTGTTAATAATGAATACTCAAATTGTCATGATAACTGCTCCTTGTCCTCTCGTTTGCAGATCTGCATCGAGTTTTTGATAAGAGAAAAAAAACTCAAACCTTACGATAGCATACTATACAAGGACAAAACGAAAAAGAAAATTTTTTTTCTTGTTGATCCGGTACTGTACGATAATTTTCAAGGTGATTTGTACTTTGAAAAAAAGGCATGAGAGGGATAATTTATCGCTCTCTCTCTCTCTCGAGTACTGTCATTAAAAAAACACAATCTTGTGCACGGATTTTATTGACTTTAGGATGGTTTTAGGAAGTAAAGCATAAAAAAAAGAAGATGAAGAAAAAACATCGAGAGCGGATCATTTCGTCTTGCGAAGCACTTGACTTGTTTGGCAGGTAAACATCGTTGATGTTGTACAGAAAATCGATGGCCATGTTCACATGCTGTATAATTAAATGTGCGACTCTCTAAACATGTGTAATGAAATTGACAGTTAGGTCGGTATTGATCAACATAGTTGCCATTCGGTTTCTCTCGACAGACGGGTTTGAATTCGCACAGTGGAGAACTGTCATAATCACCTTTGAAGGAAAGGAATGAGATTAAGATAGATGAAGAATGATCATCTTACAAGGATCAATGCACTTTTGTCGCGAGCCACAATTAACAACTTGGAAGTTTTCACAACTTTTCGTTTCGACGGAATAAAGTTTGTGTAATGGACATACTTGTTCTTTCATATGACCATTAATACACTCATAGTAATGACAGCAACTATGGGTAGCGACAAAACGTAGTCGCTGACCGTTCGGCGGACATTTGTGTTGACCTTTTTGAATATTCTGGAATCAATTTTGGGAGGTCAAAGCTAAATTACTCACAGTGAGGAACATCTTTCGGCCATTGGCAACCATGTTCTAACAGAAGTTGGATGACTTTTAATCAGATTTGAAAAGATTCTGAATACTTACTTTTGTCATAGTAGAGACCAGCATCACAAAACGACGGTCTATCGACACCACCTATGGTTTCAATCGTTGTTTATAGAAGAGAATGACTTGATTTTCTTACCGTTACAATAATGGTATGCTGAACAATCATACGGATCAGGAAAAAACTTTTGTACAGCAGGCGGACATTCGATAGGCAAATAAACATTTAGTCGAAAATTTCTTGGCGTTGTCACAATATTTCCATCCCCATCGATCATGTTAGTCACTTGTGTCGACGATGTTCGTAAATTTCCTGCTTTGCCTATTGAGAATAAAACACTTGTAAATCAATGGCAACGGGTAAAATACGTACAATCTGATTTCTCTGGCCATTCACATCCTTGTGTGCTCGTTGAAAACCAAAGATTATCCGCACACTGCAAAACTTGATGTGCACCAATGCCACAGAAATGATAGATGTGACAATATTTCGGATCTATGAAAGGAAACTCTACTTGGTTTGATTCACAAGTGAGAAAAAGAGTATACCAGGAAAAAATCCCTCTGCATCGTATTCACATGTAAAATTCGAATCAACTTTGATTGGCGTGCGTGTCGTTGTAGATTTTTTCGCACGCCAAGCCAATGCAGCATCGGTAGCAAACAACGTCACTAAAAGTCGTGCAAATATAAAAGAGACTTAGAATTTGTGAATGCTTTTACCTCCGCGTATGTCGGTAATTTTGTCCCATTTTCTCAAGCCTTTCTTACACTCAACTGTATTTTCCCAGCCGCAGTTTTTCTTCACTGGATCCCATGCTGTTCCCTCGGCACAAACGGCAGCCGTATCCACACCTGATGTGCAAATGTGATACACTCGACAGTTCTGTCGATCGGGAAAATAACCATCGGCTGAAAAAGCAGAAAACTTCTTACCCGATTCGTACGACGAACATCTTACTTTTACAAACAAAAGGCGCCGTGTCTCGTTTGGTTCGATCGAGAACAGTCTCCTCTTCATCGGAATTATAAAGATAAGAGTTAGGTTTTGTTATAAGTGGTTGAATGGCGCTGCTCGAACGAATTGTTGTCGTAAACGTTGCCAAAGACGTTGTAATAGTCGACTGATGTTCGACGCGATGATCGGCTGATTTCGTCGACGTTTGTTTTTCAAGCGTTGATTCATTTGAAAGCAAGAAACTATCTGATTCAATCGAATTAATCAACACAAATATCAAATACCAACAGCGATAACTATCCATATCGTATCCATACTTAATCATTCATTTATCCAATGGATTGTTTATGGTTTTTGTTGATTTTACTCTCAACTTGGGTCTATGTTAGGATGAGTTGTACATCATTTAATTGAACGTATACACACGTATGTGTAGACACCAAACGCTGTATTAGATCAACATTGTTTATATGAGGTTTAATTTTCTTTGGATTCCTTTATCCGACGTAAAAAAGAACGACAATAAAGTACGTCGTGAAGCGACCGAGCAAATACAATGGATTAATTGGTGATGATGCAATCGATTGCGACTGTATAAATGATTATCAATGTATGCAAAACAAATTGAAAAGGTCAGATAAATGGAGAATAGATTTATATGCGCATATTCAACGAGCGCTTCAATGATCGCGTTGGAAATTGTCTTCGAGAGAAAATAGAATTGTTTTGTTTATCGGTCATCTCGTTCGTTCTCGTGTGACCTCTTGGATTTTATGAAATCTTTATTTCAGTAGTTTCTTTTCTCTGTACTAAACAATAAAACATGAACTACACCAACAATAGGCACATACAATAAGAGTAGAAAAACAAAGCAATGACAAAAACAATCATGTCTAATCGATCAAAGATCAATAAGAGTAAAATAGATTGTTGCGAGCAGGAACGATATGAAATAGCCAAGATTTCGATGATCTATTGCAACGAAAAGAAAAAAAATGAATATATCTTATTGAGAACGAGAATTGATCAACATACATGGAATTGTTGCACTTCCGAGAACATAAGTACCACATGGAACTGGAGCACTGCTAGCCGGACCGCATCGGGTTGTGTAACTACTGAATTTTTCATCACCCGGACATTTAGCTTCGCGCAATTTGTTGTGTGAGGCACATTGATAATAATAATGACAGCCGCGTTCAGTATCGGGATGTATGCCATCGCGTTTGTTAACACCTATCGATAACGAACAGCTAAAAATTAGGCCGATTGTTGTGACTTACATTGGTTTTTATCTGCTAGATTGACTGCTCGAGTTCCGCAATTAACACGATCGAAGTCCATACATTGACGTTTCTCTTCGTCGTATAGTTGTTTTTCCGCGCAACTCAGTCGAGTTTGAATGCCTCGATCACACTGGTAGTAGGAATTGCATTGTGTTGGATCAGGAACAGAATAGAAACCTGTTAGTTGACATTCAAAACCAGAAAGACTGCTACTGTATTTTCCATGCGTCGGTGGTAGGGTAGATGCTTTGTTCGATTCTGAGCTCGACGAATCCGTGGACGCTTTTTTTCGTGATGTTGTAGTATCTAAATGAAAGAACGAACGTAGCGAAGCGCTCAAAATCAAGGAAAGAGACCATTAGTAGAATCAAATGACATGCCTTCAGTGGTAGTACTGGTTGAATAGTCGAGCTTTTTCTGTTCACAATTCACATGTTCAATCCATGCACATGATTTCGACTCGTCTTCCCATGCAGTACCTTTTGGACACTCAAAACCTTGATCAACACCATGCGAACATCGGTAATATCTCGTGCAGTAGTCAGGATCACTGATAGACAAGAGATTATTCATGCAAATCACTCTGAGAGAAAGAGTTTTCTTACGCAAAGAATCCGTCCCGTCCAGCACAAAACTTTTCAGCAGATGAATTTGCTTGACAGACAATCAAACAAGAGACTGGAAGAGAAGTCGGATGAATCAATCAGAAATTTTCAAGAAGAAGTAGATTACAGAGAAAAGCAAGCGTAAAATAATATTCATGCAATCAATGTGTGAATATCTCACGATCAGTTTCGTCGTCTTCATCGTCTAACATTCGTTTATTAGACGTAGTTTTTTTCTTTTTCTTTTTCGATTTGATCACTTGTTCACTTGGTGCTTCGTCTTCTTCTTCGTTTTCCTCATTCGTGTTTTCTTGTTCGTCTTCTTCTTCAGAGCTGATTTTCGGTGTCGTCTTCTCAGCACGAGAGCAATCTACACTATCAAGCCAATTACAACGGTTCGCCGTATGGTCCCAAGCCGTTCCACTCGCACATTCAAATTCCTCTGCGGAGCCATGTGTACAACGCCAATAGATATGACAAAACTCTGGATCGTAATACCAGCCATCATCTTTCGCAGAGCAATCGTATTCAGCTAGTGCTGTGTTTCTCATCGATAAGCAAACTATGATAAGAATGGCATAGCCAGAACTAAAAACTAGAAGACGAGAATCAGCCATCGACCTAAATTCTATGATCTACAAGCACGACTAGATACTAATATGAGACGTCTTACCAGAAAGGAGAAGAAAATTTTTAAAGATCATTTCGAGTGTATGAAGACGAGTTCTCAAATGAGCGCATATTCCTTCTCGGACTCTATTTAAGATGATCGTTTTTTCTTCCTCATCTTACAAATATTAACTAAACGTGAGAAAATATCGATGATGCTTACAGTGACAAGGTCGTTTAGAACAAATCAGTAGTTGCATATTTTCATCGTTGAGGTGTTTTGTTATCAAATGAAAAGAATGTCAAATGATAGAAAAGAAAAGAACAAATGAACTTAGCGCATAATCCTTACTCAAAGAATTGAATCGATTTGTTGATGTTGATCTACTTTGTTTGATAGACACACAGACTTCTTCTTTCAAAAGGTCACATTCTTTCTTTCGTTGTTTGTTGTACGACTGACAATAAATATTATGTGATACTATGTCTAGATGCATTCATTATCGATCATCGAATTATATAAACAATGTTCCGGATTCTTTCTTTTTACAATAGTTTCTACTCCGTTGTTTACTACGTAATAAATGGTGTATAAATGTCGTTTTCAGAAAGTTCATTATCTTTGTCTGAGAGATGTTTATCATTGATTTCATTTTTAACTTTGCAATGGAAGAATGCACTTTGAAGAAAACATAAATTAAAACGCAATAGTTACCTTTGAGGTTTTTAATTTCCGATGTCCTATAGGAGAAAGCGACAGATGATTATCATCCAAGTTAATTGAGTTTTTGACAAAGTACAATACAAAATGACAAATGATATATGACAGAGTAAAAATAAGATTTGAAAATCAGTGCCAACATTTAGGCTATTTGCTGTTTATTAGCAGTTCCTCAGATGACACGACTTCTGTTGCTTATAGTTGTATTTCTTCAACGATCTGCTGCAACTGATATGAGATCATTTGTACTGACCGTGATGAATGGGCAGCAATTTTCATGTGCTAACACGACATGCATACCATTCTCGAGTTTTGCTGTACTAAACAGTCGTCGATGTCAGTTAGCTTGTGTCAATGTGAACCAGTGTCAAGCGATAGGTTTTCGTCAGTCAATTACTCGTTGCGATTTATTCTCCAATATTGTAAACCAAAAGAAGAATTTCTCACTGAACCACGACGTCGTGACAATGATCATGAATGTCAATGAAAGTTTATCAACAGGTTAATCTCGAAGACATATGGATATCTTCAGTTGTCTTTTTTCTGATCTTTCAGGATGGATGCTTGTTACAAGTATGAATACCAGCCGAGCAAGTCATACAGCGTCGGTTTTGAGCAATGGAAATGTGCTCGTCGTTGGTGGATATGGTGATATCTCTATAAAACAACCAGAAATATACAATCCAGCGGCAGGTACTTGGACAACTGTGGCATCGATGAACATTACACGTAAACTTCATGCTGCATCCATTTTAATCAATGGACTTGTTTTGATCAGTGGTGGAAACAATGGCGTTAACTTCTTAACAAGTGCAGTATTGTTCAATACGTCGAGTCAAACTTGGACAAATGCCGGAAATATGAATACTCAACGAGGTGCTCATACAGCATCCGTATTATCTGGTGGACGTGTTTTCGTTTGCGGTGGAGACAGCGGTAGTGGTTTTCTCAACAAGGCAGAATTATACGATCCATTAACGAATACTTGGACACCCGCAAATTCTATGAGTACCATACGCGTCGACCATACAGCATCTTTACTGGCAAATGATAAAGTATTAGTTGTAGGTGGATATAATGGTGGTTATTTAAATACTGCTGAATTGTATGATCCCTCATCTGGAAATTGGGCGATGACCAGTAAAATGAAGTATGCACGTCAGCATCATAGATCATCAGTGTTGAGCGATGGAAAAGTGTTAGTAAGCGGTGGATACAGTGGTACTTATCTGAATACTGCTGAACTATATGATCCACTACTAGGAAATTGGACAATTACAGGAAACATGAGTTTTGCTCGTGCTCAACATACGGCATCTGTATTACCTAGTGGGAAGGTATTAGTTACTGGTGGATTTAATGGTAATTACTTAAATAGCGCTGAATTGTACGACCCAAATACTGGAAACTGGACAAAGATAGATGATATGAACATTTGCCGTAGATTTCACACAGCATCAGTGGTATCCGATGGAAAGGTTTTAGTGATCGGTGGTGAAATGAACAGTTCTTATCTAAATAGCGTCGAATTATACTAATCGAACTCCTTTTCTCCAAAGACAACGTGATTAAATTTGTCCTTGAAAAATTGAAACAGTGCGACATATGATTAATATGTAAATTGTCAATCTATGACGAAATATTTGTCAGTATCGATTTATGAAAATATAATATTCCTAGAAGGTAAAAACATCGAGAACAAATCTACAAACGACAACATCGATTGTAATATGATTTTTCATCAATATTTATCATAGGATAAACACGGTACGCTGATAAACTAGAGTGAAATTGAAAGAACCATCCGTTTTTGCACGATTTAGAATGTGTGAGAAGCATACGAGAAAGAAAGACAAGATGAAGTATCCGTCAGGCTGTTCAAAGCGTCAGTTGAAAATGACATCTCATTTCATCTCAGCAATACTGATTCCGATACTGATTGCTGTGTTTACCATAGTCCTTGCCTTTCAACAAGAATCAATTGCGAAAGCAAATCGTGAAGTCGATTTACGTATCGCAACTGGACAACATCAACAAAATTTAGAATTAGCTACTGAAGAACATCTCAATGATCTGCTCATCACTTACATGGACAACATATCTGATTTGTTACTGGCCAACAATCTTTCCCTGGATAAGCAAATTCTACAATCTATTGTCTATCCGAAAACATTATTTGTACTCCGTCAATTAGATCCAAAACGAAAATCGGATCTCATTCGATTTCTTAATGATTCCCAATTGATTGCCACTGAAAAACCAGTCTTTCTCAGTCTCCGATATGCCAATCTGACCCGTGTTCAATTTGGTTCATCCGAAGAAAGTAACAGCATGAGATATATCTCGTTTGTATCAACTTATCTGAACAATGCTTCGTTCATTTCGGGATCATTTACTCATGGCGATTTTACGTATAGTCGAATGCGCGGAGCGCTATGCAACAGTTCCTTCAATTATGCAATCTTTCTTGCTGCGGATTTGACCGACGCAGATTTGACTGGCTCGCATGTTTTCAAAGCTGATTTCACCAGAGCAGTTTTGAGAAGTACAAAGATTAGTCCATCGCAGGTGATCATTTTACAAGATGTATTTAACTGATTGATATCGTTTTCTTTATTTGTTAATGATAGTTGAAAAGTGTAGGATCGATTTCGGACGCCACGCTTCCAAATGGTGCCAAAGGTCGAAATTTGAACCTCTTCAAGAATTCTATTTGTGAAAATTTACTAAATGGAAATAATATTCAACAGAATGTGAACATCAGAAACATGCGCGACTGGGCATCGTCTATCAGACGGAAGTTGGCTTTCCAATTTCGTTTCAGTGGTTGGTTCTATGAGCTAAATGACTTACGTCTCAACTTTACCGAATACGATGAAGATAATGCCTCTTTAGATCAGTACTCTTGTACTCGTAAAGATATTTTTCTGCAAAATACGGTTAGCGAATCATGTAATTTCACCAGACAAGGGGACGGACATCAGGCGACGAACGGTTCAGATCATTATGAGTATGTGGATGTGAAGCGGCTTATTCAGCCTCGTACTCATGCTATTGGAATTAACATTAATCTCGGACAACGTAGTGCCTGTCGAGATGTTTATTTTTCTATCGAAACAAACTAAAAAGAGTATTGATAAAAATCATTCAAAGAGATTGAAAATCCGAATTCAATGAGAAGGTTTATTTTTAAATGGCGTTATGGAAAAATTCCTTTTTAGTATTTGGGTTTCTTCCCAAAATAGTCATATGCACTGATTCATAGTGAATGTTTATTGCGAAATTACACAGGTATATTTCTACACGATGCTTGTTCTCTTCTTCTTGCTACACGTGGTTGTATAAATACCAGCGAGCGTCTACAGGAATGATGGTATTTCTTTTTTGTCGACGTACGATTGAGTTTCCGTTGCACAATAACGTACTTTTTTAAATTTTGTTTGAATTTTACAACCATGAACAAACATAGTGTGTCAGAAGGTGCTTGGGATTTTGATTCGAGATCGAAGTTCACACGAGCTGAATTTTGTTTTTCAGAATGGAACGAACAATGCTCGAAAAAACTTAAGCGTACAAGTCAAAGTTCGGACGATGAGCGTGCTCGAGGTGATAATAAAATGACTCGTCTTTCGATAGAAACTGACTGGAGTGTATCAGAATTGAGATCATTGTTGATTTTGTTTCAGGAGATGCATATACATCATTTGAAGGTCGTCCTTCGGCAACAGAGCTGGAAGACACGCACGAGGAGCTTCCATTATCGTACACATCAGGTATGTATCCGAGATATTTTTATATACGAAATCAAGACATCATATCTTCAGATGGTCATATCATTCTCGAATCATTCACATCAGATCATCAGCGTGCACAAGATTTATTGTTTGCTATTGCTGAGGTATAAATCATGCGTCATTATCATCCTCTGTATGTACGGATAAGACGAAAGATTTTCTTCTAGCCTATCCATGATCTTGAACGCAGTAACATTTACGAGATAACGGCAAATTCTCTTCATACTGCGATGTATTTTGGTTTGAATACTGAAGGCATCCTTGCAGATTTGCACGAACTAAGCAAGACGAGCGTTCCAATCTGTATAATTGATCGTATTAAAGTATGATAAGCATATTGTCCGTGTTTATGACGAGGGAAAATTCGATTTCTTACTTTGACAGTCATGTACAGCTGAATACGGCAAAGTTCGATTAGTATTGAAACAGAATCGTTACTTTATTGAATGTATCTCCTCAGTAAGTTCATATTGGAGTGTTGACTGATAATCTCTAATGTTCATTGGCTTAGCATGTTTTAACAACACTGCTGCAAGATCCTCAAATCCAAGAGTGTCGATTGGCACCTATTGACGAAACAGTCGATACAAGCTTGGAAGGCTCTGAAAATCGATTGGAAAATGTTCAATCTACGTCATTTGAAGTCAATCAATCAAAAGTAGTTATGCTACGAAAACGGTTTGTTCTTCGTTGTTTTCTATTTATGTGTATTTTCATTTTTTTTCGATGCCTGTAGATGTCAACAATTGAAATATCCACTAGTCGAAGATTACGCTTTTGCTGAAGATACCCTAATACCAAATCTCAACATTCAATTGTCTTCAAAGGCCACTCTTCGACCTTATCAAGAAGAAAGTCTACGAAAAGTATTCAACAACGGTAAAAGTATTTCTTTATTCATCCAATAGTTATTATGGAGCTCCTTTTTTATAGGACGAGCTCGATCTGGGGTGATTGTCCTTCCTTGTGGTGAGTGCTTTCGATCGTGCTCAATTACAATTAACCAAGAGGATTGTATTCTAGGTGCGGGCAAGTCGTTGGTTGGTGTAGCTGCCGCTTGTACGATTAACAAACGATGTCTTGTACTTTGTAACTCCAATGTTTCTGTCGAACAATGGAGAGAACAATTTAAAACGTGGTCAACTGCAAATGACGGCATAATACGATTGCTGACATCTAAGAATAAGAATAATTTTAATAGTATAGCTCGAAGTCACGAATGATGTACATTTTTCATGCATATTTCAATGTGAATAGATTCCGGTATTTGTATAAGCACATATCAGATGGTCGCTAGCAACACTGGTCATACAGCCGACACGAGTCGCGTCTTGAAATCATTGAAAAATCATGACTGGGGTATGTTTTATGGACTATTCTCATAGATTTCTCTCATTCGAGTTTGATCCACAGGTCTTATTCTTCTTGACGAAGTGCATATGTGCCCTGCCGACAGTTTTCGCAGAATATTGAATACAGTGCGTGCGCATATCAAATTGGGTCTGACTGCTACACCCGTCCGAGAAGATGATAGAATTATCGATCTAAATTTTCTGGTTGGACCATCTTTATACGAAGCCAATTGGATGGCACTGCAAAATGCAGGATTCATCGCTACAGTCCGTTGTGCTGAAGTCAGTATTGCAGTTGCTTGTAGTTTCTAACTGTTAACTCTCACTCGCTAATTATTTTTGCGTTAAGGTGCAATGTGCAATGACTTCTGAATTCTTGCGTGAATATCGTTTTACTTCCGATGACTCATTGAAACGCAGATTGAGTGTGTTTAATCCAAATAAATTCCGCGCTTGCCAAGCCCTGATCGAATATCACGAACAACGAAGTGATAAAATCATTGTTTTCTGTGATGATGTCTCTGCAGTACGAGTTTATGCATTGAAACTTGTCAAGTATGTATTATCTAATGAATCTTGACCTTCTCCATCATTGATTTTTCTCAGACCGTTTATTCATGGAAAAGTCTCACACAGTGAACGCATGGTTCTTTTGCAAAATTTTCAACGCAATTCAAAGATTAACACCATTTTCATTTCCCGAGTAAGTACAACTGTAAATCAGAAACACGCGACAGTTATCCTCTAAACTAAAATTGATCAGGTCGGTGATGCAGCATTTGATTTACCTGAAGCAAATGTAGTCATTCAATTGTCCAGCCATGGTTCTTCACGACGGCAAGAAGCACAACGGCTGGGTCGTATTCTTCGATCAAAGCGAAGTTCGTTCATGTTTGCCATACGACAGCAATGATAAATGCTCGAGCTCATTTTAGATACGGGTGCCAGCGGGAATAATGCATTTTTCTATTCGCTTATGTCAGAACAAACGGATGAAATGAGTTATTCGTCAGGTCGACAACGCTTTCTGAAAGAGCGAGGCTATTCATATGAAAAACTTTCCGATGCAGACTTGGTTTCCGATCAGGTATTCATCCTCACCGACTGTTAACTAGAATAATCTTCGATTTTATATCCTATTAGACACAGCTGCAATTCTCGACATGTGAACAACAAGAACAGTTACTCCGAGAAGTTCTGACCATGTCTAGTCAAGAAGAAGACGAGAAAGTGGAGAGACCATCAGCTAATAAAAAGAAAGCTAAACCGATACATCCTCTATTTCGACTGTTTCGAAAGTGATTTGATCAGTAGTTTTAAAGCAAAATGTATGTTTTTATCATTATGTTCTTTATTCGAAATGAAATAAACTATTTTTGAACGTCGCATAACTGTTATCTTGATGCGCATATAATACAACGAAGATCCGTGTTTAACACTGGTCTTTATCTACAATCAAGCCTCACCATCTTTCCTTTCAAATTGTTTTGCGAACGTCTGCATTCTCCTCATCCGATAATGTCTTTGTAATCATGAAAAAAAAACATTCAGAGTGACTTTTTACGTACACATACGTTTTATAGGTGCTACTACTAGAAAAAAAACGAATGCTTTGATTTTATCCTTGTTCTCCAACTGTTTTATATTTCATGCGTCTCATTCTCGCCAATTATAATAAGAAAGTTGTAGCATGTCGGCTCGGGTTTTTTCCTTGTCTATGCATCACACAACTTATAAATAATGGGTCTTGAAAACCAACCGTACATTTGTTACTATTAGCATCCTGTTGGATATGGCAACAAAATATGATCCTATTCCTACAAGCGCACCTCCTGAGACGCTTTCTCGATCAAATAAATGGTCTCTTGTATATTCGGATCTGGCCATCGGTATGGGTATCCTTGGCCTCACCTTGCTGATCATTTCAATCCATATTCAAAAAGAGAATGGTACCGACGGTATTCATCGTGCTGGAACAGCAATAATGAGCATTTTTGTGTGACAGGCTATTTTGTTCAAACAGTCTTGTCTATAATAGTTCGCCGTAAAACCTACGTACCGTTGTATATTTTTATTTTTATTGCCGTAATAGTGGTGGTTCAAATATTGGTATTTGGTATTGCAAAAGGACATTTATCAAAATCCTTTGGATACAATTTTATGATTGGCATGATAGCAGTATTGGCTGCTTTGATTGATTTTGGCCTTGTGTTGATTCAATTTTTTCGGGGGCACTCAGAAAACCTGACTCATTATCGTACGAGAATACTTTTAAAGACGCATAAGCAAGAAAACATGTCTCTGTAGTTCGTTAATTTTTTTCTTTCGATAAATGAAAGAAAAAAATAGAGAAATATTTCACTTTTCTTATAATCCTTAGTTTGACCCAATTTGACATTTTTCCTCTTCTCTGTCGCTTGACTCGCGTAATTGCACAATTGTTGGTAGAATGGCTTTTTAAAGAAAAGAAACGTGCTTCAATGAATAGAGGAAAACAACAATATGCTCTCAAAAGTTTCTTTATGTGAAAGGCAAAATCAAATAGCACACGATTTCTTCAACTTGAAAAGACGCCAGTGAATATTAATAAATACCACCATAGCAATCGGATTATATAACGTAAGTATACATATGAGAAATTTATTGCACCGACATGTCACATGTATAGTTTGTTCGGTGGCCCATTGACGTAATCATTTTACTTCGATGACCGATTCTGTCAAGCTAGTTGTTTGCATTGCATCTACTGCACTCTTCGATTGTAGTGAATCGCATCAGATATGGTTGAAGGAAGGCATTGAAGCGTACAAGGAATATCAGCATAGTCATGTAACTGATCCTTTAAAACCTGGCGTTGGATTTCGATTGGTTCAAGCTTTGTTAAGTTTGAATCATAGTGCTGGTAAAAACTTCGTCGATGTCATTCTCGTCTCACGCAACGAAAGTGAAGCTGGAAAACGAGTGCGAAATTCGATCAATCATTACAATCTCGATATCAGTCGTATGTCATTCACAAATGGTACTGATGTAACTAAGTATTTACAAGCGTGGGAATGTGATCTTTTCCTCACCACTGAAGAAGCACAGGTTCGTACCGTGCTTTCAGCGAATGCTATAATTACATCGAAGAAAATAGCAGCTGGTTTAGTGTGTGACATTGCCGCTGAAGCAACGCATGCGTCTCTAAATGAACCGCCATCGTAAGTTTCTATTGCTTGAGAATACACTAAGCAAATATAAACGAGTTTCTAGGCCTATTATTGACAGTAGTCTTTTGACTGCCATCGCTTCAGTGTGGCCAAAAGATCAAGTGCGTATTGCCTTTGATGGCGATGGTGTACTCTTCTCCGACGAAGCAGAACGCGTCTTTCAGACATCTGGTTTGGATGCGTTCCGAAAGTACGAACATGAAAAGTTGGATATTGCCTTATCCGAAGGTCCCATGCATTCATTCGCGATTAAATTACAAAAACTACGTAATGCACTAGCTACCGAAGAACAATGGCGTGTGCGTACTTTTCTTGTAACTGCTCGTAATGGTGTTGGTAATGAACGAGTATTGAGAACCTTAGAACGATGGGGTCTTCAAATTGATGAAACACATTTCCTAGGTGGACTCAATAAAACGCCGTTTCTAATTGCCATCGATCCGGCGATCTTCTTCGACGATTCAAGTGAACATATCGAACGAGCGAAAAAATATGTTCCAGCGGCACATATTGTCTATGGTGTTCGAAACGTAAAACCTGATGAAATCGTGACATCATCTTCCACAACAACCCTTGTGCCAGAGGAAACACCAGCAAACACAGACACTTAGTAGTAGAAATGAGTCTTGGAATGATTTCACCACGTTGTAAAAACATTCATCGAAATGCACGAAATAAAAACTCTATAGTAATCAAAACGAATAAAGCACAGCTGATGACATTAGACCTGCACTATTCCAAAGTGTAGACTATCACAAAGATTTTGCGAAGAAGTATTTCAGCAAGCTATTGTTAAAACTGCATTCCACTACAGAGTCATTTTGCTCGGTATAGTTTTTATTTTATTTTGACGTAATAGATTTACAAATAGAGATCTTCACAATTAGAAATCTTGAAGAAGTATTTGCATTCCACTTAGTTTTGACAACTTCATTTTGTAATTCATTGAGTATCGAAAACATCTGATCGGAAACGATTAGGTGACGGTTTCGACATGTGATTGTTAAATTAACCTGCTCAAGTGTCTCTAAAATCGGCCACCAGTGATGAATGACGTGATCGATCAGATCTTCGTGAATAAAATCGAAATTTAAACCGAAACTAGCATGCTTAGCAGCTGGTAGATTTCGATGAAAGTTTTGAAAAACAACTGGTGATGAATAATTCGAAAGACAATTGAAGTGAAGTGTATGCAGTCGTGGAAGAGTGAATAACGAATCGAAGAACAACCATTCTTGATTTTTAATATATGTATCATAATTATTCATTCGCAACCATCGTAAGTTTGGCATATGACTCAACAACAAAGTCATCACAAAACCGTAGGAAGTATCTTCAAGTCGAATATCGAGTACTTTCATCTGACTGACATTATCCGAATGGATGTCGATTGATGTAATCGGTCGAGAGAACCGGAATCGACCAGTGTTTAAACTAGGGAGAGCAAGAATGGCGTTAAGTAGTTGTTGATTTGGAGTACATTTTATCTGAAGATAGTCAAGTGAACGAAGTTGTGGTAGAACAGAAGATAGAGTAGGAACTTCACGTCCACATAGTTTCACTGTTAAAGATTTCAATCGAATTAACTGGATGGAATGCCATCGAAGAAATTCAGATATGTGGGACGACTGAGTAAAATAGACAGGTTGAAGACTAATTATGCGATTGAGAATGGATTGGGGCCAATAGGGTTGAGCAGAATATTCTAATGGATTTCGGTCAGTTTTGTCCAATCGAACATTGAATAAAAGATAATCCGAAGCTAATATTTCATCAAAATAATGATTCAATCGACTAAAAGCATGAAAAATGTCATGTGCTTCTAAATATGAAAGAATTTCTATCCACAATTCCAATGGCAGCTGTTCAATTGACGTTTTCATCATCTTCTGAATTTGTCATTCATCCATTCATTACGACTTACATGACGCAAGGTCAACAGACGAATCAGTGATTTTCGCAAAGATGGCAGTGTACGCTCATATATTCGATTACTCGAGAACACATTTTTGCTTGTCCTTTCCAAGATGGAATGATCGTAGCCAGAATTATGTTTCATCCTTTACTAATTACGGAACTCTGACAGGTCGAATTGCTGCTGATACGCTTCGGATTGCTATGAGTACAACAGTAAACCGTCCGGATATTGGGTTTAGGATAGTTACTCATATGAATCGTTTCAAAATAAATGTATAACCAACAAAATTGTTATTGATGACTTTTCATTGACTTGACTAGTTGTGAACAGAGTTTGGACAAATCTCGATTATTGACTTTATACTGTGCCATAGATAAATTGACACTTTCGTATGTATATCTCTGCTGCGGAGTAGTTGAAAAAATTGAAATAAGTGAAAACTCTCGCGATTTGATCAGTGTTCACTCATCTGTTTACCACTCAATGGTTCTATTGGAAAAAGAAACATTTTATTTGACATAGAACTTTTATAATGAGGAATGAATCTTCGACTAGCGAACAAATGGAAAACAGTCCATGTGATCGATCAGTAGATATGCGACTTATGCATCATGCTTTATTTTTAGAACACAATTCACTAGAGATAGTCTAAAGCCTTATGAATAGTAAATTGATGGATTTGCTGAGTTACGTATATTCAGTAAGAAGAAGTCAATTACGAAGCAAAAAACTCGTTCTTGTGTAATTTGTACTGAGTGAACCGATTCTTTGCATAATTCACGTAGTCAAATTCACTCAATGCTTCAGGATTCAGCATAGCTTCGAGTACAGCCCACAAAGCCCAATAAAGATGCGTAAGTGGCAGAAGGCAATGGCAACGATCACAAAGTTTTTCCAATTCATCTGCACCAGGTTTTTTATGTAAGAAATCAGCATGTTTAACATATTCACTGATGAAGTTCAATCGTCGTTCTCGACTTGGATATTTCTTTGACCAGTCAGGCGATGAGCTAAGACCAGCGAACTCCACAAAATAATTCTCAATGTCATATAAGTAAAGATTGTCAAAACTATGTTCAAAATCTATCATATGCATAGTATTTGTTTGTTTGTCGAAGAGAAAGTTACGACTCAGGGTATCATTATGGCACAGAACAACAGGAATATCGGACCATTTTTGTTTCAACGTTGATTTGATTTGATGGAGATCATCATCCAATTGAGCAAAGGAATATTCGAAAAATGATTCGAGAGAATCCAGTGACGGTGGACTAGATTGAAGACCGACAGTTGTCTTAATTGCGTCAAGCATTCCAGTCGCTGACGGTTCCATTGCTTCCAATCGGTGTCGTAATTGAGAATTTGTACCATTCAGTAAATGAACATAATGATCGAGTTTCTCTGTCAATCGAGATTTTTTTTCATTATTGCCGTCATCAGATGGAACCGAATGGAATGCAGCCAGTTTAGCTGCCAACGGTGAACTGAAACAAGAATAGTCACATCGTAAACATCGCTTGAGAATGTGAAGATTTTACTACTTACTCAATTTTCCCATCATCGACATCAATTTGATCACCTGGCACCAGTGCGTATAAGAATCCATTGTTAAAAGTTGCCAGAACTTCGTTGGCCATATCGTATTGAGAAAGTTTCACCATATTCCGAATTTCGGCTTGTCGATCGACGATTAAATCCGAATTTTTCCCGTAAGTTCGAATGATGAGAGCTTGTTCATCATACGATGGAGGAAACATTGCGAGCATTTGATTAGAAAGACCATCTGTTAGTTCTTTGAAACTTAGTTTCTTATTGATCCAGTCGCTTTTAACCAAACAAGCAAGCCGAGGACCTGAAGTTTTCAGATCAGCTGCATCTAATTCAATATCAACATGCACTGATTGATTATATGACTGTGAAACATTTGTCTTCAATGTCATATTATTAAGGTGTGTAACAAAAAATAACAAGTGAAATAGGACGAGAAGAACTGCGCAACACACGAATTTCGATGTTGTTTATTTTTGCTGCTCTGATCGATATACTATGAAGAACGGGAAAAATATCTTGATGTTACCCTTGCTATAGAACAGAAAAAGAAAGTGTTTACGGTTACACTCCACAGCAGTACGAGAGGTCAATGAGTTGAGGGAAATCATTCAGTTCCTTTTTGCAATTGTGTTACGTGACACGATCGAATGTTACACTGGTTTAATTGTAACATCAGCCCAAATCACTGTATCTGCATACCTATTTTTATTTTCAGATGTTGAGTTTGGAGCTAATTCTAAAGCATACTGTTGCAGTATCTCTCGTCGTTCTGATTTGGTTAAGTTTCTTGCTCTTGGATCATCTCGTATCCATTTCGATAGTGTCAATGTTTGAAACTCTCCGATAGTTTGTACATCATTCCAGTCAACACCAACATGCAAATCAGTTTGTAGCATCTTGGACGCACGTTGATTGATACTGGATTGTCCATCTACGATCATATCAGCAAATAAATTACCAGTGACCATCGAGTTGACAGAAAATTGAATATTTTGTGTTCTTTCAAAAAGACCCATAAGTCCGTGTGTCCAAGCAAATTATTCGATTATCTTCGAGTTTTCCTGCCGTCAATTGCAACAACTGAACTTCCTCGGGAGTCAAATTCATTTTGTCACGGCTTGCAATCAAACTACCATTCGGTGCGTAAACATGAACCGTATTATAGACTTCTTTTGTCAATGGTAGATACACTTCTGTCTGATTTGGATAGAGATCAGGGTCGCCAAAAAAGTCAATATCTTCTCGATCGGCCGAACGAAGAATTCTCGGCCCTAGTGTACCGGCTACAACAGTCGCATTTAACGATCGAGCTAATGTTGAAAACGTGTAATTGAATGCTCTCCGCATGACATCACTCAAAGCTAGTTCGAGAGCATTCGTAATAGAAATGTTCGGATAGGTTTTTGAGTAGAAATTCATTTGTTTTTCATAAGATGACATTAGTAGCAATAATGCATCCTGAGTTGTTCCCGATTGTGAACGAGCACTCTGCCCACGTGTGCCAGATCTGTGCGATTAAACTGATCGAACCAACTTGTATAAGATACGGACGCATTCACTGATTGTCGATGACCTACTGCTACTAAACACATTGTGTGGATTGCTATGGGCACAAGACACAAACAAAGAAAACATGAACGGTGTAGGATTCTCATTTATATATCACAATGCAAATGATGATACACTTAGTTTCAAGACTGTCCTTTGCTGCCGTATTTATCGCATATGGCAAAATATCCACTTCTTCTCCTTCTTCCTTTTATCTAATTGGTTACTGTGCTTCCACCAATGAAAGAAAGTGTAATACTCAAAATAAGTCGGAATGTAATAGTTACATCATTCACAGCAATGTCTTTAGCTAAACGTATAAAATATCCAAGTGTTATCGAACGCTATTACACGAAATATTATCGTACGAATGTTCACAGTGAGACTAATAATGATACACTTGTTCTTGTACATTCTAACCGTGTTTGTGTTCTAATGCTTTCGGAACGACATCCCATTCTTACAAATCCTTTGAAAATTCATTCCATTGAATCACTTGCTAGTGTCAATCAATCGATGAGTGGTAAATCGAAACGCGGAGCTGATTATGTTCAACCAAACAAATTACTATATCGAATCAAATGTGATAACGAACAAATATTCACAATTTGCGCAAGTATCAAAGGACGTCTAGTTGAATTAAATGATGAAATTATCAAAACGCCAGATTTACTTCAACAAAAACCTCAAGGTGAAGGTTATCTAGCGATTTTTATTCCGTCTTTGAAAGACGGAGAAAATAATCTAAAATTACTCGTAACCGAACAAGAGTACATTTCATCCAAGCAATCTTCCTAGATCATTTGTTGATTTTCTTCACGTGTGAGTTGTTGAAAATATGAACAGATCTTTGTTTTCGTCGTTTTATAGATCATTTTCTCATTTCTGGTTTTCCTTGCCTATCTATTGAGAGTAAGAAAGCATGCATGAGTGTGTCTTTTTTTTCTATCATGCATCTTTCCCCATTTTGTTTGAAAATAAATGAAATTAACTTTCTGCCTCATGTGTCTTCTAGCGAAGTCAAATCTATGGGTTGGGAAGATTTACCAACTATCTTATTAGAAGAAATCTTCAGTTATCTTTCACTTACACATCGATATTACGCTTCTCAAGTTTGTCGGACATGGTACGTAGATGCTTGTCTACTTCATCGTGATAGCGAATCTTTACTAGGTATGAAGTATTCCATTCGCCAATCATTTGGCATACATTCATATTCGATGGTTTGATCTTCACACGAAAGAAATTTAATTTGTACCGTGGTTATGAACGAATTCTTAATCTATATCGTGTACAAAGATATTTACCACGAAAAAGTCGATATATCAAACAGTTGATTATCAAACCTATTCCTGAATATCACAATATGTGTGACTTTCTGGATATGTTAACGAATTTTATTCATCATCACGAGCAGAATGACTACCCGTTTCCGTATCTTGACGAGTTTTCTTTTACATTTCACGTTTTGAAACTGATCAATGATGACGAAAACAATCCTGAGCATTTTCACGCTTACAATGAATATCCAAATGCATTTATACGTGGAAATAAACGGTACTATGGCACCGGTGGAACTATCCTAGAGAAATTACGCAAATTCATATCATCCGTTCGCTCACTAAAGCGCTTTCATTTGAATGATCTCTTTCTCGCATCCGATTTTGACATTGGGGCATGTCTCGAGGAACTCTTAGTCAATTCTGGTGAAACTCTCGAATACATCGAAGTACTGAATTACACATCGTATATTATCCCATTGTATACAGTTGGCTTATTTCCAAATTTGCACACGATATCGATTAGTCCCCATTCGTTAGATGATGGCGTACTTCTTCTGTTTGCTAATCATTTAATATATTTGCGTCGATTGGACATCGTTCACGATGAATTGACTATATCCCATCGATATAGAGATTCCGTGTGGAACGAAATTGAAGAGATCTTGAAGGAGAATAAACGACGATGGAATATTCGCATGATCACCAAGGGTAAATGTAAAGAAGAGCCACTTTGGCCACAAGGTTCAGCTCCGATACAATCGATTATTTATAACACTTGTTCGGTCAAGGTTGTGCAGACATCTATCTATACTTGCATGGAACAATTCAGCGCGACTTTAGAAACCTATGTAAATGATTTTCTTGAAATTTGAACTCATATGAATGTTTCAATTTTTTATTTTAGGCTCACTTGAAATCTATGTGTCGTGTTTACATCCCACGATCATTTCTCGAACGTGCCGATACAGCCTACATCGGTCTGGTTAAAACCACTCGATATTTACACACATTAGCAATCAAAGAGCGGATATCGACAGCCACTTGTCTTCTCATTGCATATTATGGCGCGAAAAATAATCTCAAACAGTTTTATCTTCGTCGGAACTGTGTTATTCTACGAAATGAATATCGAAAATACTTATTCAGAGAATCTGGTGACAATAATGAGTCTATTCATTCGTGGTTAGAGCAACATTGTCGAAAATACGATCGTGTTGAAGATGCGGTGTCAGTGTTATTTGGACGAAAGTGGAAAATGCTTACTGATTGGGAATATAATCGAATATGTTTATAGAATAACGCACTTGTTTTCTGATTGGTAGTCTATTTTAAAGAATAAAAGAATGTGAAGTATGTTTTTGCCCACATAAAAGAATTTCTTTCCGTCGGCAAAAAAAAATGGAGGCAGTGGGGATTGAACTCACGACCTATCGCATGCGAAGCGATCGCTCTACCACTGAGCTATGCCCCCTACATTGTATTAGTAAAAAAGAAATCTATTCATTAGTAACATCACAGTTCTCGTCGCCTATTTATCACACAAATCCTTGAATTCACGAACTTCAAAGTCTGTCTTTTTTAATAATTATTTTTGTTGATTTGATTTATTAACTGGTTGGTTCTTTCTTTTTTTGTTGTATTGATATACATAACTGAAGAAACAATCAAAGGGATATCAAACATATTAAAAAAAAACGGAAAAACAACGTCTATTTGTTTTGTTGATCTTTATTTTCATCGGAGGGTTGTTGATCTGAGGAAGTGCCTGAGGATGATGATTGTGAGCTTTCACGATCAGATTGCATCTAGAAATAAAACCATGTTGACGAGAAAGCAAACGGTCAGGTCTTTTTTCGTACTTTTTTATAAGCAGTTTCAAACAATTTCAGGCTTTGTTTTTGAAAATCATCAGCAGCTTCTTTCAAATTTTGAACTGATTCATTGTCCTTGTTGGTCAATTTCTCACGTAATTTCGAAGCGCCATCTTTCAATTTGGAATACTAAACAGAAGTCGTCCTCAAGTTTCGATGAACACAATCGGATAGCTTACTTCATCAGCTGGTAGCTGATCCTTATACTCTTCCATCTTTGATTCTGTATCGTGAAGAATCGATTCGATACGGTTTACTTCTTCGACCGTTTCACGTCGTTTCTTATCGTCAGCAGAGTATTTCTCTGCGGCACGAACCATATTTTCGATTTCATCTTTGTTCAAACCTCCACTCGACTGAATGATAACTATAACAGAAAAAAACAATCGTTCACGTATTTTCCCGAAGAATATGCTGTACTTTGTTGCTCTTTTCCAGTTCCACGATCACGAGCGGACACATGAACAATACCATTCGCATCAATGTCAAATGTCACTTCAATTTGTGGTACTCTAATACAATTAAAACAAAGTTCGAAGAAAAAGATATGCTATTAGTCTACTTACCCTCGAGGTGCGGGTGGTATGCCAACCTGAAAAGAAATGTTAGCTTTTGAAGAATTCAACAGATGACTTACTAAATTGAATCGTCCTAGCAACTTATTATCAGCAGCCATTTCACGTTCTCCTTGATGGACTTTGATTTCCACTTGTGTTTGACCGTCTGCAGCAGTGGAAAAAACCTAAAAAAGACATCATAGTTTATCTGTTGTTGGAGAAGGGGAAACTCCTACTTGACTTTTCTTTGTCGGTATAGTTGTATTCCGATTGATCAATTTTGTAAAGACTCCACCTAAGGTTTCAATGCCCAATGAAAGTGGTGTAACATCGAGAAGAAGGAGATCAGTAACGTCACCACCCAAAACGCCGCCCTGAACAATGGAAAAGCATCGAAATCAGAAAAGGACGTAAATGAATTAATAAAACGAAATTTACTTGAATAGCAGCACCCATAGCAACAGCTTCATCAGGATTGACTGACTTATTTGGTGCTTTACCAAACAATTCTTGCACTGTTTGTTGAACCTAAGAAATCGAGAATTTTCTCACTGAANAAGAAGGAGATCAGTAACGTCACCACCCAAAACGCCGCCCTGAACAATGGAAAAGCATCGAAATCAGAAAAGGACGTAAATGAATTAATAAAACGAAATTTACTTGAATAGCAGCACCCATAGCAACAGCTTCATCAGGATTGACTGACTTATTTGGTGCTTTACCAAACAATTCTTGCACTGTTTGTTGAACCTAAGAAATCGAGAATTTTCTCACTGAATTATTCAGCAAGTTTTCTCACTTTAGGCATTCGACTCATACCACCGACAAGAATAACATCGTTGATATCGCCTGTTTTAACATCGGCATCTTTTATTGCTTTCTTACACGGTTCTAAATATATAAAACACGCGTGAGAAAAAAAAACATTCGAGGAAATCATGTGCGTTCTTACCGATGGTTCGTTTGATTAAATGTGCGACAAGATTCTCAAATTGGGCGCGACTTAATTTATAATTCATATGCTTTGGACCTGATTTATCCATGGTTAAATAAGGTAAGTTGATATCCGTCTAAAAAAAGCCCGAAGGATTCCATTGACTAAGACAAATGAACTGAAATTCTTACCTGTGAAGCTGAAGATAATTCACATTTCGCTTTTTCTGCTGCTTCTCTCAAACGTTGCATCGCTTGTGGATCTTTTGTTATATCAATCCCGCTCTTGAAAAGAAAACAATCAAATCTTCTCGATCTTTATGCACAACATATCATCTTACTTCTTTTTTAAATTCAGCAACAAGATGCTTTAATAGAGCATTGTCGAAATCCTCTCCACCCAGAAATGTATCTCCATTTGTCGAACGGACTTCGAATACATTCGATTGCATTTCCAAGATTGAGATATCGAATGTACCGCCACCGAGATCATAGACAGCAATGATCTTGTCGTTGGATTTCTCTAATCCATACGCTAGTGCAGCTGCTGTTGGCTCATTGACTACACGAAGAACATTTAAACCAGCGATCTGACCAGCATCTTTCGTTGCCTAAAGTACACAGAAAAGTGATGGCTGTTCACTTGAGAATTCGTGCATACTTGTCGTTGTGAATCGTTAAAGTAGGCTGGAACCGTAACAACTGCATTTTTCACTGATGATCCATAATAATTCTCGGCTGTTTCTTTCATTTTCATCAGGACAAAAGCACCGATTTGACTGGGCGAGTAGCTTTTACCGTTAGCTTCAACCCAAGCATCGCCATTGTTGGCACGAACGATTTTAAATGATACACTTTGCCTAGAATGAACTCATTCTTCTTACATGGTTAAAACGAATATTTTGGTCTTTACATTTCTTTTTTAACTTCATCATCGTTGAATTTTCTTCCGATCAAACGTTTTGTTGCATAAAAGGTATTCTGAGGATTGGTTACGGCTTGACNGCGAGTAGCTTTTACCGTTAGCTTCAACCCAAGCATCGCCATTGTTGGCACGAACGATTTTAAATGATACACTTTGCCTAGAATGAACTCATTCTTCTTACATGGTTAAAACGAATATTTTGGTCTTTACATTTCTTTTTTAACTTCATCATCGTTGAATTTTCTTCCGATCAAACGTTTTGTTGCATAAAATGTATTCTGAGGATTGGTTACGGCTTGACGTTTAGCAGGCATACCAACGAGACGTTCATTATCTTTAGTAAATGCGATAACCGACGGTGTTGTTCGCATACCTAAACATATCTTATCAAGAATACAAGGAATTCTAGTTAAAACAAACCCTCAGCATTTTCCAGCACTTTTGGCGTTTTGCCTTCCATGATAGCTACACATGAATTGGTTGTGCCAAGATCGATACCAACAATATGACCTTTAATTTTGCCTCCACTACTAGCTTTTGAAACATCCTTGGAGTCACTATATAGAGAAACAAAGCTGTTAAGGGAAACAGTACAGAGAGTAAAGTTACCTTTTCTGACGAACATTCTGTGCTTGAAGAGTAGCCTGAACGAAAACATGAAAATGAAAATCGATAATTCGCAAGTCACACAAGGTAGTTTTACTCGAATTATTGATGATTGCTCATGACTAAGTCGTGGTGTTAGATGTTTTAGACAGGCATTGATGACGCGTTGTTGAGCGAACATATTAACAAATGATCTAAAGTCAAATAGATCTCACTTATTTATTATCGAATCGAAACGTCATGGAAGATACTCGAATCATCGGGAGTATTCCTGAGTTATTGATTGATGATATGGATCAATACTGATTGGTACATCTCCTATCGGTCTATTTTCTTTGGCTTTTAAAAATGATTTATGATTCGAAAGTTAATTCATTGCAATCATGTTCTTAATAGATGGTCACGATTTATTTTAATCCCACGATCGAAATATTAATAAGACAAAACAAAAAGAAGAATTATGTAGATGTCGCAAGCAGTCATGTATATGTATCAGGCAGAAATATATGATGATTTTATTTTTTGAGAAATTATTCCGACTTAGGCATATCTAGAAAGCGCAACGTCAACACCATGGAGTTTTCAATGTCATGGTTCACTTTGAACTGTACGAGTTAATCCGTATTTAGGAGGATTCATGACTATAACCAGGGATAAACTGTGTTGGTGCAGCCTTGTTACTATTATTGCATGATTTTATTTTACAACAGTTCCAGCACATGAACCGACATTGACACAAACACCGCTCTTTTCAATAGCTGAGCAAGATGTGCCTACTGGCAAGTAGCATAGAAGACGGCAGCGATGTATATTAAAACCATAGTTTTAATCAAGTGGTCGAAAATTTTGAGTTTTGTTCGTAACCAGAAAGTCTTTAGACATAGTTTCTTGTTATTTCAGCCACGGATCTAATATCAAATTAAAAAAAAAGATATTTCAAGAGAATTGAAACAGTGTTGAATTGCTAGTTTCTAAATCGTAATCAAATAACATATATATTTAATAGAATTGACTGCCTAAATTAGGTATGAATCGAATGTTTTCAATGGATGCACTAAAAAAAAGAGAAGAAGAAGAAGAAGAAGAGATTAATGGCTCGTATTCTTGGTACAATCAGTGGTGGGCGATTTCATTAATGTTCGTATTAACTCGTCGACGACGATAATTGATATAGTTATAAATAAATATCTTCGATATGTTGCTATGTATACGATGTCATATATAGAAAGTACAAAAGCCATGGTGTAAATGCTTATACATCCATATCGAAATATATTGCCAATTGACGCAATCAGATATGTATCAAGATGAGTAATAGTCGATCGGGTGAAAACGTTAATGTTTTCTAAGTACGAAAGGACACGTCATGGATTTCTTGGTTGAGTGATATAGCACGAACGAAAGGGAGAAAGAATCTTCGGCCATTTGCTCTTCCATTCTCAGCAAATAGTAATTCTATGATCTAGAGAGAAGTTGTCTCATATTCATCCAAAGTACAAGCCTTTATTCTATCAAATTGAAGTTTTGGGTAAATTTCTATCGCTATGAAACGCCACATTACAATGCACTATCATTTGTTCGCTTTTCCCAAAAGACAAAAGTTTTCTAACGCTAACCAAATTCTTTTGTGCCATTCTTCTATTGATTAAAAATAATCACTGTCTGGTATGTCTCTCTCCTTCTCGTGGTGTACATACATGTATGTACTACAGACAATGAACAATCTTTCGCTATACGATCACAGAGAATTAAATATTCAACCAATGTATTCTACAACTACTTCATTTGAGTTACGGCCAGATCGAAAATAGCTAGCGCATACATTGGAGCAATGACGTTGATAGATGCTCAGTATTTATTTAAATCCGATGATAGGAATACTAGACAAAAGAAAAGCACTTCTACATATGTCTTGAGTAGTGATTAAAACTGCACGAGAAGTATTGCATGATTTAAATTTGTGTCTTTGAAAAAGTTAATATTATTTAAGAGAAGCTGGCACGTGCAACACCAACACCACGGAATTCCCAATGCCATGGTTCACTTTGAACTGTACGAGTGAATCCGTAATTATGAGCATTATTGTATAACCATTGATAAACAGCACTACCGCCACAGTTTGGTTTAGCACCGGTTTGTTTACCACAATCTGTATTTAAGTCGAGAGCAATGCCTTTACCATGGTTCGACGTGCCTGGTCTTGCAGCCAAATTGCCATTGTTACATGATTTGGTTTGATAACAGTTCCAGAAGTAATTCTGACGAGCAATGGTACGGAAACCAGAACTAATTTTGATAGACACACCAGCAGCTTTGGCAGCGGTAGCCATTTGATCGAAAGCACAAGCTGTCGTTGTTGTCATCGTGTTGTCAGAGTCAGTTGGTGACAATGAAGCTGAGCTTGGAGTAGTTAAATGTTCTGATCTGATCTTAACAACTGAATACATGACATTATCGTTACCAGCAATCGACGAAACTTCGCTGCCAGCATAGCTACCACAAAGACCAGCTGGTGAACCTGTTGATCCACCGCTAGCAACACAACATTTGATGTTAGCTGCACCTGGACATAAGCCACTGACGGTTGTTCCAGTACATGAACCGACATCAACGCAAACACCACTCTTTCCACTAGCTGAGCAAGATGTGCCAGTTGGTAGACAACATTGAATATTTGCAGCACCAGAGCATTTTCCGGCAACTGTTCGGCCTGTGCATGCAGATTTTTCCATGCAAGTTCCTTTCAAGTTGTCGACGACACAGGCATATGCCAATGGCGCAGCCAAACTGACGATGAAGACGATGGCGGTGTATGCCGAGACCATAGTTTTAATCGAACGATCGAAAATTTTATGTTTGTCACACAATATTGCCGGTGTATATATATATAGTTTGTTGGACGGTATTGTTTTCAAGCAAATATCTGATATCAAATTTAAAAAAATATGAATTATAAGAGGATAAAATGATTAGAATGCATCGAATCATCAATTTTCTAAATCGCTATCAAATAGGATGTATTTGACACGACCGACTTTTGAAATCACAGCGAGATTAAAATAATTGCGGATCGAATGTTTTCGATAGATTTACTGAGAAAAAAAAGAGCATACAAATGGTCCAAATTTTCAGAACAATCAGTGATCGACGATTTAATCAACGTCTCCAGTGACAAGTTTATATAGTTATATCGATATTAATTAGATATGTTGCTTTGAATAGAATATGATTTGTCGGAAGTACAGAAGCAGTGACGTAAATGCTGCGATATTCGTATGAAAATATGTAAGTACTTGATGCAACCTTATTGGTAATTTCGATGAGTGATGATTAATCAAGCGAATAACCATGCTCGAGTGTATTTTGAATAGAACGTGATTTAGCAAAAACACAGATAAAATCACGTAAATAATCAAATACTATATACCAACTCCGATCCTATTTTTGAATACAATGAGCCATAATTCATCAAGTAGAAAATCGACCTCGAACTTCGTCGATCGAAGCACAACTCGCGTTATACAGTCAACTATTCTTTCTCATCAACGAAATCAGCGATTTTCTTCCACAGGGAAAACCATCTTCGCTTCGTCTCTCCTCACAGTACTGTTTATTCTTTTAATATATATCTTATTTCGCGGTAAAGCAACAAATACCAAACTGAATCGATTGGTAAACAATGCTTCTCCGACGTCCAATGAAATCCGACAAGTATTTGAAGAAATGCATCAAACATTGAAATCCATTGAATTTCTTCTGTTATTACAATCGACAAAATTCGACAATGAGAATGATCAGACATTGAACACAAAGCAAACTGATTCGAATGCATTTTCAACGCAAATAAAGGAAGATTTATAGCAGGTGAACTTCTTTATTATTTCATCTAAAGTTAAACATTTGATTTGTATAACGAAAAAAAAAAGAATCATTTTGCATTAGTAGTTATATATGAAACATTAATTTGTCAATTGAACGAGTAAGAGTAGAAATTTTATTTACGATTGAATAAATTCTTGAATCGAGAAGCTTTTGGCGTCTAAAAAAGACAAATGAATGTAAAATTCTATTCGAAGAAATCAGCATCACCTCTGTTCCTTTTTGATTTTCATGAGCAATTCTTTGCCGTGCTAGATTTTCATCATTCGCTATCCCGCCTTTGCGTATAAAACTAGCCGAAAAGTTTTCGGGATCGTGTTCCAATGTTTCAAGTGCATACGCTGTACGTAAATGCATTGGTTGACTAAGATTTCGACGTTGTAATTCTGTCATACGTCGGTTATAATCGATTGAACCTAAATCGAGATGAATCGGTTCCTCTTCATTTTCCATTTCTTAATAAAGAAACGCAAACTAAGTAACACAAATAGATAAATAATGAAGATTTATACCATATTTCGCTAAATGATCCGTCGAACGACCATTTCTAGAAAAATAAATCAACATTTCCACCAACTTTCGCAATGAATTATTCTTACAAAGCATAGTGATTGTACGATTGACTCTTATGCAGGAGTAATGCTAAATCATCGTGATCCAATGAACGAGTATCATCCATTTTATCAGCTAAACAGAGACATGGTTTAAAGCAAACGAAAAATTAGGTTCTTACTTGTACGACGCATGACGCGCATGTCGAGACTTGGTGATCGAACTAATCGCGAGACTGATTTATTATTATTTTCGATAGGTTGTAAAACGGCCGGTGGTTGATGATGAACAGTTGTACTCGTCATCATTGTCGCTTGTTGTTGTTGTTGTTGTTGCTGCTGTTGTTTTTTCACTTGTCGAAGATTTCGATCAGCGAACTCTAATTGAGCAAGTAACGGTAAACGTTCACTTTCTAATTGACCACAACGGGTTTTTAGAAGTGCCACTTGTTTTTGTAATTCTTCATAATCCGATAATGTCTTCGTATGAGTCGCTTTTAGTTCACTCAATTCTTGTTCGGTCTAAGGAAATTCTTAAGGACTTACATCGATGATTTATGTTGCTTACTTTTTTATGCGTAACTTTGGATTTTTCGTAATGTTCACGTAGATCTTCACCGTATTTTTCCAGTTCTTTGATATCTTGATTGTACAATCGTGCGGCTTTTTTCAACTGAAATGAGATAAAAACGTGAGAGTGAATTTTCATTTGGCTTCTGCACTTACATTTTCAACTTCTTCAATCTTATCTTTCAACGCTTGTTCAGCTTTTGTTACTCGCATTTGAGCGTCTGTATATTCCGTTTGTGAACGCACTTTTTCATGAACAATATTTTCATGCATTTCTCGTACTTGTTTGACTTGTAATTTCAATTCTGTCTCGCGTTCTTCTTGCTCGTTCAATTTCATTTCATACATTGAACATGTATTCGTTAATTTGTCGTATTGCATTTGTAAATCATTTAGACGTGTTTGACCATTATCTCGGTCAAGTTTAATATGATCGATTTCGACTTTCAAAGAATCGATGTTTGTTAGTAGATTGACGATTTCACTGGATTTCAGCGCCACTTGCTCGTTAAGTAAACCGAGTTGATGTCGAAGATCAAAAGACTTAACAATCTCAGAATTGAGTTCACTACTTTGTCCATGCAGTTTACTTTTCAACGAAATGATTTCACTTCGAAGCAGATTACATTCATCACTCTAAAGTATCCGAAAATATTTTCTTGCTACACTTTTCTAGTACAAATAATCCTTACGATCTTCGCATTTTCTCGTTTGTATTCTTCCACGAGTTTCGATGATGAATTTAATTTATTTTCATAACTTCCTAACTGGGCGTGAAGTTCATTACGAACTAAAACAGATTTCGTGAGTAACAACTGAAAATGTTAAACAAAATGACGTACGTGAGATTTGCTCTTCAGCATATTCATGCTTTTGTTTGTACAGTTCTTGACATTCGTTTCGGAGTTGTTCAAGTTTCTCTTCTAATTGTTTGATTGTTTGTTTGAACGATTCGATTTCCGTATCGGCTTCACGTCGATCATAAAACGACATTTTTAGCGTATGTAACTCTTCTTCCAACGCTCGTTTCTCAGCAACGATTAATGGAGTTTCGATGGTAGTCATGGGCTCTAAATTTCCCATCGTGTCTTTTTGGCAAGAGAAAACAAAGATTCGTTCTTACCGTCGAGTTTGCGTTGGAGTTCTTCTTTATCGTTTTGTAAATGACGAATTTGTCGAAGTAGTTCGCTTTCGCGTTGCTCTTTAATGATTTTCATCTGTTGATTTTCTACTTCCAACATTTTCACGCGTTCGTTTGACGAGGAGAGAAGAAGAAGATCTGCATTTTGATTCACAATCTTCTTGCTGTATTCATCACATTGTTGTTTGGACTCACAAAGCTAAAGTATTCGATGAGAAGTTCATTTTGAGAGATCGAAGAGGATGACGCAGTACTTTTCTTTCCAAAGTAGCGACTTTTTCATGCATTTCATCGTTTTTCTTTTGATATTGCTGAAGACGTTGCTGTAAATCTGCTACGTTTTCTTTCACTCCATGGAGACTAACGAACAAAAAACACGGTGAAATGAAAAATCGAAGAAAGGAATCTACCGTTTATTATCGATTTCATAGCGATGAAGATCTTCGCGAAGTTTGTTTCGTTCATCCTTGATAGTATCATAATCTGCTTGTCGAAGAACTTTTTCGGACAGTTCACGATTCTTTTCCTCTAAAACACATCGAATAATAGAACGAATGTTTTCAAGAACGAGGATGATTTACTGAGATCATTATAACTTTTTTCCAAACCACCGTATTTATGTTGAAGATCATCGAGTTCGTATTGCACTTTGAAAAGATCCTCTTGAAGTGCGCGTGCTTGTTGCGCAGCTGCAGTGGCTGCCGCATATGATTGCTGAAAAGATAGAATATGTTGACGAATAGTGCTAGAAATCTAACGTACACCAGGGGAACGAGTGAAGCTTCGATCAAGAATTGACGAACGATTCGGATTGTTCAATGAGTCATTTAAATCTATTTCGAAGGAAAGAAAACAGATTTCACGCGATGATATGAACGTAAAATGACTTACTGCAAATCTGCGTATTCCGACGTTTTCTAATAACCGGTGTCGTTTGCTTAGGTTGTCCACCGGTCGAATCTAAAGGGTATGCATTCACTAAAAATAATCGAAAAAAGAATCTCTTTACGAACCATCTTTTAAGCAAGCGTCAATATTTAATTGATATGGATTATTTTGTGTAGCTTCAATCATATGCAAATCGAAAAGTGCTGCTAGTTGTTCATGTTGAGCTTCATCAGTTTCCAATGATTTCGAATAGAAGTACGTATCAGCATGTGCAGCAAATACAACCAATAACGCGGTCTGAAAGAACGACTCTCTTTTTTTAGGAACTGAATTCGATCGATATCGATTTACTTTGGAAAGAAGAGTATCATTGCCTCGTGTTAAGTCATTGATATTCCATTCCGTGATAGACGATGTTGATTGTTCTGTAGTAGATCAAGATCAGTGAACAAATCGATGCAGGAATTCTACGTACTCGAGAGATAGTCAAGGATGAATTTGAATTTATCATGAACAGTTTCATCAGCTGATGGAATCTCAACACGTGATTCTGCAAATTTTTGTGCTTCGCTAAAGCAAGAGACGATGTTCACGAGTTATTCAAAACAACAAAGAAATGTGTCATACATTTGACTGATCACATTCAAGAAGTGTTCCGCATTACGAAGATCTTGAATGGATTTAATTGGTTCAAGCGGTGCGCTGATCAAGGAATTGACCTAAATTTTCAGATTAGAATATCAAAAAGGATTAGATAGAATTCTAACATACACCAAATAGAATAAGCTTCTCGTTCACCATCTTTGCTAACTAATGAACAAGAGAATAGACACGAAGAAGAAAGAACCAAATGATTCATTTCAGATTTCCCGGACAAAGGATGATCCTATCGAATCGTATGATTTCATCACAGTAATATTATTATCTGTACTTCGAGTAGTTTTCTATTGAGTATCAAGTATTCATTTGTATAAAACTGTCTGATATCAATAGTATATTATAGATGGCGCCGTGCTTGATTTTCTTCGATGATCGAACATTAAGACGGATCATATCTTTCCCATTCATCAATTGAACACAAAATGAGTCTACGACGTCAACCATCTCGTGCTACTTCAAAACCAACAATTCCATCCACACCTGCTCTTTTCACAAATCCAACTATCGACTTATTTCTTCAACAATTCTCACAATTTCTTCGTCGTCACGTAGTCGAAAATAAAAGTGAAACCGTCCTCGTCGCGGGTCCACCATCCTGTGGTAAAACCAAACTACTCGATCATATTTTCACTCAACTTCGTGCCGAAGATCTATCTCTTCTCGAGCGCTTGCTCATCTTTCGTCTCAATGGTTTGATTCATTCCGTCGAATCGTCAGCTGTGCAAGAAATCTCATCGCAATACGATATTCAAATGAAAACCAATCAAGAACATCAGTATGAAAATCTGCAAATCCTATTCGAAACTATCGCCAATGAAAACAAAGACAAGAAACTGTACTTCATCGTTGTTCTCGATCATTTCGAGCAGTTTACCTATCAGAAATTGAATTCAATCCTTTACACCTTATTCGACGCTGTCTATTCTGATAAGAAAAGCTATTCAATCTTGACCATCGCCGTTTCCAATCGTGCCGATTGTCTTGAACTGCCCGAAAAACGTTTGAAGTCACGTTTCTCACAAATCTATTACATTCTCTCACCACCACCTACTGCTGACTACATGAAATACATTCTTCAAACGTACAAAATCAAAAAAGATATACAGATCGAGAAAGATCTATTCAATTCGTTAACAAATATTGAACAAAAGATTATTCATTATCTTCGAGATGCCAGCGCAAATCTGGACGATGATACTCGACCCGATCAATACCTAGACGGATGTTTAACTCACTTAGAACTGTTATTACTCTTAATGACGAATAATGTTATTAAACGTATGGATGAAAGATTACAAAATCAAATCAGTGGAGCAAACGACAGCGGCGATGAGGACGATCAAGACGAAGAGGAAAACAGCGGTGGAATTCTTACGGATACAAAGTTTACTTTTGATCAAGTGTATCATGAATACTCAAAATATGTGATGAAAAATCACAAGTATTTCTATGATAAAGGGGTTGTACGCAAGGTGAGATAAGAAAGTTTATCGTATGGATTAAATGCTTCCTTTTCGTTTAGACATTCATCCGTTTGATTGAAAGAGGCTTTATTCGACGATATTTCGGTCGATATGTCCTGGTAGATGAACCATTGAGTGGCGAACATACAATGATCATGACAATCAACAGCAATGAATTAAAACAATTTATTGAATCGAAGCCTTTACCTGCAGAAATTAAACGCTATGCTAAATCCAATACAGTTATCTAATCGAAAACTTTATCTGTGTATATTGAGAGAAAGAATTTGAATAAAATCAGTTTCCTCTATCATTCTTGTCCATTTCGCTGACATCGAAAAGAATATCCGAAATTGTAATATTACAGTATCGACAATATTGACTCAAATTCCTTTTTCTACAGAACAAAATCATGCTTTTCTTCCTGTTGCAACCTGTGTTAATCCTATAAAAGCATAATTTCGTTTGCATTCGGTTCTCGAAATGGGTTCCAACCAGTCAACAGAATTTACTATTCCTTCAGCATCACAGGCTGATTCCTGTCGTCTTGTTCTCATTTGGTTAGATTCGACGCTTGATGAACATAACGAAGCACAGCAAACTAACATCACTCATCTACGGCGTATTATAAATACCATTCATCTCTTCACAAACGTGGATCAATGTCATCATTTTCTAGCAGGATTGCACAATGAAAAAGTGTTTCTTATTGTTTCGGCTACACTCGGCCGAACGAGCATTTCGATCTTTCATGGAATGTCGCAACTCGATTCGATTTACATTTGTTGTAACATCAAATGTATCCATCAACAATGGATTAAGCGATTCCCAAAAATCAAAGCAGTTGAGACAACGATTCCAGACCTATGTAGGCCGTTAAAACAAACAGCACAAAATTACGACGAGAACTTCATTCCGATCAGTTTCGTCACAACACAAGAGCCTATAAATCAACTCGATCCGTCGTTCATGTATACACAAATTTTGAAAGAAATTCTCTTTGAAATCACTTATGACCGACGTTCAGTGAAGGATTTCGCATCTTATTGTCGTGATTTATATGCAAATAACCCTCACGAATTGAGGAATATCAGTAAATTTGAACGAGAATACTATGGCCAATCAGTTATACGGTGGTATACGTATGATTCTTGCGTTTATTCGATACTTAATCGATCATTACGCAATCTGGAAGTTGAAACAATCATTCGAATGGGCTTTTTCATTCATGATCTTCATATGAAAATTGGACATTTATATAAAAAACAATTTCTTAAGCGATGCCGAAAGATTAGGCCATTCGTAGTCTATCGCGGTCAAAAATTACCACGACCTGATTTTGATAAATTAATGAAAACTAAAGGTGGCTTACTATCATTCAATAACTTCTTATCAACATCGAAGAAACGCGATGTCGCATTATCGTTCGCACGTCATGCTGTACGGGCAGATCCAAATTCGAGTGGTATCGTCTTTCAGATGATGATTGATCCTTCGATACTTTCAGCACCCTATGCCTCGTTGAAAAACACGAGTTATTATAAGGATTCTGAACAGGAAATTCTCTTCTCGATGAACACAATCTTTCGTATTGATGATATCAAACCATTCGATACCGAAGACGACAATTTCTGGCAAGTCGATTTGATATTAACGAAGGACAACGATCAGCAATTGAGTGCGTTGACAGAACGAATCCGCCGAGAAACACAAGAAGAAACACAACACAAATTTGGATGGCCAAGACTAGGAAATTTGCTAATACGATTGGGAAATTTCAATGCTGCAGAGAATGTCTACAGTGCGTTATTAAAACTTACTGTCAACGATATCGAACATGCTTACCTATGCCATCAAATGGGTGTAATCAAAGATAATCAACAAATTTATACCGAAGCGATCAAATTCTATAAGAAATCATTTGAAATCTATCAAAAGAACTTCTCATCAACCCATCCTCTACTGGCCATGTGTTATAAAAGTATGGCTGTAACATACAACAACATGAAAGAGTATTCCGACGCGCTGAGATCACAGCACAAAGCTTTGCAAATTGAAGAATACATTCTCCCGCAGAATCATATCTCGTTAGCGATAACTCATAACAATATCGGATTGATATTATACAGCATGAAGGAGTATACAACAGCGCTACTATTTTATCAACGCGCCCTTGAAATCGCCGAGAAGATTCTTCCGAAAACTCACCCAATGTTTGCGACTTGTTATAACAACATTGGCGCAGTGTACAAGAACCTCGGAGATTATCGCAAAGCAGTCGATTTTCATACGAAAGCTGTGGAAACAAGTAAACGATCATTATGTACAAATCATCCTCATTTTCAAATGTTCCAAGATAATCTCGCGGTTGTAAGCAACCAATTAAACGATCAATGAATCGATTTCTTCAAATTGTACTATCTTTCATTTATTAATAAATCCATTGTTTAAATATATATATAATTATATATGACAAACATAAAAATAATCTAGAATCCTTTGTTTTCCCAATCTTCATCAAGCATCATTAACCACGGGGTGGCATTCACTGGTAATTTTTGTTCAATTCCTTGAAATGTTTTACAATCGGGATCATGGCACTTCTGTCGATAAGTACCTTTGCGCATATCAACAACGAAACTAGAAAATGCAAAGAGAATTCAGTGAGTTTTGTACGAAAATGAATGTACGTACTAGATATTGTTTTGCTTATGATGACGACGAATTCGTTCGCAGTATCGATAATTGCCAACATACATAAAACTAATTTCCCAGCGAAAATCATTTTGAATTTCTTTTGCTTTATACAATCGACTCATACACATTTCATCTTTGTTGGCTCTCTTGTCACGAGCTACGTTAGTCATGAAGTGAACCAGTTCTGGATAATCCAACGATATCTTTTTCATATCTTCGGTTGTGTAAGATGACTGAGCAGGACGTTGATTACGCGGTAGAATGGTCTTACTCGCCGCTAGGATTTCATCGTCGACGTGGATGAAACGTCGAATTGGTCTAAAAGAAAAAACATGTTTTTTTTATTGATTCGAAAATCAGTTAGTTCAAATGTTTACTTATTGAAATAGACAAGTGATGCCATGAATATCTGTCGCTCAGCTTCACTGGGCACGGCTGAACATGTATGCGAAGGTCGTAGGATAGGTTTCCATTGATTTTCAGGTGCAACAGAAAAGCATTCATGTTTATCAAATTTACTTGAATGAAGTAAACGAAATGCTCGATTTTTCGTGTAAACACCTACGAAAACATCGGATCAGTATTGAATTATCATCGATGTATCTTTACCCATATCGCAGAACCAGGCGATCCCACTTCCGTCTCCTTTGTTAATGATAAACTCAACAATATCTTTGAATTTAATTTGTGAATAGTCATCAATGCACTCACATTGTTCAAAGCGATATAAATAAGGTTCAAGGCTGGTAAGAAGATTTCGAGCGAAAACTGACGAATCAAAATGAGATTGAGATTGTTGAGCTTGAGATACAGGAGAATTGAGAACAGCAGAACATTGATGGTTGATTAAGCAACCATGAACATCTTCTAAAATAAGATTGACGAATTTGCCGACGGCAATGTTATCAAGAAATGGATCTTTCGTTTGAAAAATCAAATGACGACTAAATTTCTTTGCTGATCTGAAAGGAATAAACAAACGCTTTTCCTAATCATCTCTTCTCGTTTACATACGTAGAATCCAGAACAAGTACGTCTTTAATTGAATAATTCAAATCATCGCTTCGTTTTCGCATGAAATTCAGTACAAACTAGAAATAAAACCATAATATATTGTATACTCTCATGTGACATCTACCTGAACAAAATTTGTTGTTAGTTTCGGCCCATCAAGCTTTGGATTAGCAGCAGTATCGTATTCAAGATCGAAATAAAGCTTCGAAGGTTTCTCTAGAAATTTTGCTTCGTACAATCAACTCCTTGTGTATGAAAAACTTGCTTACTGTCAATGATGATTTCATAGGTGTGCCGTTGATTGGCTGGCAATTGGCTAAATTATCGTGTTGGAATCAGTAGATTCGAATGAAATCATGCCTTACTAATATTCGTGAATAAAAACATCTATGTCAGCAACTTGATATCGACGTTTACCTTCCGGTTGAGATTCGAAACTGAATAGATAAAGAATCTCATCCTATCGTAAGAGAAAAGGGTTACTGGATTTCTCTGTTAATCTTAACAGTTACTGTATCATTATTTTTCTGTTTTTCAACAATGTAGTCTAAAGCTTCGGCTTGCGTCCAAAATGTTCTTGTCACATGTGCCATTTTCATCAATGAGGGTCGATAAACAACCTCCTGTCGCTTCTTCGCGATAGTATCATTAAGAGGCTGTCGTTTTCTACATTTGAGAAAACAAAAACAAATAACTTCATTTCATTTTATTCATCTCCTTGCTTTGTCTGATTATAAAATGTGTTCGATGCCATGACGAAAATCTGCAAGCATAAAACATTCTATCATGGTGCTCAACATTCATTTAGATATATGTATATATATAGGTATGTATATATATATATATACATATGCTATCCAGCATTGAAAAGAAAACTGATCACACAAACGCACGCACACACACACACAACAATATACAAGCAAAACGTCCAAGAAAAAGCTATTACACAAAAATTCTGTTTTCAATATATGAGGGAACAAACAAATAAAAAAAAACATCTATCTATATATGGTACAGAGCACTGTTAAAGTAGTAGAAGAGATAGTTGTTGGAAAGAGAGAAAGAAAGAAAGAAAGAAAGAAAATGAGCATGAAGTAAGGAAAATAAATTATTGTTATTCTATTGATAAACTAAATAATTTTGAAGAGAGGTGGGTAATGGTAACTGGTTGATTAAATGTAAATTCGTTCGTCCTAACTGTTTACGTATGACACGACGACATGTATCCATCAGCTGAAGAGGTTCAGCTAAAGAAGAAAAAAACGAAGAGCTGTTTTCTTGACGAACATAAATGAAGAGAACTTACGTTGTAAGCCATTGATATACCGCATGGTTATTTCACAATGTCCCCATACCGATGAAACCATTGGATAAAGTGTGCCTTTATCTTTTAAATCACTGAATGCTACACCTAAATATTGTCCATCGACAATATATGATAATGTTCCTTCTTCCATATCGAGAATCACAAGAAATTTATCAGGTACAACAAAATAATCATCTGATTTTGTTGAATAAGCAATACCATTATTGTTCAATGCATCTGCTGGATCAGTCATTGTCGATGATGCTGTCGTTGATGGTAATAGACCAGAAAAGTTTGTTGGAGTAGAAGGGTTCTGTGTTGATGCATAAACGCTATTGATGCCCTTATGATAAAGTTTATTTCGACCCAAGTCCCATCCCCAGGATTCTTGAGTCATACCAACTAATGCTTGATAGCCGGGACAATGAAGTGGAGCTTTTAATGTTCCAACGCCAACGACTGCATGCGTACCACGTTGTCTCGTATTCCTAAAGATCAACTTTATCAAAGAGTTTGTATTTTATCCTGACTCACCATTCTATTTCCCATACGTGTATTCCACTGGAGAAGCCTTTTTTACAGCGAACAGCATCGGTACTTTGTGCTACAGGCTAAAACAATGAAAAAGAAAATTTAGCGAATGAGAATCAAGCGAATGCTTCGCTTTACATGTCGATGGAAAGTACATGGATCGTTATGTTTAACAAAAATGTTCATCGAACGATCTTCATGATTCCAGGCGTATTCCAATTGTTTCTCACGTGATGCAGGCGGCCGATCAAGAAGAATATCTAGTCGTGCGGGAAAATAATTACTCGGATCTAACGAAGGATGATTCGTAAGATTCGAATAGTAAAAGAGCAAATTGAAATCATTATTATTGTTATTGTTATTATTGTTATTGATATTATTCTGCTGATGTGCAGTTTTTGATGTACAGGATACAAGCGTTTGATGCGCTATTGGTAAGGGATTGTATGAAGGTAATGGCAATGACGTTGCCGTGATCTCTTGAGTTGGTGTTGTATCCGATATGAATGAACGCAGATTAACGATCTTGCCATTGCGTAAACCCATGGATGAAACTAAATGATCTTGTTTGATTGAATGTGAACAGGAATTTTTCGTACGTCGTAACGAATGGGGTTTAGTATTCGAGCAGGGAAGAGGAGTGGTTTGTTTAGTTTTAGAATTTAGACGACGACTTCGTCGTAAAGTAATGGTATCAAGCGATGGATCGTTTAAGTCAACGCGCTAGGAAGAAACTGTCAGTTAGTTATTCGATAGTGATGCCAGAAATGCTTTACCTTAGTTAGTTTCTTTCGTTTAGTTTGAACGGGCTTTGTAGTTAGTAGACGTTGTTTGGATTTCTTTTTTGTTTTACTGTTCGCTTTTGTTGTTTGACACTTTTTCGTATTTAGTTCATAGTGAGTTGCAGTTGTTTGATTTGGACGAGGTAACACCATTGGAAAACGACTTGACAAGCTGAGAAAGTTGAATCTGATGATTGAAGAATAGGATGGAGTTCGTACGACAAGCCCAACACATCGAGAGAAAACAAGAATTGAAGGTGAACGACTGGAAGAAAGAAACAAGAATCTTCAACAAGAAAAATCTATTTATGAGATGATCAGACAGTTGAAAATAAATAAACAATATATTATATCTGAGGAAGAAGAACATAGGCACAACACACAATCGATCGACAGACGATAGATTACAAAATATTATTTCCTAAAATAGATGACGAGAAAATCGGTGAAAAATTATTTTTTGACACGAAAATTCATTTCAAACCGAAAGAAAATATAGATGTTTACGAGTTGTGCTGATTAAAATCTCTACATAGATGGCGCCACTAGTTGGTGCCGAAACGAACAACAATTATTACAAGACATCATTACACGCGATAGATTATACTATACACTGAAATGTTTAATTTCTTGCAGATTAGATCAAGATTGCAACTCAAACAGGCATTTTCCAAGTATCCGTGAAACAAATGATCTTCTTCATGATTTACATTGAAAAACATTACTGATGCTGAACAAGAGTGTTTCGATCATTTTGCGTGTGTATTACATAACACCTTTGAATAGCTTGTACGAAAACGAAATGTTGCAAATGTGAAACATTTCGAACCTTCATTTTCTAGTTTATCTCTCAGATCATAATGTCGTCCTGTCACGTTTACATTTTGAAAGTACTGATAACTAATGAATGTCATTTTCTTTCTTCCTCCTTTCAAGCTGATACCATCTCTCTTTTTCTAACGGTAACTCGACATAAAAGTTCACTTTTGTATTTCGTACAATGCATGCAATAGAACGAACGAACGGAGAAAAAAAAAATTTACGTTTTTCTCTTCTCTTCGTTCTTTAACTTCGACGTGAGTAATCATGAAAGAGTATATGCAAATAAATATACATTCGAACGGGAGACCGACGAAAATGATGGCGATTGATGAATCAACACAAGAAATCTTCAATAGATGTTTACGTTTGAAAACGCGTGATTATCGAAATCATGTCAAAGCCAGTATTATTGATGTCGAGCAATTGATAACGACATTAGAGACAAGGAAAACTGTTGTCTACCATTCATTAGAATCATTAGTTGACATCATTCAAATAATCATCGCATCGATTGATCAAACAACATTGTGGAAATGCAAAGGCAAAGCTCACGAAAATCACCAACAACAATTGGCGCAACTCAGCTGTCGATTATTTAAATGCTTGTGCCAATTAGATGCGGAATTGGCTGGCAGTGATCAAGGCACTGCAATCATGCATTCAATTCTTCAATGGCTTAAAGATGATACTGATTTCTGTCTAACGAAATCCGTTAGGTGAGTATTTCGATGAAAAGCAAAGAAAGATGTGCTGTTCTCGGTTATATTTCAGTCAAGATCTTCATTTAGCAATCTACTCGTCTATTGAACAATATTGTCTTATTTGTAAGAAACCCAAAGAATTTGTAAATGAATTATTTTTGACGTCACCAATACATCGAACACATTCGTCATCACTTGTATCTTGTTTCATGTTTAATCACCGTCGAAAATCATCCATGCATGAATCGTTGTCAATCGTTGATTATAGTACTCGACTTGTTATCTACCTTCTTGAATCTTCCTTAGTTACTTCATCTGCGTTAATCAATCAAATTTTAACCGTTTTTCTCTTTTGCGCACCAACGCCACGCTTTTCAATTTATATTTGTAATCATACTGATTTTTATCAGTCAATTATCGTACCATTGCTATCGAAATCAAATACGGATTATTTCGTACAGTGCGTTCTCGATGAAACGGCTCGCTCACAAACAGATTCAAATGATCGTGTTTTTATATTCACACATATGCTTAATTTGTTGGGCGAATTCGTTTTACACCCAGGAATCGAAATTCATAGTTGTGCATTTGTATCCACTTTTAAACACTTATTCGATGCATTGATCGAATGCGGCACAACAGTTCCATTGTGGCATCTTGTTCGTTGTCTAAGCAATCTGTTAACAGGTGCTGATGTGGAAACGAATCTTTTCGCACAAGAGATTCATCGCGTTGGCCTAATTCAATCTATTGTCAATTACGTATCTAGCTTAACTCGAAAATCTAGCCTAGGTGAAGGTGAAATGATTTTCAAACAATTGCATCATCACGTCCTCACATCATGCTTATCAATTCTTTACAATATCTCGATGTTAGATCAGTATGTATTTGATTTAGATATAATAATAAATCAAATATGTCGACCACTTTTCAAAGCCGATGCGCAACAAGTACGTCTTATCTCGTGTTTACTTTATTCGAATTTACTCACAGAGAAAGAACTCGAATCTGATAATGCATGTCATCATCTCTGTGAACAGTTATTCTCGGCGATCCGTCAAGCATTTCTCAGCGAAAATTTTCATCTATCGAATCAAATATCTCTGTATAGTTTAGTGAATTGTTTGAAGAAATTATGTACGCATCGAAACTTTCAAATGCGCATTGGACAAGTCGATGAACACATTGAATCACTATTTGAAATTCTACGTCGATTTCATGCGAAAATTGATCAGCAAGAAGAAGTGCAGCTGATTCTTGAATCAGTCTGGTTTCTGTCATTCGATTTATCATGTGCAACGAAAATTCATAGTCACGATAAATATTTCGCTCTCTTAGTTCAACTTGCTGAAACCAATCCTAATGAAACGATACAACAAGCCGCAAAAGGTATTCTTTGGCAATTAAAGCAAACCATGTCAACAAATTCTAATCAACCGATTGTTTCCAAATCATCTCAGCACGTTATGTTAAGTTACAATCACGAGTGCAAAGAATTGGTGCAACGAATTTGTCAGTCTCTTCGTAATTCAGGTTATCGTACGTGGATAGACGTCGATGATATGCACGGAAGTACTCTAGAATGCATGGCACATGCAGTTGAGCAATCCTCTGTGATGATAATATGTATGACAGAAAAGTATAAACAATCACCGAATTGTCAGAGTGAAGCTGAATATGCTCATCGGTTGAAAAAGCCGTTTGTGCCGATTTTATTACAAGCGAAATATAAACCAAATGGATGGTTAGGGATGCTGCTCGGAACAAGATTATATGTAGATTTTACGAAAAGTGACTTCGATTCGAATTATCAGAAACTAGTCAAAGAAATCGAAGCCACACGAAAATAGAAGAATTGTTTATTGTATAAAGTGTATTGTTTGAAATAAAGTTCGAGAAATGACAAAAAAAAAACCATACCTAGATGCTGCGATGCGCTCTGAAAGAGAATAAGTTTTGCTAATGACATGTCACTTTTGCATAGTAAGAAACAGAGCGGAGAGTTCACAGTGCGAAAAAGAGATGAAGATGTTGTTTCTCAAGAATGTACTGAATGCATCGTCTCATTATGTATTTATAGTTTTTGTTGATCACATTTGGACTAGTTACATGTTTTCTTAATACGACTTTGCTGTTAATCATGGATTAAGGAATATAACCGGCATAGGTTTTTTTAATGCAAGATGCTTGGCAAAACGGATGAGTTATTTGATTTAGCTTCAAATTAAATTTTTCGATTTTCTATGAAAACACAATTATTCATTAGAAAAATATCAATATGAACAATTCATGTTGGAATCATCTTAAAATAAACAGACGATTGACAAGATTATATAATAGATTTCAGCTGCAATTTAAGCCGTTTTTTTCTCCGTCTCTGCATTCATTGTCATAAACACACAAAGCAACGTCATACATATATAATACTTTTCACTAACTTTATTTATGGAGTTAATCTCATGATTCCTACACAAATACATATTTCTTGGTCCTCCTCGGTTCATTCACAAGATTCATCACGCACGTACGCTTCATTCATCGTTCGAACTGAATGACGTCTTCACTTTTCTTTTCGCATCGATTTCTGTTGTATTTATCTGGATTGAATGGTTCAGCCATTCACCAATGGATATGGCTGTTAGAATTGGAATGATCCTATACGGTTTAATCTATGTCCTTATTCGCGATGGGCTCATTCATCAACGATATTCTTCATGGGCTAAAACCAAGAATCCATATTTAAAACAAGTTCAACAAGCCCATCATCGTCATCATGCTTTCCCTTATAAAACACCGAGTGAAGAACTTGGGTTGTTCTTGATGATTAGTCCAAAATATTGACGTGAAATGTTCGCTACATGAGAACGAATCATCTATTGACTTACAAAAACAAGGAATACATTGATACTCATGTTAGAATACGAATATTGTTCTGAGATTACTATCAACTATGTTCTATTTTTTTGAACAAACGGAAAACATCAATACGAATAACATAATAACGGATTGCTAAACGCAAACTAGTATTTTATTCCCATTCAGTTGTTGCTACAGAGAGAAACAAAACGGAGGAAATTAGACGAAGAAAAATACGAACTAAATTTTCTTACCTGGTGGTTTAGATGTTAAATCGTAGAGAATTCGACTTATACCGGGAACATTCGTTTTGATTGTTTCACATATTTCATCGAGCATTTCTAACGGAAACGTTTCACCGGGCGTAGCTGGCTTTCCAGTCATAAAATCTTTCGTCACGAAAGTACGTAAAACAACGGAATGTTGAAAGCTACTAGCAATCGATCGAAGACGAGTGAGTGGAATGATTCGTTCGTTAATCTGTTCAGTGGAATTACTATTCATTTCTTCATGATGATTTAAATAAATTTGCCGGTCGAATTGAATTGGAATCAGCACAACCGGCATTTGACTTATTGCACTGTACGCTTGGTGACGTTTCATGATCATCATAGCATGGTAATCGCATGCTCGGGCTTTGTCGACAATGTCTTGGGTTAAAGACGTACGTGTCACTTGAGTAATTTCAGCATCGAGAATTTTTTTACCCTAATGTCGAAGAAAGTTGAAAAGTACAAAGAGAACAGAAGATTATTCACTTACAAGAACATACACAACTCGATTGATATGATGGCACGCTTTTGTAATCAAACGAGCAAGAATGAACAATTCGTTCCAGTTGGGTTTCTCATCGTTGGAGCTAATCGCAGCAGCAAAACTATACGTACGAGCATCACCTTGAACACCAACGCTGCGAATCTATAAACGCAAGAAGATGAATAGAAAACCGTCATCAAACAAAACTTACCGGTAACACCACCGAAGTATAATCGTGCTTGTTGGATGATGTTAATGTTTTCAATAGTGTTTTTTCGTTCTCTGTAAATATTTTGTCCAATGTTGGCAGCAGTGCATATTGTTTTTCAACCATTGTTGAGTATGTAACGATGGTTCGTAGCAATGTTGAGGTTTGGGCGAACTGTTCATTTGGCATATATGGTTCATCCGCACATAGGATTCGTATGGCTAAACCAGGTCCAGGAAAAGGATGTCGGAAAACGACATCACGATGTAAGCCTAATGTTAAACCAATTTGTCGGACTTCATCCTTGTGGAAATCTTTCAGTGGTTCGATGACTCGATTCCGTTTACGTAATTCGCGAACCATTGGTGAATCATTATGATGAGTTTTGATTGCATCAGCATGACCACTTTGACAGGCAAGATGAGAAGCACTTTCAATTAAATCAGGTCTCAATGTACCTTGTGCTAAAATGATGTCATCGAATGTATAGTTGTTATCGCGAAGAAATTCTTGAACGACTTTGACGAATGTGTCGCCAATGATTTTTCGTTTGTGTTCAGGATCGATTTCTTCGTTCAATGGTAATGTTTCTTCTAGTAAAACATCAGCATCGTATAAACTTAAAAAGTTTGATGAAATTGAAGCGTGTTGTTGAGTGTTAACACTGGAATCAGATGTTGCTTTAGCGCGAACGAATGTTTTGGCTTGGGCGAAGCGTTGAGTAGCATCAATGTAATTCACAGCGGCAAATTGTGATAATGTCTGACGAATTTCTACACTTTCATCATGTCGAAGAAATCCATTGTCAATACTGACGATTTTCACTTGTTCCGGGGGCAATGCACGTGTTAATAGAGCGGCACAGACGCTGCTATCAACTCCTCCACTGCATAGAACAAACACATTCTGATCTTTGACAAACGATCGAATACTAGTGAATGCTTCATCAATTCGACTACCCATGGTAAATGTTCCACGACAATGTGCAATGTCGAAGAGGAAGTTTTTGAATATTTGCATGCCGTTATCTGTTAGATCGACCTAAAAAAATTTCTATAGGACGGAGTTTGAACTACCAAATCGTATTACCTCAGGGTGAAATTGAACACCATAGATTGGTTTTTCTTTATCTGCACAAGCAACAATGAATGATTCACTTTTACCAATCGATACTAAGTTCTCTCCAAGTTTATCAATACTATCACCATGTGTTAGTAAAACATTCTCCAATTTCGACATATTTTTGAATAGTGGACAGTCGGTATTGTTGAGTTCTACTTGAAATTGTCCATCTTCTCGAACTGCTTGTCGAACAATCGTTCCACCGCGTTGTTTATTTAGCATTTGTAATCCGTAGCAAATACCTAAGATAGGTAAACCACATTCGAATAGCTTTTGATCATAATAGACTGGAGTTGGATCGTTGACTGAACCAGGACTACCGGAAATGATAATAGCTTTATATTGACGTGATAATAATTCAGTGACCGGTGTTTGCAAAGGCACCAATTCGGAATAAACGGACAGCTCGCGCACACGACGATCAATCACTTTTGCATACTGAGAGCCGGCGTCGAGTATCGCCACTTTATCATATTCATCGGGATGTTCTGAAGACTCAAGCATCGTGAAATGTCTGTCTAAAAACATGTGGAAAAAAAAGTATAATTATCATTGTTAAATTTGGTTTTGTATTTTCTTCCAAATCAGAAATTGATCTAGGTAAAAAGTAGAGAGAGAGAGAGAAAAGAGATTCTTCACAATCGAATGATATAGTATTGACATATTCAAAAAAGAAAACAAATGGAACATGTGTACATGACACAGATTTGCAAAGGAGAGAAAAAAAAGTTTAGGTTAGTATGGATAATGAACGATGGAATCGATGTAGAGGCTCAAACATCTATTTCATCTTTCGTTACAGTGGAATGTAAAAGAACTGAACAAAATAAGCGTTTAATCCAACGACCATTCTTTTCTCTCTTCTTCAGCAATGATCTCCCAATTGGGCGACGGCATTCCCGGAATCATATGATTAAAGTCTCGAACGTCATTCCAATAGTCTTTTGTCCAGATCAGCCCACTCGCTTTCACTTGCTCATCCTTTAACTTGTATTCCACGTTATACGGTGCAAATCTTAAGTTATGGCAATCTTCGATGATTGGTTGAGCAGTTATATGAACGTAAAAATCACATTCGGTACTCGTATGTACACGTAGTTGTTGACAAGCTAATGCGAATTCACATTGTTGACATTGATCGATAAGAACTGAACGTAAGCATGGACCAACGATAAGTATACAAGCATGGAGATTTTTTATTTGCAACGAAGAAGGACTGCCCTTAAGAAAGACTTCGCATTGTTTTAAATTCTCGATAGCAACATCTTTTCCATTCAAATCGGATGCTTCCAAACGGATTAGTTCATTGCTTTTGTCGGCAATGTTGATCGTATTGGCCGAAACGGTCAGGTTCGATGGTGAAGAAACAGCTTTCGATGATTCTTCTAATTGTTCGTGTTGAATATGTTCGTCGTGAGTTTTAGCAAAGTCTATTCGATGGGTGGATGAAAGACTATCGACTTGTAAGGAGTTTAACTGCGTACGAAGTTTGATCACATCGGCTAGAAGATTTACGAATAATTATCTGTTCTAGAAAAGTTCTCATTTACTTTGTGCATTGGCCACATCACGTGAACTTAGAATGTCTACATGTTCAGTAATGAATTTCTCCATTTTTTGCAATCGATCAGCGATTTCTTGAATCTTCTCATCGTTACTCATGGATAATTTACTGAATAAATCTTCAATTTCGCTTTTCATCGGAGGATATTCTTGTTCGAAGAATTTTCTTCCGACGTTCGTAGCTGTTACTAACTTGCGCTCGTCTTGTTTATTTTGAAGATCCAATTTACGTTCTTCATCTCGTCGTGACATTTGCGCTAATTTACGTTGTTTACGTTCATCGAGAAGATCATCGGATGAATCCATAGTTTTCCTTTTCTTTTTTCGAACTAAACAGAAAAAAAATCCGAATAACAATTCGCGATCAACATCAATGACATATCCTTGACATGGTCATTTCGAACGGCAAGGACAAATGCATAATAACGAAAAAAATACAATGGGCCACTGACTGTTATGTTTCTTAGAACAAAAAATATATATCACATAGGTATTCTGGTGCAAAAAATAAATACTACACTAGTACATTTTTTCTATTGGATGAAAATTAATCCAACTAAGTGCTGAGATGAGTCATCGCCGAGCTTTAGATTACGATTATCCTAAAATTCGATTTTTATTTAGGAGAAAGATATGATCGAGTACGTTCTTATCGACCAAATTCAAGAAGCATTCGATCAATTTAATCGAGTATGTCTATTCATTCGAAAGTTTCTCATATATCTGTTTTCAACAGGGACAAAAGTATTTATACAGTACGTTAACTACGACAATTAAAGACAATCAAACGAATGTAACGAATATATTAGAAAGATTGATGTGTTTTAATTGAAGAGAGTTCTCTAGGATGAATATTTAATTCGATTGTTCAATGAATTGCACGACCATGTCGATTTATTCGAACAAATGAACGAACAGTTTCTAGATTTTCTTCAAGTACTGAAGTCGTATTTCATCGAGCAAACGAAATTGATCATCTCTTGCCTTCGTTATAGTTTCAAATCGATTGGACGAAACAATCCAAAGCCGTACTTGATGCTTTTAGTCATTTTCAAATCACAGTGATCTCCAGCAATATTAAACATGCCGAACGGTATCTCAGTTTTCTTTTCACACTCTTCACCAAACCTGGTACGTCACTTCTGCATGTCATCCTCGTGATCAACCCTATTTTATTTCAATATAGAAAATTCCATCCACGATTTCGCCCATGATACGTTGCAAAGTTTGATGTTCATCGTTCCATTGTATGTTTTGCTTTTTATTCATAGGTAAAACAACATATTTATCTGTTTAGAGCATCTACTCTTCTATGCACAATCGCCGAGCAGTACTTTCCATTTATGACGAAAGATAAACATATTCAAGTAGTATACGTTCAAAATCTTCTCCGATCATTGAACTATTTACCAATCGAAAGATTGAAATTTTTCGAAATAGTTCTCACGAAATTACTCCGAATGGATGTAAAGTCTTTAAAGCATTGGAGAAAATTGTCTCATTTCTATTTGATTCAGGTACATGCATCCCGACAAGATATTCTTCAAACGGAAAAACGCCGTGTAGAAAATGAGATGGTGTTCACACTCGAGCAGAGTGACGATCGTATGAAACATGATCAAGCTGACAAACTCGATTGGCTGATGTTTATTTTATTTGAATATATCACGAACGTTTCGCATAAAGATGGTAAAGTAACGAGATGCATGGAACTAAACGAAATTCGAAGGAGATTTTTAGGAGAATTTCAGTACGAACAAACGGAGTTATTATTCAAAGATTTCTTAAATATTTTTAATAAGTTTCTTTCGCCGACACATGATTCATCTCATGTACAATTTCTTATATTCTACATTTGCAGCTTCCATCGAGTAAATTTTTGATAGTTACGAGAATTAAACATGCGAAGTGTGACGAATATTTTAGGATTTTAGCGATGAATTTATAAATAATTGTTGGAAAACCTTTGTTTCACCCTCAATTTCCATGACATTTCGACAAGCTGCCATTTACTATCTATGCAGTTTCATCGCCCGTGCTAATTATATTAAAATCAAGTACGTAGTACTTATTTTCTCGTTCCCTCTTTCAATTCATCATTGCTATTTCAGATCTGTATTAACTATAACACATTCTATGGTAGACTGGTTACATATGTACATGAGTACAACCGAAACGAATACTTGCAGGACAAACCCGAAGCGTCATTTACCGTTCTATGCGATTTTTCAAGCAGTGCTCTACATATTTGTCTACCGACATCGAGAAATTGCTCGATTGTCTAATGGTATCGAAAGAGTTTTTCAATGGCGGCTGAATCATATCATGTCATCGGAATTGAATCCATTGAAATTTTGTCTACCGACTATAACACTTCGATTTGCTCAACTGGCAAGGTAAGATTTGAGAAACTTGACGAACAAGTGTTAATTTTTGCACAGGAATTATCAAATTGCTTTTTGTTATTCCATCATCGAAACGAATCGTCGTTATTCACTACCCGAAGTGTTTTCATTCGATAATTACTCATCGACCGTACCATCTCAGATTCTTCATGCCTACTTTCCATTTGATCCTTACATCTTAAAACGTTCATCAATATTCATCCAACCTATTTACAACGAGTATCAGGATGAAAGTGAAGATTTCAATGTGAGATACAACTAAGACATTTTTGCGTACGAATAGTTTGTTGATTATGTTTTAGAGCTCAGATACAAACGAGAATGAGGATATTTTCTAGTCAACGATGATGAACACAACCCCGAGCAGTCTTCACTCAACTGATGGTGTGTCATCTTTGAAAAATTCTCCTCAGATGTCATCAATACTCTTGTTCAGTCATTCTTCCGGTTTTCGAAGTCTATTTTGAAATTTGTTTTTTGTTTTGTTGTTGTGTACACCAAATCAGGAATTCGTGTTCTCAGTTCTATATTTTTTGTTGGAAATAAAAACAATGAATTGAATTCGTCGAATGAGAAGTGTATATTTGTAAAAATGCGAAGAAAATCAAAACAAGAAATCACAGAATTGATTAGGAATTACTTGAACAAAACCAATCATTGTAATCATTAGCTTTGCTTAGTTAAATGCCGCGGCTGTTTCACGCAATTTTTCGGTGATCTACAAAGAACGATAGAATGAAATCGACAAGCAATTTTTTTCGAATGAATTTACGTTTTCATAGAACATAATTTGTTCGTGTAGAAGTTGTTTCAAATATGTATTAAAATCGTAGACTTTTTCTCGTTGGAAAAAGTTGATTTCGGCGAGAATGACGTGATTTAGGATTTGACTACGATGTATGGCACCAGCAAAGTCAGGTGTACCAGTCAGACCACGTTGTTGAACATTTCGAATACATTCTGATGCACTCTATATCGATATTTTTCAATGTAAATAGACTCTCATCACTCGACTCACCCGTTGGACCATTAATATCGCTGGAAAACAACTTAGAATACCAATGTAATCTATGATACGTTCATTGAAATCGCGAATACCTTCGCTTGACTAGATTATATGTTTAACCGTATTCTGTTTATTATTCAAGGATAACTCACTTTTGTCTTGTACAATTCACCAATTCCATTGAATGCAACGCCAATCTTCGACATAGAACTGGATAGTTCTTTGTTACCTGAAAGAATGAATAGTTGAGGGCTTTTCAAAAAACCTCATTCAATTATTTACCAGCTGTTGCTGTGTCGATTTGCATCGCCATGAAAAGTTTCGAAAACAGTTCGCCTAGCCGCTGCATATCTCGTTCGTAGATCTCCGTATGTCTTTCGAGATATTTCGTTAGACCTTGATGGAGATTTCGTAAATGGGTTTCGAAGGCTGGTTGTTGCTGAGCGAAAACATCAACTTGTGTTGCACTAAGTAAAGGAACTATTCTAACATGTCTGGTGAACATTCAAGAGATAGAAATACATTTGTGCATCAGTTAAATTCGAATTTGTGAATGTCACACAATGAAGCCACAATGCATCGCGCAGTTCATCCTTTTCACTTCTTCGTTTGCCCGCTTTCCAATCCTAGAATTCATTCGTTCACTTTGTCATTGATTTACGTTTGATAGTACTTTGTTGTTCTTTTCTGTTAGTTCACATGTTACAAAGTGTTGAACTGGAAACGACGCACAAAGCACAGGATGACGACAGATGCGATTTAACCATAATTCAAGTTGTCGTCGACGTTCTTCGATAAATTCATTTTCGAATCGTCCTATTATGAATAATAGAGGTACATGGAATCGAAATACATATCTCGACATACCAGCGATCTGTTTTCCGGGTAACGGTGGAACACAAATGAAACGAAATTTAGTGATCAGTTGTTCGTGTAACCAATCGAACTGCTTATACCGACGGCCAACGACTCGACTTCCAGGAATCTAAAGAGCGTCGTTCTGTCAAGCGAACTAACGCAGTAAAAATCATGTGGAATTTTACCTGTGCGTGTACTTTGTATTCCATAAACGATTTCAAACCACCTAACTTTGTGCCCTTAGCTGGATCTTCTACTTTACAACTAAACGGTGGAATGTGAGGATTATTTGACCAATAGACACCACCATCTTTCTCGTCGTACTTTAAATAAAAAAGGTAGTTAAACGATTGTCTGATTGCTTTTTTTTCCTTCTTACTGTGATGTCAACATGCTCTTCGACTTTTATTTTGCATCCGTGCAAGATGTAATTGTCAATTCCAAATTTATCAAAGAATCTAACGTCAAATGAACTAATTTAGTCTTGATGGTAGAAGATAAAAGTATGTAACCTTGGTTTTGCTGATGCTTTATTGTTATCATTGCCCGAAACGGATGGTTTGCTTGACAACTAGAAGAATATGAAAGATATTTCATTCCGAAGAGAAGATACCGAACGATGTTTTTTAATAGAAGCAAAACCACTAGAGAAAAGGCGCGTGCTTTTTGTTGCATAAGATAAAGAAAAACAAAGAGATAACCATGGTAAATATTGTTCACGAAGTGTATTAGTAACGGGTTAAAAGTTTACAGATATACCTACATTCTTTGTTTTTTCTATTCATAAATTTGTACGAAAAGAAAAAAATTTAATGAAAGTTGAAAAACGTTCTCACTTGATTATGTGCTGAAGATCCTGATTCAGTTAAATCAGAATCACTATCATCTCTGGGTGAGGGTTGCGTTGGCTAAACGAAAATTGTTTGATAAGAAACATTATTCGTAAGTACGAACCTCAGAACGGACTTCAACTAGTGATTGTCGTTTTTCTTGTTCCGATTTGGTCTTTTGTCGTCGAAGTGTAAAGAAACCACGGTTATCTTGTTTTGTTTTTCCCGATGGAGATGGTGCAACACTTACCGAGCTTTTGAGCAGTGTTGGTGAAACAGGCGATGTTAGAGGCGTCGAGTGATTGACTGGCACTGGTGGAGCACCATGAACATTGGTTTCCGTAGAAGTACGGGACGTTGGAATCGATGGCGGAGGTTCATATACAGGTTCATTCTGTGTCGTTGGTGGAAAGGCAAACTGGCCAGCATATACATTCTGTTGAGACGTTGGGTATTGCTGTTCAGGTGGTTCGTATCGCTGCTGAGGCACTTGGTATTGTTGCTGTTCAGGTGTCTCGTATTGCTGTTGAGGTATTTGATAGTGTTGTTCAGGTGGCTCATATTGTTGTTGCGGTGGGATTGTCGATTGTGGATATGCAAATGGAGATAATAAGTTAGAGGACGCAGGAGGATTTTCTGGTGAAATAGCTATAGATGATTCAGTATAGTTGGAATACAATAATTCTTGCTGATTAGGTATCGCGTTATATGCTACAAATGGATTGACAACGGACGATGGAGCGTCTACGGTTGTCATATATGGATCAGATATCTGATGTGAAGAATTTTCATTGATTGATGGTGATGATACCGAATCGAAAGAACTATCGAACTCATTTTGTCGTTCCATCGTTATCTAAAGATAGTGTAGTGAAAATGAGTACATATCCTACAGGATATGGAAATATTTACATTATGTTGATCCGACACTGGTGCTACTTGATCGTTGTTAAACCAATTCATATCATCTGTCAAATTTGTATGTTGTTGTGTTTGTTGTTCATACTTCGACTGCGCTGGTGGTTGATCATCAAGATTAGTAACAGGAGTGGGATTCACAGTACTATGTGGAGTTTGATCCGCTGGTGGCTCTGTTGTGTCCGTAATGACTTCAATATAATTTGCTGGAATAGCACCTTCTTGTCCAGCAGTGTTTCGTGCATACCTGTATGTATGGAAGAGTGATATGTAGAAAAAAAACAGACTGAAGATGTCCTCCTACCACCATGCTTGTCCATCGGCTGCTGACGTGATTGTCAAAATTTCATTTGCATAAAAAGTGAGTTCATTCGAACTTTCGGCTATAAAGTCGTAAAGTGCACGTGCTTGGAATTCATAGGTATTCATTATCAAGATGCTTCTGTAGTCAAACGGTCTTATTTTAAATATAAAAATGAAAAACAAAATTAGTTAAATTTTTATCTACAGGTAAAAAGGAGAATGACTCATCTATGAATTTCATTTTATTGGTCATCGTTTCAAACCAACCTTGTTCTTATAACGTGATGCGTATGTATGTAGATAAAAATATTTAGTTACAATCTTACTCATTGGAATTTCCTATTCCTTACTTTGTGTTCCTTTTTTTTTCAAACTCAAACGAATATGAATTTATCTGAGACTAGTACAAGTGGAAAACCAAATCTCAATCTAGACGAATCAAGTAAATCAAACTAGACGAATAATAGTTCAAAGTTCGGACTTTCTAAATTTAGAAATTCTTGATATATACGAAGAAATTGAAAATCTTCGAGTTCAATTAATACGTCGAAATAAGAAATCTGCCAATGTTTCGTCCTCTCAATGGCATATAGCTAACAAACTTCGAACTGATCCAGAACAATTACAAGCATTTTCCACTGAGCTTAGACAAGAGTATCAACGTGTGTTTTCACTTACATGTGAGGCGAATATCATATCGACTGAAATGCAACGGCACGTCATTTATACCGTTACCCTACAAACACCTGTTTCATATTTAAAACCAAACGAACGCGTATGCTTTTGACTTTGACTTGCCATGTCTATGAGTGTTCGATAATGTTTCAGACAGTTAATTGTATATGTGTACCAGCAGTTCAAGTCAATCGGTCGGGATCGACACCACAGATATGGAACACGGAGAAATTCGAGTATAAATTGAGTGAAATGAAAAAAACGTATCAACGTTGGAAGATATCAGAGAATAAAGTAGAATATCTTACTCTTCGAACGCGAGAGAAACAAACTACCTTTGTATTATTAACATTTTAGAATGAATTGTTGAAGGAACACAATCCGTTTTACGAAGACGAATTGGAGACATTAATCGGAGTTGCAAATATTTATTTAAGAGCTTTATTTTACAGTTCGAAACTAGATTATATTGTACCCATCATCAACGACAAAGGCGAAGTAATATTTAGAAAAAGCGTCATCTTAATAAATAGTTATGATATGTTTTTTGCAGATATCTGGCTCACTTTATGTAACTCTTGAGCAAATAGGATCACCAATATTGAAAGAACAGAGCGATTTACAAATCAATAGTGCAACACGGAGTAGCATCAGTGAGTGGATTAGTATCGATGGCGAAGAACAAAGTCTGAATACGAATCATAGCGCAAGTCAGCAGAGTTTCGAAGATGAAGGTATTGAAGAATCGTTCGGACTTTTCGATTGTAAAAAGAATAAAACAATCATAAAAGTATGAGTAAAATTCGGCGAGGAAACATTCGTATATGTTGGTATTCTAGTTTGCGATAAAAGAAGCACGAAATTTGCCTGAAATCGACTGTGAAAGTATAGTATGCCGGTACATTTTCATTAATCCGAAACTAGATAAAACAGCTGTTTCGACTAAACCTGCAGATAATGAGCGTCACTTTTCGTTTGATCATAAAGAGGTAAATCAAAGCCGATTTTGACGATGACGAAATCCATTGATTTCATTTAGGAATTCACATTTCGTTTAACGGATACTTTTCGAGCTACATGTGTAGAGAATTCGATTCCTGTGGAAATCTGGTCGCAGTCAAGCACAAAGACAGTGTCGAAAGATATTCCAGATACAGAAGAAGACAACGAACAACTTACAAAAGTTCGTGAAATAAGTAAATGTTGGAAGAATGTCAAACGGCACATACAACTTAGTGTCGGGATTCAAGAATTGGATGAAACGGGAGAATGGAAACCTGTACTAGTTTATGCTGACGACAGAGTTCCTAGTGGTGGTATCTATCAATTGAAGCACGTAGGAGAAAATCTCGTGAATTGTGTGTATTCATATGTGTATTTCGATTTTACTTCAGGGTCAATCCAAACGCGTAGTAGTTCAAGCACGAATACTTCCGCGATCCGATGCTTTGCCATTCCATATCGATACGATACGATCGATTGATATTGGTTCGGTAAACGCACGAAAACTAGATGCACCAGTTCAACTCGATTCATATCAAGACCATGATTTACAATCATTAAAAGAACAATGGTTAAATTTAATCGAGAAACGGAAAAGTGGTGTAGAAACTAAATTGCGATCTTTACATCATCAAACAAGTAATAAATAATTCTCAGTACTGGTACATAACCAGTATTTTCATTTAGATAAAAGTGAACATGAGATTCAAAAAGAAAATATGCTTCTTGAAGAAATTCGACAACTTGCTCAAGAACAAGATATCGCTGTGCTTCCACCACCAGCAACTGGAATTCCAGGTAAAACATCTCCGTTGATCGGAATAGAAACACATAGCTTTATCTTATCAGGCTCTCCAGCTGATTGGGATCCACCCGAAACCGTCGAACTTCATCGTCCACTGATTTTTCTTGATTTGGATCCATTTCGAATCAAATCCACAAAGGATCGCGCGGGTACAGAAACGCTCTTAGCTGAAGAAGATCCATCGTCGATGATTCAATTATCCTTAATTCAAAATATGTCCGATGAGGTCCTTCTGTCCACAACAGACTTTTAGTGCTGTTCACAGTGGTTTTTCTTCATTTTAGGTTCCTGCCATAGCTCTATGGAATCCTTCGAGACATATTTTATCATCAATGTGAGCTTTCAATCGATGCGACTATTTTCTTTTATCTAAAGATTTGTATTGTATCATAGAGATCAAGTGACGGCAAATGGCACATTGATCTATCTGATTGTGAAAGTGATCGTAATCATCAGTGAACCTGCTCATATGGAAATCGTTCTACGCAAGCGAATTGCTGTGACCATGAACAAAAATGATGGATGGTGGTCTAAGAAACTTGTCAAGAGTTTTCTCGGCTATGTAAAAATCATATACGGCAAGAAAACAAATATCTCTTCTATTCTTACGTTTAGGAAACCTATTCACGAACCAGTGTTGTTTATGAAATCGTATCGAACATACCGAAGAGTCTCTATGGTGCTGAGGATCAAACCCAAGCTAGTTTCGATTGTATTTCGGATGAAAATATTTCAAAACATATTCGTAATGCATTCGCAATAGACTCTCTCTTACTTCTTGACAAACTAAGACAAGTAAAATCGATTTTGTAACAATGGGGAAAAAGAGAGTGTTCAAATTTCGTTTTAGGAAGTTCTGTTAGCTGAAAAATCTTTGAAACAACAAACAGTCGCTAAGTCAACCAGTGCGCCCAACATCACAATATACAACCAACAACCGGTTCGTATAAATGAGCCTTTCCTGAACATTTCTCTACTCTCTATCAAACAGGACGTTTCCAAACCAACAGTGTTGCCTAGTGAAGAGGACAAATCGTCTGATCCTATTCCAAATAAAATATTTGTTCCGGAAGAACAAGTGCCATCTCTACAAATACCATCTGTTGTTATCGAATGCGTATGCGAACCAGTGAAAGTCGAAATGAATGTAGAGGGCCAAAATATTCCAATGGAGATCTGCGATCCTAAGCTGAAACAACCTGGCTCGATGTCATCAAGTCTATCCGCTGAATCGTTCCCGACGTCTAATTATGACGATACACCGGGATGTTTTTCCGTTGGAGATCAAGTCATCGTCAATACGGGCCATTCGATAGTTTCGAAAAAAGGAACCATACGGTTTATTGGTGAAATCGATGGAAAAAAAGGAATTTGGTTTGGAGTTGAACTTCAAGAACCGTTTGGTAAGTTTCATACAATCGTTCACACGCCCAAGAACATCTTTCATTCCATGTAGGCAAAAATAATGGTACTGTTAATCAACATGCTTATTTCAAATGTGCTCCCGCGCATGGCGCATTTGTTCGTAAAGATAAACTTCAAGTTATCACTTAAACTATCTATGTATTCGTGTCAGATTGTAAATCTTTCTTAATTCCACGTGCCAATTTCATATACATTTGTGCGCACATGAATTACTTCTAAGAATATTTTATTAGTATGCTTGTTGGCAGTACTGATTTGTTTTTATTGAACATGTAGCAGCTGGCTTCTGTTCTTTGTCTCGCATATCGAAAAAAAATTTCGATATTTGAATTGAATATGAAGTATGCTGGTTAAAGAATCGAATAAAAACGAAAGAACAAAAGCTCGTATTTTGCTCGAAGAAAACGCTGCTTGTTTGGCATCTGATCATCAGAGGAGATGAAAACATTGAAGAACAGGATATTACGGCACTTCGCTGGTGAATAAGTAGGTCATTTGCAATGACTTTTTAACGTAGTTAGGATGTGCTTTTAATCATACAGCAAAACATTGGTTCAATCCAACTAGAAAAAGCAACCAGAACCAAACTATTTCCTTTTCTTATTTCCCTGTTTACAACGAAGGATCATACAATCCTTCGAATTTTCGATATCGAACAGCAACATATCGGTCGGCGTTGATCACTGATTGACAGTGTTCAATGGATATTCGTTCGAAATAAGATGAAACTTCAAGTATGATGATTAATTCAAGATATGTCTCTCGAGAATTGCCTTTCAAAACAAATTATCAATGAAAAAGATGTCAATAGTTTTGATTCGTTTCGTATGTCAACGCGCTTTTCCTTCTTGTTTCTCTGTACTGTGTGTATCCATTCCGAGAGAAAGAAATGTTTTTTTCATATTCGAATAAATATTATGATGATTAACGAGTCTAACCAGTTCTGTGTATATGTTCCGGTCAAGGCTAATGGAATCTGTAAGCATGAGAGCATATTGAGCATATATTTGTAGTTGATTTAGTTGAAAAAAAAATGCTTTGCCTTCCTCGACAAACAGCTATTTACCTAAACTCCAAATAGAATCATCTCATCTTCTTTTGTTCTTGCAATCTAAGTGCTCGAAGAAGGGAAAAGAAAGCTTAGTGAGCGCGCCCATACGCATTTTTATACACATATGTATCGAACGCTGTTGAATGAAGCAGAAAAATAGATAATGGACTACTTTCTCAAATCCCACCCACTTCTTCCCTGTATTCCATCTTTTCCTTTATTACGAGTGAACTCTTGTGTTG